CTTAAGAGAGCATGTTGAATGCTATAGCCCTCACAAAAATAACGTGAAAAAGGAAAAAACACTTTTATTTGGTCATGCATGATTCGCTCGAATATTTTTGTTGCTACCCTTTTTTTTAAGTTTTTAAAGATGCCTTTTGTTTAAGAAACTGAAAGCGTGTTCCAGCAGCAAATTTGCTATAAATTCTCCATGAGTTTACGAAAGCGGCAACTACAGGTGTTTCCTTTGATTCTGGTATTAACCTGCTTCAAATGTGGTTTAGATTAATTGGCAATCTAGCAATGAAATAACCCGCAGAGTCAATGTCTGATTCGGGCTGATTTGTAAAGAGAAAAAGCAACAATGTATAGGAGAATGAGAGCTATACCAAGAATGGTGTAGCAACTTCTTATAACAGAACGCAGTGTTACAACGCTAATAAAGGAAACATTTTCCAGCTTTACTTTGTCTTGTCATATCCATGGAACTGTTAATCATCCAAACAGCCAATGGAAACGAGACTCTTGAAATTTGATAATGAAATATACGCAGTAAGGTTGAACGTTGGCTCGGGGATTTGTAGGGAAATTTTGTACCCAATGGCAATCGAGGAGGTCGGCAACTCGAAGGGGTACAGTAGTGCCTCTGTTAAGTCACAGATATAATCAATTTGTAAACGAAACAAAGTTTTAGTTAGGGCCTACAGTGTTTCAAAAATCGAATGGCACCTAGGACACTAAGTAAAGCGTCGAAAATTTTATTAAGTTCTCCCACTGAAAAGGTCATATAGAAAGAAAAAAGAAATATAGGTTCCGTTCTTTAAACTTGTTTTAACAACGTGTTATGTAACAGTCTATTGATTATGGTAGTAGCATACTTATAATTATAGTATAGATTTTACAGTATGAATATCAATTTATGCAATAAATGTATCGTTTTGATACACAATGAAGCATTGAATACACAATAAATTCAATGCTTCAAAAAAGGTGTCATATTTAAACGAAATGTTAACATTCTCTGCAAAATTTTAGTAGAAGAAGATTTTGCAAGATTTTAGCCTAGTCATTACACAGGACTGTAGTCGCAAAATTTTAACAAAACTCAAACTCAAACTCAAACATTTCATTCACGGCAATAATTAACTACCAACATTTATATTTAAAGACTCATTGCTAACAATGAGCCTTTGCGAGGGTGGCAAATTATCCAGGCGACAATCCAAACAATGGCAGTAAACTTCTACGGATTAAACATAATTGATTTCAGACTGTCTGAAAATGCATTGTGGGATGCTTGCGTAGCGCAATGGCTCATTGTTAGCAATGAGTCTTTAATACTCGAACCTCAAATGACAATTATTTTTTACAAAAAGGGAAAACTACATACAGTAGGTAGTTCGAAGTTTAATATGTTTGCTGTCGGACATATGAAGAGAACTCACAAGGAGCTATCTAGGTCATATCTCCGATTTGGCAGGTATAGTTAAAGGCTTAGAAAACTTTAATAGCGGTTTAAAGAGAAGAATGTGAATGAAAATCAAAAAGGAAAGAACATCTAGATAATATAGGGTTAGTATAGTAAGAGATGTAAATTGATTATACTAAAAACACAATACTAAAAACAAGGGGAGCTCTATGAAATTTCTAAGTTGTTCTTTTCGTGTAATCATTGCAATTTGAATATGAAAAGGGTCGATGTTCATTCCAATCATTGGTTGAGCAGCGAGGTACATTTACTGAGTGAGCGGGAGCTGAGATCTGAAGATCGATGCCAGAGGTAAGGGCGGGAGTTCGTTGAAAGTGAGGGGGGGCCAAAATGTTTATATTGCTCAGGGGTTTGGTGAAAGCCGCCACCATGGTTTAAATTTTTTGGGATATGACATCCTAAAGATGGCCAGAAAATCGTCGATAGAGAAGATCCTAGGCTATATTAACAAAAAAGAGTGTATTTTGTTACCCTGGGTACCAGAGCCGCAAAAATTAAAAAACAGTTTAAAAAAATAATGAGAGCTCTCATTATTTTTTAATTTTTGCGGATTTTTATCATTTTTGCGGCTCTGGTACCCAGGGTAATATTTTGTCAGCTAATGAACAGTGTTTCTAATAATGTCATGCAAAACTGATATTCATTGATCTTAGAATATATTCATAGTTTACAGAAATTGGATTGTTCTTATAAAAAAGAACGTAGTTCATGAAATAGTGAAAAGAGATACGGCAGGGCAAACAATAGCTACCTGTTGTTGATTCAGGCAATCAAGTCCAGTTCTAAATGCAACACTAAAAATGAACTGTCTACACAACAGAAGCTAACTTACTCAGTAAGGAATCTTTCAAGGATTTTTCTCTATCTATATATGTCAAACTTTGTGTACATTTACATGCATAAAACGCCCGCAATGCCTTTAAATCTGTCAGTTGTTTCTCTTTTCCTTTTCTGGTTTAGTCATCCATGACTGACCTGTTGTGAAGCAACAATTCTTCATCGCTTTCTTTGCATTCCTTGATTCTTAGCTGTATCCAAACACAAACAATGATTGGGGGAGGCCCACTTTCTTTGGAAGATTTTAACAAGGGGGCTGTTTCATTCTGAGCCCCTCCCTTCACCACTTCATCCCTATCATTACGTCACCTTTACAACAAGATATTGTTATCTTTCTTGTAGCCAAAGCTTGCAATCCTCCCATTTACAACTCTCTTTATTAGGCCACAAATCGGATTTTTAAATAAATTGTTCCATAAGGTCAATTTTCCTCTATTTTGATTGCCAATAACTTGTGCTACAAGAACAAACACCGTGGAACGTTGAGAAAAGTAGGTGGTCTAAAAAATTGGGGGGGGGGGCTAAAGCCGAAAAAAAGTGACTTTACTTGTGGTTTATTTCTAAATAAATTGCATCATTTGCTAAGGCAACCCAAAGCTCATGGCTGGCTTGTGGAGTAGGGGTGGCAAACTCCCCATACCTGATGCAGGCAGGCGTTTCAGCAACTTTTCTTCGCAAATTTTGACTTTCGTATTTTTCAAATCTAATGATACCATCAGAAAGAACTTTCAAAACTGAGCAGAAGCTATAAAAAGCAATGCGATTTGACCTATTAGCGAAAAGTTGTCGCTGTTGAAACCTTTCCTTTTGTCAAACAACATGCTTTCTGAAGTTTCATTTTTTTATTAGTTTTCGTTCGTTTTAGTACGTTGCTATATCCTCGATGCTACCAAAGGCTACAGCATTATTCCCCTCCCTCTATTCCCTCCGTGGCTTGTGGTAATCATTAAATGTTAAACCCTCTTCAATACTTAAACAATTAGTCAATCTAAAGCCCAATCTCCAGTGAGAAAAAAAACTGCGAAATGCGAAAAAGTTCGCGCGAAATACGTCTTAGGCATGCGCAGTAATCTTTTGCTGGGATTTCTCGCGAAGAATTTCTCTGCGAAAAAAAGTTAAAATGAGTTTAAAGGGCCTCTCCAACCAAAATTTGCAATTGCATTTTGTTGGCTTAACTAAAGGAGTTGAACCTGCTGATCACGAATTTGTTATTTGTTTTTTGATATTTTGTACAGTTTGTGAGATATAAGCTCTTGCATTTCGATAATTGAATTGAATTAACCGACAAAATATTTTTGGTTTGGTGACACTGTGACGCAATTTTGACGTCACAGTGTATTTCGTTAGTCTCGCCTCAAACCGAATCGAACGTCGGCGATTCGCGAATTGAATACTGCAATTGTTGGTGCTCTCAGTTCTGTTCCACCGGCTTTTAGTTTGAGCATTTCAGATATCAATTCTGAAGCCTTTAGTTGTTCATCGTTTCTGGAAAACAACTTGAAGTATCATTTTCGATTAATTATACGCGAGGGAAGAGCTGGAACAGGAAGCCATAGCTTTGTGGGCCTACACAGGTGATCAAAACAAAGTCGTCACACAGCATGGACACATTCCGACCCGCAAACTTAGAATAATTGTAAACATTTAATATTTTTCGATCCTAAAGAGCACCTGCTGTAGATTTAGATGCATTTATCAACGCGTGACCATGACTCCTTCACGATTCGGTGGAAGATATAAGAAATTCATGACGAACGAGAGCCGCACACTGTGACGTCAAAATGTCACAAAACTGATTCGGCTTTTGTCGTTTTTTTCTCGGAAAGGTGCAACTTTAAAGCCTTATAACTTCTAAACTAATTGAAACTTCGCAAAAACGACAACTTCACCATAATACACGCACCAGATGCTAACTTTTTAGTCAATAAAAAAAAAAAATTTTTTTGGCTGGAGAGGCCCTTTAAGCCCAATCTCCAGTGAGAAAAAGTCTTGCGAAATTTCGCTGCGAAATACTTCACGCGACGAATTCCTTCGAATCGCGAAGGAGTCATGGTCACGCGTTGGTAACTGCATCTAAGTCTACAGCAGGTGCTTTTTAGGATCGAAAAATATTAAATGTTTACAATTATTCTAAGTTTGCGGGTCGGAATGTGTCCATGCTGTGTCACGACTTTGTTTTGATCACCTGTATAGGCCCACAAAGCTACGGCTTCCTGTTCCAGCTCTTCCCTCGCGTATAATTAATCGAAAATGACACTTCAAGTTGTTTTCCATAAACGATGAACAACTAAAGGCTTCAGAATTGATATCTGAAATGCTCAAACTAAAAGCCGGTGGAACAGAACTGAGAGTACCAACATTTGCAGTGTTCAATTTGCGAATCGCCGACGTTCGATTCGGTATGAGGCGAGACTAACGAAATACACTGTGACGTCAAAATTGCGTCACAGTGTCACCAAACCGAAAAATTTTTGTCGGTTAATTCAATTCAATTATCGAAATGCAAGAGCTTATATCTCACAAACTGTAAAAAATATCGAAAAACGAATAACGAATTCGTGATCAGCAGGTTCAACTCCTTTAGATTAGTCAATAAAATGCAATTGCCAATTTTGGCTGGAGAGGCCCTTTAACGTTTAAAACTAGTCAATCGAACCTTTGTGTTTGTTGGTCGTCAATAGCAGTGACCTGTCGTCAATTGATAGAGTTAGGTCAGGTGCTTTTTGCAATGATGCAACAAACCATTCTTTTGCAATGTCATTTGTCAAGACAGTGTTGCATTCGATGCAATAAACATTAACATTCGGTGTAAATCATACTAAACATGTTATTCTTCAATTCTGTTGTAAATTGGTAAGTAATGTTTACTTTTTATTGCGAATCATTGACATTTTCTATTCATCTTCAGCCAATTTTAAATGAATTCATTTTCTTCTTCAGGCTCAGTCTTTTGGCTATATTTTGCTCGTTGGTAACTGCAACGATTCTACGATTGCCATGCATCACAGTAGCTGACTTTAAGACTATCTACATCGGCCGCCGATTTAATGGATATGTTATCAGCACGATAAAAGGCGTTGATGACATGAAATGTACAATGAAGTGTGTCCACCATTTTGATTGTCGCTCTTATAATATCAACGTGGAGAAAATGCTGTGTGAGCTGAACAGCAAAGCCCATGTAGACACCAACGGAACAAATCTCATTGCTGATACAGACTGGATCTACAAATCTACTGATTTTGAAGATCTTCTGGTTTGTGTATCCTATTTGGTTTTGCTTTTGAAACCAGTGAATAATGCTAAAAATCAACGAGGCCTATGTCATTCAGTACGGCCAAGATGACCCGATGATAAACGGTCCCGGTGACCAGAAAAATATTGAATGAAGCGTATGAGATAAATATGCATTCGTTGAAATTGCCACTCTTTTGCAGAGCAGAACTTGCTCTTGAAAGGGACATTCTATGTGGGATATCTCATCAATAGCATTTTTGAGGGGGGAGGCCTGCAGCATTTTAGCTTGATTAGGACGCATTACTGCTTGCGCTCAATGCATCTTGGGAGTTGTACGGTAAATTCTCTTGAAAGCCTCCCTCTCAATTAAGCCCCTCTCTCTTATTAGCCCCCTTTTCAGAAAGAAAAATTTAGTAAGCTCTCCTCTCAATTTAGCCCCCCTCCCCAAAATATTCACTGATGACAAAATAAGTAAACTTGATAAAACATATATTTTCATTTTATTTATTTGCCGTTAAGTACTTCTCATCAAATCAAAATTCATAGCATTTTACTTCCAGTCTCGACATATCCCAAGACAAAAGTTTAATGTGCATTAAGCATGGGCCTTACGAGAGGCTTTTATAAGAAATACAGGCCGTTGGTACTCAGAGGGATGAAGTCGACCCTTTCGAATGCTCGATTGTAGAAATAAGAAATCACCCAAGGATATATTTTAGAATTAATAATTGATGACGATGGCGATAACAATGTTTGAAGTCTGATTTGATATTTTTTATTTCGCGCATAATAGTGTAAGCTGTGATGTATAGGATGGAGGCGGTAGCTGTCACAATTGCACATGAAAGGGAGATGCAGGTGGCAGAAATGAAAATTCTGAGGTGGTCTTTAGGACTTAGTAGATAAGAGAGAGTGACGAACGAAGAAATTAGAAGAAGAGTGAGGGTAGGAGAAAAAACAGGAAAGCTGAGAGAAAGCAGATTACACTGGCCCGGACATGTTGTTAGAAGGGATGACAGTTACGTGGGGAAAAGAGTGAGACAGTTGCAGTTGGGTAGGCAAAAAGGAGGTAGGCCGAGAAGAAGGTGGGAAGATTGTATAAAAGAAGGAGAAAGGAGTTTTGGGAAGATGAGGCAGGAAGTCTTTAGCCCTCCAAGAATTTTGCCATCCCTGTGTCCCGGATCCAAGCCTGATCGAAGTCAGACATCAACCTTACAAGCATTTTATGTGAATTACGTTGATTTTCTCCTTTTCCAGTTTGTAGATGACGTTTCGAGAGGAGGGGGGGGGGGGACCAAAAGTCTCATGTTAAATGTTGACAAAAAGAGGGGAGAACGGAAGATGAAAATTGCGAAATCTGCAAGCGGCAGTGGACAATATGATCAATGCTGCAAAACTTCAACGCTTTATATGCCCCTTAGGTCTCATATGCTTCTAACATTTATGAAATAATCGTTGAAGTTTCCCCACATTTGTTCTATACACGCTCAGCTTGCAATGCGTAAATCATGGATGCCGGAACAACAGGGGTAGAGGGGGCGTCCCTGGCTTCAATATACCGGTTTTCAAGCTTCTTTTAGTGACTTGTCAATTCTTCTATCCAAAATATTATATTTAGCGAATAACAGAACTCTCTTATTTCATATTGACCCAACTTTAACTTCATTTAATTGTCCCTATTGCAGGTAGGTCAAGTTTGTAAGGAGCTGAACCCATGTGGCCCTGGTGTTCTCTGTAAAGACAAATGCGAGCCGCCTTATTATGAGTGTGCTTTTTGCAGCGAAAACCTAACTGGACCAAGAAAGCACTGCAACAAACCTGTCGGTAAGAGCAAATACTTAGTCTTGAATCCATTGTAAACGCTCTAAAATGGATTATTTTCTATAGAAAGGAATCGAGCCGTGTAACTCACGTAATTGCTTATCCACACACAGTATCACAACCCTCGCCATTGATTGTGTGAGGGTGGTTACGGCCCTTATTGTGAAGGAGTTACAAAATCACAAATACACAAAATTTCTCATGTAGCTCAAACTTAGAGTGTTGTATTGTTCAACTGCAAATGAAGCTTTTTCTTCGAAGTGATTTTTGAATAGAAGAGGATGACATAATATAATGAAAATTTCGTTGCAATAAATGCTTCCTATTTGAAAATAAAACCAGATAAAAACGGAATAACGATGTTGACAAATCCCTTTGTTTGAAGCTTATGGTCATGCATTTTAAAATTTAGTTGAACTACAATACATGTTTGGTACTCGTATGTTCTTGTTTGACTTCACCTTCCTGTTGATCATTCTCCGCTCAAATTACTGATTCTTCACCTTTGTGGCTACATCACCTTTGTGGCTACATCACCTTTGAGGTTACATTTCCTTATGCACTTCCCGGTATCTTCTTAAGATGGAAATGAATGCAGCAGTAACCCTTGCATGAATTCTGGGACATGTACAGACATGGTCGCCGACTACAAATGCACTTGTATGGATGGATACACAGGCAAAAATTGCGAAACTGGTAGATACGACATTTTTTTTATTGAACAATTACCTTTATCTTTAAATGAGCAGAAATCTAAACTTTTACGTTTGAGCATTTGTCCCCGAGTCACGTTGCCATCATGTTAACTTAACCATCATGCTAAATTTACCATATTTTAAGCTGACAAAGCTTTGTAATCACGGTTGTTATTCTGCTCTGAAAAGTTTTTCTTCAATGCAATTTTATTCTCTTCTATAAATAAATATCTAGGTTGCGATCTTGTGCTCGGAAATGTTCTACGTTCTTATTGAAAGGGAGGTTTCACTTCCGGTTCAAGCAGCCACTTTTTATCACTATTTTTGTAGTCACTGTCACTGTGTATTATATTATGTTGGACGAAAGAGCATATAAGCCTTATAGCCATTGTATCTAACATCAAGCCCTCTTTGTGCTAAAGGGAAGTGGGTGCTCAGTTTCCCTTTGCAGACACAGTGGGTGTGCCATTCTTTTTTCTGACATCTGTGAAAATTTGCCAACAAAGCACTGCTACATGGCAGAAAACTCCCTTTTTCTGAAAATTTTTCCAGTGGAGGTGTAAAACGCACCATTATGACGGCCCTCATTGACAATAAGAGCAGCTGTCGATTTGCATGGTCTACTTTTTTCTGAATGAAGCGCAAGCTTGGTTTTAGACAATATTTATTTCAAGAGCTGCTGCTTTTTCAAAAGGTTCACTTTGCATCTTGTAGTGATTTTAATATTGTAAATTAGGCCATATTCCTACATCATCCCATCACCATGACATCTACCTACGTCATTCACAGCATCACCTAGCACATGACATTCCCTTCACCATTGATCACACGTTCACACATCTATGTCATGCTGATTTCTTTCCAAGTCTAGATCTTTCCTTCTCCATTGCATCATCATTACATCATCTTAACTCATCCTTAGTCAGCACATTTATTTTGTATATAAGTATGTTAATTTGTATGTAATTCAGTCAGTCAAGTTCAGTCAAGTTCAGATCAGAGTTATATATATATCAACACAATGTCTCTCTCACTGGCTCTGTGTTCTCTGCAAGTTAAATAAGATTCGAAGTAGCATCAACGGTGGAAAGTTACAGCAGACAAGATAGGAACCAAGGCAAATCATGCTACATAATATCGTTCCTATAATCTTTACTCTAAGTTCATTTTCGCTGTAATTTTATTTATCAATCACAAATTTCCTTAAAGATATTGATGAGTGTGAAAGCTTGCCTTGTTTCAATGGAGGGATATGCTCTGACTCTGTTGCAAATTACACGTGCAGCTGCGCAGTTGGATATTTCGGCTCTGCTTGCCAGTTTGGTAAGAAAATCTATTTGGCTTTTCATTCATTTCAGAACAATCATAAACCATTTACTAATCTTACTTTTTCTTTATTCGCCACTTTTTTCCTCCAATACTTTTTGCAAAAATAGAATGACTGACTCTATAAATTCATATCTTATGACATTTTTAGTCAATAATTTCTAGAAGATGCTGATATTCAGAAAACCATTTATGAATACCAGAGGGCTAACAAAACGGCTTATCTACTAATGTAATACCAGCTCAAAAAAAGCTCCCTATCTACTGACAGATTTCCCTTCAAAATCTAGTACCCTGTGTGCCATAGTATCCATGATTCAGTTCCTGAAATATAGTTAAAATATAGCGTCAGGATCAGGAATATTCATCCTTCTTTGCCACCACATTGGTCTAGAATAGTGTTGGTCTAGAATACAGTATTTAAACAACTTTTTCGCGGTACAGAACTTGAAAATGGCTTTGAAAAAAGCAAACATTCTACAACATATTGGCTAAAAGCTTTTTCGTTTGACACTCCTCAGAGCATAAAACGTCAGAATAAGGGTCCGAAAGAACACGATGAAAAATATATACCCAGTTGTGGATCGAAATAGGCCAATCAGAAAAACGCAAGCACAAGACCGGTATAGTTGACCAATCAGTGCCGCGTGCCTAAAGAAAAAATTACCACTGGAGTCCAAGAGAGAAAACGAACTCCTTCTGTCTACACAATACCGGCTTTTTCGTTTGTATGTAGATCGATACCAAACTGCTTTTGAAGTTAAACAACATTGACTTTGACACTTATATTTGTATTTATATTTTTAATGCTCTTTTTAAAGCTACCTGCAAATCGTTGAAAACAGCTGGCGTTAAGAGTGGTCTCCACCACATCTTCATTCCAAGTGGAATCTACCAAGTATATTGCGAAATGGATATCAATGGTGGTGGATACACTTTCATCCCAAACGACATCATGTCTCAGATCACAACACAAGACATAGAAACATTGTTTACACTTCACCAGGATGTGCTTCTTAGTCTGCAGCAAGTTGACGGTTCTCAACTACATACTGTTATACATCAATATGATAGCATAGGTCGGCTATCTGTACAAATAAACGCTTATAATGGGTACACGCGACCGAAAAATGGAGATTTCACGGACTTCTTGTATCTTGGGACATGGCCTGCAGCGCATGCTCTAAAAGGCACCGACCAAGGATTCCTCTCCAACGGTGTAAGTATTACTTTTCGCAACTGCGACGGCAATCAAAACAACAGGCTGGTCTTCTATTCAAAGCCAAACTCATCGCCACCAAATTATAATGGATATTATGAGCAACAAGGGTTTGCAGTGAGATGGCGAGCAACTGCAAGGCCGCACCCAGTTCCAGGTAGCAAGATGCCATCAAAGTTCTACCTCTTTACTGAAGCTGCATATGGTGGTTGCGGTTGCTACACTGAAAGCAGTGCTTGGCCCCAATCAGCACACTCAGCCACAGGAACCGCAATTGGAATCAGATAAGCGTTCGAAAGAGGCAAAAGGAACCCATCTTCGCAACTATAAAGTAAAATTAAGGTCGTCACCACATCATTGGACATGGGTACATTCCCTTTGACTTCATCTAGAGAGTAATTATTAAGGTTTCGACAACATTTTTGCTGCACAGCACATATATAGAGATGTTCGACAAAAACTTCTGATGCATAGAGAAGAACTGGGGAGAATTTTAGCTGCATGTCTCATGTAGAAAACTTTGCCAAAATTTGTTACAAAAAGATTTGATTGAGGATTTTACTGCGAAGTGGCTGCTTCTTTTTATTTGATCTGGAAGCTGCAAAGTGCATTGGTATAAATAGACAGTGATGAACCAATTGTTTTATTTCTTATCATTAAATAGACTGTAATTACGTTAAACTTAGAAATGTAGGATCATGTTACACCTATCTAAACTAAAATTTCATGTTACACCTGTTACATGTTTTCACCTGTTACACCTGTTACATGTTTTCAAAATTGGTTTCCTTTGAGTTTGTGTATAGATTAATTTAGTTAGACAGAATAAAGTGTGAAAATCGTGTTAGTTGTGAAATGACATTACTTTCCAAACCACTATGAGCTGGCAGTAACAGAAACAGCTACCAGTCCATTGTGAATTCTCAATTTCAAAATTTTTTAGATTTGGTGTGCTAGAAAGCACGTAATTTGTTGCCGACGTTAGCGTATTCAAATGTCCCGTTTTTGGTGCTCACACTGAAAACGGAGCGTATTCAATACGCACCCTATTCGAAAGTATCCTTTTTCATTAGCGTTATCAAACGACTCCGTTTTCATAGCAGAGTAGTGTGAACGCAAGGCAAAAACGGATTAGTCTGACTCCGTTTTCATTAGTGTGAACGGGCCCTTAGTGAGCAAAAGTATTGCACAGGCTGAAAAAGAAATGGCGGCAATGCAGCAAAAAATTTTACTGTGCCAAAATTCAAGAGGCCATAACAAATTTCATAAAAGTCATCAGATGACTTTTTAGTTTGAATATATTGGAAAATTTATCAAGGTTTGATGCAGGTAATAGGAAATGCAAGAATATTCTTGATTTTTGCCTATTTTTAAACAATATCGACATTTGCAAAAACACACAAATTGAGCCATGATGATTGAAGTACCTGTGAAACATTTGCATTAAAAAAGTTCATCTTTGCGTCAATTTGCGAGATCTTATTACAATGAGCTCGGGGGTACTTACTTCATGCTTTGGTGTCTAAAACTGCTCATTTTCCTCACAATTGTTGGAGAATCTGCTAAATGTTTTGGCCGGAAATTTTTGGAGCCGCAATGGGCCTAATCGCAGCGGCTGCTTCGAAATGCTGTTGCAGCAAAATTCAATCAATAAAATGTGTCACAATTCGTAAATTCCATCTTTTGCAACCGATTGCGATATTGTAATGGGGGGAAATAATGCTGCAAATTGCGAAAAACAACATTTCGTCCTCTCATTTAATGAAAATACCAAATTTCCTACGATAAACAGGTTCACTCGAGTGCCTGTAAAAGAGTGGACATAATAAATGGCTCAAAATATGCCACTTTCCACCAAATACAAGGCCATTTATGATCAACTTGGTACTTCAACACCTAAATGCGATCTTGCAAATGTTTTCCTGAACTTATCAGAGAGTTTAAGCACAGGCGACGATAACGATACCGATAACGATAGAGTCTACTGTCATCGTTTCCGTTATCGTTGTGGTATAAGTACATTAAGCATGGACACACGTAGGGGACTGCAGCTCTACCGCATGACACGCTTCCTTGTTTGGCACGGAAGTCTAGTTTTGAATGCCCCACAAATGTTAAAAATTATTTAGCTAAATAAAATATGACCGTAAAAATGTTAATTAAGTTCTTGCTGTCACACACAGCTTTGATGTTATCAATGACGAAGATCTTCCTCTTCTGTTGGAATTACAAAAAGGCCTAAATTTAATCTGAAAGTTTCATACTCTATATTTGCACTATGAGATAACTGATACCGAAAAAGTTCCGATTTGAGAAAATAGATTTTCAATTTAAATGAATGAATTTATTTCCAACGTAGAGTTATTATATACAAAATACTACACAGTTAACAAGAGGAAAAGCACGAGCGTTTCTTCCCCCTTTTCTGTACAGCCTTCCTTCTTCCAGCCCTCGTCTACCAAAATTTTGCTGCTAGGTCATCTCGCATTAAAGCTCATCTCATCTTGGGCAAATGACAGTCATTTGAAATGTCCACTAAAACCTTGAAAAAATTTGAGAGATGGTGAATACACGTTCCAGCCAAAACACGAACAACCTTTTTCTCAACCTTGGTAGTTTAAGGTCGAAACCCTCAGAAAATAACGACCTTGGTCGCTTGACACAAATTTTAAAGAATTTGTTTAATATTAAAGTGATAAAAAAGTTTAAGTTCTCAATCTTTGTTACCGAATTTGCAGAATTTTTATTGAATTTCATCGCTGCAGCCTATGTGAATCTTTACAATATAGGTAGGCCCAATTCCATCATGAAAATAGAATTATGAATCGCTTTAAACAAACAAGAGAAACAAAAAACTCACCCGCATGATTTGAGGCTTGATAATGAAGTGGCTGATGAAGCTATTTCCAGTTGAAAATCCTCATAAAACTCAGCAAAATCCGTCACTGAATCCTATCGTTGTCACAGAACGATACATCAGATTTCTATCGTACTAGAACCATGAGTGAGAACGATAACGGAAGGGGAATCTCCACTGACGCCTGCGCATTAAGGTAATAAAGCCTCCTATCGTTATCGTTATAGTTATCGTCGCCCATGCTTAAACTGCCTATCATGTCGCGATGAACAGACCCTGTAACAAAACTCGATGACAAACTTCTAGCAAGTCTCATAAGGGTTTCAAAGCTGAGAGGCTGTCCAATTAAGCCTGGTTTCCATATAACTTTTATGCGTCGGCGATGCATCGCCGACAGGTCGCCGACGAGTGAAAGTTTAATGGAAACGCTCCCACAATGTTGTCGGCGACGTGTTGGCGATGCCCTGCAAAAATTGAATCTAGTTCAACTTTTTTCTGTCGACGATTTTTTCTGTCGATGACAACTTTTTTCTTATGGAAACATGCATCGCCGACACGTCAGCGACTCTGTGTGAACACATGACCCATACTAGCCAATCAAAACCATTATCAATCAACCTGCCTACTCATTAGGCACGGTTTGTGATCAAAAGGCTCCCTAGGATGTCTGAGTTAAAAGTGTCGCCGATGCGCTGTCGACACGTAAAAGTTATATGGAAATCAGGCTGAAGAGAATCGTCGGCGACGCATAAAAGCTTTATTGAAACCAGGCTTTAAAAGTTAGAATTTTTTACTTTTTAACAAGTAACTTTTTTCAATCTTCAAATTAAAAGCGTTGCCAATAGTTTTGTAAAACAACACTGTTTTACAGTTGCCCTGGTTAGTCCAGTACAAAGGAAACAACAGTTGATTCCAACAAAAACAGAATATATGAATAATCGGCGATATAAACCATAAGCAATAGTTCAGCAATTTAATTTTACAAGCAATATTCGTCGGCGGCAATAATGTTCGGCGGGTACACTGTACTGAATTTGACGGCTAACTGCAACTTCATAAAACGGAACGGCTTCGACACGACTTTCCTTGACGGCTTTAACTAACGACTGACTCAACATAAAACAGCATGGCAATATAATGAATAACACATGACCAAAAGACAATAGGACGCTGACAACAAGTGATGGCAACTAATAAGAGATGGCATGGCAACGGATTACAGATTAACAAGAGGAACACCACTGACACGCAACCGGAAAATCTATTGTTTAACAGTTTCATTATCGATCGCCTTGTTGTTTACAACGCGGTCGCCATTAATCATTTGTCAAACCTGTGCAATACTTTTGCTCACTAAGTGTACATATTGCTTAGTGAGCAAAGGCACGGCGCAACCATTGGGCCAGCAGGGACTATAGCCCCCCCCCCCCCAACGTTGCAATAATAAGCCAAAATATCTTTGAAAGGTTTACTCTAACGCAACTTTGGATAGTTTGTTCCTATGTTGTAGCAGTTCTTCTTGACTGGGAACCTTTTCTGTTCATTTTCTAGGTGTTTTATCTGTTTAATGAGATGATGTACAATATTAATTAACTTGGTTAGCTTGGTGTTTTACTACCCTTGAGCTAATTTTATCTATTTTTATAGTTATTGATCTCTTCTCTGAACCAGATTGTTAATAGAAAATTCAGTAGAAACTAGCAAGTATTATCTAAAAGGGGCGTTTCCAGCGTTCTAGAGGGCGTGGCTTCAAAAAAGTTTCGGGCACAACCATTTCAGCCCTTCCACTTTTAGACTGGTGCGTGGTCCCTAAGTTAGCATACTCTCTAGATTCGACAAATAGGTCCAATAATTTAGTCCAGTTAAAAGACTTTGCCATAAGAGAAGTCACTTTGCCATACAAATCCATAAAGACACGCTGTTGGCTTATTATTGGTGTTCCAATTGATGAAAAACCAAACAATTTTTCATTGCTTCAAAATTATTTTACTGTTCATGCAATGATTTTGGATGTTTTAGATCTTGAAGACCGATGACATTTATCAGTCACGTAGAGAGTGTTGTTTCTTATGGAGTGTTGTTTCTTAGAGGTAGAGAGTGTTGTTTCTTATGTTTCTTATGAAAACATACTGTTCTATTCTATTCGTCAATATTTGAGTTGTGCGCAGTGGCGTAGCCAGGGTTGGAAGATTGTTGGGCAAAGAACTGTCCAACAGCAGGGTCTGGAAAACATTTTGCTGACCACACCCTTAGAAATTTGGGGAAACTCCCTATTTTGTTAGTGCGTTTGGGAAAGCTTTGGCTTTTTTACGTAGCAATGTTTGGCTGATCAAACACAAGAACTGTCATATGTAGCTTTTTCTGGCTGATCCAGTTCCCCAACTGTCTAATTCCTTAACAACTCCTTTAACGTTAATATTCTGAATTGTATGAGGCAAGGAAGCTCTACGTGTAAAAACTGATAAAAACTGAAGTTGTAAGCAAATATCTAAAAATAATAAACAGTGTCCAAAGTTTTCAAACTAAGTCCGTTCTCCTTGGAGTAAAATCTGCAAATGCCCGACAAGCATTTCAGAATCCAGTCTTTTAAGGATTGAAGCATTGTAGTTTCTATTTTATCGGGAAGTACTGCCCCTGGATTAACAAGGACCTGAAGAAACTAATGCAGACCAGAGATAAGCTAAGAGAGGCTGGGAACAAAAGAATATCCCCATTCCTTATTGAATCTTACATCCAGCTAAAGGAGCAGTATTATACTAATACGATCTCTATATGTAAAGGTAACATGAAAGAATCATGGAATGCAATCCATGAGATCCAGTCAAATTATCAAAGTCCAGCAACATCGATTGTCTTAAAGAATCTGGTTCTCAAAATGTTCACAAAAAAGATATTTCTAATGCAATGAACAGTTTCTTTTGCTCTATAGGTAAGGATCTTGCAAACAAAAAAGATCCAGCCCCAAATCCCCTTCTTGCTGGTGACTATGAAATTAATAAACATAAGCCAACATTTCCACTATTGAAGTGCGGGAGATCAGGGATGCATTTGCCACGGTTAAGACTGCAAAAAGCTTCACGACTGATACCATCTCTAGCTACTTTCTTAAGCTTGAGCTTCCTTTTATTGAGAATTCGCTTGCTTTCTTGTTTAATACATCTATTGAAACAAGTCATTTTCCTGACTCATGGAAAGTTGCTAGAGTCACTCCGATCTTCAAGGATGGAGACAAGGCTGAAAAGTCCAACTATCGACCAATATCCGTCTTGCCTGTCATCTCAAGGCTCTTTAAAAAATTAGTAGCAAAACCAGCTGTGCCAGTACATGAATGAGAACGGTCATTTTTCATCTGGCCAATCCAGCTTTTGCGACTCCATTCAACAGTAACATGCTTGCTTAAAATTACTGACGACTGGTACAATGGAATGGATCTTGGTAGGCTTGTGGGTCTAGTGTTTATTGACCTCAAAAGGCGTTTGACACTGTAGATCATAACATTCTCTGCAAAAAGCTTGAGCTTTACGGTGTACAGCAAAGTAATCTCTCTCGTTTAAATCTACCTTTTCAATAGGAAATAGTTTTGTAAAGTTAATGTCGTGGATTCAGAAATAGGGGAAATAGAAGTTGGTGTTCCACAAGGCTCATGTCTTGGCCCCTTTCTTTTCCTCCTCTGTATCAATGATCTTTCACAAGCTGTCAAAGATTCCACCGTTTCCATGTGTGCTGATGACACCAGTTTGTGCTACCCGTCTCACGATTTGACTCGGCTAAGTGAGGCTATTAATAGTGACCTTAGAGGACTGGACACTTGGCTACAAGGCAACAAGCTTTCCCTGAATATTGCGAAAGCTCATTCTATGCTGATTTCTACCATAAAGAAACATAACGTTCAACGTCAAAATCATAAACACAAAGTCAAAATAAAGACTTGGTTCTGAAAATTCGTGATAATGAGCTAGAAGCAGTCAAACGACAAAATACCTTGGTATGCAAATTGACTGTTCCTTGGATTGGAAAGAGCAAATCAAGGCAGTTTCTAGCAAGGTCTCGAGCGCAGTTGGCTTTTCAAGACATGCTAAGTCTTTTCTCCCGAAAGAAAAATTGCAAACTTTTTACACAGGCATTGTGAAGCCCCACTTTCAGCATTATTGAGCAGCCATTGGGCTAGCAGGGGCTATAGCCCACCCACTTTTTTGCAATAAAAGGCTAGAAATGTTTTTTGGAAGACCTACTCTAACGCAACTTTGGATAGTTTACTCCTAAGTAGTAGCATTTCTCATTGACTGGGAACCATTTTTGTTCTCTTTCTAGGTGTTTCATCTTGTTTAATGATATGATGTATTTTCTAACTTGGTTAGCTTGGTTTTTTATTACCCTCAAGCTAATTCTATCTATTTTATAGTTATTGATATCTTCTCTGAACCAGACTCTTTATAAAAATTCAATAGAAATAAGCAAGAATTATCTAAAAGGGACGTTTTCCGGCGTTCAGGAGGGCGTGGCCTCAAATTTTTTCGGTCACACCCATTTCAGACCCTCCACTTTTAGAGTGATGCGTGGACCCTGGCTGTTCTGTCTAGGACTGCGCCGGTTTAACTGAAATTAATCAGTAACAAAAACATAAAAATCGTGCGGCTAGGATAATAACAAATAGCAGCTTTGATGCCCCAAGCAAACCTATCGTTAAAGGGCTGGGGTGGAAGACCGTTGTGGAACTTGTTTCTGATGAATCTACGACAATGGTCTTTGAGTCCCTGGATGAACTGGCTCCACAATACCTATGCGACCTTTTCACCCGAAATTCGTCCTGATCGTCATATAGCTTAAGGGCCTGATTACATGAGGAGGGCTGGCCCTATCAAGAGGGCTGGCCCTAGTACCCGAGACGGATTTCTGTTTGCGATTACATGAGAAAAACTCATCTCGCGGTCGAGCTCTCGTCCCTGCGCAGTAAGTTGCGCAATGATTTGGCGGGAAAGTTTTAATTTTCTGTGCTGATGAAAATGGCGGCAACAAAAAGCAACAGAACACGATTTACAAGCATTTGCCGTGAAATTGGAATATTTGTGTCTTTATTGATGCAATTCCAAGGCATTCTTTATCTGTATTTACTTCAACACAATATTATGTGTCGAAAAATCCTTGCATATTGCGCAATGAAGAAAAGCAGAATGCGAAGAAAAGCGAAGCACATTCACATGAAAAGGATGTTGAGAAATAAAAGAAGTACTTGGGTGAGAAATGGAAGAACGGAGTCTTGGTGGGCGAATATGATTGAGGGAATTTCACCTGAAGATGAATGGAAAAGAAACTTCCGAATGACCAAATTTTTCTTCCCACTCGGTTTATTCACTTTGCTTGCGTCTGCCATTTTGAATGATGAAAATGAAAATGCAAGCGGGCGCAAGCATGCGCAGTTATGTCTTTAGAAAGCCAGCCCTCTTTCCAGCCCTACCCAATCGATTACATGATGAAAACACCACATTTTCAGCCCTGCCCTCTCACGAGTAGGCGAGATCTCGGCTATCAGGGCTGGCCCTGTCTGCATGTAATCGCAATCTCAAATCATAATACATTTCTTATTGATACCGAGATCTCGGCCAAAATCATCTATCCCGGGTAGGAGGGCCAGCCTCCTCATGTAATCAGGCCCTTAGAGATACAGTAACCGACTTGAGGTTACCGATGAAAAGGACAGCAAATGGCCAGAGATGTTTCTTTTATAGAGGTGCAAAAGTATGGAATAGCCTGTCCGCCGAGTCAAAGCAGGCCGCCTCTCTCTAAAGTTTCAAGAAAACTTTTCAGAAACTGTTTTCTCTCGCTTTTATTGTAAATTTTCAACATTATTGTGTATTAGTTTTGAATATTGTAAATAGGGTTTTATAGTTTAATTTAATTAATCGCTTCTATTTCGTAGTTTTTGTAAGTAATGTTTTTAGGGGGGGGGGGGGGCCTTGAAAATCAACTTTTTGAAAGGCAACCCTCCTTAAAAGAATTAAACATGAAATATGAAATATAAATATGGGAATGTTTAAAGAACGTGAAGGAATTTTCTATATAAACCCTAAAACGAAGGGAAATAGTAAAACAAGCCTTAAGAATATTGACAAATTAAACAGTTTTTAATTGCGTGTTTGATTTAATAGAACATAAAAATCACAAGGAAATGGTACTGATTAATTGCAGTTTTAGATAAATCGATACTTTTGGTGGACCAAACTTTCTGTCAGCCAAAATGTTGGTACTTAATTTCATGCTGCAATAATTTTTCCCAAATGCACATCATCCAAAAGGATGTTTTGTTAGTAGTTCAAGTTCCGACTGAAGTGCAATGTCAAGATTGAGAAGTAATTTTCTCAAAATAACTTAGTAAAGCAATGAACCCAACTGTTAGAATTAATTACGGGGGTTGAAAAATTAAATTGAAAAATGAAAAATTGACATTTTGGACGGGGCTTATTTGAGGGTGAGGCTGTTAACAATTTTCACTTGCAGGAGGGGAACTAGTTCGAGGGGGGCTTGTAATAGAGGCCAATTTGAGGGTACCACTGCATAAAAATTATGTTCAGAAATAAAGTCTCGTTAGTAACTAGACTTCTTTAGCAGGGAATTTTTTGAGAAAACCCCTACCATGGAGTCGACGAAGAAAAGCAATTTGCTGCATGACTCACCAAGACCGCCCATAATGCAGTTCTCAGGACCATCAACACATTCTGGATTGTTTTCAGGCATGGATTAAAAATGTCATACCTGTAGAGTTGATAATTGCGCTAGCTCACTGTACTCACTGCTTCATAATATTGATAGGTACTCACTTGTATGACACACAACACGTTATCTTGTCGACTGTAGACTTCGGGTCAAACAAAATGGATTTGAAGGCGGTGGGAATTTCGATTGCTGTCTTGATTTCTGTTAGCTGCATTCTTCATATCGTTGCAGTTGCAACAAATTCATGGATTATGGTAAGGCCATACTATGAAGATTTCTTGTGGAAAGGTTGTTACAGAAAGAAAACTGAGATTGGATGTGACCGTTTGTCTGACTACAAGGGCGGAGGTAAGTAGTTAACTCCACAACACTTCCCTTCCAAAATCTTTACCCTGGAATTTAGCTTATGAGATATTTTACAGAGTAAGAGATTGCATATCTTCAGGTAAACACAGTTATACCTTGCTCCCAGTGAAGAGAAATAGGTTCCTTCTTTATTATTTGCAAATGCGCGCCGCTTTGTTTGTATCTAAATAGGAAGGCCTAGCCATAGAGTCAATTCTATGGGCCTAGCAATATGATCATCATTACAATTTTATAAAGCATATAGGTGATATACCCTGGAGTAGACTGAGTTACGCCACTTGTTCTTTCTTCTAGAAAGGCAGGCTTCTTATTTATGTTTGTTGACTCCCTCTAAATAACCTTGGCCTGAGAATTACTTCAAGTTTCAGGCCTAATGGGATGATCAGCCAACTTCCCTGCCAAAAAAGAGGCCTAAATAGTGACGATGATAACTGTCTTTTGTGTGAAATGAGTGTTCATAGTTGCTGCATGTTGGCCGAAGCCTACAAGGATTTGATATATGGTCATATGGCATTAAGACTTTATCAGCCAAAACTGGAGAGGAGTCTGCATTTTTGAGGGGTGCCATTTTGTAGAGTATATAAAAATATTGATAAACTTATATAGCCACCACACAGAATCATTTTGATTACTTGTGTGGCTCATTTCAATGAGCATTGGTTTTCCATGCAGCAAACTGGAATACCATCCCTACCATCCCTACCATCCCAACCAAGAGCATCACCAGACTGCAAAGTATTATTCTCAGCACAGGGAATAACTTACGTTTTGCAAAGAATAATGCCTAGAATTCGCAGCAAAGGCTTTTGAGATCTTGTTGTTATTGTTTTGCTTTTTATCAGAAGCCAGAAGTTTGGATTGTAGAAAATCACTGCAGAACATGAATAGAAAATCAAATATTCCAGATTGCGTTGTCTTTTCTGACGTGACAGTGCTCGATGTGCAAAAATACAGGGCAATAAATATATTAAAATAGAATATAGACTTGAAATGAGACATGTTCTCTGTTACTCCGAATTCCGTGCTTGCGCACTCATCAGACAGACTATAATGAAGAATATTCCTGCTACCGCAGTATAAATATACAAAAGGTGTGATAAAGTTTGACAATGGAAATTTTATTAGATACAGGTTAATTAGTTAGGTAGAGTTCTTTTGTTCATGAGATAAAACTTGTTTTCGTGTCCGCATTTGGTGATTAATTCGGATCATTTGTTTAGAAGAGTGTTGTCGGAAATCAAATATATATATATTTTTCACAGGTTTACAGGAAATTCTTTATAATGCTAGACATAATGAAGAATAGAAATTATTTCACAGGGAATGCCTTGCTGACAAAGACCAATACAGTTTGCACACAAACACAATGCAATTGAGCAGGGCCCTTGTAAATAAATTTTCCTAATGTCTGCCTGAGATATGTTGGCTTGGAAACCACAAGAAGCAGCTTTCTTGTCAAATTTATTTGTGACAATTGGAAAAGTTGAATATATATTTGTATCACTCTCTATATATATATATATGATATATTTAGATTTATTTATAAAAAAATTAAAAGATTTTAAATCTCCTTATTTTTAGCTGCCATGGTGGCATTGAGGTCAACTGCTGTCAATTATTCTGCTGTCGGTGAAAAACCTTATGATCTTGTTTATGCTGGATTATGGAAAGCTTGCATTGTAAGGGGTGGAAATGTGAGGTGTGAGGACCTTCTTATTGGTCAAGGTAATGATACAAGAAATGATTTTATTTTAGAAAGCAGGTCTCTTTGTAAAGATTTTATGAGATGTGAGTCTGTTCTCTTTGAAGCAATATTTTTTATTGAGACATGCAATTCATGACTTCTGGTTTAAATCGCACGGGAAAAGCAGTAATATCAGTACTATTTATGTCTATATTATATATATACCATAAAAGCTCTATTAAGCTCCTTTTCTTTTAAGCCCCCCTCTCTATTAAATCTCCCTCATATCAAAAATTTAAAATAAGCCCTACTCTCTATGAAGCACTCCTCTTAAGCCCCTGATGTGAAAGAAAGTTTCTTTTGAGCCTTAAAAGCCATTCAAATTAGTCTATCGGATGTCCCAGGGGATATCAATTGATCTTGATGATGACTCTGAGGAAGATAAGGACATTATAATTGATTGATTTTTAGAAACTTTTGAGTTATTGATAAGCCCACCCTCTCTGATGACCCCTCCTCTCTTTTAAGGCACCCTTTGAGGACTGAAGAATAGATAAGCCCCCCTAGGGCTTAATACAGCGTTTACAGTATACATACTTTTCATCATCATCATCATCATCATTACATTTACATTTAACAACCCTTTTGGGTCATACAAATGTCTGCCCAGTCAACTACAACATTAAAATTTACTGAGGTGATTTCGGCATAGGTTGTAAAGAGTATCCGAATTTGCCTGCATCACAATACTGTCTGGCAGGCTATTCCATACAGAAAGGATTGAATAAAAAAAATGAAAACCTAACAGCTTTTGTTCTGCTGATTCTTTGCAGGTTTTAGGCTGGGTCATTCAATGTCAGTTCATTAGATATGAACAACACCCACCTTTTCAGATTTTGCTCATTTTCATTTCACAGATAGATATTGCAGAGAGATCAACTCCTCAAAATTTCACCTCAATCTATTTTTATAGCCAAAGTTATCTGTAAAATGAAACACTGGTTGGTAGTCATTTTGAATTTCATCATAAGGGAAATTATATAATTTTTGATGTATTCTTTGCCTCATAATTCTATAAAAATTCCAGTTCACCATGTTCACATACCTGCAGAAGATGGCAAAGGTATCAGCAACTTTGTAAGGCTCTTGCTTGGCCAGATATTTCATTTTTGAATTATACAAATGTGTTAAGACCATGTTGAATGATGTTTCCTCAAATCTGACTCTACATCACTGAACATTGCTCAACATCACTCAACATTGCTTGACAAGGCACTGAACAAGTTGCACAACATTCAGGCTCTACAGTGTCAAGTGTTATCAATTTATTCATGTGACCATAGTGTTTGGCTCCAGGTTTTTGTCTCAATCAACAAGTTTATATATATATATAAAATAATTGTAATGTTTTTTCCTTCTACATTGAAGGACAGAGAATAAATACAGACTGGATTCGAACTGTACAGGCGTTCATGCTGTTAGCCTGTGTCTCTTATCTCTGCCCACTCCTCACTGTACTCTGCTTCAGAAACAAACAGTGGCTTCTTTATAAGATTCTTGGATTTGCCACATTCTTACCTTGTGAGTTGAATTCTGATTTTATTCTACATTGCTTTATGTTAGAAGTTCTACTTGTTTAAGTCACATTTAATTTCATTTCAAGCAATCTGAATTTTTTTGTGTTGCAATAAAGAGAGTGATTAAATTTACTTTAATATTAGTATTTGGATTTTAAGGCCTGTCAGTTTTTATAAGCCAATTATAAGCTATATATATTTATATTAAAATGATATATATATATACAAAAGTGTCTTCCAAAATTGTTTTCGTTCCAAGTATGTATCTATTAGTGTTGAGGTACTGTTTTGTGCTACTCAAAACACATTGCTTTTACAATTTGTATTTCTGTGCAGTTATTGTGGCATGCATTGGGCAGTTTGTTTACTCTGGATGGAGTGATGTTAATTTGCGGTACAAGAATTACTATGGCTATTCTTTCTTCGTGGGAGCATTTGCTTCGATCCTATTGTACGTTGCCTTTATGCTTGCATTTGTTGCTGGTTGTAACATGGATAAGAAAAAGCCAACAACAAGACGGTTTTAGTGTCCTAAACTCATGCTTTTACACTTAAGCATCAACAACTTGCATCAGATGTTTCTTGGATAAAGTAGCAAGACCATTTTGAAACTCTTTGGTCATCAAAGACGCAGAAATTTCACATTTTGCCTATAAAGATAATACATGTCATTAAAAGGACACTGGTGCATCAACTTCTGAAACTTTTCGTATGATGTAAAATTCTACACTACTACATTTTATTAGGGTATGAATATTTTTGTAAAAAGTGGTAAGCTAAACTTCAATGAAAGCAAGATTTGTTTTCAGTGTGCTAGGGAGATATTCTTTTGTAACTGATCTAAACTTTGTTTTCTGGATGTTGCACAAATACATAAATGGCACATTCTTTACTGTCAGTAATATCAATACTCTTTGATATTTTTACAAAAAGCTTTTGGAAATAAAGGACAGCACAACTTTTCAGATAAAATTCTGGCAACTTTCATTCATAAGTTTCAGTAGCGTTTTTTTGTGACAAAGCCACATAATAAGGAGTAAATGTTGAGATGTTTTCCCTCAGTTCTGTTGCTGGTCAGTCATAGCGTTTTCTAGAATGATATGCATGAGATAATGAGATAATGATATTTGGCCCAATTTTTTAAGGAGTAATAGTTCAGAGCACTTTGTTAAATAACATTTAAGCAATATTGTACTTTTCTTGTAATATTTACTATGTATCACATTTTGAACATTATGGAAAGGTATTTTTGTTCCCCTGTTGTCACCTTGTTCTTTATGTGAGTTTAATACTGTGGTGTGACAGAAGCACCTGGGGCCCTTAGAAAAAGACTAAGAACAGGTCCCTGTTTGCAGACTGTAAGAGGATCCCAACCAAGAGCGTAAAGAATAGAGCATGTTAATCATTTTTGAAAAGCAGGTGAAGTTGAGAAAAATATAAGTATGTATAAATATTTTTAGGGTCCTTTTATTGGGGGCCTTTAGGTATCAAGCTAAGGTGCCTTAAACTTTGTTACACCAATTAGTCAGTGATTTCTAAACTTTCTCAGTCAATAATTTCTATTTATACTGGTACCATAGCCCATGCTGGAAGGCATTGAAATGCACCTGAGCTAATAAAGTCCTTAGTTGCATATGATGGAAGGCTGGACCACACTTATTATTTCCATGTATGCCCACCAAATGTTGTCCCTTTCAGTCTATGGTTTACCACAAGGTTAATTACCAAGGCTGTTTATATAAATGTTGCTTAAAGCTCCATCCTACAATATAACACTTGGTTCATAAAAATATTGACTTTGTTTTGATTAGTGTTTACCGTTCCATCCATAACGACGGTATACGCTCACCATAGTAATAACAATGAAAAAATAGCATTGTTTTGAGGTAGAAAAGCCTTGGCAATTGATTTTTCATTACAAAGTCTTGATGAATGATTTGAAAAAATGTTCTTGCCTCCACGTTACACCTGCACGGCCTCAACCCTATTTCAGGTGCAACATACGGGTTTGGCAATGGGAGTTTTGCCGATTGGGGATTCAGCTTGTGTCTGTTTACGGATGTCAGGATGTGGATGCGTTTCCTCGAAAACATGTTGAATAATGTTTAGATCAACGCAACAGCGAAAACCATAAGAAAGAACTTGCCACACAGTTACTTCTAGCAATGTTTCTCTTTTCTTAATAGCGAGTTTTTCGCTTGTTGTGCCACTGCTCGTTTTACCATCGCGGCTACGTCTGCGCTTTGTTTAATTGCAGTATGCGGTTGTTGGAAGATTTTTGCACGGTCATGCAGCTCTGGACCTCCTGTAATAGAACCCCCGTGTTTGATGATTGGTGACGCAGAAGCTGACCTAAAGGCAAAGTTCTGATAAACATATTTCGAATGCCAGTTAGGATTTTAATCAAAGCCCTTTGCAGATTAGGAACGTTGACTTCTTCAGATCCCTCTGTAGTAGTTTAAAACCTTAATTCACTGACGGTATTACGTCCAAACAGAAGCGCGTCGCCATTGAAGCATCTTATTATTTCTCTTTCAAGCAGATTTTGCTCTTTTGTTTGGAACCATACCTTCTCACCAATCACCAGTAACCAGTTACGGTGTCATGCAGCTGGAGAATTCTGTCATCTCAATTTTCCAAACAAATCCACAGAAGTTATTAGATCAGAAATATTGTACTCTGGTTTTCTGATTTGGTTTTCAACAGGGATCTAGCTTCTGGAAAGTTTACTGACATGCAACGGTGGCCAACGATTGGGATGTGAGACCAAACTTGCCAAAAGTGGCCTGCGCAGGATTTATAAAGATCATTTTTGTCAGTAAAAGTCATTAAGAATGCTGGTATGGTTTAAACAACCGATAACACTCTAGTGTTCTCGCATGGTTTATTAATAATCGTGCAAACAATAAGGTCTGCAAAATCAATTATTTGAATTGGCCCGAATTGTCCCATCAGTAGGAAACAGATGTTGTCCAGATAATGGATTCATATTTCCCTGCCTGAATTTTTTTCCTCTTGAAAAGCTTGTTCACAAATTCTTTACATAATAACTCTAAATAGTGATTAAAATGCAACAAAATGATGCATCAATGTTGGGCTCTGCAAAAATTTTTCAAGGAGCATTGAGCCTCGACGAAAAAGACCAACACGAAGCGGCGGGAGGCTGGATGTTACGGCTCTTTTGACGATGACTATGGATGACAAAATGAATTTTTTGCAAAAGGGTAGAAGGGAAGATTCTGGTGGAAAAGTCTTGTTATTTGAAGTGTTGTCGAGCCCCAAGCACGTTTTTACGGCATGTCTATCAAATTCTCTCCGCTCTAACCTTAGAAATGCATTTAAGATTAAATGATATCGGTTAATAGAATCATGATAGTGTTTACTAACTAATTAAAGCAAGCCTTGTTACTTGAAAGCAGTATTGATTACAATCTTGGAAAATATAGATGCTCCGTAGAAAAATACTAAAGTTCCAACAATAAAATTCTTACAAAAAATAAAAATTACAGCAGTTCTTAAACTATTACGGAAAGTAGCGATAATGAATATAAATTTTTTATGATACACAAGGTTGAGGTTTTAGATAAAACTCGTGTCCCTATTCAGCAATGCTTAAAAATCAAAAGAAATGATACCCAGCTTGATCGCAGCATGAAAGCAACATGGCAACAGCGTTTAAGCCAATGCCTCCCCAGACGAGCATATAAGAGAAGCCGAATTCTAGGCCAGGCACCTGCAATATACCACTGCGAGTTGTGTACACTGCAACTCCAGTCACTGAACACAAAACTAAGGAAAAAAAGCAAAAATCATTATGAACAACGATAATTTACTGCAACATTGATATTCTTATACCTTCGGTTTGAAGTAGCAGCCTAGATAAAAAAACTTCTGACAATTTTCACTGGACAATCAAAGCCGCTTCATTTTTGACTCAATGAATTGTAAATCGTCTTGAATCTGTTTAAAATATCTTAGTGATACTTTCTCGTTGGGAAATTAGGAAATTCGACTGCATGTTACGGTCAATCCCTAACATTCTCGAATGACACAATCCTTTAATGGCGAAAGATGCTTTCGATAGCAAATAGCTAACCTAAGGCAAATATGCTCCAGGTAAACCTCCAACTTTAGATTTTTGACCGAAATTTAGATGAAGGTTTAAAGGTCGCTGAAAAGTTTAAATTACAGGATCGTCTTTGTTTTGAAAAAAGCGAATCGTCCAGAGCTGGGCCTTAGACATGAAGTCACAAAATCACTTTCGATACGAAATCAAATGATCCCTTAACGATTATATTAATTATTTTTTAAATTAAAGGCATTTTTTAATAAGGAATGGTCTGTAAAAAGAAACCTAGGATGAAAACAATATTTAGAAAATATGATACAGATCACATTCAAACTTAAGAAACTGGTTGAAAATCCATCCCTTCAAAGATGGGATCCATGCCAATTTTTAGGAACCCCTTTTCGGGTTTCTAAAGTGTGGTTTTTTTAACATTAGTCTCCAGAAACCTTTTAGAAATTTTTAGCAAGATAACAGGCAAAAATTCAACAACTTCAATACTATTCCCGAGTTTAGGTTCTCAAAAACATAAAGCTATTTAACGTGGTTAAAAACGATTCTCGATCTCGGATATTAACATAATTGCATGCTAAAACAAGTATATCTTTCTTATGATATTTTACTCAACTTCCTTTGCATTTCATTTTTTTTTTACTTCAATACGTCACGTAGGTAATTTCTCAATCTACAATGTAGGAAAAATTCATTTTCGCTGATGAATGTTTTTGATGTATACAAAATGCGCGCTAGTAGAGTGCCAGTGGTACTCACATGAAATAGCCAGAATGAATGCCAATAGAACTGATGGAAGCTTTGGTTTCATTTGAAGCAGTAGGACATACCCAATCGCAACCCCGAAGACTAGGCAAGATAAAACCATAAATGCCCGTGAAGCCCTTTTCCAGTCTGAAATAAAATTGGATCATTAGAATTGAAGCGACAAAAAACTTTGCCTAGCAAAATTACTCAAATGGAAAGTGGTCCTCAACCAGCCACCAGCTCTTATTCAGCTTGAAAAGCCTATCATTCTAGTATATATATATTAACTACAAAAGTTTTAATACCATTGTAAACAAAATAAGATCAATTGTAGACAAACCTTACCTGAGACCCTCTTGTCCTCCGGACTGAAACAACGTATAGGGCTTTGATCAGACACACCGATTGCCCCGCAGCCTTTCCATAATCCGTAGTGTATTGCAGTAGTTCGTTTGCTTTGGCCCCAGTAGTCGGTTGCCACTCCAACAACAAGGACAACAAATGCCACAACTACGGCGACGAAGAGGGTCATCCTTAGCCTTACTTCTTGCGCCATTTTGGAGCAGATTGTGTGTTATTCTGTGGCGGTTAGGTCTTCGGCTTTGAACCGGAAGTTAAACTGGGAATTTTGATAGCAGACAATCGGAATGGCAATGGCAATGTGACGTAGTGTCATTGACCTCAAAGAGTTCAATAGAATGAACAGCATGATGTATGTCTGTTCTGTGGTCTGGTGGATTTACCCTTGTTTTTTTGACAATGCATTCACTTAATGTTTGTGATAAATCAGAGGCAGCATTGGTATTTAGTATCTCAGTTTTGATGCTTCAGTAATTTCAATACTCCTTATTTCCTCAGAGATTTTGATTGTTTAAAAAGTTATCCAATTTCTTATGCTATGAAAAACATTGTTTTGCGTGCTAGAAACTACAGAGACCCTGCAGAAAATTTTGAAGTTAGGTCTCAAACTTTCTACGAGATAGAAAGCGGGGCCCACGCAACGAATTTCAAGGTGGAGGGATAATGTCTAGAAGTCGAACTTGAATTTACTGCTTCAAAACAGGGCCTCTTCGGAAATATTCTGTGCTTCCAAAAAAGGGAGAAGGGCATGGCCCCTCTGGCCCTCCCGTGGCGTGGGCCCTGGAAGTAGAACAGAACTGTGGCTATCTAACTCGAGTTAAAACTTCACAAAACTAACTTTAACTTAACTAACTCAAGCAAATTTAAAAACTTATAATCGGTCGCTACATATAAAGAGGAAGACAATTGCCTATTGTGTAAGTCACTGGGGCTGCAGGGGCAATTCCCCCCTCCCCTTCCTCATCCTAACAAACTTCCTCATCCGTTCTTAATCCTAACAAAGCAAGTTTCAAGGAAGTATATTAGAAGCTTTTTGCATGTGTTAATTTCTTACTCGGAGAAAAAACATCAGCAAATGCATTCCATCAATTAAAACAAAAAAACTCTCTCAGAAGACGTTGCTACATCCCTCATAAAATCAGGTCTTGAGGCTACATTCCCTCATCACAGGAAGGAACGTTGGGCCGTTGGTGCATCGGCACAAGTTGCTTCACCTAACCCATACAAAAACCTAACCTTTGATATAATTTAATAGACTCAAGTACAAGCAGCTTAAAATTCTGGGCAGGGAATGGAAAAGAAAAGTTCACTTTTTCCCACCATAGAACCGATGCACCAGGGAAGAGAAAGCATGACTGAATTAAGAGCCTAGTCTTTCCCAAACGAAAAATGACAAGAAATTTGGAATGAATCCCATTATGTAAACAGGCTCTAGCCTAATACAAAAGAATAAACAAGGATTTGAAGAAACATACTGCGCTTGATACCAGAAGGGGAGGGAGGGACGGGAGAAGAGAACAGCGTGGGAACAGCATACGAAATAAGCACTTTATTATTCCCAATGACACTAAAGAAGGACATAAGGACTTAGTACCAAATTGAAGCGTGACAATTGGAACCGAAATGAGAATAATACAACCAAGCTAAAATAAGAACCCCAAGCGAAATAAAATTCTACAATATCCCATCCCTGATGAAATTAACGCTCATGAGCAGCCTCTTTTGCATCTTTCGTATTCTATGTATGTATTGCGAAGGAGACAAGGACTTTGATTTGGAGAAGGAAACACACGTATTTGGGAAAGATCAGACAGCGTTCTTTTATGAAAGAAATCATGGACAAATTTGTTTATATCAGAGTTGCAGATGAGGAGAATCCCAGAGACTCCATAGATGTCCCCAGTGAGGACGACGGAACACTATTGCTAACTACCCTCCAAGCCCAATATCCAGGCGCAACGGGCCTAAGATACAGGAGTGAAATTATATCAGAGTTGCAGATGAGGAGAATCCCAGAGACTCCATAGATGTCCCCAGTGAGGACGACGGAACACTATTGCTAACTACCCTCCAAGCCCAATATCCAGGCGCAACGGGCCTAAGATACAGGAGTGAAATCAGTGGAAACTGGAGAGGACTGCGGATTTCGCAAGGAATTATTTGTCCACCGCCTGAAAACTGGGGTAATACTTTGTTCTACGTCGTGCGTCCAAGAACAGGTGAATCTTTTCTCAGACTACGTTGTAAATTCCTTCAAAAATCCCCAGAAGTCTGTGCTAGAGCGGTGGTTGATTATTGATTATTGAACATTTTATCCACAGGCACCTATAGCTGGATGCTTTATTTAATGTTTTATGTGCTACATAACATGCTAAAAAGTCAATTTCAAATATTGGTCCTTCCAGAAAAAGTCTAGTTATTTTTCGAATTGTTTTAATGTTTTTACCTGGTGCTGGTCTAGCCAGACTGCAGGCGCAGAGTACTACAAGTGAATTCCCGAGAGAAAATGTTCCTACACATCTGATAAAGGTGTGGCATTTTGAGATCTTGGCATGACATGGGTTTATCTTATTGCTCCTTTGTATTTGCATGCCCAACATGCTTCAGTTAGTGAACACAGCTGCTCTTATTTGGATACAGATCCTTCTGCATTTCTTCCAAAATTTCCCTGTCTTTTGCAACGTTAAAAATTTTATGGATCGTTTGGTAGACATCGATAACTGTTTTTGCTTCCTCTATTTTACTCAGATATGAAGCTACAATCAAATTCAATTGATGAGCCACACAATTAACATAAATTACGCAGGAATAAACTTTGTTAACTTTGCAGCTACATCTTCATTAGAGCCACTCATTACAGAAGCCCTTAACGCTAAGAGTGATGCAGACATATTCTTCCATTCAAAGACCAGTGAAATTCCCTCAGTCAGTATGGCATTTGCATCCATTTCTTTGAAGTGGGTCAACTCAAAGGACCACTCTTGTATGTATCCGGTATCATCAACAAACCTTAACCAGATCACTAACTCCTCATAACCAGTGCTGTCTTTACATTCATCAATAAGAATAGAAAACATGCCGGCCTTATCAATCATGGATTTGATTTTGTTTCTTACCTTATCAGCAAGTGCAGCAATCAGTTCATTGGATGAACAATTTGATGCATAGTCTTACGCTTTGTATTTTCTTTTGATCTTTGTGTGAAGATTTTGCAATTGTGGATTGGTGCGCAGCAAGTTGATAAACTCTCACCATTTTCTAACATCTGGTGATTCTTCTGTTTCATTGTGACCATGATAAGCCATCTCTTCAGCGCAAACTGGTGAAATTGCAGAAGCATTCCATGTACTCTCTGTTTTCATCTACAACAGAAAGCCAGATAGGGTCTAGCATGCTCGCTATGCTATTTGACTCTTCATTCCTTTGGCTTTCAAACCTTTCCCATCTGGTCATTACAAAAACATGATCTTAACTCTGGTCATGTTGCCGCAAGCCACAATTTTTTTTCAAGGGACTTTGCCCATGTATTCTTGCTGTCAGTGTTAAAAGTAGATTCAGATTTTGAAGTAAATGTACTGAAATGTTGACATGCAAAACAGAATGCCCTGTCCTTAATAATGCTGTACTCCAGCCACTGATATTTTTCATGCCAAGCTGCCCAAAATGAACTATCTTTATGGCCTTTTGTAAAAAACAGTAAGCACTGGTCATGAAGGTCCCTTGCCAAGTGTTCCTAGGTCACTTACTTCCATTGGTGTTCCCACTGCTGTCTCTGCAGGCTTTGCAGCATTGGTTTCTGCATCTGTTCCAGAATTTTCTCCAGGCAACTCAATAGGTTTCATGGAAACTCCTTCCACTTCCATGTCTGTTTTGATTTCTCCGCTGTTTGATTTAACATTTGCCTACAACAATCATGAATAACATAGATTTGAAGGAGTTCTCCTATGGCAGTTAACAGTCATCAAGACAAGGCCAATAGGTCTAGCCTAAGCATATATCTATTTGTATTAAAACCGTCGGATGTGGTCTTCAGGGTCAATCAGTGTATACTGATACAGCACAACAGGTAACAGAATAGTTTCCCGAAAGAAAGCAAATGTAGGGCAAGCATTTGTTATTACCCAACATGTTGAGGAGATTAGAGGATATTTTAATAAAAACTCTGTGAAAAGGATGCAAGAAAAACGTTGTTTACGTATACTTTTTCACTTCGTTCTTTTTACAAGCAAAAAATGCTATGAAACGTCTCTGATGCGCCAAGCAAAGTATTTTCTTGCTGAATTTTTCAACTTTTGCATAATCCATCAAAGGTTTTGTCATCCTGCCTTGAAGCAGGAGGAACTCAGGACAATGGAAATAATCGCATTTAACTTTGATACAAGTGCGCTCGGATCCTTTGTTCTCAGAATGACATCCTTGTCTGGATAGAATTTGTAAATAGTCAAACATTGTTTTCTTGGGAAACGTATGTTACCCAAGCACTGGTCCAGATACCGTATTTGATCTATTTAATGCCCTTTCCCTTTTTAACGCCCCTTCCTAATTAACGCCCACCCTAAAAGTGAAAAAAGTTAAATAACACCCACTTCCTTTTTAAAGCCCACTTCCTTTTTAACGCCTCCTTTCTATTTAATGTTCCTGTACGCACCAAAAATAAATTGTTGTTTGGTTGTTTTGAGGTTGTTCTATTTTCTCCCTTGTATAATGTATATATTGTATAATTTTTCTGAGATTCTTGGAAGAAATTTAGCAGATAAGGTATGCAATCTAATTTGCTTTCGGGAATTTTCGAATTAACGCCCATTTCATAATTAACGTTTCTTTCCAATTAACGCCCATCCTAAAAACTAAAAAATTAAATTAAGGCCCCAGGCATTAAATAGATGAAATACTGTGCGAATCTTAAAACTATCGGTTCATGTTAGTTCTGCTTCGCTGATCAGGATAAAAGTAAAAAATTTGAAACATCATTTCATTGCACAAGCATCAAATCTTATTTTACTGGCTTTTATCAAAGAATAGTGTGGGTATTCAAACCCAAACATTCACTTTTCCTAAACAATGTTTCTCGAGACCAGCCCTCAGGGTGTGTTCAAATACCTGAGATTTTACCCCTCAATTGTTTTTGTGATTTTCTGAAACTTAAAAACAGTTACCAGCCCTTCCTAATGACAAATCTATGTTTAACATGACTATAGGCTTGGTGAGTAGAGTTGAACCAAATCTGGTCCATTACACACCCAATTCTTAAAGAATCTTTAGTTTAAAACTTAAGTTACATAGAAGGCAAGGTTAAATTCACCTTTTTAACAATGAAAATGTATTTTGCATTTAAGCCAATCATCTGCTTCAATGTTGTCTTGACAGTTGAAGTTTGCCCCCCCCCTCCCCCTCCAATAATCAGTAATGTGTCTGCCTCTGAGATTGAGCAATTTTGAAATTGTTGATTACTAAATGTTGCCAATTGAAAAAGAAAAGTAAAGAATTTTTATAAATGCTTTTTTTCGATGTTTACAGAACAGGTCACTACAATACTTTAATATAAAAGGAAACTGATATCAAAGGATACTAAAAATGCATTTGCAGCTTTATTGTATGCTATGCCATTTATGAGGTTGATTGCAAGCTGCTACTCTGGACCAGACTCCCAGACACCCCCTTTCCTTCCCTTTGCCATCTGAGTTACAATTTATTCTTACTTGCCATCATTGCTTAATGTGATCACCTTGGATAGCTGTCTGATGAATGCTTTTATAATAAAAGTTAGAAGTTAAGTTGTATAATTTTTTCATGCACCAGAGCCTGTACAGCTTGAAAAATGTCTTGCACTGTGCCACTACTGATTATTTACTGCAATTTTGTCAGAACTCCTGTCAATAAGTTTTCTACATTTTGCCACATGGAAGAAAAAGCTTATGTAAATTTGTTGTTTTATCCAATGTATATAGAAAATCGGGGGAATGGCAATTTATGAATCTTGTTGTGATCACAATTTGATGTCTTCATCCATGATTAATGTTAGTTATTAACTTTGTTAGCCGACACAACTGCAAAAAGAAAAATTGATGCTTCACCTGGACAAAGGGAACCAGAGGCTAAGCAGGTTAAAGTAAGAGACAATCAAGAACACATTGGAGACTTGATTGTTTTAGGTTTACCTTTTAAAGCTACTGAAAAGGAGATGAGGGACTACTTTTGCCAGTTTGGAGATATAACCTTTGTACAGGCAAGTATATTTTATGAGCACAACATATCTTATGAGCTATTGCAAATGCCCATATTTTCTTTGTTATCTCTATTGTTGTTGTTATTGATAGCAACATTTTCAAATACTAACAGGTTGGAACCGAAGTCAGATATTGCCATGCCCAAGTGTTCCACAAATGTTCAGGTGTTCCACAAACTGCACCTGTTTGCTTGCTGGGCTTATTGCATCCCGTGCACAGACCTATTGTATTTTTATCCCTGATGTAAAACATGCCATTTTTGTTTTTTGAGTTATTCATATTGAACTGCCATTAATCAAACACTGCAGTACCATAATCAGATATTGCCTCTCAAACCTCTTTGTACACATAAGATAGTGCAATCACTGCAATTCAGTATTCCCGTTCAACAAAAATTCCTTCTTCTCGCAAAATTTCCATATAGTTCTATTATAGTCCAGTTAAGGGCAGTACTGTTCAATATGCTTTTGAACTATTTTTATTTCATGACTAACATTCAAAATCCTTGTACTTTCCACATTTGCATCTTGGAAATTTATTTAAGCATTGCTTGAAACTTTGCAATGCTTAAAGACAAGGCTATTGAAAATTTAGAAGTAAAAAACAATATGTCCATAAGTGGTTCCAAAATAGTGACCTCCAGAAATGCAAGTTAATTCAACAGCATCAAATCAATATAAATGAATATGGCAAGACACTTGATCTCCAACAATGGTATCTGAAATTCTTTGAACTACTGCTTATCATTGCTTCATTCTGATGTTTAGTCCAAATATTTAATATTTACTTAAAAGGCCGTTTCAGAACGAAATTTTGTATAATATTTCTTTATTTTCCACTGTAGGTTAAAAAAGACCCCATGACTGGTGAATCTAGAGGTTTTGGTTTTGTCACTTTTGCTGATAATGAGGCAGCTGAAGAAGTTCTAGGAAGAACCCATACAATTCTTGGAAGGAGGTGTGAAGTCCGGCTTCCACGTGCAAAAGTAAGATAGAACAAAATATGATTATTGCTTTTTAGAATGTTACTTTTAGCTATCATATGTACAAAATTATTGTACCCTATTTGCTATGTACAAAACGGTTTCTTGCATAATACGCACTCATAATTCTATGTTAAATTTCTAAGCAAATCGCTGTAACTGTGTCTTAAAATGTATAAGACGCATCCCCTTTTGTCGCTTATTGTAAAGCATGTAGTTCAGTGAAAAAAATTAAGTAAAACCTAGGATAGTGAAGAAACCAAATCTGTTGAAGAATTCGTTCAAACCCAATGTGTGTAGCATTACATTAAAAGTTATCAAATGACCCGTTCTAAAGTTCACGAAACTCTTGTTCGTCATCTATTTCTCCAAAAGATCTTTAAAGTCAAACCCTAAGTCACCTCTTATCTGTCCTCGCATAATTCAGGAAGCTTAACAGGTTTCCGACGATAAGCATGCTTCGATTTTGATCTCTTGGTTTGCTAAGAGCAGGCACGGATTTCGGAATCCTTTGCTTTCAACACTCTCAAACATTTGCTTCGTGAATTCCAAATTTTCTCCAAGCTTCTTTATTTCAATGCGTGTACTACGACTTTTAGTTTAAGACCATTGGGCTATGGCCGGCAGAATAATAGAGGCGCTACGGGAGGTGGGTGGACAATGGGAGACACGCCCCTTTTTATGACAGGATCAATTCTGTATTTCGTCTAAATTCGATGAGAAATGTGGGAGGAGGGGGGATTTTGTCAGCGTTCTTTTTGCGATGTAATGCAATGATTTTGAAACCGCCTTTACGTAACCTAAAGTTAGTCGTTGGCCTTCCCTTCCGGTATGTTGGCGTTCCATGTCAGTAGAAGGGTGTTTTCTGGTGTAAATAGGGTGTGGCCTAAGGATTTTTATTTTGTCCTTCCCAGAGCGTAGTGGCTGACGCCGCCACTGCAACAGGATAGATTAAGCATGATGCCGTAATGTGTCAATAAAGGTATTTTGGACAAAAAGTCTGCCTTATGTTGGATGTTTTCACATAAGTGACACCTGTGACGAAATTATTTCCCTGTTCAATGAATGCAACTGATTTCTCAACAGCATTTGCTCTGTTTAGACATAGCACACAGAGCAATATATAATGTAGGGGTTTTATATTTTGTCGAAATTAAGGAACACCACAACGCGCTAAATTAATAAATTTATTAAAGTAAACATTTTATCGTTTAGTTTATTTCAGCTCATATTTTTCACTCAATTCATATCACTCAATATTCACTCTATATATTATCTTAATTTGTTTTCAGGATGACCCGCATATTCCATATAAGCTATTTGTTGGACGTCTAGCAGGCGGAACAACTGCTAACGAGCTTCGTAGTTATTTTGAAATATTTGGCGAGCTAACAGACATCTATATCCCAAAGCCTTTTCGTGGTTTTGGCTTCATAACTTTTGCCAGCTCAGAGTCTGTGAAGAGGGTAATGGGAACAAGCCACACAATTAATGGTGCGCAGGTATTTCTGACTTTTGCCGAGCCTAAGTCACATCGGGACGATGACGTAAGCTATCATGGAATGCCAGCCTCGGTATCACAAAGAGGAGCAACTTCGTTTTCAATGCAAGCCGCGAGATCGGGCTCTAGGTTTTCAGGAAGGACACAAGGTGCGTACAGTTGGCATAGCGACCACAGCAGCCAAAGACCCTAGATTGAAGCCAAGGCAAGGTTTGTATAGTCGGTTTTGTGTTTGGGTTGCACCTTTACTAAGGAGGTAAGTTTTTAAATGATGTCGAATTCATTTATTTTTCCGTTCCTTTTTTGTTTAAAGGGATATCTTCAGTTTGCTTTTTATATAATTTTCTTTAGGTATCTTTATTTCCAAAAGTTTTTAGGGAGCTAAAAAATGAGTATAGTTTTCAACTTTATCATTAGGAAGTTTGTTATCAAAATTATTCGAGAATATGAAATTGATATCTATTAAAAGTTATAATTTGATGATTTTTTGAACATTTATATAAGGAAATGATACTCTGTATTTATATTTGATAAGCTGGTTTCAGAATTTTTGTCAGCTTTGTTAACCCCTGCTATTTTTTGCTTGATTTCTAAATCAATACGAGGTTGAGAGAGTTCAATCAATTTGTACTAGAATGGGTTTTCGTTTGCAAAATTGTCCTTTTGAAATATGTCTACATAAAACCCAATATTGAATCAATAAAATTTGATTTTCATTTAGGTTCTAGATCCACTTTTTTACATTTTTCTGTGTAATTTTTCAGTCCAAGTTCATTGTGTACAAATGTCACCCCCCTTGATTTCACCCCCATTGTGTACACCCCCTCTAACTCATTAAAAGCCTCTACTCCTTCGGTCCTTCATCAACCTTTATTTCAACCTTTCTTGTAGCTAACATTGTGACGTCACTGCGTATACTCAGTTCTTGGCTAATAATTGCTGCCCTAACATATAACCTGCCCTCCCTCGACTTAACATTAACAATGCTTATTCCAAACTCACCATTTTTTATTTCTTAATTCAATTAAGGTAAGATCGTTTCTAAAGTTACTTACCTTACTATTTTGTGAGATGCGTTGATATTTTTCCTTTTAAAACGCATCCACATGTGCTCCTCGGTCAATTGATAGCTCACATGGTTGTCACTGGATTTAAAATTTCTAGGATGACCTGGTTAATTTTTGCTTCTTCCACCGATACTTTGATGATTCTTGTATGCTAAATTAAAGCCTGAAACTGTCTTCGTTTCCTTTTAAGTAGGCATCTTAAGTAGGTCTTTTCTGAATAGAAGATTGATCTTGTTTCCCAAACAAGACTGTATACCTCAAAGTATTGTATCTTTTCGTTTGTAACAATGAACCTATTAGGCTGAAGGAGCTTATAATCGTATATGAACTGTTATTAAAAAATTATCCTCTGCTAAAGCTACTTAACGACGTACAATATATGTGGGCCTAAATCGAGGACGTATGTATGCAAACATAAATGAACATTTTGAAGCGAGATGAAAGAAGTGCTGACTAACGTGTTAAGCAATCTTACCACTATTGTCATTTTTGCAAATATTTGGAGTGTCAGAGAAGTTTCTGAAATGAGAAAAATACAAGAATGATTCCTGGAAAGTGAAAATAGTTCGATCCTTGATAGATGCTGCGAGAACCTGTAGTAAGAAGGACCTTTGTTGTTGATTGAAAGTCGTGAATTTCAGTGTTGCGGAAGATGTGCGAAAGCTTACGAGAGATGCTTACAGGCGATGTACATGGCCCTGCGAGGAATGTACGAAAGTCTGCGAGACATTTACACAAAAAACTGCAAGAGATGCTTGAAATGCTGCAGGAAATGTTCAAATACCTGCGGGAAATGTACCAGAATCTGCGAGAGCTGGACAGGAAAGCCTGCGTGAGTTGTAAGAAACTGAATGCCTGAAAGCAAGGTGCTTTGAAGATGGAGGTTGAGCAAGGATGACTGTTTGTAACTAAAGAATGTGTTCGGAATGATAAAAATAACCATTTCGAATGCTGGTAGTGCCTGTTAGGTATTGGACTGACGCAAAGGAAAGAAATGCGAAAGGAGAGGACGGAACCAAAGAAAGAATGGTTTTCAGAGATGATCTTGTGCCATCAGCTAGATTTTGTTGATTAGAGTTTACGAGGCGCTTTAAAGTTAATGTGTTTGAAGACCGTCAAAGTTGGAATGGTGAACTTGTCTTTGTTTCCTGAACAGTTTGTTGCGCTGCAGACAGCACTGCAATTGTATTGTTGCTTGATAGTTAAATTGACATAACTTGAGAATGAGCTTGCAGAAGGAAAGACGAAATTGTGAACAGTCTCGAGAGAACAGGAACTCAACTCTCTGCAACAGTACGTTGCTAAAAGTATGTGAAAAGGATGTTTGTCTTGAAAGAGAATGATTCACAAAACCCCTAGGAAGATAGAGTGCTATTTAATCATATTATTGAGAAAGACTGCGAGTAAAAGGTCGTGAAAAGGAACTGTTGTTGAATTGAAATAGTTGCCAAAATGGTGGATGAGATCGAAAGGAAACGTTGAAATGTTCTTGCTGCTTGATGACTGGAAGGTAGTGAGACTATGTTGGTATATGAAGTTATTTTATAAAACAAGTAAAGTAGAATGGGTTTTATTTAGGACATATATTTCAGTTTGTGACACCTATTATACATTAATTGCAGTTTGTGTCACCTCGATGCTGTAATTTTTTCCTTCCAGTTTTTTGCATAACAATATTTGCCTGGTTGCCACAGAATATTCGTTTAACGTAGACAAGAGACGTTTTAAGAGTGCATATAACATTTTATATTTCGGGCTTTTCTCCCTAAATGAGAATGTTCTAATGTTCCAAAGTTGCGATTTGGTAAGGTACTATTTGTGACCACTCTGTCTTTATGAGCCCATTTGCAATCCTTTTTTCAATTACAGCACATTTCTATTACATCCCTTGTGTAAATTCTTCGTTAATTCTGGGTAGATTTTTGAATGGGACAATCACTGTAGCATAACTCATAACTTTGAACATTATTTCATTTTTATTGTAACAGATCTTAATGTCCCTCTTTGTTTCATCAATCATAATGTCTCTCTTTGTTTCATCAATCATAATGGCTCTCTTTTTTGCCGTGTTTTTCTTGGCTTCAAACCCACAATGCTTGCCAAATGTCTTAGAACACAGACGTTAGTTTATCTAGCCATCTCTATCTCCCTAAGGTAACAATGCTGGTTTATTTTAAAACGGGTCAGGGAATTAGAAAGAGTACCTTCCTAATTTACTTTAGGGAAAAACACCTTTGCATTCCTATTATTATATTTTTCTAAACTATCAACATTGTTCTAGATGGATAAGGACAGGTAATTTTCAGGGAAGATATAAAAAGATGTAAAGTAAAATGCAAATTGCTGGCTGCTCCAAGTAATATTTGCTGGAATGTTTTCATCATTCCTCAAAACTCCCAATAGCAAAGGATTTGGGAGAAACGCATGTTTGTAAAAACAACAGACACTGTATCCACTGTCCCTGAAAACAATTTTCAGCAATGAGTTTGCTTTCTTAAAAAGAAAATAGATTTACAATATCTAATCTCGAAATATCTCACAGAGCAATTTTTTTACAAACGAGAGGGGGGTGCTATTGAAATGTAGCAAGAATCCGATGTAGCGTACCGTACATATTTCGCAAGCAATAGAGCTGCGGGCTATTTAGGCTGCTTCCATGAAAGCGGATAACGAAATATGGAAAGTTATCAAGATGCTGATCTGCATTTCTAGAAAAGTGAGTTCTAAGATTTTAGTTTTGCAACTTTTGCAGCGATCCTGTGGCCTTGGCAAGTGTCTGGACAATATTCATTGAAACAGGTTCAGCATTGACAACAGCATCTTTTTCCTCTGTTTTCTGAATGGAATTCAACTGTGGTGTCATCAGAATGCATTAGCTTATTTGCCTTTTTAATGCACATCAAAAGATCGTTAATGTGATTCAAAAAACAGAAGTGGCGCAAGGCATAATCCTTGAGGTAGAGCTTTTTTGTTTAAACTCAATCGGACGAAACACCGTTTACTCCTTAATGGCATTTGACACAGGTAAAAGTGGCTTACAGCCACTCGATTCCGAATTGTTGACCAATCAAATTGCGCATAGAGAAGGACACGTGAACAGTTTCCGTCTTTCTGCAAATCGGTGAAATCCTAGAGCAGGGCGCAGTGGTTTTACGTGATCAGTTTTCAATTCCTTTTTGTTCACTTGCTCTGATCAATTTTGCCTAAGTTTTTTTGGATTCGCTGTACTTTTGCATGTCAAACGCCTTTAACAATAATGTTACATCATTCTTAACTATACATAAATGGCCTAAAATGAACCATTGTTATTTATTTCTAAAAATCAGGAACACTGAACCATATTGACCAACCATCTGCCTATGCATTATCAGATTTTGCATTTTAGTTTTTCTCTTTTTATAGGCATTTTTTCACTTCATAATAATTTATTCTTCCTAAATGGCTGCGCTGGTGTGTTCAGAAATAGGTATTGACTAGCAGACTGTTCAGAATCGGCCATAGTGGCATTGTTTTAAGAATTAAGCTGTAAAAAGACATTTTGACACTGTTGTATAACTGGGCTTGTTAAAAAGTATAACACCCAAAAGTCGTACGATCCCAGGGTATATCTGGAGGTATCCTATTGTTAAACAATATTTTAAACTTATAGCATCCTACTTCTTCAGTATACTCCAACTATTTCGAAGTTATCTTCGATCTGAATTGAAGTGGTGTGATTGGATTTTGTGAAACTGACCCAAAATAGAAAAAACTGGCGTAAGATTTTAAGGCGCGTCGTGCTGTATTAATAGAGTTGTCAAGCGATGATGTCACAAAAATCTAATTTTAGAATTTTTGAAATTTTTCCCATTACCTGGAAGAACATCATGAAATACCCTGGCCCCATCATACCTCTATAATTTGGTCTCAGTTCATAACTTTATGATTTTGTTGCCTTTTTAATTTAATATCAATAAGGCCGAAAATAACTTAATTACACTCTTTTTTATAAGAACCAGGAAATTTAAGTTCAGGCTGACTGTTCTTAATTTTTTCGAAAATCTGAGGCTGGATTGTTCTTAATTTGTTTTAAATTTGTAGGGTATGAGCAGTGCGGTTGCTAGCTTTTCGCTCTAGGGAGGTGTCCAGGCCTTATTTGCCAACAAAGTGCATGAGAAAACCTTCATTTGCCAACAAGTTTGAATATTCACCGAAAAAGCACCCCCAAAAGCACCCACACAACTCGATTTGGAGAAAAAACGTTGTTCAAAATTGCATTTTGCAGAAGCTCAGCCTCAGTTTGTTCTTTGTTCTCAATTAACTTTTGACCAACTTTGAGGCTCGTGTTCTTATCAAATTGTTCTTATATAAAAAAGAGTGTATACTGAAAATGAGAATTTGTAGTGTTTAAATCAATTTGCGTTTCTTATAAATAAATGTTACTTATTACTCTGGTGAAGCCCTATATGCCGGTGCGAAATATTAGTAGTGATTCTGGTCGTCGCGTTGCTTTGTTCATGACTAATAACGTTATTGTTTTTTGTTCATCCAATTGCTTGTTGGCTCAGTGGTCTAGTGGTATGATTCTCGCTTCGGGTGCGAGAGGTTCCGGGTTCGATTCCCGGCTGAGCCCGTTCTTTTCCTTAACGATCTTTTCCTCTTCCTTTCTTTTTCATCTTACTGACTGGAAATAGTTTCAATTTTTTATTAATGCTTTTAAAAAGAATCATAGATTGCCTGTTACAAAATGTTTTAGGAGTGAAACGAATGAACTTTTCAGTATGAGGAACACAGCGTCCAAGCTAGACAGGGAATTTTGTAGAAAAAACTAGCAAACTGCCTAACCTCAAATTTTATTTCACATTCTTACTAAATCGACCATGGAGATTCCAAATCCAAGATGGGCCAAAAAAATTATCACCGGAAGTTACTGTTTTTGATGACGTCATCAAAAAAATGATAAAAAATCTTTAAAAATCGGCCAAGGACTCGAACTCAACTTTTTTTCCATTTTTGCACTAAATTAACTATGCAGATTTCAAATCTGAGATGAAATGAAAAATATCTCGAACGGAAGTCAAATTTTGTGATGACGTCATCAACTTGGAGAAAATTCACTTTGAACCTTTTTGATTGTTTTCTCGCAACTATCATTGTCAAATATGTTCCATATTCGAATTGCACACATTCAGTGCATTTAAAAGATGTATTCAATTTCTATTATACTTACTTTTAAACGTTCTTTCATGACGTCATCGTCATTTTATGACGTCATCGCCTCTTAAAGGTAATTGAATATCGCGTGAAAGGATGCCTAAAAATCTTTAGCTAGTTAAAAAAGTCATTCAAAATTAAAATTTCGTTGTATAGAAAATGATATGGATCCATTCATCCTTCATCACTGTCTCCTTTGCTGGAACTCCAGAAGAAAATGTAGTTCCACTCATCATCGTCTGCTTTAAGCTGATCACCTCACCATAATTTTTCCCATGGCCTAGTCCTCATTGGTTACGGAATTTTCCTCGATTTCATCACTAGAGCGCTGCAGATCTTGCAGTTTTTTAGCGGAGGGTGTGCGGGGCCCTGCACAAGATGAACATAATTTGTGTGAAAAAATTTTGGAATTATTTTGCTGACTCCAGTATTTTCTGCAGATATTCACAGCTTTTTTAACGTTGACGATCGGATATTTTTGTCTTCAAGCCGTTAAGAAACGTTTTTCTCTGTATATCCTCTTCGTGCCATTTCTTATTTATTTATCAAATGTATGTTCAAAATTAGAAGATGTAAAGAAATTTTTTTCCTATAAACCACACTAATACCACCTGTAGGCCAGATCATTCTTTCCATCGTATGTCTAACCAAAGCTTAAAGGCAATTTCTCTTACAATCTTCTTTTGATAATGTAACCAGTAGTAAATGCTTGTGTCAACCAGTATGGATCTGGTTGTAGAGCTTCTGATCATCTGTTTTTCATTGCCTTGCGAATTCTTACTCTTATCTGCACAAGTGTTTCATCACATTTCCCTTTGTATGATTATTTTTGCACAAATTTTATCGCTTTCGTGAGAATGTCTTTGCAGATTTCCTGTCTCATCGTAACTCTCTCGAGCAATTTTCCCTTTCCAGAACACTCCTAAAGCTTTTTAAAATGTTAGCTTTCCTTACAACAACATTACCGGTGTTGTTTCGCAGCCAATAACTGCATGAACAGCCGGTAGATTTTTGGAACTATCTAAACCCAGGTAAGATACGACGTTCCAAAATTAACGTACTTCTCGTTGTCAATCTTTAAGGAATATTTCCTTGAAGGCTTTTCACACAATAAGCAGTAAAAACTACATTAGTGTCCTTTCGACAACTAATAAATTTTATCGATGAGGAAAGAATGGAATATCAAGTGGATGTCAGCCTCTTCATAGCTGCAATTAAGCAAGTATGTCGTGGAATCTTTGATTATCTTTAAGGTTTGTTATTTATTGGTAAACACGAGTGCTTTCAAAATGAACTGCTTTCCTTCTTAGCCCTGGTAGAGCCTTGAACTAGCTTTAGAAAGTAAGTTTGATACAACAAGAACCAGACCAGATCATACAAAATGTTCTTGACAAGTTATCAAGTAGGAACCGAGTTTTGCAATGGGATATCGCAGAGATAAAGTGTTATACCCGCACTAAACCTATCTTATATTCCATTTCAAGGTTTTTGTTGCTGTTAGTGATGCTTGGCAGTCTTCTGCATTACAAAGATCAAGATAATCCAAAGGCTTCACCAGGGCTAAGAAATAAAGCAGTTAATTTTGAAAGCACTCATGTTTACCAATAAATAACAAACCTTAAAGATTATCAAAGATTCCACGACATACTTGCTTAATTGCAGCTATGAAGAGGCTGACATCCACTTGATATTCCATTCTTTCCTCATCGATAAAATTTATTAGTTGTCGAAAGGACACTAATGTAGTTTTTACTGCTTATTGTGTGAAAAGCCTTCAAGGAAATATTCCTTAAAGATTGACCACGAGAAGTACGTTAATTTTGGAACGTCGTATCTTACCTGGGTTTAGATAGTTCCAAAAATCTACCGGCTGTTCATGCAGTTATTGGCTGCGAAACAACACCGGTAATGTTGTTGTAAGGAAAGCTAACATTTTAAAAAGCTTTAGGAGTGTTCTGGAAAGGGTGAGACAGGGTTGCTCGAGAGAGTTACGATGAGACAGGAAATCTGCAAAGACATTCTCACGAAAGCGATAAAATTTGTGCAAAAATAATCATACAAAGGGAAATGTGACGAAACACTTGTGCAGATAAGAGTAAGAATTCGCAAGGCAATGAAAAACAGATGATCAGAAGCTCTACAACCAGATCCATACTGGTTGACACAAGCATTTACTACTGGTTACATTATCAAAAGAAGATTGTAAGAGAAATTGCCTTTAAGCTTTGGTTAGACATACGATGGAAAGAATGATCTGGCCTACAGGTGGTATTAGTGTGGTATATAGGAAAAAAATTTCTTTACATCTTCTAATTTTGAACATACATTTGATAAATAAATAAGAAATGGCACGAAGAGGATATAGAGAGAAAAACGTTTCTTAACGGCTTGAAGACAAAAATATCCGATCGTCAACGTTAAAAAAGCTGTGAATATCTGCAGAAAATACTGGAGTCAGCAAAATAATTCCAAAATTTTTTCACACAAATTATGTTCATCTTGTGCAGGGCCCCGCACACCCTCCGCTAAACAACTGCAAGATCTGCAGCGCTCTAGTGATGAAATCGAAGAAAATTCCGTAACCAATGAGGACTAGGCCATGGGAAAAATTATGGTGAGGTGATCAGCTTAAAGCAGACGATGATGAGTGGAACTACATTTTCTTCTGGAGTTCCAGCAAAGGAGACAGTGATGAAGGATGAATGGATCCATATCATTTTCTATACAACGAAATTTTAATTTGAATGACTTTTTTAACTAGCTAAAGATTTTTAGGCATCCTTTCACGCGTTATTCAATTACCTTTAAAAGGCGATGACGTCATAAAATGATGATGACGTCATGAAAGAACGTTTAAAAGTAAGTATAATAGAAATTCAATACATCTTTTAAAAGCACTGAATGTGTGCAATTCGAATATGGAACATATTTGACAATGATAGTTGCGAGAAAACAATTAAAAAGGTTCAAAGTGAATTTTCTCCAAGTTGATGACGTCATCACAAAATTTGACTTCCGTTCGAGATATTTTTCATTTCATCTCAGATTTGAAATCTGCATAGTTAATTTAGTGCAAAAATGGAAAAAAAATTGAGTTCGAGTCCTTGGCCGATTTTTAAAGATTTTTTATCATTTTTTTGATGACGTCATCAAAAACAGTAACTTCCGGTGATAATTTTTTTTGGCCCATCTTGGATTTGGAATCTCCATGGTCGATTTAGTAAGAATGTGAAATAAAATTTGAGGTTAGGCAGTTTGCTAGTTTTTTCTACAAAATTCCCTGTCTAAGCGATAAGGTAATGAAATAGCACCTCCCACAAGGTTCCAGTATGAAGCCAATGATTTTTATTTCTCTTTCCCGTAACTCAAATTTGGTCTAATTCCCTCATTACAACTCTCATTTACATTTTTGCATTTAAGTGTGATTTTAACAGGAATCTTCAAAATAGGTTTCCGCCGCGTCACCATCAATCCAGAAAATAGGTCATCACATGTGATCGTTTAGTTTAGAGTTACCTTGTTGAAATCAACGAAAATGACCCACCACGCTGCATTTATTGGTATCAAGAGTTGTTGACATGTCTCCTTTGCAAGTGATATTATCTTACTGCAGAAAAGATTACTGTTTTAATCATATTTTCAAAAGATAGACCTACCCTGTCATGCAGGGAAGTATTCCTGGTTAAAATCTACTACAGATGTAGATGTCCTTATCGATAAATATGTGTTACGACGCTCACGATGACAAACAAGCAGTGCTCTTAATAACAATGGTTTGGCAGGTCACGGATATGTATCCAAGTTTGCAGCATCTTAAAGTTTTTGACAGGATCTTGGCTGCACCAAAAGTATTTTTGAACAAGTTGGAGGCTCGTTTACTGACAAAATTGTTGTTATGACAAAGAAGATTTGCTTCAAGGCTTGTTTGAATTCAATTAAATTCTGCCGTTTGCTATATAACACCTAGTTATACGACATTTAGAAAGACTGAGGCATTGACATTACAAGCTTTTATGTGTATGTACAACGTTCATTATTAAAAAGGAGCTTTGTTCCATTCCTCGAATTAGCCACCACCCTGTGAAAGCCCCCATTTCCGCAGGATTAACCGTGGCCATTGTTTCGTATTATTCTCAAATAGAAGCCTGCTATGCTCGTTCAAAAAAAGATTAAAATCGAACTTTTCAGGGCCCACGCCATTAATTTGAAAGTGGGGGGCCAAGGCTAGCAAAAGTAGAAGGCTTCTTTCCTCTTTTAAAACTACACACTTTTTATAAGTTCCTTGATTTTTACTGCACATCAAGTGCCATGAAAATAGTACAGAAACAGGAAAAACATAAAAATTTTGAATTTTGCTTTTACTTGTGGCTAGAACTCAGGAGCAAACACAAAAAGAAGGTTATGTATAGTGAAAATCTCACTCTCGGTGTTTTGACTACAATAAGCCTTCAATATTTCGGCCTTCTACATGAAGTAGCAAATATGAAACACCGCAATACGCCGAGAATAAACAACAATAAATACACGTAAATCAGTAAAGGCTAATATTTCGCCCCGGCATACGGGGCTTCATCAGAGCGAAAGTTAACGGGCTAAATAATTACACACTTAAAAAAGGCGATGGTGGTGTCGGATTGGCTGATGTGGAATGGTGTGAATGCAGCGCAGTGGTAGAGGAGGGAAGGGTGGCGAATGAGAGAGGGTGGGTGGTGATGGTGGAATGAAAACGTAATGGGGATGAAGTACTATAATATGAAATAATGATAATGTTTATGTAAGGTTAACGGTCAGTGGTTCTGTTCATGCCGTTCGGTGTGAGAGTGCTTGCCAGGCCAATGAGGTATTGCTCTTTGGCTCGTCGGACACTCTCTCGTTTGTCGTTGAGTTTCAGTAATGGTGTTACAGTAAGGTCATTATTGGTATGTTCTGGGCTACAGAAGTGTTCTGCAACACCAGATTTGTCTACTTTTTTGTTGATAATGTCTCGTCTGTGTTCGTTAAATCTGTCTTTCAGTCGTCTGCTTGTTTGTCCGATGTATTGGCAGTTCTTGTGTCCGTTAGTTAAACAGCGTTTGCACTGTAATGCATAAAGAACGTTAGTAGAGTTGCAGTCCAGTCTTTGTTTTATGTCGTAGTTTTTGTCAGTGTTAGTAAAGGTAAAAGAAGTAGTACTGTCTGTGATGTGTTGGCATTTTATGCAGTTTCGTCGCGAGTGGCATTTGTAAGTGCCTGTAGGATTACTGGGTGTGTCACGTTTCATTCTAGAATATTCGTCGAGCAGCCTGCTATGCTACAGTGGCCTTTTCTTCACTCACACACTTCTACATGTAGGTTCGTTATAAACAAAGCGTGTACTTGCTTCGCAAAAAAGTGGGGGCCATGGCCACCCCGACCCCCCGCTGGCGTGGGCCCTGTATTTAGCGTAAACGTGAATTTCGGTCAATGTTGCCGTCATTTGATTGCCAGGTGATCAAACTTTAAAATTTTATGATCTGTCACAACAGCAAAGTGGCTAACCATTTATTGTCGTGAACAATGACCGTGACAACTTCAATCATCAATACTTGACCATTTGACCAATGCAATCCCTTCTCTAAGCATGCGATCAGGAACGCTGACAGAGGGGGTAGTCGGGGTAAGTGCCCCGGGCCCGGGTCAGTTCTGAGGCTCATAATGATGAAATCTATATAAATTTTCCAATTAAATTCTAGAGCTAGTGTTGGAATCTTTATATTCGTTGTCAAGTAAGAGGCCTACATGCCCAGGGCCCGGCCTCACTTTTGGGGTCCTTGCGTGCGAAGATCTTGTCGCTCCGTTTTGTAAAACTGCAGGATGAACTTACAAGCAAGAGACATAGAGCTGTTGTTCAAATGGCTCGGGAAACTAAGCCCAAAATAATTACCAAAATGTATGGAACAGCCTGTAGAGAAGAAAACCCACATAACGAATCATCTTGTCTCTGTTGGGCTTTTCGAGGCTTATGATAATCTTATCTTAGCCATGTTTTACTTTGTTGTACTTTTTTCTTTCAAGGTTTTATACAGACTGGTCAATATTATTTATGAAAAATCACAAAATTTTGAAGTTCTGCTTTTTTCAAATTCTAATCGTTTCTTATTTTTTGCTTTGAATTCTGAAGTCTTTTTCAGATCTTCAGAAGGTTCAGAAAGTTCCTATAGCAATTTCTTAAATGAAAAAATGTACGATATAGGGATTTTCGTGACATCCCGTCTCCTATGTATTACCGCTTTATCGGTCCTCATCCATGTGTCACAGTCAGTAAATAATGCCGTTTCGGATTTCTGAAGACCGAAGAGATGCATCGATCATAAAGTACTGATTTAGTGGGTGTGCGAAGATAGGAAACAGGGTTCAGCAAAGTTTCCTTTGTCCATTAGCTTTTTATATTTGTGATGATAAATCGATCAGAAGAAACAAAATGATAACCTTATTTGGTGAGTTTTAACTTGTCATCAGAATTTTTAATAATGTATCGGATTCCTCATTCAAGCATACATTCTTTTATTTTGTAAGATAATTTATAAAATGATTTAAAATTTAAATGCTTGAATTTCCTCGCTCTTTTGAGTGGAAGGCTTGTATCATAAATAAATTCCTTGTTTTCATTTTGTTTGCGTAGCGATATAGTTAATCAGGAAGTGATGTTGATTTCGGACGAGGGGTTGGCGGCACGGCTGAAACCAGACCCGCTGCCCATTTCTAAACAAAAACAGTAAAATTGTTGTAGCAGTTATCGTGGTATCAGAGATGGCACGCTTTGCAGTTTGGTCATCAGTATTGCTGTCCAGCATTGGTATAATTCTAATCGCAGTGTGTCTTGGAACGAACAACTGGGTGAGTCGCAAAAGAGAGACGTTCAGTGTCACTGAGGGACTCTTCTTTCGTTGCTCGTGGGATGTCCATTCGAACAATGCAACCCACGAAAGATGCCATCGACTTTATTACAACTTCAAAGATTTTCCAGGTATATTTTGACACTACCTTGTTTAAAATTGCCTATTTTGATACATAATTTTACTCTAATTTTAGCTATGCAAAGAAATGTAGTATTGATTATGTCAAGATTATGTGTATAGAAAGTAATGCATTCGATAATACACACAATAACGGGAAGTTGCATTGTAGATAAGGACTGTATACAGCCCATGTAGAATATGTATTTGACAAGTGACAAGTCACGAGGGCGATCTGGTCATCTTCAACCAATCCAAAAACTGACTGAGATTTGATAGGTTTGCTATCAATATCCACCGTCAATTCATTTACAGAATGCAGGGTGCCCTTGTCAACTGGTTTGGGCTATAGATGTACGAGTCGATTTTTCTATTCTGTGGTTTTGTGTTGCAGTACCAAACAGGTTTCAGACGTGGCATTGGTGCCGTTTTTACAATAGCGTAAAATGCCGTTTTAAGGCATCAATACCGTACAGTTTTCAGAAGTGTAGCCTTATGAGTGACACTAAAGAGACCTTGTGATCGATGTGATCTTTATATCCTCCTTGAATTAAGGACCTTAGTTACAATATTTGCATGTTTCTTCTGTTTTTCCATGTACCTTCTACCCTTTCTCTTTAACTTCAACACATTGGATGATTAAAACAAAACTTTTTAACGTTATTAATGACTTTGTTTTTGTTTCACATGCCAATTCGTTACACTTAACATACCCAACATGATACTCAATGAAGCAAAAACAAACTTTTTTCACATCATCGGAAAATCTAATCAAGCTTATAGATCGAAAGCAGTAATTCTGAAGTTTCCTGTTTTTTGTATTTTTTTCTGCTGATTTTAAGTTTATGCGATTTAGATTTCACGCGATTACGTTTTCCTTATTATCTCTCAAAATCTCAAAACACTCATCTCGGTCATGCTGCTGTTTATAAATATTCAAATTCATAAAAGTTGCCTCTTTTTGTTGAATCTTTATCGTCATCATCAATGATTATTTTTTTCATAAACAATGTTTCATCTTTGTTCAACGTCATTCGATCCAACACCGTAGTCATTAGCAACATTGTTAATAATCATCATTATAATCATTGCCGCTCATAATAATTCACTGTAATTTTCTAATAATCCATCGCCTATAATAATGTCCCTGTTCTCAACCCCTCCCTATCTTAAGCTTTTAGATGGTGTGACACCAACTCATCATAATTATAGGTTAAAAGTAAAAGCTTTGTACAAAATAAAGTGAAACTCTCAACTCAAAACCCCACATAAATTTGAAAATAGTTCTTGTTGCTGCTTGTTACTCATTCATAGCTGTCATTAAAAAACCACTGCTATTTACACGTAACACAGCAAAAAGGTTAAAGGCTGTTACACCTCTCTGAAGGAGCACGAGGCTGTTGCATAAATCGTCTTTTGCAGCAAATGAGTTGGCCTCATTCTACTCACTGATCTTAAAGGGCTTTTGGGGATGTGTTTTGTGATCCCGTTGTTATATGCCTGAAGACCAAAGAGGCTGTGGGCTCTTATCCTTATCCACCCGCTGTGGAAATAAGTATTTTCGTAAGCTGCCAGGGATAGTTAGGAAATGCCTACTCACTCACTGGCACTTATTGATAAAGAGACTGTGTTCGGAGCTGGGCACTTGCAAATAATAAAAAACGACGATTAATACTAGTTGACCTTTCACATAACAATGTTACAATAACACGGAAGCAAGGATGCAATATCGCGACTGCAAACCCACCTTGACAAAATCACAAATAATATTTGTGAAAGCAATTTCGATAAAAATGAATTTATCAATTCTGGATTATACCAAGGTGCCTTAAGTAGGTATGAGTTGTCTACGACCCAGTGTATACAGGGTGTGTCGAAGAAATTTCGTTGCTGTTCGCCGACGGTATCGCACAGAAGTTTCAACGCACAAATGTTCACGATACTCATATCTCACTCATTTACACAAAAACTCGTATCTCTAGCAAAAACCAACTCTAACTAACCTGGATTAACGTCTTGTATACTTATTCGTAAAAATTTTCTAGTACAATGCTCAGTCACTCATTATTTTATTGCAAAGCTGCTAGGCCAAGGCAGTCCCTGCAACATATACACTATTTTTATTAGAACATCGAGGCTCGATTTGCCTTAAAAAATTAAAACAACATAAGAACGAGTCGTGTCTATGATGTAAAATTAAAGGAAAAGACAAACATAGCAGATTTTCTAAGCAAATCAACCTTGCAACTAAAATGTCTTGCAAAACTGTTGTTTAGAGGTGATGAACACAATTTAGAATTTTTAGAGGTAGAAAAACGTCAAAATAAGAACAATAATAAAAATAAACATACTTGTTTTCCAATAAATGACTGACCCTTTTTGTTAAGAACCTAATGGGGATATCGAACTGAAATAGTTCTTGTTTAATCTTTAAAAAATCCAAGGTTTAAGTTCTCAACAAAAGCTATTTTCTCCAATGTATGTTTTGAAATTCAAGGAGGTATGAGAAGGAAACGAGAAGAAATAACTGGATGAATAGCGGAGTTAGGTCGGTGATGCTTCTCCCTGCAGGCACAGAATTTCACAAACTGCATCTTTTTCCTTCCAGCACTTTATATTGCAATCTTGTCCCTCATGTTTGGTGCTTGTTTATTTCAATTGCTGACATTTCTGGTGTCTATGTTGAATTTCTGCATGGAGTCATCCCCAGCTAAAGCAATATGTACCCTGGAAATTCTTACATGTAAGTCTTTCTAATTATCTCTTTGTTACTTTACGCATTACTTTTCCCCCCGTAGAAATGTAAACTTCTCTCCCCTTAGCGAAATTTTTGTGTTGCTTGCCATAACTTTTGGATGCAGTGTTTGTCATGATGCTATCATTCTTAAATCCGACGGTGCCTCGACGGTGGGAACTCAACCTCTGCGATTTTGCATCGAATAATTCACTTCACAGGAAATAGAAACCATTCCTAATTTTTTACTGTGAAGTTTTTCGAATTGTTAAATAAACCAATGAGAACAGCATATGAAAACAGCTGACGCCAGCTGATTCAGATCAGATTATTAGTCAAACATTTGAACTTCAAATTGACGAAAACTGGCTTGAAAGCTCTATCGTTGTATCAATATATCCGAAATAAACGATTTGCAAGAAATTCTTCACAACTCTGAAGTATTGAATGCTTATTTGCCTGCTCAACAGCAGCAGTTTCAGTCTTTCAACGCAGATGCACCTGCATGCATGTTTGTGCAAACACTTCGTATGTAGATTGCGACATTTGAAGAAGTATTCCTGGTCATGTAAAATTATATCTCTTACCGAAAGATAAAATTCCCCCTTCAGCAGACGTTCTGAAAAATTTTTTGTAATCCAGTATCTATTTTTTTCTGTTTTGCTCGCTTTTCCACTAAAATCAACTTCGATCTTCGGTTTGCATTGTTTGCAGCAAATTCGCATAGATAATAATTTTGCCAGTGGAATTTGAACTTCGAATTCTAGAGAAATATTTGCAGCCAAAAATCGTAGCTTAAAATTTGCTTCACGCGAAAAATTCGCCTCGTGTTAACCAGGCATATGCCTCTTTCAAAAATACCATCAAACGGGTGCTTTGAAGTGCGTCGAAGACTAAACTTTGAATAGTATGTTCATTTCTGAGCTGCATTGGTAACCAGTGAAATTGTTCTAGACAAGTCTTGCCAAGCTGGTAGTTTTTTAGGTGTCGTAAAATGGTTTCTGTGAAAACATCCATCGATGAACAAAGAAAGCTTCATACTTGAGGCTCCTGGATTTGTTCATTTCAGCAGGAAGAAGGGTCGTAGCTTGCCTCAATGAATTTCACCCAAAGCTTCCCTTCTGGTGCCACCCTAAGGTTTAGATTAACTCCCTTCGCCACCCTTGCTGTACAAAAATTATAAAAGGCCTTTGGTACCGCAAAATTTGAAAATAGCACGAAAAATCGTAAAAATGTCATACTTACCGGTTTTTCTGTTCTATGTCCATTGATAATATGTCCCTTTTGTCGAACATTCGTGTTCCTTGGTCACGTACCATTTATGATTTGTGTGTTTTTTCATAGTTATGTGTGCAGTTGGTGGCCTATCGACATACGTCCGTTTCTATGACAACAAATATTACAGGCTGGATTGGTCTTACATCGTTGGATGGGTCGGTGTCTGCTTCATATCAATCGGCCTGGTTTTTATTATCGTTGGAATCGAAAGAAAACGACAATCATACTAGTAATATCGAGATTTTAATATAAAATTATGTACTTCATGTAAATAAGCTCAAAGTTGTTGCTCCAGGAGAGCGAATTTGTAAACAGTATGAAGATTTTTTTCCAAATCAGAACATGTTCTAAAATCAGGTCTCATTTTTTTTTCAAATAATGAAGACTCTTTACATCACCCCTTTACTATGTTGAAGGGGTGTTCCATGTTTTATTGATATAGCTCTAACGCATAAGTGCAGCAGTTATTGAATTCTACAATATATGAAAAACATAGCAAGTGGCGTTGAAATATTAAGTGTTATCGATGTTATTCATACAAGTAACCTACAGACAAGTTACAACTAACTTACAATGGACATTTTTCTACACCTGGCAGTGAGACACTGACTCTTGCCTCAAAAAAATCCGCTTTTTATAAATTTAATTTGTGATTCAAAGGCGTCAATAGTTTCCTCAGAATTTATAGTGTTTAAATGGAATGTGATTTTTTTGCACCTGATATGCTAATTTTTACCCTGCCTGCCCCCAAGCATCTTTAGTAACACATGCTCCTAGGACAAGGGCTCAACTGCAAAGATGCATTCAGTTCTTTTTGTGGATAAAAACATTATGCCTTTTTCAGCATGAAAGTTCGCAAAGTCAGATACAAATGTCGTATGATACAAAAAAGTATCCTTGGAGACAGGAAACTTTGTAAACTGTGCATTGGAAATGTTCTGTGCCCATTTTTACCGCTTGGCTTGACAGTACCTGCACCACTGTGCATTTTTCTATATTTCACCACGACTGCATTAAGTTACCAAAACTACCCGACCTACTCGGCAATCTTTTTTGCTAAATTACAAATTCTCAACACGATTTTCAAAGCTCTTTGTCTTTTCAAGAGTTTCTCAAAAATTACTTTGAAAAAAGCAAAAGATCTCCGAAAGAACTTCGGACGGTTTATACTCTGAGGAGCTTTAAGTTAGTATGATGTGAAAAAAGCTTTAAGTTAGTATGCTGTGAAATTTTTGTTTTTATCAAAGCCATTTTCAAACTCTGTACCGCCAAAGAATAGTTTCTCATAAGAAGGACATGAAATTGGCTCATTTTGCAAGGCAACGCGGACCAGGCACCACTTTTTTGCAAAAAAATGCAAAATATCAAGTAATAAACTACGATTAAAGCCTCTTTTTATACGGTTTTAGCGCCCCCGCACTTTTCTAGAACCCCCCTCGCTTTTCTCAACGCTCCGCGGTGCCTGTTTGCAGCTTTTGCATGAGAATCATTGACCCCAACCCTCCCCTCCCCCCCCCCCCCCAATCCAAATTTGCCAGCTGCACCTGAGTGATTTAGATTTTAACTAAAAAACATCCTTAGCTCTGCAAGAACTTGAATGAAGACTGCGTAATCAAAAAAGCCACTGTCTTTCTCGTTAGATCATACAAAAATTGTGTGAAACACCAGGGAAGCTTGCCTTCGAGGAAGGCAAGGGGTTACAGCGCAAACGAAAAGGGGAGAAGTAAAATGAGATAAATTGCTGAATTTTGCAAAGGCAAGACGGGAAAAAGCCCCCTTAGCCTCACAGGTACAGGCATTCCTGTGTAACACTTATAAAGCTGGTGTCTACATCATTCATCAATCTGAATATTTTGCCAGTTTTTATTTTTTCAGTCTCCATCACTGCTCTCTATTGGCTTCGAAGCCCTTTAATGGGAAAATGAGTCTGCGCGCAAGCTAACTTCTTGCGGATCTCTGACATTGACCATTTTCGTTAAAACTGTAATCATTTCAAATTCAAATGCTTCAAGTTTACCCATTCAACTGCAGCATGCATCTTCTTTTGTGGTAAAGCTAGACTTCCCCAAGGTCTTTAGGAGGCAAATGAGGAAATTAGGAATTGTTAAATTAAATTAGGAAGCAAAATATACGTACTGCTGGGGTGAACTCATACACCGACTTTGCAAGTCGTGCTCTTCTTTACTACAGTACCAACGTTTTGCATACAGATTCAACAAAAGCAGACTCAGGGGAAAGATGGCTCTCTGTGCTGGCCTGCGCGCAGACTGGAGTAAGATTCGGGGTTTGGAAAAGAGCATCGTATTTTGTCACCATTATTTCATCCATGTACTTGTGAAGGAGCATTCGATTACATATGAATGACAAACACTCGAAAAGATAGAAACCAAAACAATGGCCAACGGTAATGCGATAGAAAAGATTCTATGTGTATTGAATTCTTCACGGGTCATTTGCAAAGAAGAATTAAAAGAGTTCTATTTGAAGGTCATTTCATATGATAAAACGATCTAATATAGGCCAATTTCTAGCACGGCATAATCGTTGCAGGAAAAATCTATCAGATAGGTACAGTGATCTACGGAAGGCAAAGACCGAATCGGTTGCAACCAAGTCAATAATGAAGCAAGAATGTGTCTATATGCACTACTTATAAGGTGAGGACAAGCGTCTTTATGAGTACACTAACATTATATTTTGCGTTGAGTATGATTCAGGTAAGTAGGTTTCCCCTGTGTAATCGAAGGCAACTACATATTCCCCATTACTGATCACGTGAGTTTGTTGCCGTGCATTTTATTGATCATGTTTCTGTTCATTTCTTCGCATCATATTTGATTGGGATAGAATTCTGTTTTTGTAGTTTCGGCTGGCATGGGGTGATGTTTCCAATGGTAGTGAGGGCAAGCTTTTTGGGGTAATTTACAGGTGGGGTCCCGATTTCATCGTTTTCAGCATGTCAAAATCTATAGGTATGCCAATTTTCATGCTTTCTTCACTAAATGCACGATTGTTATGGCTTTTTCCCTCACTATGGATGATCCCCAACAACAATCGTCATTATCATAATCATAATCAGAATCATAGATCGACTAAATGCAGCCTAAGTACACAATTTATTTTCTTTAGTTTACTTTGCAAAGTAACAATAAGTAATATTTCATGATAGCTACTAGGGACACAAAGAAAAGCGGATACGCTGCCTGACAGTTGCAAAGAAGAACATTTCTATGAGAATTGGAACCATTCCTTTGCCTTCCCATCCAATGATGTATCTTTAGCTTCCTGTGCAGGGGGGGTGGGGGGGGGTTGTGGTGGTTGGAGGTTCAAGAAAAGTAAAAATTTACCGATAAAAACGGTTTTGTTCCTGTTTTACAAATTATTGACCAACTAACGGTTACATCTTAAGATTTTGCAGGCAACTCATGAAAAGCCAAGGGTGTCAAGCCCCCTTGCACGTTGACAGATACGTTTGAAATATTGCAACGGAAGACAGCACGGAATGTAACGTGATGTAATGTAATGCTATAGTGAAACCTATGTTCGTAAATGTAGATAACCTATGTTCGTAAATGCTAGAGCCCCTCTACGATTTTCGATAAGTGCTCCTTGAAAAGGTCAACCCGTTATAAAATAAGCTTGCTGTAAATAAAGAGCCTTGAAAATGTAATTTGCTAAAAACACTACCCCTTAAATATAGTAATTGATTATATCTATTAAATTATCTTAATTGCAATCAAAGTACTACATTGACGAAATATTGTTTCGGTACAGACATTATTCCTCCAATTTCCCAGCGTCTTAAAAATGGATGTGTTCAGCGCTGGCATATGCAAGCAATTTTTCTGGGAACCGGGAGAGTTTGGAAGCTCTAAAAGTGTTTTGGGAACGGGGTACCACACTTGAAATGACCATTTTAAAAGAATTATCCGTTTGAATTGCATATCGTAGTATCGGCGTGTCACATATTCCTTCAGATTCTTGAACCATTACGTAAGTAAATGTTTTCTGAAATCGTCTTCTTGAGTGTCCTTGAGATCGTAAAATATTCATATGCAAAACAGTGTCAAAGAAGCAGGTGCTGTTTCAAGAAAACCCCGTCGAGTTGCAATACGATGCTGCAATTACGGAAAAACAGGCTCCATCGCAGGAAAGGCAGCTACCTACGACAAATAAAGTATCGTTTTCTTTATTGCTAATTTTTAGTCATGTTTCAGCGTGTGTTACGCATAGGTTGCCAAGTTTTTTTTCAAAACTGGACTAAGTGTGAATCTAAGTGGACCCATTGTTTGAATCTGATGATGGTTGGAATATATTTAAAAACAGATATGCATGAAGCGATATGCAAAAAATATCAAACTGTCTGCATTTTTAAATTCCATACATAAATTAGTTTTATTGAACCTTCTTATGAGATAATGATTTTAGTTGATTCGGACGAAGCCTCTACACTACGTTTTGAGCAATATTGACCCATGTATACGTTTTCGCAGATTTTAGCAACAACAAAATCAGTTCCAGTCTTTGCTCCGAAGATGTTTAAAACACAGCCAATGATTTACTATGCTGTACCGAAACACAAGTATTACATTTTGTCTGGCCTTGCAACTACATTTACGATGTTTAGCTGTGCTGTAATCGGACTGAGTATTGGCACAGATCACTGGCGAGAGGCAAAAAATCCTGGACACAACACCACTGTCGTTATCCAAGGGCTGGTTGAAGAATGTGATAGAAGAATCTTGAAAATTGACTGCATACAAGTCACAAATTCAAGATTTGCTGCTGGACACTTAGGTAGGTTTCTTCTTAACATTTCAGATAACATATTTATGCATTTCTATATATTCTTTGTTTACTAGATATATTCATAGATTTTTATACAGCTACAATCTTTATTTATAAAAGAACCAGTAAATTTTGGTTCAGGATGACTGTTCTTATTTTTTTCAAAAATCTGATGCTGGATTTTTCTTAATTTCTTCTTAAAATTAATGGGTGTAAACAGTGTGATTGCCAGATATTATGCTCTAGGGAGGTATTCAGGCCTCACTTGCCAACAAAGTGAGTGAGATAATCTTCATTTGCTGACAAGTTTGACTATTCACCGAAAGGGCACCCACATATGGCTGAAAAGCACCCACACTAAGGAAGACCAATATATAACTTTGAAAGAGTATGTAGAGTAAGGTGAATTTACTGTTGTGATTGAACTTTGGAAAAACCAAACATGAGATGATTCTATTTAAATTCAATTTCCAAAAGACTCTCATTCAAAAGATATTTAGAAGACGGAAAAGAAAAGGACGTTGAAGAAAGAAAAATTGTCATCCGGAGGAAGGTCGAGACGCTTTCTGAAATCTGCTATTATCTTCCTGGAAGCGATGAAGAATATGTGGATAGCATTATGTCTCAGTTAATATAAATTGCAATTCTTTTAATGCTGCTTTTGCACGTTGCATGCAGTCCCCTTTTTCATTCTAATTGTAGTTACAAAGCTCTTTTGCAGTCTTCTTATACCGTTAGGCTACGTATTCTCTTTTAATGTCCGAATATGTTTGGTTAGCAAATTTCACACTAAAAACTATTTTTAGTAAAGTATTCTTGAATAAGATTGAGGAATCCTTTACCCCAAAGCAGCCCCTCGAGTAAAATGATGCTAAATGTGGCCTTTTTCTACAGGTACAATTGAAATTGTTTATGGCCTCCTAATCGAGAGTCTTCTACTTGGATTGATGTCATTGCTTGCCTCGTTTTTGGCTTCATTTCACAAAAAGCACATACTTGTTACCACGGTGGTTGCTATGGAGATTACCTCAGGTATCCATTATTACCTAAGTTAGCTTTTGTTAGGATACCTCACTTGATATTCTAATTGGTTAATTAAAAAAGAGTATTTATGGATGCCACTACCAAATAGGTGAGCTCATTTTGGATATGTTCAAACATATAATAAGGTCGTTTTCTCAAGCAATGATAAAAAAATACTTATCTTTAGCATGAAGCATGACGTCACATGTTGCCATAGGATCTTGCTTTCTTCTGCGTCAAATTGTGAGTTTAAATTTTAGTTAGATATGGTTAAAGTTTACTCAGTAAAGTGTTAAGCTGATAGCGGTTGCAACTACTGATTGGATTTTTAATAAAATGGTTTAAAATTCTTGGATTTCTATGTTATTGATAAACTCATAAATATTTGCTGGTTAATATTTTTGCGACCATGCCCTTTTTTAGATTAACTTAGAAAACAATTCGGAATAAATCTTGCAGTCTTTTTCTTGCAATCGCTTAGGCATTTTGTTTTGTTTTAAAATGAAATTTATTACGTTATGAGGCCCCCGAGGATCTTGAGGCCCTGGGGCAATTTGCCTCCCTCTCGATTATCATTTACCCATTCATGATAACTAGACAACATAAAATAAAGACAGAAGGAGATCTAGACTGAAGTTCTCTTGACATATGCTCTTAATGTACGAGGTCTTTATATCCTACAGCTTTCCTGTAGTGCTTCTCTAGAGAATACCAAAAACCTAAGCAGATCGAGCAGTAGAGATTGTATGACTCATAGAATTTGATACAAATAGGGGATTTAAATTGATACAATCCAATGTTCAGAACCTGAAGAGATTGGGCTCTAGAGAAAGAGAAGAGCTCTGGAGAGAAGTTCTCGATTCTGGGTTTGTCCACTGGAGGTTCCTGATTGGGAGTGCCGTGTTTTGTGTGATTTTCTATGGGGATTTCTTTTACACAAACCCATTCAATTCCTGTGGTTACATCATACAGCAGTTGAGCAGGGGCGTTATGGTGTGCTTTCAAAATGAACAATTGGCCTGGCAGTCCCTACCATTGCTCTTACTTTTGGTTTAAACTAGCTGCCAATGAAATACATCATCTTTGAGGCTGCCTGCCTGACAATACTTGCCAAAACCTTTAATGCAAACAGGATTTGTCATTTCCTTTTGCAGTTTCCCCACTCCCCTTTCAAACAATCTTGGATTTTATAATATTCTCCATTGAAAAACACTATATGAAGAAGTCCTGTGATTTCGAAACTAGGGTGACTGTGTGGTGCAATTCTAGCATTGGTTTGTAGAAAGGGGGAACTTAGCTATTTCTATAGGTGTGAATTGAGAATAGATTGAGTAATGAGTCGAACTATATGAGTGTTTCGCAGTAATTATAATAATATACATGTTTATACAGGGTAACCTTATCAGTATAAGAAAGTACTATCATCAAAAGGGCCCTGGGGTACTTTTGGCAAGTCCAATACTTTTGGCAAGCATTGTACATTTCAGATTTGCTTGTTCTTCTTGCAGCTTTGTTCACCATGCTTGCTGCATCCATTTACACTCACAACATCAATGAAAAGCCGTGGAGATTTGGCTGGTCGTATGGATTGGCTTGGCTCGGCTTCATATCCATGTTATTTGTCCCAGTTTTTCATTATATCGTCCAAGATGTAAAATTTCTAGGAAAATCGATTTGTATTTGATCAACAATTTACAATAGTTTGCAAGTTTTTGCAACAAAATTATAAAACTTATTAGACATATTGTAAATATTACATAGTAATTGAATCATTATTAATTATCATAATTGAATTAAATTCCAAATGATGGAGAAGCAGTTTATTTGCCTGCTCTTTTTAAAGCGAGGTATGGTAGCTATTTTGATGTTTCTCTAATTAACTCGTGAATGTTTTGATGTCACATCTACGATGCTCTGGATTCCGTTAGCTTTTTTTGGAAAACATCCCTGTTACATCTCCAGAAACTCAAACAATATTATTTGTTAAAATAAAATATTCATTCAACTTCTTCAGTACGACGTGACGCATTTTGATAGGCCATATTATGGATAGGCCTATCAACATCATTATAGGTATATTTTTCATACTTGTTCCTTACTTACTGTAGAAGTGACAGCTCTAAAATTAATGTTGTACATTGTCAAATTCAGTCAAGTCATTTCTTCTTAATCAACTAAGAACGACAATAGATTTTAAACTCTCTTAGTATTCATGCAGCCGATTGTGAATAATTTTGCGCACAGAAAGAAGTAGCTGAGACCGGCCTGTAGTGGTCAAATTCCTTTGCATTTCAGCGACACTGCGAAAAATTGTGTTGCTTTTCATACATTTTGGATGTTTGATGTTGCCAATGGGTAGATAATCACATTTTGCTTTATCAAATACGATAGCTCCAAGCTATCCATTCCAAGAGATTTCGACCTCTCAAACACTCGTCACTTGAACTGAGACCTTACTACCGATGTGAAGTTTCTAGGTCTTCGTGCTGCTGAATGAAATTGAAGAGTTGCACAGCTACGCTTTCACAAATTATTTTTAAGCCCTTAGATATGACTGTGAATGTCATTGAACTTTGTTGGCATTCTTTTAGGATTCGACTTCTTTTTTAGATCTGTATTTCATCTGTTTTCTTCTGTTTTCTTTGTTTTCATCTGTATGTGACGGTATTTCTACTTCTTTGTGTATAAACAAAAAATGTTCATTTCCAGTTTCTTACCCTTTTATTTAATGGCGAGAATCCCTTCCATGGTTTTCGTTGTTGTGATTTTATTGTCCAGCCAAGGAAGATCTTTTCCCTTGACATTTCACTGAACCATTTATGAGAAGTCTTTCAATACCTTCCAGCGTGCCCTCTAGCATTCATTTAAGGCACTTTTTCAACACTTCACCCAATGGGAATCAGACTACTCAAGGATATCTTCAAAGGAATCGTGACAACATTTGCTAAGTTTCCAGATGCAACTTTTCTTGGTCTTTGTCGTTGACAATTCTGTAAAAACGGACTAAGGACAACAGATGTTAGGCTCACAACATTCCTTGGATTTGTGCTGGCAATTATATCATTCAAGGTACTAGTTTCAGATCTTTTTCTTGTGGACTCCTTAATCTGCATCTAGTTGACAAGTAATCATGCCCGTAATATAAGGGCCATAACCAATGACAAGGTTTCATTACAATCAGCACAATTAGGGCAACTTTGATTTCTTCAAATAGTTTTTTTTAAAAACCAGATTTCGTTGTCTCCGCCAACGACACTAGCACTGTCGCGAATCCTTGATGTTGTGTCCTATGTTAAAAAATGCTTTGTTTATCAAACCTGATGATTAACAAAAATTGTCTTCATTTCCCAAGGATAATGGGGATAGGTAAACCTTTCATTGTTAGAATAAACTCGAGTGAAAGGAGAAAACCCTTTCCAGTACCAGGAACGCTTTCTAGGTATGAATTTATCGTTTTAGCTTTTAAAAAATGATATGACAGTTTTTATACTTTGATCATGCTTGTTACAAATGTAATTCATTAATTTAGTTAATTTGATGAAAACATTCATTATTCCTGGGTTGAAATCGAGTTGATTGAGAGTTGATTGCTGCCTTTAACGCAGCAAAATTCGCTGCAATGCACAACGAAATAAATTGGTTTTTAAGTTTCAGTTTGGTTACTTTTTAGCTGAACTTTTCTATAATTTCTTTCTATAATTTGATTAAGAAAGCAATTTGGCTTTAAAGGAAAGAATGCAAGTTAGGACTATTTAAGTGTGTTTTGCAAATTTTTTGAAAGTCTTTTTGACCAAAATCAAGGATATGGCATTCATCAATGTGCCCTTTACCAAACAAAGACTTTGTTTTCCAGAGAATTAAAATCATTGCTGCTATTGTCAATGTTCAGTCACTGTTTAGTTTTTCTATCTTAAATAACACGGGGTTTTTTGTTTAATAGAAACATTTTAATTCTTTATGACAGTGTAGTGATTTCCCAGAAGGTAAATGCATAGCATAACTTTTACAATAATAATAGCAACAATAATATACTTTATCTTGATCGTAATCACCAAAGGTTCATTTATTTCCTACGTTCCTTATCTGTCTTAACAAAGCCATCGCTATACCTTTCTTTGCAAGTTTATATTCTCAATGAGGAATACAAGTTCGCGAGAAATATCATTATTAGATTTCTAATAAAACTATTCACACCGTGATTGAAGTTGAGGGATTTAGTGACTTATTGATTAATCTACTTGCTTATTTATCTGTTTGTTTACATATTTACCTACTTACTGTTTGCCTTCTATCTCTCGGCCTTGTTTTAATGACGGTGTAGTCACTTCACTTCACTTCAATATTTATTTTTGAAAAGATATACCTGATAAGAGGTTAAAGAAAATAGGTTGAAATCTCCTATATTTGAGGCCCTTGTTGTTGGCATTCCTGCTATCTTGAAATTGATAGATTATTGCTAGATAAAGTCCTTCTCCAACTAAATGCATTGCAAATTGATTCATTCATGTCATTTTGCTAGGAATTTTCTTGGAAAACTTTTCTGGAAAGTTTTAAAATTGGCAAATAGACGTCCGAAATGAGTCTTCACCCTTTTTTAGTGTTAGACCCTTTTATTATATGGCATATGCTAAGCTCTACTCAATAGGTAAAACTTCATTTGAGGATTTTATTCAATGAAAGATTCTGGAGCACTTACAAAAATTTTCAAAGTCAAATGCAACCACCTCTATACCCCTTGAAACAATGTTGGTTTACTACAATATGACGGAAGAGATTAGGAAGTGTGTTTAATGGTACAATGTATGATATTTGGCCATTATGATATTAACAGTTTTTTTGCGGTACAGAATTTGAAAATGGCTTTGAAAAAAGCAAACATTTTACAACATACTTAAAGCTTTTTCGTCTGACACTCCTCAGAGCATAAAACGTCAGAATAGGTTCCGAAAAAACATGTTTGAAAAATATATACCCAGTTGTGGATCGAAATAGGCCAATCAGAAAAACGCAAGCACAAGACCGGTATAGTTGACCAATCAGTGCCGCGAGCCTAAAGAAAAATTACCAATGGAGTCCAAGAGAGAAAACGAACTTCTTTTGTCTAAACAATGGCGGCTTTTTCGTTTTTATGTAGATTGACTCCAAAACTGCTAGATGGAAGGACGACCGGGCTCTGCCAATTATCCGAAACATGTCGTCATTATAGAGTTTTGCACAATCTGGGTTGTCCAAAAGATGTTGACCAATGGCAGAATCACTTGTTTTAACAGTGTTTCTCGACCTACAAGATCGAGGAGGCTGTTCTCTTTGAGGGGCAGTTTTGTTTCGTATGTTGGAAGGAACATGCTGTTTTATCCTATCCCCCAATCTTTGGGTTGTGCGCCCTACGTAGCCAGAATCACACTGGCACGTAAATTCATAAATGACGGAACTTTTTTGGTTGGTAGGGACGCAATCCTTTTGAATGGATGGAAGGGCTCTCCTAGTGCTGTAAACAATCCGAGGATTGACAGCAAAGAAACAATTGGTTATGGCTTGCCTAATCTGACTCTCGAATCGCAAGGAAGTGTTACCAATCCATGGTAGTTTCAAATAAACTGGGCACTTTTGCGGACCAAACTTTGGAACAGCCGAAAAACTTGCGATCTTCTCCTTAGTATAAGATAAAATGACGTCTTCAGGATAGCCGTTGTCCAAGAAGATCGTTTTGAGTTTTTCCAGTTCAGCGTGCAGTTTAGATTTCGAGCAGATCATAAGTGCCCTATGTACTAATGTTTTGACAAGGTTGACTTTGCGTTGTTTTGGGCAAAATGAATTCCAGCGTATGTACTGACCGGTAAAAGTAGGCTTGCGATATACACTGGTAAGAAATCCAGTGTTAGACTTTTCGACCAAAACATCTAAAAATGGTAAGGAATCATTTTCTTCCTTTTCAAACGTAAACTGGAGGGCTGGGTGTAGGCTATTTAGGTGTTTTAGAAAAATATCACACTCAGCCTCTGTTTTGAAAATGGTATATGTGTCATCCACATACCGAAAATAGACACCTGGCTTTTGGTCGTAGTCAAACAAACGCTCTTCATGAAAGCCAACAAAGATATTGGCCAAGGCAGGTCCCAGAGGGCTACCCATAGCGACACCATCCTTTTGTTGGTACATTTCATTGTTAAAACTGAATTCAACTGAACGTGTTGCAGTTTCCATCAGTTCAATGAATACTTCCTCTGGGAATGGTGGGCTATTAAGCTCGCTCCGGTACAAAGCGTCGGCACATATTTTGATGGTCTCACTCAAAGGAACATTTGTGAAAAGACTACTAATGTCAAAAGAACACATGAAAGATGTTTCGTTTTCGATGTTCAAGTTTTGCATGAACTCAGCGAACGTAAAAGAATCCTTGATGCAATGTTTTGAATATTTTTGAAGAACAGGGTCCAAAACTTCAGAAAGCCACTTAGCCAGTTCGTGTTGTGCTGAGCCAATCATAGACAAGATAGGTCTAAGTGGGACGTTCGGCTTGTGTATTTTAGGGAGGCCATACATTTGTGGTCGTTGAGAGCCCGTGGGTCTTATCCTATCATAAATTTCTGTAGCCAACATTTTTGAGTTGACCAGTTCCAACAAACGTTTTTGGAGTTTCCGCTCTAGTTTGGCCGTTTTGTCATGTGTTTCGACATCACCCAATTTAGCAAATTTTTCTTTGTCGTGGAGAATTACCTCCATTTTATTGATGTAGTCCTTTTTGTTTAAAATGACCACTCCAGACCCTTTATCAGGTTTTGTAATAAAGATGTCATTGTTAGCCCGTAGAGATTTTAGTGCTTGGAAATGTTCTCTATGCAAAAGAAAATCTGAGTGGTCGATGGGAGAGCCGCTGTAAGCGTACGCCAAATCGCTTTATGATATTGTTTTGAGGTAGTGGAAGGAAGAAGTAATATTCTGGAAGAAAAATAAGAAATTAAAACAATAACATACATCTCTGGTTTCTTTGCTAGACAACGGCTACTTGCTAGTATCACAAGAACGAAAACATTAGTTCTCCTGATATATCTGAAATGTTACGATAAATGTTCAAGGAACCGACAACAATGTCAGGTAAGATGTTGCAACCAGGTAACAAGACATTCAAAACTGATGGAGAGAAAAATTGTAATGGCAGTCACAGTCAAGATGCTTGCATCATTTTTGGGGGGCGTCTTTGGTACCTTTGTTGTCTGCGGGACAGAAGTGGCTTTTGTCGAGCTTAGGTTAGCACTTGCACTTGTCACAGTCGTTTTTGATTTCGTTGCATCTGTCGACGTTGGCTTGGCAGTTGACATAACATCATCGCAAATCTGTGACACGTTGCTGAAGCTATGACCATCCCTAATAAACATTTCTTTGCCTCTTGTGGGATTCGTGTTGTTTGGGTATTGTTTGAAATACTCCTTTATTATGTCCACTCCTTTGAAGGTAACGTCAGACAGGCATCCTCTAAAAAAGGGTGCTCCTATTGGGTCTAACGGTCCGTTTCCTCCAACTTTAATTGTCACATTGCCATAGTTCCATTTTCTACCAAAAGGTACCAAGGTGACACTTGGCCTAAGAGCACCAGTAACTGAAGCATTAATACTGTACGCAGATCCAGAAGCATTAAGGCCCTGTGCTTTGACTGAAACACTGAAGCTGAATGCATACCCCGTGTTGATAAGTGGCGAGGACCAATCTTTTGTCTCTGTTACGCCTTCTGCAGGGTAAGCGACTGTCAACATTCCTACAAAACAAATTTTGGGTGTCTAGCATTGACAGTAGAAGTGCAAGTTCTTAAATTGAAGCTCTTAAATGTTTATAACCAGTATATAACACCGGTCCATAACCAGTATAAAGTCCATGGTTTGAGAAACTCTCGTTTGGTAGTTCAGTTTTCTAATGAACCTTGAAATCGGGAACATTGTAGTTTCAAATGTTGTTTTGTGCTAATGATATCATTGAAGATTAATCTAAATCAAGATAATGAAAAGTGTTTCTTAAGATAGTGGAGTCAATATGTCAGTCAGACAAGAGAAGATAATAATGGGTGGGTATACTATAATCGAAAAACCATAGATTGACGAGGCTAGATATCTTTATTGGCAATATTTTATTTAAACGATAGCCACTTCTGTATCACTCTGTATCTTTTATGTAAGTGATATCTTCTTTTCACTGCCCAAATGTGTATTAGTAAAGGTCGTTTTGGTTATTTTGCTCGTTTCGCAACCCCCCACTCCTCTCCCCCTTTCTCCCCCTCCCGAATAAAAAATTCCACTTGTTTAGTCTGTAAATATTCGTGTAAAAAGAAAGTATTAATAAACTACCGTCTTTGATTACAAGCTGAAATGTAAACACATTTTCTGAGTCATAAACTGCCAGGAGAGTGAATTTATTGGTCGGGTCTGGCATGGTTGAGAATACTCCATTGACGTTGAACTGATTGGTTGAATGAAAATCCGTAGTGGAACGGTAAATGAAGAACCCATTTCCATATGTCTTCCATCCTTGTCTGCCTTCTGTGAGGTAATAAGAAAGGACAGTTATCAACCCTTCAATGCTTATACTATAGCGACCAGTTTAATCTTTTGGCCTATACATTCTGCAATTTGGTAAATTGAGTCACTTTGCTTAACAAACAAAGGACAGTCACTTTGCTTAAGTCGGATGACCAAGGAAATGTTTCAAAAACTTGCGAAAAGCTTGATGCCTAGAGCCAAAATCTCTTAATACGGGCATTTTAAGTTACCTTTTCATCTTTTAAGTTTGCCCAAAATGACTGAAAATGTGATCAAATATCACCTTTTGGAACTCGAATTCAAGTCTCTTTCCACAGACTTTTTCATCCAAACACTTTAGTGATACCACCATAAACAATGTCTGTTTTATCTCGATGTGAAGCACTAAAAGGGTTTTGTCAGTTATGCTTTATACTTAATAGGAGAAACACCTGTTTGGTGTACAGAATAATTGCGTCAAATCTCTTCAAATTCGAAATCAAGGAATAATGATAATAAATGTGCAATGCATGTCTACGTATGACAAAAAGTCAGCGTTCTGCGTGTTCAGGATTACTCTCATATCGTTACTGACCACGCCCATCCAGAAGTAGGTCCTGACTTGACGGGTACCAGATCGATGACAAGTGTCTGGTGGGCTGGCAATAAAATTTGAATTCGATCAACAATTTTTCCAAAGTTATCCTTCGCAGAAAAAGTAAACAGTTTTCTTAACGAATTTTTCTGCCATAGAATATGAGACTTTATGTCTTTTTGCGGGTAAATATTTAAAATTTTTGTATTGACAAAAGAAAACAGTATTCAATCGCAAGGTCGGAATGTTATGTTTTTCAGCCGGTGACCAACTAATATATGAATACAAATGCGGAAACAAAATCTATCTGTATAGCGTTCAATAAAACAGTAAGATTCTATTGGCTTATTCCATTGGAAACAGTAAGATTCAACTTTACCAATCAAATCAATTATACTAGTAAAAATACACATCTTTTACAGAGAGTTTATTTGTGTCTATAACGACAGGTTTTTTTAAAAAGTTTATCGATTCTCTCTTCGGCATATGATATCTCCTTCACTTTGTGTGCCTAGCAAACGAAAGCACTTTGTTAGAGCCTTTGTGTCATTCGAATATTGGTTGAACGATGGCAGGAATAAGAAAGAAACCAACCACATATAAAGCAAATATGATTTCTCCAGCAAAGTGAGTTTGTTTTGATACTCCGGCTCTCTCTGGAGATTGCCACAGTTTCCAGAAAAGAAAATCAAGGAAACGATAATACATAGTGCCCTAACTACACTCTTAGTCATTTCACGATTTTATACAATGAAGTAGACTGAAAATGAGCATAAGGTAAGCAAACTATGTTTTTAAACTATTATTACTTCCTTAAAAGAAGTCTCTGATTTCTCACAATCAATGATGTCTGCTACACATTTGATACTTAACAATCCGACACTAACCTGCCACAGAAAATCCAAGAACAAAAGCCATCAGCAATGCAAAGAAGCTGGCCATCGTTGCCATTTTGTAACACAGTTGAAAACAGGTTGTTTGGACGGAGAGCTTAAGTATGATGAGGCGCAATCCTCCCCCGCATTGTCAACCTGATATCAAGGCCGGATATTTTTAATCGTTTGAAGGGATCTGTGGTCAAATGAACTATCCCCGTACGATTGTTTTCCAGAAAACTGTGATCCTAAGACGGGGCTGAGTTGAGGGGGGTTGCTACTAAACACCTAGGTTTGTATGCCTCAGCCATTGGTCGATTTTGACTCTAAATCCAGGCGCAATGTTATCTGACTCTTGAAAATTCCTCAGATTGGTATTCAGGTTTCCTTGATCTCTTATTACATCATAGTGTATGACAAAATTCTGTCGTGCAGCATGTAACCTGATGTAAACAGAGGAGCCATTTCCTATTTTGCAAAGAGGAACAAATTAATGAAAAAAAATTCCATCTTTTCTGCAAAATTACCGCATGTAAACAAGCACATGAACAAACCCAACTCCTTAAAATGAATGACCTTAAAATACGGTCGACCACAAAACAACGTTGATAGAAGCTCTAAAGATGGTAAAATACGACTGAATTGGAGAAAGTTGTAGAAAAAAATATAAAGATTTTGCTAGCATTGTTTATAGCTGCAGGAAGATTTTTACAAAAAGAGCACCGGAGAAGGTTTCACAACATGTTCTTGTAAAAAAATCTAGGTTCGTGTAGATTAAATAAGGTTCTAGGGATCTTTTTATGTCGTTAGGAAGAATGTTTAGCAAAATTTAAGACTTACATACAAGGCTAACGTTCACTTTATATAAATGAAATGCATTGACAATAAAAGAGGAAAATTGTGTCTACCGGCGAGCATGTCCCCGCTACTGGTCGTTCGTGTCGTGCAGGTCGGTCGTTCGTGTTGTGCAGGTTGGTCGTTCGTGTCGCGCCGGACAGTCGTTCGTGTTGTGCAGTGCTACACTTTATGTACGCTACCCCAGCCACCACATAATCATAGACAAATTATTTGGTTTGGAAGAAATGTCATCGGTGGATAAATGGTTAGGCTAGATCTTCAATGGATCATGGAAAAATTAAAGTGATTGTTTAGTTACCAACGTGGGTTGGAAAACCACGCTACTTTTCTACAAAACGAAGTTCAAATTTCAGTTTGGAAAGATCTAAATTACAAATTCCGATAAATAGCCTCTATAAGTAATACCTAAACTATCAAACAAGTGATTGGGAAAAATTCTTGCAAAAATTACTACAACTTTGATTATCAAAGAATGTCATCCATTACAATTAAAAAACAGATACCTAATTACAATTAAACAAGGTTATTTGTTATCTAGTATTATTCCAGTCTAAACTGTTGAAGTTAGTAGCACTATTGACAGCTCTGCTACTGAGAACCCTGAATTGTATGCCTGCAAAAACAGCAATGGTCGACAAAAGAAAGGCCATAACCGACTGCCAAGGCCTATCTCCAGGTTTCTGCTCCAAAAGAAATTGCATTATTTTATCATAACAATGCTCGTTTTCCTTCCTGCGCAGCCGGCTAATGCGTCGTACCATGCGTCCCCAGAGGTAGTCAACGGACACATTGCCAAGCATCTGGATAGGCAAAACAAAACAGCCGAGGAGAAATGCGAGTCTTTCGTAGCGGTAAGGGCCAATTGGAGACTCGGCGATCCAGGAATGAAGCTCAAGTAGAATAGAGAGTGTGGCAAGAACTATATTAAGTGACATCCAGCCAGAGGTGAACTCTCGAAATGTATGGAAATGATCAAAGATTTCTGCAAGTCGCAATCGGCATATGTCGATATCTTCAATGTGGATGTTCACGAAGCGCGATACCAGGCGAACTTCTTTCTCGAAACTTCGGCGTAAAAGGTACGCAATATACGCCATACCAGCAAAATTGAAGGTGTTGACTATTAAAGTGAAATACATGAAAAAGACTGCATCAATGCGATCGAGGTTTCCGTAATTGTAAATATTCTGTTGGGTGCACTGCAAGGCAATGAAAAAGAGGCTGGCGAAGAGCAGAAAGTACCCTGTGGCTCTAGATCTTCGCATGTCCACCAGTCGCAGACGCTGGACAAGGAACATAGGGTTTATGGCAGCAGTCCATTTGCCAGGAGCAATGTCAGGCCAAGCTGAATTAACTTTGCAAATCAAAGCAGCGAAGGGGGGTATAGACAGCAACAATTGGATAGATGTTGTGGCTAAAAACTCAACAATGTCATCCTTGCTCTCCCGGTATCGTAAGACATTGTAAAGGATAAGGTAAACAACGCTGGCCAAAATGATCAATAGCCACAAGACTGAAACCCAGGTGCTACCAACGTGGTTAAGGCGACTTGCACCGATCTCCTTATCTTTCAAATGATTAACTTGTCCTGTATGATCCCAAAGAAAACTTTCGCAAATATCGCAGGGTGAGATGTATGAGCTGATACTGGCAAAGTTGTCCAGGCCTTTTTCTTTGCATTCATTACAGCGACGAATTGTGACCAAAGGGGCTATGAAAAGAAAGCATCTGACATAGACATTTAATTCTATAAAGATCCCACAGAAGGCATTAGAAATATATTGAACGTTTTTATATAACAACGCAAAAACATGAATATCTTAATGAGTAGAAATGGGTAGCGAAATGAAATTTGAGTTCAAAACTATGGGCCAAGCAACGATCTGCACTCTGAGAGAGTGCGAAGTGCAATTTGAGTGTCACACCTAGCAAGGGTTGCTATGTATAAGACACATCTATGCATAAGACGCACCCTTAAATCCATGTTTTAATTCTGCAAAAATATTCTTTACCGTGTCTTAACTTATCTAAGAACTATCCCCTTTCTCTGTTATTGTAAAGCATGTATATTTCAGTGAAACAATAAACTCGAGAATGCTATAGACACTAGATTTTTGTAGGAGAATTTTTTCAAACCGCAATGTTTAAAATATTACGTTACGTTAAACTATTACGTTTAAAATCATCAAGTAGAAAATTTAACATTATGAAATAATCAAAATCACCATTGACGTTTACAGGTTTTTAAGTCCATAAAATTATCGTTCGTTGTCTGTTATATTCTAACATTCATTACATACATTGCAGCTGGAGAATTTCAAAGCTTTCACTAATTTCCGGTAGAAGTGCGATTATTCCAATTAAGAAAACAGGTACTCCAAATGTCAAAATATTTTGTCTATAAAATGACACTTTTGCCTTCAAAAGGAAATGATGGGACAGTCAATGTTACTATGTATAAGACGCACCTTTAAACAAAGCCAATAAAATTCGAGAAAAGGTGTGTTGCATACACAGCGAAATACAGTAATCAATGCTGGCAAAATGATTAAGCAAAATCTACCAACCTGTATGATACAAGCCAAGAGACTTTAAATATATCCAAAACAAGAAAGGCCACTGCTCCTTTTTACTTGGAATTCTGTTCTCAGGAACCAGGAAAATAGAATCATCTTCTGGTATTGGGGTAATCTCTAACGGTGGGTCCATGTTCTTTGATAACCAGCTCTTCCTAAAAAAATAAAAAGGAATTCCATATATTGGTATCAAAAAGAAACATATGATCATAATAGGTATAAAAAGCACCAGGAATAGGTGCTTGGAAATATAAAAAATGAGATGATGTAGTTGTTAAGGGGTGCAATATTGGCTAAAACACACTTAGGAAAAAGCGCTGTTAAATTTCCAAAAACACTTTTCCATTAGTAGGATGAGAATGGGTCATTCCATATCAATGGGGGACAAGATTATTGGAAATGTAACCCAACATCTCAGAATTGTCCAATTTTTTGTAGGGTTGCTCATACTAATGAGATAGGGTCACCCTGCAAATTTCAGCTCAATACCTTCATTCGTTCCAGAATGAGAGCCACTTGAAATTTGCACCAAATTGGCTCGAATTCTCAAATCTGCCATTTTGAATTTTTTCTGCAAGCCTTTTTGGCAAAATTTAATGTATCTTTGGAATTTTGCCCTGAAAATGTCTCATCAGGGTAAATCAATACTCAGGAGCTTGTAAATGACATCAGAAACCTGCTAGCACTTACAGAAAAGCAATGAAATGTCTGTATCAAAGGGGTTGCTTTTACCCTTAGCAACTATGCTGCCCCCATTTGTGACAATGTTACCAAAATGTGACAAATCCCAGCTTTTGTATACTGAATATATAATGTCTAAGCTTGACTTGAGCAAAAAATTAGCATTTTTTCTTGTTTTGAGATAATTATGTTTCAAAAAGTCAGATTTTAATGAAAAATTTCCAAAATTTGTATGTGATAAGGAGAACCTTTTCTTAAAAATCTAATTACAAACTTATTGTTGCAGGTAAGTGGGAATGGTTTTAATTTTGCAAAATAACTTTTAAAATAATTTTATTTAGAAGAAATACTTGATAAATGTTTTATCAATTAAAGTCTAACATTGGATTCAGTGTAGATACTCTTCAATTTTTACAATGTCAGCAGTTTCTTAAGAATAATTGCATCTGGAGTTTGGTGATAGAAATGGTGCACTCATTATCATTAAAACATTCACATTTGGAACCAAGCAAACATCATCTCTAAAATATGGTAGGTAACCCTAAAAACACCCTCTTTCTAATAAAGCCCTCAATATATAACAATGCCCTGCCATATCAGTATTTTTTGTATACACCTACTATACAATTGAATAAGCCCCTCAAAATATGGCTTTATAAGCCCCTCAAAATCTCATTAGCATGAACAACCCCACAAAAATTGGACAATTCTGAGATGGTGGGTTCCATGGGTGTCCCCCTTTGATATGGAATGACCCGAATGTTTTTGACTGAGATTATGCCACCATGTACACAGGAACATTGAAAACAGATGTGTAGTAGCAATTTAATTGTAATCATATCAGATTTTTTAAGTTTTATTCAACTACTTAAATCTTTAAGCACAGGTGCACAGTGCCTGGGGTTAAGGGGCTATAGCTGCCCTGGAGAATCAAATTTGTCAAAATTTTGGAAATTTTGCTACTTTGTTAGAATCTTCAGAAAAAGCTTTCAGCCCCCTTCAACAAAACTCCTACTTTGACCAGGCCTGGCCATTTGAGGTGAGCAATAGGTTGTGCTCACCTCTGCACTCCCCTTGGAGCCTGAGGTGAGCTGTTAACTGCTCTCCTAAACTAGATGTAAAGGGAAAATTGCCCCCCTTGAATTTTCATTCATTTCCTATTTTAATTCTTGGAATCTTGAAAACTTACAAGTGTTCATTGATTTATTTTTAAAAGCGATTTCTTGTCTTCACATTTTTACTATCAATTGTTTTTCTGTTGGGCACTTTATCATAAAGCCTTTATGTAATGGGAGTCACAAACTTCAATCTATTTTGAAATTAATAGTGAAGTGAAACATACAATTTTATGTCTTGCTTACCCCCCAAAGCCGATAGAAACAACCCCTCCATTCTGGAAATGTTCTCCATGCCCCCAGGTATCACCATGAATGTTTGGTGCTTTGTTCCAGTCTGTCAAGATTTTCACCTTAAGCGACTGGACTATATCTATTTTCTCTTTGACAATGTTTACATGGCTTTCTCAAATACTTTTCTTGCATTATCATTTTCCTTAAATTGTCCTTTGAATCAGTGGCGTACCCAAGGGGTGGAATGGGGGGTCTGGACCCCCCACTTTTCTAAAATATGGTCCTTGAGATTTGTTCAAAAACGAAGTAAAACTCATTGGGGGGGGGTAGTATACTGTAGGCTTGTGTCAATAATAATTGTAAAATGCTTTGCTATTTACTGTAGCTAACATGAATCAAAATAATGGGGGAAATTTTGCAAAAAGGGCGTTTCCCAGCATTTGTGAGTGTTTGAAGGGCGTGGTCCAAGAAAAAATTTTGGGGGCTGTGCCCCAGACCCCCCCACTGCTGCATCCCTGGGTACGCCACTGCTTTGAATATAAATTGACCTTATGACAAAGACTACTGTTCAGATGAAATATCGTGAATTTCCGTTTATAAGCGCACGCACTTTTAAGCAGGGTAACATGGTTAGGAAAGCTGAAGAAAATGAATACTTTTGTTATATATTAATTCTTTGTGCAAAGAGGATGCCAGAGCCATGGCAATAGCATAAAATAATAGAAAAAAAGTTGTGAAAAAGTAAACAATTCGACGTCATTTCAGTGCAGTTATCCAAAAATGGGCCATAAAAGGCAGTCTTGACAAATTGACACCACGCGCACAAAGTCCACAACGCAAGAGAAAAATAGTTTCTCAGAGACTGTGCGCAAAGCTGCAAAATTGAGTTGCTGGTCCTGGTGTGACAGCTTTGTGTTGCGGTTTTAATTTCAGTCAGATCTGTAAATTCGATTCATCATATCAGTCAATTGGATGATAGAAAGTTCGCGTCTATTGAGTTATGGCCTATTTCTGTCACTAGGGGGGTACAGTCACATGACAAGGTTTTGAGCCACTAAAAAGCTCTCTTCGCGGTTAAATATAGCTTTAGTCTAAAGTTTCAAAATTTACCTGAAGAAGGCTATTTACTGGCAAGCCAGAAATCTATCCGGAGGCATCAAATCAATCGAAAGCTCTCTCCAGAACCCATTTAGGCCTGCAGCTTTTGCAGTCTTTTATAAATAAATAAATACAATTTGAAGGACGAGGCTACTGGTTTGATTGGTTCCGTCCTTAAACAGCGCTATTTGATTGGATGATGAAACTGAGGCTTTGAGGAAGGTGGGTTTAGTCATTTGTGGAAAGGAACTGTCAACCTATTGTTCGTGCTGAAGGTGAAGATTTGGGAGTAACCTGTGAAACTGTGCTCGAACTACTGGTTTTCTGATTGCATTATCCACACAAGTATAATACACTTAAAAGCTAAACTGACGAGATGTCTGTCAAAACAGTTGCCAGCTATACATGTGCCATTTTTTCAGTGATTGTATTAGTGCTGTGTTTGTGTACAAATTACTGGATTGAATACCAGATTATAGACTATGATACACAGATTGGAAAGGAAAATCGCCGTTACCAGAGTAGAGCTGGGCTATGGGAGTTTTGTACCAGGGTGAAAGAAATATCCCATTCAGACTATGGAGCATTAAAATGCGAACCAGTTGGCGACAAAGAGGAAACTGGGCTCAGTGATAGTAAGTAAAGCCTTGCACACTGTCACCTTTTGACAACGATAAGATTCCCTGTCATTTGAAATTGAGTTTTTGAAAACATGTTTTAGTGTTCTTTCATGGCACTTTTGCTGTTAATGGAGCTTTTTCTTGGTCGAGAAAGGCACGTTATTCAATTCTTTTTAAAATATCCAAAATCTCTTATTTGGCACTGTTAGTCATAATTTATGAACACTTTGTTGTCTCTCCTAAGCTGGTGATCTATTGTTCTGACTTATTGTTCTTTGTTTCTGTTGCTCTTTAGTTACTAGCAATTCAAGCTCTTTGAGAGGCTTGGCAATTTTTAATTATTAAGTGCACAGGTAATGCCAACAGTTCTCCAAACACATTTCTCAACAACTTTGAACTTTTAAAAATTTATGGAGATTTTTTATAACATCACACTGAACAACTTTGTGAAGCTTTTTCATAAAAATGGAATTAAAACCTACTGATTTCTGCTTTAAAGCACTACATTTAAATCCTCTAGCCTGTCTGCTAGAATTTAGCCGATTTATTTTCACTATGATAAAATTATTGTCATTCAGGTGCCAAGTTGAAAATTTTGTGAATTTCATAAGTCGCTAAGTAGTATTTTGTGAATTAAATATATGACAGAGAAGATCATTTTAACTGAGATATCAGGCTTTAGGTTATCAAAAGTGATGTAGAGTAAACAATTTCTAAAGCTTTCGTTTAGAGATCAAAATAGTTTTCTTGCTAAACAACATAGACGCTTTGGTTATAGATGATTATTTTCATTAATTTCAAAAGAATAATAACATTGAACGTTTTGCTTTAATTTTTTGCTTGTCATGTGCTTAGATAATGAGTAAATCAGAATTTAAGATAAACAAGTCATTAACATCAAATGTAGAACAACTCATCTTGTGTCAATATTTAAACTTTAAAATTTAGGTGCACTGCTAACGTCACTTTGTCAGTTATAATTTTTTCTTTGCTGCAAATTTCAACATTTTTCGTTCACCTAACTTCAATTAAGTGACACTTCTTGGTCATCTTTCATGAATACTCAGATAATCTTTTACAGAATTGTTTTGAAGCAATGCTTCAAAGTTTTGCTGATTTTTTCCTCTTAAAACAGCAAACCAATCATTAAATTTTCTTTAAACCGAAAGTTGAAGGAATGGCAAATGCATTTTCCTGCCATAACCTATCATTTCCAAGTCCCTTCGCTTTTTCCTGTTTCCAAAGACCCAATAAATGTGTTCTTGCTATTAGTCAGGCCATTTCTAATAGCAAGATTCCTCCGTTTGCCCTTCTATTTCTGTGGCATATTGTGTTTAGAATAAATTGAATGGTCATTTCTAGTTTGTGTTGAAGGTTTCAATGATATATTGACAGTGCAAATGTTGAAAACAACCACTGGTGAGGGTGTGTTGGGAAAAATAAAGTGGCAACCATCCTCTGATACCATGATCTTTCCCAGCCACTTATTGTATAGTGTGCTAGTGCTATTATATAGTGTGCTAGTGCTATATAAGTTATTATTGTAGGCATCTCATAGGGTTTGTTTCAGCCATTACATTGCCAACCTCATATAAGTTCAATTTTTCAACCATTTTTGTTTTTTCCTAGGTAAAAGAAGTGCGATTCTTGCCATGTACATTCTGGCTATGCTGTGTACACTGGTGGCTTTCATCTTTGTTACGGTCTATTGCATCACAGACAAATACTTCTTCCCAGTAACAAGATCTGCCATACTTTTCTTTGTTTCAGGTAAAGTTTTACTAACTTTCTGGGAAACAATTTTGGGAAGAGGCACATATAAGCCTCTTCTCTGTTGTGATTAACTTGACTTCTTACATGTATTCAAAGTAAATATTAAGTTGCAGATTTGAACTAGAGACTAAGTTTTCAAAGCTGAATAAATTTTATGGATTCATGTTTATAGCTCAATGATTGCCATCATGTAAAAAGAAAAAGTATGCCTTAGAAGCATAGTGTTATCCAGAATAAAACATTTCCAGGAAAGGTCTTTTTTTTCAATCAGGTTAAGTGTTTATCAACCAAATATATTAAACCTGTCTTTAATTTGTGCAATTAAACACAATGTTAGTTATAGTTTTTTAAGATTTTTCTTAGCTTGTCAAATGCCCACATATAAGGCTTTGTTGAGATATCTGTCTCACAAAACATCATTTTTCTTGCAGCTGTTTTCGTGATCATTGGCTTAGCTATTTACACAGACAACTACATTGACAAAAAAGTTCAGTTCTCATGGTCTTATGGTGCTGGTTGGTCAGCGGCAGCAATGTACATTATCAGCATGATCTTGGTGCTTGCAGATAAGTGAGAAATTGCATAAGACTATCTGTCAGAGGTTCACAATGGAGACAAGATATCAAGGTTTCTTACAAATTCATTGTTTGTTTGTGAAAAGGAAAAAACAAAGAAAGTTGGCTATGGTAGTTAGTGTAGATTTATTTATAACATAGAAGAAATATCTGCCTGATTTATCAGAGGAGAACAGGATAATTAATCATGGATGAATGCCACATTTAGGACGCTTGTTACATATTGTCCGAAAATATGAAACTTTTGATTAATCAAAATGATGCTTTGCATTTCAAATGAGACTCGCATTGGTTTGCACAATAATCATGAAAAATTTTGGTTCAAAACTTTTGGTACCTCAGTACAAGCTTGATGCATGTACATCCCACTTTTTGCCTGAAAGTTATGCTTGTCTTGTTTGGTCAAAACATTCAGATAAATTGATAAGTCAATATTTTGATGAAGTTTGAGCCTGGCAATTATTCTTAGTAAATTCTTAATTTCCTCAGTTTTCAAGTTTTGTTATTCTTAAGATGTTCACTCCTATGAAAGTGTTATTCCTAAGTTTGAAGATGTTGTATAAGAAGGTTTATTGATATTACTGTTATTAAGTTTAAGTAAGATAGTATATAGCGAACTTAGATTTTTGGACATTTCATTTCGGCAAATTTTGTTTGATTTTGGAAATTGCATTTAAGCATTTGCCTTTTTACAAGTTAATATAAGATAGATATAAAAATGATTACTTCTAGAAAGTGAAGTGAAATTTATTGTGCTGTAATAGTTATCTAAAGCATCCATAAACCTCTAGATTCATAGCCTCCATGCAGACCTAGTGCTCCATTGCAACATACTTCTGCCCTGGCACTTTTTTGCAAAAGAAATAAAGTCTGTATGCAGGCTACTAGATTCATGGCTCTAATTCATTTCTCAATGATGTCTACTTTTAGTACTTTGTGCTAGTACTTTAGATTCCTATATTTATTTTTGCATTTTGTCAGTAACCAACTTATCTAGCACTGATTTTTCATTACTTGCTATTTATTTAGATAAGCCACTTTTATCCAAATTTTATCTTTTTTGTGTTGTGTGTATATTAATATGATGTACGATAGTCACTTTTCAATTTTTTTTCCTATTTTGCATGCAGTAGAAGGCTCACTCTCTTTTATGAAAAAGATAGTTTTCAAACAAACACTTTTGTATTTGTCTTCATCCTTTTCTGAATATTATGAAAATACCTTTATGACATCTTAACTATAGCCATCTGGTTGAAAAGCTGCAAAGATTATTGGCTTGATGTGATGCCAGTACACTGTTAAAAGCTGGCTATGTGATACATTTAGAAGCAGGAAACTGTAGAAGTCGGGTCTTTTGCAACACACCCAATAGAATTTATTTGATCAGTGAAATTTGTGGGGTAATAGTGCCTTGAAGAAAATCATTCCAGCTCCATCCAGATCAATCTTAGCTTTGTTAGGGCTACTTTTTATTTGAATGAAACCAGTGGCAGTAAAGACAGTCTTTTTTAAATTGATTAGGATTTAGGTTTCTATAATTAAGCACTTACTCCAAAGAAATCCAAGTTTGGTTACAAGACTGACATCTAGCACTTTTCGCTTTCTTTATTAACAAATTAACTTGGATTTTAATCATGAAGATACAAGGATTCAAATAAGAGCTTTTAGCAAAAACATTTTGAAATGCATGCTATGAAACCTGTTTTGTTTCTAAGCTAGGTGGGAAGTTAAGAAATTGATTGATTGTAATTATCAAAGAGTAACTAAGAGTCCAGTCAACTCTCTGGGTTTCCCTGGGACACCCCTGACTTTGCTTGCTTTCTCCCAGCCTCCTGGTTTTTAAAGTTTTTTTGTTCCTGCTCTTCCCTATCATTAAGCAGAGGTATATATTATAACAAAAATGACGGCAATGACTTATTTTGTGACACCATTTTTGTTAATGTTTACCAAATGACATAGATGCTAGAAACCATTATGAAGAGGTTCCCCAGGATGATAGTTTTTTCTATTAACTTTTGTCCAGCAAGACTTTTTACAGGTATGTTGTTTATAAATTCAACAACTTGCTGGGATCTCCCTGTTTTTGAACAAATCTTCCTGCTTTTCTTAAGAGAAATCTAAAATGTCCATGTTTTGACAATTTTAATGTTTTTTAGCATCAAAAAGGGAACAATAATACTAAAAACACTCTTTGCCTTAAAGCCAACAAAAAAACTTTCGAACGATGTGTTGGATAAGTTCCTTCCCACTGAACTGACAAAAAATGATTCTTGATTTTAGTATTAATTCTTGTTAAAATTATCTTTATCTGAAAAATTGATAAATGGATATTTAATGATTTATTTTAGCTCCAACAAGAGAAACTAAACAGTGAGAGCCATTTATTTAGTTGCACAAAAACCCTTCAATTTTCATTAATTAATTTTCATGCTCTTCCTTGAACAAATAGTTATGCATAAAAGAAATGTTATCGTAAAAGGTCATTCTTTTTCTACAAATAGTGGGCATATTTTTGGAAAATGTGTGTAATTTTCAGGAAAATTAATACGAAGTTCTTGTTATCGGTTGACAAGAGCGTATGTATAAAACGCCCTTTTTATGTACGAAGAATGAGTACATGAAGGGGGGATTTTGCTCAGCTCGATGGGCATCCATATATATATATATATTTTCTGTAGCCTTGGTTCCTGGTTCCAATGTACAGGGGGTTGCAACTTCCACAGGGAGTTGACATTTTGACATCTCTATGCATTTTGCTTTGCAACAACAACAACAACCAGTCTGTTGCCGCAAAATGGAGATATGTTTGAACTTTAGGCAAGGATCCTCTCGAGAATAAGGGTTGCAATGTGGCAATTGCTGAGAAAAGATGCCTGGTCAGTGGTCAGACGCAGGTTGGTAGTTGGAACTGAACAAACCGCTTGCAGTAGATCTACAGTTTTCAAGCGGTGCCTCGTAACCTATGTGCAAGGACAGTCTCCTCGCAAAGGTGTCCGAGAATACTTTTACTACATCGATCACCAAGGTCAGGTAAATAAATCTATTTTGTTATCTTGTCCATGAGAAAAATTCAAATGAGTTGGATTACATTTGTTTGTTTTGTGTAGCATGCAAATCTTGATTTGAACATCGAAATTATAACTAAACTTGCTATTTTACTTTTCCAGCTATTCCTAGATGACACGAAAGTGAAAAATTTCATCACTTGCTTCAAAGGTCAGTTCTTTTATCCGGTAGTTTATCTTCTACATTACTAAAAGTTTGATCGGGTGTGTTTTCTTTTTCTACCAAAAGGGTGTTCTCTTATAAAAATTAATTCTGTGGTTGACAGCCTGCAGATGAAACATGCACTTATGAGATATTATTTCTAAGACATCCCTGCACACTTAGTACAGGGTGTGGCATTTTGATATCTGGGCGTGACATGGGTGTGACTAACTGCTTAAGGCAATTGAAAATTAGGTTTCCTCGAGGTTGACATAGTCTTGCATGTTTGATAATGTAAATACTATCAATCAGAGAAATTTTCTTATCTTCATTCATATTTGCTTCTTAATTGATGTCCTTGGGCTTATTCCCACTTGTGTGCACCATTGAAATGCATACTTCTACCAAAGTAAACACTTGCACACTTGAAATTTTGCTCTTGCACATGCAAAATATCAATGAAAACTGCCTTGCTCTGCTGTCCGGCTTAGACAAATTGTGGTACCATGACATCAGAAAAAAAATGAGACATGGAACAGCCTCTAATGGAATTTTATAATGCTTTTATCATTTATTATTAAAACTGGTGAGAAAAACCACATCAAAGTCAGAGACCTGAGCATTCATTAATTTGTCATTTACTTCATCAAAGACCTGATTATATAACAATAAGGACTAAAAAAGCAAATGACATGTGATTAAAGCCCTGTTCACACGATACCAGATCATTTCGTATCGGATCGCTTTTCATATCGGTTAGGCCTTCTGTTCACACGATGACGCTTGAATCCGATACGCTTTGTAGCATTTTTGTGGAGTTAAACCATTCCGCTGAGAATTTGGAATGGAATTATATCGGATCACTTTTGAGCTCATGTGAACGCATGAATCCGATTTGTTTTTGCTTTGGAACCTCTGTTTCAAAAAAGCAGTTTCGTTTTTGGGGCTTTTAAAAACAGTTTGGCACTCTTTTCAAGACTCAAAATCAGAGTGGATCACAGTTGAAGAATAAATATGCTCCTTGCGATGATGATGAGCTTCACAAGATTAATGCAAAGGAAAATTAGATTGTTTGAAAATTGATTTGCACTCGTCAAAGAATGCATTCAATCAGAAAAAGAGCAAAACAACGAGCAACATTGCATGTTGCTTTGCAACTGCTTCTAGACAATATTTTTTGGAGCAGTGTCGAAGTGCAAACTGTGCAGACTTGAAGGATTCCAGGCAGGCTTGTACTAGCATACAGGACTATGTTTACTTGCAACTTATTTAATAAACTTCTCAAAGTTAGTTGAACAAATCTCCTTTGTTGTTGTTAGACCTGAATTTAGATCTTGTAAATAATTTGAATTAAATGATAGCTTTTGTGACAAAAAAGCAACAACGATATTAAATATAATAATATGTACTTACTTATGCTGTGTTTCCCCTTGAATGCAGCTGTTTGAATCTGGATCATTTTTAAATCATAGTTGAAATGCTGAGTTCGAGGTAAAATGTTAGTCACAATTTTGTTTCTTTTTTGCAGATAAACAGTTTCTTGCTTTCTTTTTCACAAGATTAAAAATAAACAAGACTGGAGTTTTTGAAAAAGATTTTCCATATGTTTCACCTTGTGGCAAAGAGATGAATTACATCCACTGTGATGACCATCCAATTGTATTTAGTAACTTTATTCTACCTGAAGACCAAAGTGGGCAGCAAGACCAGTGGCTTTTAACATACAATGGCATTGGACCAAAAGTGAAATTTGAATTTCAGCCTAAAAAGCTCTGCATGTTGCCGAGTGGGCGAATCTATCACCCAGGTCCTGAAAAAGCTGGTGGTGTTGGATTAGTGAAGTCTAGCCTTGCCATTGAATTGAGCCAAAACTTTGTACATAAAAATGGCAACTCTGAGCATGACCCACCAACCCATTTTGTTTGGAATAATGTTGAGCATGAGCTAGATAATGAATTGTGGGAATTTTTGCAAGGGCACGGTCTTTAGAAAAATTGTGTATAATTGCATTGCATGATCATTCAAATCGCTGGAGGAAAAATTCTGAATTTTTTCCAAATTTTTCATATATTCTTCAGAAAGACTCGTAAGTAAATGCAAGTAAATTTTCATTTCTCTCACACGTTTTTGCAGACATATTTGAGTAAGTATTTTGAAGAAATATATTTAAATATGTAAATGAATGATTTTATTGAATTTGCTCAAAAAGTCTCGGTCCCAATCCATTTTGGTATTTAAACAACTCAACTAGGCATCTCTTATTTCTTGCATGAAGTACAGCTTGCAGTTTCTCTCTTGGCCTCTCTCTTGATGATGGCTAAAGCTCTATTGCAGATTCTTTCATATTGTTATGTATACATATTTAACATATCAAGTATGGTATATCTGTATTACAACATCTATGGTAGAATCATAACTTCATAGATCGTTTCTGCTACCCATAGGCTAATGTTATGTTATATACAAGCCAGCAGTTTTGCTCTCGAGAAGTCTTTTATGTAGGTCTGTGCAAGATGCTGCTTCATGGTCAACTTTTGTCCAACCCTATATATTTGTACCAGTCCGTTTCACTAATCACCTGATTGTTCAACAAAATGCTTACTTTTGTAGTGATAGCATCTAAGCCTTTGTTCACATTTTTTTGTTCCTGTCGTGTTTTCATGCTACGCTTTGCTGCTTGTATATGCTGCTGTATTTATTTAGGAAAGATAATAACACGACGAACGTCTCTTACTATCAGCTTTGCTCTTCAATAAATCGTCCTTCGAAATTGTACTTTATCAACAACAGAGGTTGTTAAACTTTCCATAAGTTTGGGAGTTTTTGGTGTTTTCTGGATAGTACAAATCCAGTTTTTGTTTTATTTTCAGATGAAGAACGAGATTGTTATTTTGAATTTATTTAGGGCGTTATGAAATCCAAGGTTGAGCATTGAATCATTTCTTTTGCTGTCTTTTTCGGACCTTTGTAAGCTATCAAGTAATTTCATTGATCACTATTTTAAACAGCAGTAGACCTGAAATGGATCCTTGCATAACTTCACAGCTGATTGTCAATCTTCTGAAGTACTTCGAAAATATGCAGGATGTTCCTTTTTGAATTTATTACTCTAAAGAATATATGTTCGTTTCCATGTACTCCATATATTGGTAATTTAGCCAGCAATGATCTATTGTTTCTGAAAGATCAGAGATTACATGATTGCATCTTCGTCGTGAACCAAAGTGATATTCTGAACGAGGGTCGTTCTCTTGGATACATGTATAATGATTGATATGCATGATGTGTTTGAAGACCTTCGTTAGAACTAGTGAAAATGAGAGGGAGAGATAGTTTTCACCATTGTTTTGCCACCAGATTTTATATGTGGGAGTTATTTTGGCACGTTTGCTTCGATTGGGAAAACTGAATATGCTAAGCATTGCTCTATCAAATGTGACAGTGGCGCAGCAAGCACATTTGTCCTATCAACGATTAGGGACTGCGGTATCTAGTCAAAGTTGTGTTCTCCCTAGACGATGTCTGATAGAGACAGATTTTTTTAATATATTGTTCTCAATAGCTGTTAAAACCGACGAGATTCGTTTGCGACTGTTTTTTATCATCTGTTTGCTTTGTCATTGACTTTGAAAGCTTTGGCTTGCTTTTAATCGTTTCAAAAAATCTTTCGATTTGTAATTGCTTTCCCGAAATAGACCTCTTTTAAGTGCTACTTTGCTTTTTCACGACAAATCTCATGATATGCAGACCATGAGAAAGCCATTATCCGCTCTGGTCATTCTTCCCACAACAAATACATTGCCAAAATTACTTGGAACAACCAACATTTTTTCTATTTTTCATTTCTTTCCCAAATGCTACTTCTTCTAGCCCCCTTCCCCCCTGAACATTGTTGAAAGTTTAGAAAAATACCATACAAACCCCAAAGAAAGCGTACTCCGTAGGCGCGTTTGTTCGCAAAGACTCTATTCGAAAAAATACCTCAACTTCTCCACGATTAAGATATAAAGATGACAACAAATAAATCCCCCTTCCTCTAGAATACAAACAACTGTTCTTGCTCTTGCAATCTTTTCGTCCTCTTCGTCCTAGCTTCTTTTCCAACTCACTCTCACTTTCTTCCAGCCTCTCTCTGCCGGGGGTTCTGCATAAATTACATGAAAATACTAATAATAGGATAAAACTTAAGGGGGTATCTAAGGGAGCTCTCGCACCCTTTTTTCTATAGTACATCAGCACTGTTTGTAAGGGGAGAGGGGGTGGCTGAATTTGCCTTCGAAACTGATCTTAGTGTTCCAAGACTTTTGGCAATAATTGTATACGCCTGTTGAAGGCATAATTGGTATCTTTCAAACCAGAAACCTGTTTCCATGGCTTAACCTTGAGAGTTTCTTTGAAAATATTTTCTCAATTACATGTAAGGATCTTTAAAATGGCTTTGAAAGAACAAACATTTCACAACATACTACTAAAAGCTTTTTCGTATGACACTCCTCAAAGCATAAAACGTCAGAATAAGGGTCCAACACAACAAGATAGAAATATGTACCCAGTTGTTGATCGAAATAAGCCAATCCAAAAATGCAAGCACATAGAAAAGTAACACTGGATTCAAAGCCATTTTCGAGAAACTTCAAAGACATTATAAAGTTTTGTACCGCCAAAAAAGTGTGGCAATTTTTTTTATCCTCACTACCATGTGGTCATAACCAGCTTTCCTCCGTGATTTGCTTCGTGCCATTATGCGCGGGCGTAGCTGTTATTTTATCGATTCCCGTGTATGTTTTTTGTGACCGGTAGTGCACTCTGTCCTATTTGCTCTACCAGGTTGTTTATTTTGTTGTGACACAGTTAAAGTCATCAAAAGCAATTGTTTCTATGTTTTCGTTCAAAGCTGTTTTTAGAATCTCGCAAAAATTATTGTCAAAGTTAGGATCCAGATTTTTGAGCTCAAGGGATTCAAAATACAAGCTATATTGGATCGAGAATATCGGAAAGCTATACAGGCCTCATTGCTGTGTTCAAACACGACATCATTCCTCACTTAGCAGTCAACGCCTCCAATTGATTGATACGATTTCGTATATTTTTAGAGGGTAACCTTTCAGCTAGTGCTGGTCTTAATAGGGCCCTCTATTTTGGATCTATTCAATACAACGAAAGTAATATACATTTTAGCATTGCTCTAAAGTAACACCCAGAAGCATAGTTACAATGAATGGAAAAGCATAGTAATTCCAAACCTGATCAGTATTACAACGCTGAAATTTACAAATATATGCAAGGTTAAAAGATCTAGAACAGAATATCTACATATTAAGGCTCGACCAAGCCAAGAAACATTGTCATATGCATCGTTGCATACACGGAATTTTTTTTATTTGTTTGTGTGATCCAAATTGTTGTGGTCAATTTTGTCTGACAAAGCAAATTCTGTCAATGTTATGCTGTAGATGATTTTAGTTGAAAACTAGTGGGACGAAGTCTGAAATGGAGGTGAAACGAAAAGCAGTGACCTTGCAAAGTCTTGCAGAGATAGACAATGGTCACAGAACAGGGACTTATAGGGTCTGTTAGATCAAAGTCATTGGTTAGATTTTAGCCAAGGAACTTGCTTTTGAAGAGCAGGCCTATATGGAAAAAAAAGAACGAGGTACGGTCAATTTCGATAAATACTGCATTTTATAGAGGTAGACTAGTCCACAAAATTTGGGAGACCAACAGGTTCAGCAGAAAGACTGCGCATTGGATCACGCACGGCTTAAACCAGCATTGAATTGAATTTTCCGGCAACAACATGCTAGACTAGGAAATATTTGTCTAAAAACAGAAAAGTAGTTCCGCAAACTTAAGAATCATTCTCTAACTGGCGTGAGAATATCATTTTTGCCGATTAATGGTAGACATTTGTCAAATTACAGTTCGCAAGGGCCAAGTTCGGCGAGTTTCTTTAAGTTTTGCGTTAACACAGCTACTAAAATCTCTGTACTGTGAGATATAGATTTCCAGCTTTGTTCAGTCTTAATTTTTTTGCCTGTCACCTTTTTTCAGGGTCTGGTGTACTGTGCCTCATCAAATCATACTGTGCAAGTATTTGCTAAATTCAAGGAAACTTTCTTCCTCGACAACAGCTGTGAATCTAGATTCCCTTTCATTTTTTTTCCCACGCCATGTGTCCATTCTTGCCTAAGTATTCTAAGACATCTACTTTTCTATCTAGAACATGGAATGGCTTCAGTTCAAGATAAGATTAGTGAAACTCTCCTTGCACATTCGCAATCCATTCTTCTGGCACAATGTCATTGATAACATTACCCCATCAAGTTTTTTGTCCAGACCTTTGCCGAAATTTACGCACAAATTTTCTTCCTAGATGCTTTTTTTAAGAATTCTTCTGATGTACTGGACCCTTGAAGTGCTCTAATCAACAATAGAAGATAATGTGCACCGAGTGATGTAAGCTCTGTTATGAATAGCGAAGCTTGCCGCTGAAATTTTAGCCTAATTGTGTCAAAATCACCTCCGCGCTATGAATCGGTAACAAAACTTATCCGGATAGCCCATTAATTACCCGATGCTGGATAACTCTGAGATCGTCTAGCTAGAAGAATCAAAAGTTGTACGGCTAACCGAATCAATTTTGATACGGATAGCCCAGTACTCGTGTAAACGGAAAGCCTACACACGGTCCGGCATCGTGTAAACGCAGCCTAAATTTGCTTGCTTTATAAAAACGTAACTATAGCAGATTATTGCTGATTACCAGATCGTGCAAATCAGAAAAATTATATTGTTTTGAATTCCAAAACGTTGGCGAAATCTACATAACCCTTGAATGTCAACCAGGGCCGTCAGAAGCGAGAAAGGGGCGGGACTGTTCGGAGGTAGATTTCTGTTCCCATGAGCATTGGACTGATCGAGATACGCCTGTAGTTGGAAAGTCTATAAAAGGGGATTGGCGGAACAAAGGCTCTTTTAGTTTGAATAACCCTATTTGGAAAACTTTCAGCTGAAGAGCCAGTGTCCCGTAGACCAGTGTTCCGGTGGGCCAGTGTTCCGGTGGCCCAGTGTTCCGGTGGCCCAGTGTTCTTGTGAGCCAGTGTTTCAGTGGGCCAGTGTTCTGGTGAGCCAGTGTTCCGATGGGCCAGTATTCCGGTGGGCCAGTGTTACGGAGAACCAGTGTGCCAGTGTTTCGGTGGACCAGTGTTCCGGTGGGCCAGTATTCCGGTGTGCCAGCATGCCCTGGATTCTGAAAAAAAAGAGAAAGAAGGCAAAGTTTTGAAGCAAGCTGTCAAATCAGCAAGAATTGTTATCCAGTTCCTTGAGACCTTAAATAATGCTGATGTGTGATATGACTCAAGCCTCTTGCGCCTTGTAATTTCATCCCAGCATTTTCGATCCTGTGGAGCCACTTCCTACACAATCTTTCCAGCACTTCCTTTGTATTTGTATTTGTATTTTTGTATTTGTTTCTACCTAGCATCCGAAGGTAGTTTTTAGGACACTGAGAGGCTTATGCTTATCGAGCAGCTTCCTGGTCCTTCCTCTCGATATGACCACACCTCGTGATTCCTATGCCTGGAATTACACAGATCTGGCTTCTCTTCTCATTCTGGGTGAAAGTTTGGTCATGCTAGGGACGCGAACCACGGACCCTTGACAGATTCTGTACTGTGAACAATGAGTTTTTAATTGAACTCAACGGTAGGAGAAAGAAAACAGAGGATCCGAGTTGAAAACAGTAGAGTCTTCACGCAGGCTACATTGTTTGCAATTCTGGGATAATAGCCTTTTGTTTTTTGACAATTATCGCTAAGGCATCTGCATTCATAAGGCCTCGATTCTATTTGTTCAAATCAAATATTTGCAGATCAATATCTATGAAGAAAAGAAAGAAGGTGAGTGCAGATCCTTGTTGGACTCTTAGACCCCGTTTACACGAGACCGGTTCCAAAAAGGTCCGTATCCATTTGAGTTCACTTCCTCCTGTTCACACGGGACCGTCTCTTAAAAAGTTCACTTACGCTTTCTGTTCACACGAGACCTGAACTCAAGATCGTTTGTCAAAGAAAGCTCAAAACACTCGAGTCGAAGGCCCCTATTACCGTGACAACAAAAGTGAAAAGGCGCCAAATTCGCTTCGCTTTCGCTTTATTTCTAAAGTTACTCCAACAGGTTTCTGTTCTCCCAGGCCTCGTTCAGAAGGTTCTTCTCTTCCATTTCTTTTCAGTTCTCAGCTTGTGCAAAACGATCATGTCGTTTGGAGCTCTGCTCTGCTAACGCAACCAACCTGTTTTGTCGCGTTTGATGAACCTTTGACATTAGGGTTGCGAACAAGAAACCACTGCTAACTGCTGCAGAGAGTGCACATAAAACTGACATCAAATTCAACGTTATTTTGAACGATTTTTCCATGATAAGAGCGTACTTGTTTCTTGGCGATTGTCACGATGATGCGTAAAAAGGGCGCCAAAGCGAACAAACGAATGGTTCCTCTTGCTACAGCCTCTGTCGCCGGAGAATTTACCCTCGTTACGGTAGCGTAGTCAAAAAGATCCAGTTTCGGGTGTTAAGACGAGACCAAGTGAGACCGGCTCCAAATGAGTACGCTTTCGTAGGTGAACTCAAATGAGTACGGCTAGGTGGTTTCAAATTAGTACGGTAAGGCAGGTCTCGTGTAAACAGAACGCCTAAGTGAACTCAAATGGATACGGATCTTTTTGGAACCGGTCTCGTATAAACAGGGTCTTACTCTAATTTCAAATTATTGGGTTCCTTTTCATACAAGTTGATAACTCATGCTGATGGTCGTCTGAAATTTTCGTTCACTGGCTCGATCAATGATTCAGCTGTATCGCTGCCTCTTGATGTCCGTACAACATTTCCTACGGACTGTAACAAGATTTTCCTTAGAAAAAGAGGCAAAGTACATCGCTCAGTTCCCCCTTAGTTCTTTTCTTGTACTTATTTCATTATTTACAATGCATCCATTCTTCTAGTCAATTGCTTGAATCAAACTATATTTCTAAACTGGCGTGCCACTGCCATAAGGATTTATTCTTTCTTTAAAGAATTTATCTTACACGGTGACAAATAATGCTGGATGTTGCTGCTGGTGATGCAACGATATTCGAAGCCGATTTTCATTTACGCAAAAGGTTTGAAACTGATACTCCTATTTCTGAAGTATTACTGAAATTAGCAAATGCAGCATCCAAACCAATCTACAGTACTTGATGGCAGAAATATACCAGGCAAAAATAACTTAAATCTAGTTTTAAAGGTGAAATCTGAAAATTTGCATCCAGGTGTAGATCGAAATTAACATGAGAATAAGAAAAAAGATTTTTAGCTTTGTTTCGGTGATTGTCCAATGTTTAGACTCTGAAAAGAGGCGGACGAAAAGTAAGTCAGTATGCCATGTTTCCGCTATTTTGCGATAAGAAAAACTAATCCAGTTGTATTTATGCTTTAGAGCTTAGTGCAGAATTCATACTCATGTGCAACGTAGAAAGAGCGAGGTGTATATTCAAAATTTATGATGATTTGACATAGAAAATTATCCCAGGATTAGAAAATGAATCTATCTATTATTTATTAACGAGAAATGTTCTTATCATGTGTTCTGTTAACATGTCATTTCTCTTCTAAATGAACTGCAGCCCACGAGTTAGTTGCAGATGCGCTTGATGTACGCTGAGTAACAGATGCCCCTATCGACCTCCGATTGTCGCGTTTCAAGATAGGTAGGTGAATTTGAGATTTTTGCCGTTTGAATGATCCTGGTTTGTTCAAAAAACAATTTAGAATTTCGCTTTATGAAATTTTATTTTTATCAACAAAAAAGCCGTTTGTAAAATAGTTTTCCTAATGATATTCTGAAAGTCTTGGAAGAAATATTCGCGACGGTAAAGCCTTGTTCTCATACATCTCAGATCGTTGGCGACTGTCGCCGATGCAAGTGTTATCATATACTGCTTGTCTGCGATAACCTCTGATCTTTTGGCCCTGTTGTGACACCGTGAAAGTACGTCAGGGAATTAACATTTGAAACATGTTGGTCATATTTTGAAACAATAGAAAGTACTTCGCTGATGCCGGTACTACCAAATCTTCTACTTGCTTTCAATAAACATGTGGAAAAAACCGTTCTTCGTCGTGCCTTGTATCATCATTCAGCCTTTAGACATTTCCGTTAATTTTGTAATTTTCTTCCAGCAATTAGCTTATCCTCTTCTATATTTGAGGCCTTTACATGATTGATCGTAAATTGGTTTAGATTTCTTCGATAAATTGAGAAACTGATACATTTTGTTCGGCGCAAATGTGGCCATAGTGGTACACTGGAATAACAGCGGATTAGGAACTAGGATTTTAGGCTTTTTAGATATATGCTAAAAGGGTATAGTATACAAAATGCACTATTTAGAGTCATAGAAACATGGAAGAAATGTCTAGATGAAACCGGTTTAGTGGGGACAATCATGATGTATCTGTCAAAAGCATATGATTGCATACCCTATGATTTACTAACTGCTAAACTAGAAGCCTAAAGTTTCAAGAAAAGTGCATTGCAAAAATTTTACAGTCACCTCACAAATAGAACCCAAAGAGTCAAAGTAGAATCAGCGTATAGCTCACCAAAGCGTGTCTCAATAGGGGTACCACACGGCTCCGTTTTAGGACCATTGTTTTCAATATATATATAAACGATATGTTTCATATAGAACGTGAATAACAAATATGTAACTTTACTGACGATACGACAATATACGCATGCAACACCACTGTCGAAGCAGTCGTAACAAAACGAGAGGGTGACCTACAAAATTTGGTTGATTGGTTTACAGAAAATGGCACGAGTACTAACCCTTCAAAATTCCCATGGGTGTTCCTAGGACGAAAAGACAAAAACAAACTATGCCTGAACATGAAAGGCCTGCTAATACAACCAAGCGAAAATCTGAAACGTCTTGGTGTTCATATCGATAACACACTTAAATTCGAAGGGCAGGTGAAAGAGCTTTGCTAGAAAGTTAATCAAAAAGCAAGTGCATTTGGCAGGCTAAAAGCACTTTTAGGGCCACAAATATCAAAGATATTGCTAAATTTTACTGCGTTGTTAAACTTTTCATACTGCCCTTTGATCTGGGTGTTCTGCAGCAAAGTTGCAAATAATGAAATTGACAAGACCCTTAAACGAGCACTGAGAATATGATACGTGGACGACGATTCCAGATTTCCACAACTGCTGGATAAGGATGAAACGAAAACAATACATAAGAAAAACTTAGAAAACTTTATGGTAGAAATTTATAAATCGATCAACCATAATAATCCGGAATACGTGTGGGAGTATTTCGTTAAAAAGGATATTCCGTATGATCTCAGAAATAAGGAACTATGCAACTCCCCTTAACAAAAACCCAGGGTTTATATTAGAGGGAGTTTGATGTGGAATTTTTTCGACGATCTGGCTCTGATCGGTGGGAATGGCTCTACATAGACCTAGACCCCGGGAGCGATTGGGGATGGGGGCGTGCAGTCAGAAGAGTAAGGTAAGATAGACGATTAAAAATAAAAAGCCGTTGAGGCATTATATTTTTTGTTGTCAGCGAGTTGATTTTTCTTTATCTTTTACTGGCTGCATAATTTGATTATGCTGTTTGTTTACTTCCCTGGATATATGAACTTTTTTAAAGTTGTTAAGGTGTAGTTGTAAATTATAGATAAAGTACCTTAACAACAAAAAAATTAAATTTTCGGTGAATAAAAAAAGATGAAAACTTTTTTAATAATAATCCCCATTGGGTAGTTGGGAGCTTGAGCACTCTCTTAGAATTTATTGAGGTACGGCTAGATAATGCATAATAGAATTGCAAAAAAACTAAAATGGCAACATTGTCGGCATTTTTCTCAGTTTATGCGAAGGCAAAGAGAAGGTTTAGAATTTTTCAGCACTTGAAGTCAAAGTTTTGGTAAGACAATAAAGAAAGCTGCCATGTTCTTTTTAAACATTTGCATAAGAAGGCAGTGAGCATTAAAAAAGATTTTTGCTCTTTTTCAGTTTAGATTTTGTGACGAAAATGCAAAATACCTGGAGCAAATGAAAAAAATTGTACAGTTTTGAAAAGGCAGAGCCGGAGCTTTTTGAAATCGGTGACAAAACACAGTTAGAACGATGATTGGAAGGGATGATAATGATGACGATTAAAATGAGGACAATTATCTTAATTTGCATTGACTAGATTTTAATTAAAAGGATACAGAAAAATGTTATCTCTAGCCCCACATAATAGTAACAGTATCCAACTCTCAAAATTCTTAAAAGCAAAAAACTATATTGAAATTTAGTCGAAGAATATTTTATCAAAATATTGGTCTGAAACTTTGTTACGACGAAATTTTGATGTAATATGTTCATATACTGATGTTTTCATAGAGCTTTTTTGCTGTTTACAGAGCCTCAGTGGATATCTAATGAAGGTTGGAGACAACATTTGACGGTTTGGGAGACTTTACAACTGAATCATGAATTCAAGCAATGTTAATGACACAGTTACAGCAACTGTTGTATGTCATGGCTTCAATAAAATTGGATACTTTTTTGCATCAAAAGCTGTCATTTCTATGGCTTCGATTTCGATATTGTCAAGCTTCTCATTCTGTATAATCGCAATGGTTGGCAATACACTTACATTGTACTCGATCTGGAAAGCCTCGCTCTACTCTAATCCATCCTACACGATAATAGCAGGCTTGGCAATAACTGACTTTCTAAGCAGCATCACTGTTCTCCCTCTCAATACTGTGATACGTTTCCAAGATATATTCAACATCCACAGCTGCGTTCTGAAGCACATTTTTGCAACTGTTGCAACTATATTGGTCGGTTGGTCGACGATAATGATGTGCACTATCAACATAGATCGCTTTATAGCCTTGTATTTCCCACTCAGGTTGAAAGCATGGAATCTTAGTACTTGGTACTCTGTGTTGATTGCATCAAGTTGGAGCCTCTTTTTATTGTATGCGTTGTTAGGAGCATCAAATATTCTTTCTTTGAAAATTTTCTTTTCACTACAAATGTCAATGGTTATTTTTGCTCTTGTATTCATTTCCGTCATTCAAGTTTTGGTTTATCGTTTGATAAAAGCCCGCCAGCGGAGGTTGGCTGTCTTGGCACCCCGGCAAAGTACAGCCCAAATGATCGATGCTATTGAACAAAGAAAACAAAGGAAGTGCAACAGAACCCTTTTCATTGTAACTGTTGCTTTCTTTATCTGTTACTTGCCAAGATTTGCTGTATTGGTTGCTTTACGTCCTGTGAAAAGTTCATCATTCACGCTGATTTATATAGGGAGTAGATGGTCAGAAATCGTACTTTTCTCGAATTCCGCCCTAAACCCAATCATTTATGCTATTAGGTTGCCAAAAATCAGAAGACATGTTTTCGAGTTTTTGCGTCGCGTCTTTCCTTGGTTTGAGAAACAGCACACGTTAGACACCACACGTTAGACACCACACATTAAGCACCACACATTAAGCACCACACATTAGACACCACACCTTAAACACTATTGAACATCAGAAGTTGTGCACCACTCATTGGACACCACACGATGGACACCACACATCGCACACCACACGTTGGACACCACACATCGGACACCACACGATGGACACCACACATCGCACACCACACGTTGGACACCACAAGATGGACACCACACATCGGACACCACACGATGGACACCACACATCGGACACCACACGATGGACACCACACGTTGGACACCACACGTTGGACACCACTCGTTGGACATCACTCATTGGACACCAAACGCTGGACACTTGCTATATTATGGTCAATTTACAAAAAAATTTAGCTAATTCTGCATTTCTGGAGGTTTATTACAGTGGTTTTTCGTGATTTAAGGTCAAGTGTCAATATTCTAAAAATGATGTCACGACTCAATTTCTCTTCGAAGATTTGCCTATAACAAATCCTAGCTGAAGGGATCATTTGGCGAAATCATTGTCGCTATTATTCATGCTGATGACAATGTTTTTGTTACGTTTGCTCTTTGTCAGAAACTCCAATGTCCTCGTAGTTTGATACAAATTTTGTTTATATGAAGGGGTATGGTTTGTTTTTGTTTATATGCAAATATCAAATTATATGTAGGGGTATGGTTTGTGATTATGAAATTATTTTGTTTTACACAAAAACATTTTAGTTGGAAATTCATCTAAATAGGAGCCTACGAAGGAAGTATAATTCTTTTCCTGTTCCATTAATTAGTAGGCATTGATCTGAACTGTTAGTCATGTGTCTTTTGTTATCTAACAAAGATACTTATATATTGTTAATTATTACTTAGTTTTAGTTAGTCGGAAATGCTGTAGTCATGAAATAATTATGATTTGATACGTGGACCAAATCTCTCTTTGAGTTACGTCCCCAGTTGGGCAAGCAAAGCCTGTTAATTGGTATGCCTTTTAAGAGCAATTGCCTCATCTGAAGACCCCTCGGATTATGTATAGGGATAGCCTGCGTCACAGACCAAAAACTTCCGTGAAGTGTATGGACATAACTTAGCTTTTGGTGGAATGAAAGGAATGGATTTTGTCAAAATTGATTTGTCATTGATTCGCTCCTGGGTCAATCAAAAAATAAGTGTCGCAAATTTCACAACAACAAAAATACTACTCACAAGACTAATTATACTAGAAATAGCTCTTGCTAGTACTGCCCGCAAACAATTAGTTCCTTGATAATGATTGTTTTGAAAATTTAGGTCAGGATATTCGAAGAAGACACCATCTTGGGTTTTCACAATTCTATAAAAACAGCTGCTCTAGTTGATGCTAAACTATTCTTTTTATCAAGAATTTTTGGTGTTCAGTTTGCCTTTGATTTAAGTCCAACGCCCTTTTGGAAATCATGAAGTTTTTCGAGGGTTTGACATTTATTTTTCGATAATCACGACAATCATAACTTTTGCTCGTACGGTCTCGAGTTTTTGGGAGAAAAGTGTGGCATTCGACTGGTTTTGATTCCCAAAACTTCGAATCAAAACTTCCATCCATTGCGGAGAACCGAGCTGTGATGCAGCACCGTTTTTGTGCCAAAAAAACCGAAGGCCTTTAACAGAGTCTTGGCAGAGCAACGCTCCGAAGATAATTCCCTTCCGCACAAAGAGGTGGCGGTTAACGACCTCCTCGACAAAGCCGATTGATTGACAATGAAATTAATTGACAGTTGTCATGGCAGCAGAAAAGTGACAAAATCTGCTGAAAAAGTGCTGACAACATGAACTGAAGCTTCCATATGCTACTTATACGCGGGGCAGACTATAAGCCCTTCACTCGCGCGCTATCGCGCGCGAGTTGCGGGCAATAAACCGAATGATGTTACCAGAAAATTCCTAGGAAGATAACTAACGAATTTAAAAGATAAGGTATTTTAAACAATCCTATATGAGAAAATTAAGAAATAACGATAGTTATAGATCAATGTGCAAACTAGCCCTGTTACATTGGTAATCAATGGATTTGTGCGTGTCGTACGTGTTGCTCGAAACGTTGTACTAAATATCAATTTCTTGTTCTAAGACGTCATTTTATTGTATCGTTTTTTGTTTATAGCTCCATTACAGTATATTTAACTCTACCACTCTTTTACCTGGCAGTGTTCAGTCACGGGCCCTATCTTTGGCCAAAAGAGCATCGAAGTGATGACGTCACAAAAATATGTCTAAAGGATTTTCATTTTTGGCCATATAGCCCAAAAAGCAATGCGCTAAAAGAAAATGTACAAAATCACTTTGTGTGTTACTTTGACCAGGCCAGAATAACAATGATCCACTAGCAAAAATGAAATCATTCATTGGTCATGTCTCGGCAAATTTTGAAATTATCTAACTGTTTTTCATATTAAGAGATATTTTATCCCGTTATTTCAGAATATGTGGTAAAAATTAAGATATTCCAATTATATTTTGATGATGTCACCTTTCGGTACTTCTTTGAAATTGCGCCGCCCTCATTGTCCTCGTTCTGAAACCTACATCTTCTCGGCATTACTTCCTGGGCATAAACTTTCGCCAAAATAATGCAGTTGTTTTGATCCAGTTTACGTAGACCCTGACAAGAACAACTTACGACGACAATGGCTATGCAGCATTCACTCCATCGTCATTTGCTGTTGAATGGGCTAAGCAGTTGGATAATTTATCTAATATGCACTAGTTGGATCACAGTATCACTTTCGTTTGTGCCCAGTATGAATAAGACAATCCAATTTATGTCCGAAGAAGGCAACATTGCAGTTTATGATAAGGCTATGCCAGAATGGATCACTTTGAAGCTAGAGAGTTTTTTGTTGAGTGGAGAACGATGGCACTACCAGTACCCAGACAAGTTAGCGAATATTACCCAGCGAGGAGGTGGAAATTTGGACTGGCTTGCACCTTTATCTCCTGAATTTCTAATGAAAACCAAGTCCTGGCTGGTGTTTCAGAAAATTTTAGAAGATTTTACTGGACTCAGTGATTACATGGCATATCAAGTGCAGGGTGTTATGCTTAGAAGAGGTGATTTCCCAACCATCATTGAAGGTAAGGATGTGCATAACCAGACCATTTTTTGACCAGACCAGACCATTGGAGCCAGACTATTTTTTAAACTCCAACACTGGAGGTTACCGGTGTCAAAAATTTTTGTGCCAGTGTTTAGACATAACCAAACATATTTATTGAAACAAAAACCATAGTTGAAAATCTCACCATGACCGTTAATTCATCAATGGCTTATAATCATAGTTTAGAGAAAAATTCAAAACAAAAACAATTTGACTCAAAGGATAGTAGTTTGGGCTCGTTTTGTTCCAATATTAAAAATGTAATAGCTTGTACAAATGGATAATGTAGAAAGCTTACTACATTCAACGCGTAAGGACATTTACTTTTTTCTTCGTCAATCAAAAGTGAGCATGTTTTAGATCTGACCAGTTATTGTTTTGTGCAAGTTTTATTAAACTCTTTATCATAGGGTCCATAAGTGCAGTGGTGCCACGGGGGGCTGAGCCCCTCTTGTTAGATTTAAGAGAGATTTTGAGGGGCTCAGCTTTCCTTAAAAAACCATTATATGTTTGTTTGGGCGAATTCCTTACTTGGCAATGTAAATTAATCCTTTATAGTGCTATTGATTTTTTTTTGAATGAGCCATTTCTATTAGCCTGTTAGAGTCAGGGAATAGTTTTAAAGATTTCATATACATAAAACAGAATATTTAACACAATGTAAGTATTAAGGGTGCAATCATAAGTATAGTCTTGGGTGTGGCTTGAAGACATTCCCTACAGCACAGCCCCCTTCCTAGCCTTTTAGGGTGACAGCCATATTCTAGAGTACTAAAAACCTTTTTTAATTTGGTTTTCAGTGACTCCATTCTGTTTCATGTTAAACATAGATTCACATAGGCTGGTGCTGAAGATTTTCATAGGTAAAATAATCTAAGGTCCTAGATTTACAGTTAAAAGGATTATCAGCTTTGGTCATCTGTTTTTGCAGAAAACATTTACTTTCTCTCCATGCGCAGGTGCATTTTCCACTTAAATTTCTTCAATAACCTGAAGAAGCCTTTTCCAGCCCCATTTTTGAGTAGTTCCTTTAAGCCTATGGTATTTTCATTTGAGATGTTTTTTACAAACTCCTCTACTTCGCCTTGCAGCGTGCTTTCTGCATTTTTCATGGACTAATCTATATAAGTGTCACAAGCAACATAGCTATATTGCCACAAGATGTTGAACTTTTTCTCAGCATCTACAAATTCTTTATAGGATAGTCTCTTGATAGGTTTGAGAGGCAGAGGGTCAGTATCTTTGTCAATGCATAAACAGTTGTTGAATTCGTAGAATAAAAGCTTCACCCTTTTTTAAGCTGAGAAAAAATGTACTGCTTTGTCATCAGGAAGTGGTCTTCCAGATGTGAGGTTGTATAGCTTTGGCTTATCTAAATAAGGGTTAATTGTGCTCAAAAAGCCTTCTTATGTCACTTTATTCATTCATTTGTACGGTTATGAGCACTATGGTATTACAAAAATCTACCAAAAAAGGCTCTCGTAAGAAGCAAAAAAGAAAAATTCATGGACCCTTTCTTTCTTGTGGTTTTGCCTAGCCTTCCTGTCCTTCTTGTTGAACCTTTTTTCACTTCTTTCCACTTCCTTTGTGTATCCTTTCTTCTCAAAATCCTTCTTAATGACAGTTTACATAAATCTTTTCGAATTGAACAATGCTTACATAAAGAAAAATAAGTGATTCAATTTATTAGATATGCTTGAACTTGTTGAGTTGGAATATGAATTTATTATAAGAAGCGCCCAAAACAAAACCAATCAATGATGAATGTCTTTTCAGTAATCTCCTTGAACTCTGGGACTGAGGTTTGAAGTAACTGACAGGCAGATCTAGATACCTTGGCCCTAATTCTGCTGGCCCTTATTGGTGTCAATTTTGGCAGGTGACGGTAATAAGAGCCGGCGTTTTTGGGGTCGGTGTTAATGGGCCCGTTTTTCAAAAAAAATTAAGGAAAACCGGCATTAATTTTTAACAAGCCTCAATCCGTAAGTGGGGCAAAAATTGAGGTATAAACGTGCTCAGGGATGTTTTTTGTAATCAGGGGGCTTGAAAGCAGGAAAACAACACTAAATCTGGAGCATTTGTTGCACCCTAGTTTCTCCAGTAACCCCCTTCCACTCCTGGAACAAACAAAGATATGCATATTCAAGATAACAAAAGCGGTTAGTAAAAGTAACATCTTAAAAAAAAATACTAGACAGACCAAGAGCAGCTAATATTCTCTTTCCAATTCTTAAAAAGCATTGATTTTATCTCTGAAATATTTAAAAAAACTGTTTCTTGTAAAACATATCAAAATGGATAATATCTCATTTATTTCCAAAAAGGAGATAAGGAGATAAAGAGAAATATAGACCGATCAGTGATCAATTTTGACTTTAGTTTTCATTGATATAGTTAAAATAGTAGGAATTTCATTTTTGGCTGCCAATCCTAAATGGCGTAAGACCACTTTTGGCGACCAGCGTTATTAGGGCCCTCGTTAGTTGGGCCGGCAGGAAAGATGGGCCGGCGCAATTAAGGCCGATAAGGTAAGCCCCTCATGAAAATTTGAATTTGTTTTAACTTTTATAGATTGTGAAGAAAATGACACTAATTTTTCTTTTGAAAGAGTGAATTTTGATGGCTTGTTGTGTAAATGAGGTTTTGCAATACCTGCATAGAATTGTTGTTAAAATTTAGTTGGTTTTTTAGGGGAAACTGGCACAGATGATATTCTATGTAACCTGTTTTTGGGTCAAGGCTTCACAAAGAGTGGAATGTTGTTCTTTGATGAAAAGGGAGAGATTGTAAAGGCAGTTGCAACAAAATTCAACAGAATCGTTATTTGGAATGCTACTTTAGACTTTCAACTTAAGCAACCAGGCTTTGAGTCATTCAAAACAAAGTACAGCCTCCTTATCAAGTTTACTAGGAGTTCTACAAAAATGGCCAATGAGCTAAGTTATATCAAGGTAACTTGCTACTTTTAATTGATTTTTCCATTCCTAAGAGGAAATTTTTGTATTGAGGGGGGAGGGGGTGAAGGGGTTTGGGGGACTACAAATTTACCTGATTAAAAAATAATTACCTTTAATTCTTTAGTTGCTGACACAAACCTCTGCAATACATTTTGTCAATCTAACTCTGTGGCATATAATTCGCAACTTCCGTTTTATATGATATAGTTACTACCCTAGTTACTACCCGTTTTATATGATATAGTTACTACCTATAGGCAGCACCATGGTTGCCGTTGAAAGACTAGAAAATTTTCAAAATTTGATGCTTCTAGTTCTCTGGAAAATGCGCTCTTTAAAGCAAATTTTACTAAAGCAATCCTTCTAATCCTATTGAAAGTTATTTTAGTTTTGCTGAAAAATTGAACAGCAGATAAATACCATGTTGTCAGTTACTTCTGAAGCTAGATAACAAGCAACACTGGTTGTCAATTTAGTTCCATCCTTCAATCTTAGCAGTCCGTTTGAATATTAAAAAAATCTGGAGATTGTAAATCATTGTAAATTGCAGTTGATGCTTTTACCGAGAAACTCAAGGGTAAATGGACACAAATCACAATTTTACTTGAAGAGGGCCTGGGTTTTTGATCTAGTACCAACTTAGTTTGTATACCATCATTCATATCAAGGAGTGTCAAATTTTTGTAAAAAACGATACGGGGGCCGAAATATGGGGGTATGATTTCGGTGAAAGCCGTGGGGCGAGAAATTGTGCGAGCGTGTCGTAACACAGGAACAAGATTTGCTCGTTGATACCGACAAAAAAATCGCGTCGATCGCGTCCTCCCATCTACCTTTACAAGCGAAAGAAAAGAAAAGACGACAACCGATTGAACCAGCTAGGGCAACAAGCCCCGACCAAGCCGCGACCGAGAACTGTCAAATGACGTCAAACCCATTGTTTCCACGCAGCAGACCAGAAAAGAAGTGGGATATCAAAAATGTATATCCCATTTTTCAAAATCTCGAAACTTTACTTCCACAGCGAATACAGATAAATGAAAAATATTTTCGGGTACCATGAGCCTCCAACCTGTGGCTCATAAATTGTCGTTGATGTCTGCGGATGCAAAATTTGCGCCAGTGTCTCTTCAAGGCTCAGAACAAGAATAAAAGCATGAACCTTAAACCCAAGTGTGGATAATACAATTCAGCTAATGTAAGGACCCAGAGTGAAATCAAATTCTGAAAAAAATCCTCATTAAACCAACTGTGACTAAATTCCAATTGATCACCATATAAATTCTCCAATAATATAGAGGCTGACAACTATGTGGCCCTGCATTTTTGCTAATATAAGCAATGCAAAGGGGTCTAAAAATGAGACAGAAAAAAGTAATGAGTTTATAAAAACTAGCGAAAATGCAGCCTTTTTGCAATGTGTCCAAATAGCACTGTTTCTGTAATGGAAGTGTATTTGGCAGACTATTTATGAAAGAGTTTTGTTTCAGAATTGTCAAAAAGCATTCACATGTTTATCTTGTCTTTTGATATTCCCTTTATGATTTGGGGTCATATATGGAACATTTCTTCTTAAAGGATGTTAGGGAAACTGAAAAGAGGCAAAAGCTGGATAGTTTTCCAAAGTTTGACGTCCAAAGCCACCAGTATACAGATGAATATTTTGAGAAACACCTGACCAGAAAATTCTATGATCGTGACGGTGGCGTGATTAGTGTATTTGATGGAATAATGAATGAAACTGAGCTACAAATCCTAAGAAAGTACCTCATGAAATATAACACTGGATACTCGAACACAGGCTTTAGTACCCAGGAGCACGATGACGTGGATAATGTCAGCTGGATTGTCATGTTTAAGGCAAGTTTTCCTTTTCTTTTAACATATCTTTAGTCTTATCTTTAGTTTTAGTTCATTAAACATATCTTTAGTAAATGATGCAATTCATTGACAATTCATACCCCATACCTCAAGAACAAGTATGTCGAAAACTGATGATTAGTATGGATGTTAATGCTTTGAAAATTTTTGGTTTCTTTGCTCACTTCAATGGCTTATTACAGTGTGCCGATTTCTAGAACGACCACAACTGGGTATATATATTTTTAATCGTGTTCTTTCGGACCCTTATTCTGACGTTTTATGCTCTGAGGAGTGTCAGACGAAAAAGCTTTTAGCAAATATTTTATAAAATGTTTTGCTTTTTTCAAAGCCATTTTCAAGAACGATTCTTACTTAGAAACTAAAGTCAAAAAATTTACATTACCTCCCCATTTTATTTGTGTTTGTTTCTACCTAGCATCCAAAAGTTGTTTTTAGGAAAATCAGAAACTATATTTATCGAGCAGCTTCCTGGTCCTTCCTCTCGATGAGACCACACCTCGTGATTCCTATGCCTGAAATAACAGAGAGCTGGCCACTCCCCTCACTTTGGGTAAAAGTTTGGTCATGTCTGGGACTAGATCCCCAGACCTTTGGAAGTGTAGTCCGCGACCCTAACCACTGAGCCGCCCTCGCACCTAAGCTTAGCTTCTCCGTTCTTAGCTTAGCTTCTTGGTCCTTTTCATTTTTAGGGCCTTGCTATAGACACATCCGTCCCTACCCTAACATAATCAACCAAGAAGAAAAATGGGCAACTCTTCCAGTCTTATGCTCGCGTTTCTGACTGGCTTAATTCGATCCACAACAGGGTATATACAATATTTTTCAGCTTGATTTTTCGATCAGTATTCTCACCTTTCATACTCTAAAGACTATCAGACGAAAAGCAGAATTTTTTAGAATGTTTGTTTTTTCAAAGCGATCTTCAAATTTTGTACCACCATAAAATTGTTTGCAAAGATGAGCATATATAATGCCTACAATGCTTACAGCGCTTGAAAAAAATGCCTAAAACATGCCTGTTAGTATCCATAAACCCTAAAACTGTTGAACTTGATATAATCGGCTTTCAATTTTCAACCATTTTCCTCTATCAAATATGCATGGATGTTGAAGAAGAGACTTGATGCAAAATCGCAGCACCATCTGCCCAGCTGAATGTAAATTCTTAGGTAGTATTGCAAAAGTCAAAAAATAAAAATAACCTTTCATTGGCGCTGTTCAGAAAAATATCACATTTTGTTCCTTTTTAGGCATCTCTGCATTAAACATTTATCTGTTTGCGTTATACTTCATGCATCTCATCTTAGTGGTATATGCGATGTTCTTCAGGTCATTTTTTCGTCCCTTTTCAAGTCTTTCGCATTCTCTTTTTTTGAAATTGGTTTCTTCTCTGTTCACCTTTTTGTGTCAACTTGCTACATGGCTTGCCCATTCGCCAATCATATTTCTCTGAGTTCTCCACAACGTCAAACAATTTGGTTTGTCATCTTCAGCTTTCGTTTGTCCACTTATTCAGGCATGTGATGTTAAACATTGCTCTTTTCGTGGTTCTCTGTGCCCCACTGCCAATTTATTCCAGTGTCCGTGTTTTCACACCGTTGCTAGTATTACGACTCCATCCGTTACTCTTTTCTTCAAATCTAAAGCATTGCTTTTTTCTTATGAATCGACACATTGCCCAAATCTTTGCCCTCCTCCAGCTATTCTTCTGTCAATTTTCTTATTTGTTTCGTATTTGGATATTAGTAGATGACCTAGATAACCATATTCATTTAATTATTCAATGATATTTCCCTCTGTTTTGACCAATGAACAATGCCCTTCCTACGGTACTGCGTATCATCGCGAACAAAGGACTTCCGAACTACGCATGCCTAGTTTACATAAGCAAATGTCCAAAATGCAATTACGATATTTTCATGTGACTTTAATCACTTTCATACTCTCTCGAACCTTGTTTGAGACAAGTATTGAAAGCCTAACCAATCTATTTGCTATATTGTCTAATAATCAAATTGGATATTTGTACTTATATCTAGTATGATACTGATATTTAAGAAGCATAACGTTACTGTTTGTATGTTTAGGTAGTATAACGCTACAGCCCAAACATTTTAGGAGGCGTTGTGCCGCGTTACCCCTCAACTATACCACTGCTTCTGCCCAATGTTGTCGCTAGCATGTTTTGAGCAGATATTGCTTTATGTGATTTATTCTCAGACTAGATATTTTGATGGCCCTTCTGCTATTTGGAATGGCATTTATGCAGTGATCGTTCCTGATTTTTCTCTTGTAACATGAAAAATCTTCTAATTTGAATTCTTTTTGACATAAATTTGATATTTCTGTGATAATCTATTAGAATGGAAGTGCACTATTTTGCATGATCGGTTTCTGTGTTTTCTGTGCTAGAATTGTAATTCGTTATCATTAGGTCTATTATCTGTTTTCTTCCATCAACTTTGAAATATTCATTCAAGTGAAAAGCTCCTTGATACAATCGCCAAATATTGTACACTTTTTGACGTTTTAAAACCACGATAGAATTTAGACGATTTTTGCAATATTTTTTACACCATTTTATTACCAAAGACTGCGATAATCGAATCGAATTACATCACGTTGATATGTCTCAATAGACATAGTCACATGATGTTATTTACGATAACGTTTGTGCCGATTGGACAGTTTGCATACCTTGACGTCGGCGGGGGGAAGACCTGGCCTCGATTCCCTGATCTTTGTTTATTTGTGAACTTAGAGATTTTTATGAAATGAAAGAGCTGAATTTGATTTTTTTTTCTCTTTGCAGCCTGAGGGAATATTTGGCACAAAGGTTTTGAGTATCGTAAAAGGAATGGCTAGATATCTCAGTGGTGAAGATGGTTGGTTTCCATATGATGTTTCCCTGAATATGATTCAAAAGACGTTTCACACAAGAATACATACTGATTGCGAAGAATACGAGGTATTGCCTATTAACTTCTCTAATGCTCTATTTACAAAGTTTATTTCCAAAAGACACTGAATGGACAAAGGGGACATTGTATTGATAGTGCTGTAAATAGTGAATATTAAAAAATCTCGAGACTTGCAAAAGAATTCTCTTCCTCTAGATGGTAAGACTAAGCTAGGGTTTTTTAGAAACAACCTTTTTTGTGATAAACCCTCAATGCTAGCCCGGATAAATACTGTATTAGGTATCCCAATTAAAACAATCTTTTGGTGGTACAAAACTTGTAAATGGCTTTGAAAAAAGCAAATATTTAGTAAACTAAAGCTTTTCGTCTGACACTCTTCAGAGTTTAAAACGTCAGAACATAGATCGTATCCCAATTACTTGATAGCCTGATATTCGGAATTGTTACTTTCAGTTGTAAGATTTCAAGCCGACCGCAAGCTCCGGTCCGAAAAATTCTAACTTCTCTCAGAATCTGAACTTGAGCTGCACTGAAGCTGCACTGGAGCATCGCATGTTTCTTTTTATCGTCGATGACGAAAGTAGACTAGCCTGCGCGCAGACTCTGAAAGTAGTCTCCGTGCAGGCTAAAGTAAACAGGTGAAAAGAGTGATGTAGAGGGGCTTCGCTATTTCAGATTTTTCAAATGTCACCATTTTTAAGTGATTTGTTTACTTGGAAAAATAGCCAATGGGCATGTTTACGCTGGAGTTCACTGAATGCCGCTCGTGACCAGAAAAAGGAAGCGATTTATTGCAGAATGTTGCAAGAATTTTAAAAATTATAAAAATGTTGCAAGAATTTTGGAATATGTCCAGAATTTTTTACGCTTGTGCCGCAAGCTTAGCATACATAGACGCTACACCACCGAGCTTGACTAATGCTAGCCTATATAGACAAGAATTTGAGAAGCTGGTTACAAAATGAGTCAAAATTTAAGGAACCATAATTTTAACAATAAATTTTTAACAATAATGTGGAGAAACCTGGCCTCTTTCAAACTGCAAAGATAAAAATTCCAAATTACGAACCTTATAAACCATATCATTTCATTGCCATGCTATGGAGCTCTGACTACAGAAAATAGTGTTTGCTTTTTAAAGCGTTTTCCTTTTTTAAACACCTTTTGGCTTAAATATGTCGCTGCATTATCAGGAGTTGTATAGATATTTGGGGACCTAGAACGATTTAACAGGCAGAGAAAATATTCAAGATTTCTTGTTGGCCGCTGCATTCTATCTAAGTACCTGTTTTATTCATTTTTAGGTCGAATACACTTTTCTATTGTATCTTAATCCAAATTGGACTGAAGAAATGTATGGTGAAACAATCTTTTTGAACCAAATTCAAGACCTAAAGATGGGCAAAGGAACCAAAGTAATACGGGATAAAGCCTACGAGACTATCGGTAAAGACCATTTTGGAATATCAATTGCCGATTTTCAAGTGCTTGCACGAAACATGGTCTTGTTTAGTGGCTAAAATAATGAGATTAACATGACTTTACAAGAGATATCGTCTTGTTCAGTGGGCGGGGCAAAAATTGAATTGAATTTTTATGGGGTCAAACAGAGCTAGCACAAATAACATGGAAAATTCGACAAAGAAACTGTTTTCTTAAAAAATATGCTTATTCAATATAGTAAACTAATCATCTCAGTCAGGTTCGTTTCCCTTTTTCCCTTTGAAAATCTTTTAAAAAATTATGGTAACGATTTAATTCAAAATTTCAATAATATTTCTCATTTTATATTGCTGTGCTCCATCAAAGTAATTCGTCTGTTTTTAGCTCCTCTTTTTTCCTTAATTACTTCAATTTCTAAATTTTACTTTTTTCTAGTTTTTTACTTCTTGATTAATCTTTTGTAGTTTCTGTTAAACCGAGATATGGAAGAATGGTGATGTTTAGAAACAATATTCCACATTCAGCACGACCCCCTAGTCCTGATTTTCACGGTTCGAGATATACATTCGCCATCAAGGTAAGGGTTAGGCCTATTTCTTTTGAAAATGACAATTTAAATGCACTGTACGTGATTTATGTGTTACGGACGAGAGTATTGCTAACGCTAACTAGTTTTTCCCATGGAAAGTCTGGAAAAAATCTTGACTATTGGAAAAAGTCTGGACTATTGGAAAAAGTCTGGACTATTGTTTCCAAGGGGCACCATTGTTTTCGATGGGGACCATTGTCTCCAATTGGCACAGTTGTCTTGAAATATGTACCATTATTTCCAGTATGCACCATCATTTCCGATAAGCAAAATTTTTTTCCGATCGGCACAATTGTTTCCGATGGGTAAAATTATTTCCAATGGGCACCACCGGTAAAAGTATCTGAACTTTTTAGCAATAGTTCAGGTTGTCTTACAACTTTAATCAGATTTTTTGATATGGTTGAAGCTTTTTTCATCACGGTCGAAGGTCGATAATACATCTTAAATGCATCCTCTGGACGAAAATTAATTTCGTTGGTCTTTTTGTGCCATCCCCGGGGGATGTGTATTCATCAGAATTGAAGAAACTTTTATCTCAAAGTTGACCTTTCCAGATAGAATTTGCTTGAACACTGAGGTGGCAAGAGGTACTCCAGCAGACTGGCACTCAACCTCCTTTTGACTGCTCAGTGAACTCTCATATCGCTCACTGAACGCAACATCCGGACCTTCTACCTCGATCTGAACGAACTCTAAAACCGCTTTTTTGCCCTATAACATATTGTTAGTTAATGATCTAGCCAGATACAACCATCAGGTGTGGGATGAAAATAGCTGTAAGCGTCCACACAAATTATTTGGTTGTCCTGTTTTTTGAATCTTCATTTTGTTGCTATATCTTCATCAACTATTAGATCCAGGGGCGGACTGGCTGGTCGGGCTATTCGGGCGATCGCCCGAGGGGCCGGTCGGTTTAAGGGCCAGTTGATAAAAGTGCAAAAAAATAAATTAGCTTAAAAAGTGAATGAGAGGCAAAAAAGTATACCCACGCGTTGATCTGTTTGCCTTGAATTTTCAGAGACTTTGTGGGAAAGAATAAATATACACGCGAGTACTCCAAAGCCATCAAAATTATGAATTCATTATTGTCACCGCAGCCCAAACAAAATTCTTCAGGAAACATATTATTGACATCTTGTCATATTTTCTCTTGACGGTATTTCCTTTTTGGCGACATATTATACTGTAACACCCCTGTTTCAATGCGATACATAAGATTTTAACCTGCCCTGATGTCTTTTTACTTAGCTTTTGCTTGAAGCTGGTCGTGTTTTTGCCTAAGCACAAGCTATTGCTAAAGGTAATAAATTTAATAGTTCAAAAATTAGAGTTCACTAAGCGATTTGCTCTGTGATGTGAAGCAATGAAGAGGACATACGTAGAACAAGGGAAGAGCAAGAAGGCTTCAACCAAAGATGGTGCGCAGAAATTTCGTGAGGAAAAGCTGCGAGACTTAAAAAAGGATTCAGCTACGATACAAAGCTTTTTTTTATCAAGCAAAAGCCACAAACGTCACAAAAAAGAACAGGGTCTTGCTCTTGCTCCTTTCAATAAACTCATACAAGTTATGGTAAGTTTATTAGGCATATACTATCTTAAGTCAAAAGGACCCCCGCCCAACAGGGGTGTGGTGCTGCACGATAAAATTTCAACAGGGGTGCCCATGTTTTCTTTTTGGGGTCAGATATTGACAAATCGATATCTTTGGGCTGCTGAAAATCATTGTGGTTTTCCGGAGGATTAGAAAATTATTTGTCACAATTGGAGTGTGATAGAAGCTTTTCCACTTTAATTATATAAAGAACAGATTACGTAGAAATTTTTCGCAGCCAAACCTGGAGTCCTTCATGTTAATGTTCTTAGAAAAACACCTGTTAGATGACATCAAGAACGATCACATTATCAACATATAAGTTACTGTATTTAGAAAAAAAGTCAAACCAATGAGTTAAAATTTTTGTTTATTTACTATTTTGTCAGCAAATGACATATTTAACATGTTCTGTTAACCATGTTCTGTTAACCAGCATTCATCCATGAACAAAATTACTGAATTTAAAAACTTGTTTTCCTTACAGACTAATATTTACTTGCATTTTTGTGGGCCGGTTTGATCAAAATTTGCCCGGCCCAAAAAAATTAGCCAGTCCGCCCCTGATTAGATCACCATTTATCTTTTGCTGGTGTAATCAGTTGTTAGACAGGGTTTTGGAAAAATATATGGTAGTCTTCAATGTGTATAAATTTTGAAATTTTAAGGTATCAAGAAGCAAGATAATCGGTCTTGCAAAGATTCTTAGAGAGCTGCTTGAGTTTAAAGAGGGCCAAAACGATGAAGGTGGCATGCTTTATAACCAAATGCACGACCAGGCAGGGAGCAATAAGATCCTATTGGAACCCGAGGAGCTGCTAAAACACATTGCCAAATACCGTGAAGTAAAAGAAAAGGACATTGTATCGCAAAAAGAGGCTGTTCTCACTCCTATACTGAGAAAACAGCACGTTGTCCGTGAGATGCCAGCATATTAGGGATTGCCAAGGTTGCGATGGCTCTAGCCTCATAACGTGCTATTAAGATGTCAAGTTTTTTACCTGTATTAAGATTTTAAGACTTTTTTCAATGTTGCATTATGGACAAATCGTGTGACGAGGAACCTGCAGCTGAATCTTTTTTTGCTTTATCAAAACAAAACTGAATTCTTGATTACCATTTTTGTTTGTTTTGAGCATTTTTGTCGCAAAAATATTGTCTGTTGTTGTTGCTGTATAATGCCCAATTATCTATTATCAAGTAGTTAGGGGGAGATCTATTGGAAAGGGGTTTATTTGGAATTTGATATTATTTAGGGGAAGTATCTGTGCTTACAATATATTTAAGAAAAAACAAGATTTTTGACTCAAAAAACTGGACAAAAAGGCTTTGTTGGGGAGTGGCTTAATCATAACAGGAGAGGGCATATTTAATCACATTACAATGGTATTTTAAGTAGATTTATTTTTCTTTAAAATTTACGTTGAATGTAACCAAATTTTGAAATTAATGAAGAAGACCCTGAGTAATATCCCCATGTCTGCTATTCATGTGATGACCCAGAATGATTGATTGAATTTAGTCCTTTGCCGATAAAGAGTGTTGAAAGTTCAATTGATGTCAACAAAAATTAGACGGTCGATATTTTGGTGATATTTGAGTGATTCTTCTGATTGATAGCAATGGATTGATTAATTATGGTGGTTGTCTTATTAATTACATGTCATTGGCTAATTGAGGTATGATTAGGATAGATTAAATAAAGACTATGAAGGAAGAATCGGAGGAATAATTTTCCCAGAACAACTTGTTCTTGTTTCTTCATCTAGGCTGTATTTAAAAATTAAAGAAATATTGTTTGAATCCAGACCTAAGAAATATTCTCTACAGCAGCATAGATGAAGCCGTAATTAACCGTCAAGGATAGTCAGAAAGAAAAACATATGTCAAAAATATAGAGATAAATTCTCAATGTCTACAGAAAATGGTCCCATATAGAAGATGCTATGAACTTGAATAAATTTCCTTACAAATTTAATTTATGCAAATAATTTTGTCTTTCATAACTCCCAAGTTTTGAAATAACTAGCTAGCCAAATTATACATGAAGGCAGGACAGACTGGTACTAAAGACATTGGTGCAAATGGTTGCTTTAGAATTCTTTGTTGCATTTCAGGAGGATGTTAACCAGTCAGCAAGTTTCTAAAACTAATCATTACATCAGCAGTTCTTCCAACTTTCAAAGTGATCACCAATCCAAGTCTCTAGTTTGGGATGCTCATTGAAACTGCTTTATAAATTCGGGTTTTGGCTTTGAGGTCAATCTTCTCTTTTAAATCCTTAAACTTTGAATACTGCTTGTTTAGAAAGTCTACGTCTCCATCGTTTTGATTTCTGTTGTATTTACCATCTTCTAAATCTTGCATTAGTTGTGATGCATTTTCATTATATTCCGCAATGTCACCAAGAAGCTCTCGCAGCTTCTTTGCTATTGCAATTTGCGGTGACCTGCTAACCTAAAGAAGAAAAAAAGAAAAAATCAGAATACAAGAAAGATACAGAATGCAAGAAAGTTGAAAAAGTATGAAAACTTTGTTTCAATTGAGAAAGAATAAAACACAAAATAGTCAACAACCGAAATTCTTTTACTTTTACTTTTCTATGAAAGGGAAGCTAAAAATTTACTTCATTCCCATGAATCTAATTTAATGACAGAATATAAATTTCAGACATAATCCAACAGTAAAAATTGAAGAAAAGTTACAGAGCTTCATCAAGCGAAGGACATGGCCCCCTTAGCCCCTTGGTCTCCTTCCCCCTGGTTCCTTTGGCCCTCTAACTCTATGATTATGGTCCAAACTGTTGCATATTTAGTTTCTTGTTAAAAATGTCCTTTTTATCAGTAAATCAGATAAAATGGTGCAAACCTTTACAGCAAACGTGTATCTTGCAGCCAAGAAATCTGGACTGGGAGGTCTTGCAGAATGCTCAATGATGTTTCGAAATATTACAATGCGACCAAATTTTGGCTTCACAGCACCTGAAAACCAACATATAATAGAAAATAAGTTCTCAGTTAAGTTAAAATTCGAACACACAGAAAGACCATCTGACAAATAACCTCAAATAAAGAAGTTCAAGCCACAAAACCAAGTAATTTTCTTGTGCTTTTAAGTCTTCTGGATTTGAATTGAGTGCATCTTACGAAAATCTTGTAGAATGATCATCCTGGTATCTTAGAGCAGTGGCTTTTGTTTTCATAGACGCACATTTCAAAGACCCGTAATGAAGGTCCATAATGGAAATCCCTAGAAAGCCCAATTAGGGCATGGCTAATTTGAGTTCTAGAAAGTGCTATATTTTATGAATGATTAAATAGGTTTGTTAATATTATAAATTCCTTCTGATGAATTTAAATCTGTTCTCTGAGCTCCTATCGATAATCTTTTGGAAAAAAACAAGCATGTTTTGTGATTTACATAAAATAATGTTAAATGATGGCACTTGTCCTGTATTTGTGGATTAAACTGTCTCCAAGGATTGCCTAAGACCTTCCCCACATAATCTTGTCATTAACCCATCTAACTACCTCCTCTGCAGAAAACCTTACCTAGTGTTTCATACTTTTCATTTCCACCCTTATTTTCCTTCTTCATTTTTCCCTTGTCAGTCTCTTCAAAGTATATAGTTTCTCCATACAAATTCTCTGACCAGTCTGGTGTCAGGTACATCAAAAAGGTGTACTCGTGCTGAGTAACAAAACAAAATCAATATAAACAAAAGCATAATGGTTCAACTCAACAGAATAAGACAGAGGCCCAAGGGACAAAGCAGGCATCAAATAGAAACAAAAGCATATATATTAAAAAATTTATTTTCACTGATATGTTTCTTTGCTTGATATAATTTGAGGAACAAACTCTCAAATCCAATTCGAAGAAAGAGCTAAAATATATTTAGAATTTTAACGAACAATAAATATTGATGCTGTGTGAACAATAAGATAGCCAAAATCATCTCATCCAGTTTCAAACAAAACTGTGTAAAGCTTCAATCAAAGGTGACCAGATCCATTAATATTGAAACATTTTTTTATGTTTTTTACACACCTCCCATTCACTGCAGTCTGTATGAATCCTTGGATGATGATAATGCTGTATGATGTTCATAGACACATCATATGGATGCCAGTTTGTCTCATTACTCATATAAGAAGTGATGTGGTGTATGTATTGCCAGACTTTGCTGTGTGGAAGCAGTCTTGCCTAAAAGAGGCATGTTATACAATATGAAAAATTGCTACTTTGTGATACCACATGGCAACGAAATTGGATTTATATATTAAAAAGCTTCAAACGTCAGGGCCCACGTCACAAATTTGAAAATAGGGCAGTCAAGGCTAGCAAAAGTAGGGGGCCAAGGCCCGTTCTTTCTCCTTTTACTGCAGCTTTAAAACTACTTGCTTCGACCCTAGCCTAATCGTGGTGTGGACCCTAGCCTAATCGGAGACAGAATCAAGTTTAAAATTTTAGAGACTACTCAATGAATACCAAGGCCCTTTGACAAACACTTTTCATTTATCAGTTCAGCACCACCATCTGAAATTTGGTGTGAATATATGGGAAAATTAAAGCATAGTTTCTATTTCACTGTGTACTTGATAGCAATTTCAAACTTTATGTGACAATGCAAAAGTTAGTAGACAGGTTAAAAATAATCATGGCACATAATTTATTCAAAAAAATTCATCACTCACAGGTACTTGAGCTACCCAGTTGACATTATCATGTCCTTCATCATAGGCAGGATCATAAGCATTGTAAACATAGGAACTGTCATATTGGAAGAAATACTCTCTCAAGGCTAACAATACATCCTTTGGTACAACATCATCAAAGACAGCAACTGCTTGGTTTTGGCTGTCGTAAAATTTCTTTCTTAAATGTTTAGACAGGTCAATCTCATAAATTGAATTGTCCAGATTATTTGATAATGGAAAAGCCACTTTAGCAATATCTTCTCTCCGCTTTGCATGATCCTTAAAAGAAATTTTTTATCCATTAAAAAAACATTCATTTCACCACATTCAATCTTCAATTTTTTTAAAAATTCAAAAGGCTTTCTTAACATTGCCTGGACTTTGGGACTAAACTGTGTACCTTCCTATCAATTCCTTAAATGTTGATCATCCTAATTCTCCAGAATCCAGCAATTGGTACACAAGAAAACTAGAATACCAAGTCCTGCAATATGGCATGACTTGCATCCAAAATACAAACAATGCAAAAAGCTTAAAGGTAAAAACATTCTTGATAGCATTTCTATTCTCTTACCTTAAATACTTCAACAGCTCTGTCAAATTTGCTTTTGTCTAAAGTTGCTTTGATAAACAGACTGTATTCTCCAGTCACATGGTTCATGCTCGGAGGTTTAAAAATGAAATCAACAGTATCATTCCATGCAACAACTCTTCCATACTTCGGATAAACACAGCCAACAATTTCTTCATTTTCATTATAGAACAGAAGCTCACTGTAACTGTTCTTTTTCATGTTTGTGGTAAGAAAAACTCTCATCAAGAGGTCTCCTTCCTTTTCACCTAAAATTATATCAAATACATTTAAATAAATATGTTTTTAGTGCCTTGTTAATACTCCATTAGACCATAACAGCAGCAGTTATAGGGACCCCATGGCTGAAAAAATCTGGGGAGCTTGTATTCTTTCAAACTTTTTTCTTGGGTACATGCTCTTTCTGGCAAAGTGCAATGCCTGGGGCCATGGCCTCTCTGGTAGCCCCTTAAAACTGCAAGTGGATCTTAGTTGCACCAAGCTAGAGATAGGAGGTTTCTAACTTTTCTTTTTGCTGTAATATTATACAGGAGATTGTTCTGAAAACTATATATATGGTTCTCATGAATATTTCTATGAAACAGACATCCATTTCAGAATACCTTTTTTGACTGTTGGAAAGTCTCCTCGATTAATCAAAATTCCTTGTGCACTGTATGGAAAATATCTGATCCCAGTAAAAACTCTATCCAATTTCTTGTTAAGTACCTTCCATATAGTTGACACTGAGAAGTCACTTGGAGAAAAGTTGGCAACCCAGTGCAAGTTTCCATTGTCATTCTCGTGCATCCCTTCATATTTCTCTGGATAAATGAAATCCCAAGGACCATGCCGCTGCAGCAGCTCAGACATTACTGAAAGTGACTTTTTACTGAAAACTTCGTCATAAACAAGAACTTCGTTATTTTTGCTTCTGATGATTTTCTTTGGCGCTAGAGAGGTGCCTAAAACCATCCCAATGATAGCGAAAACCAACACAACAAACAGCACTGCATTGGAAACAAACGAAGACATTTTATTTTGAGAAACCATCAGGACATATTCATCCAAATTTCATCAAAACTATTCTAAAATTCATCCAAAGTAACCGTTTTATTACTTTGTTGGCAGGACAGAAGCAGATTTTTCCTGAATTTGCTGAAACTCTAAAATTCAAAAGCAAATTTCTTCCTTCTTGCAGCCTCTGATTGAGAATGAGATTTTACAGCCTCTTGTTTGCAAAGAGAGTTTTCGCGCCAATGTTCTCTGTTGTTGTTTTCGCGCTAAATTAGCCTGACCTTGAAGGGGAAGCCCTATTATTGGTTTCTGACTTCGATAATAAATTATATCTGACAGGGCCTAATTTTCCAATCCAGAGCAGTAATGTATTCTTTACATAAGAACCAGAAAATTGAGGCTCAAGCTGGCTGCTCTTAATTTTTCCAAACTTTGAGGCTGGATTGTTCTTTAAATTTTGATGTGTAAGCTAGACTTACTCCATGAGCCTCTGTTTCGCTACTGCCTCACTTGACGGACGCTACAACAGAGACTCATAATCCAAAGTATTCAAAAACTGGCGCTCAGGACAACTTTTTGTCCTACCAATCACAGAGCAGTATTTGGAAATGCAGCGTTCTGATTGGCTGACACCAAAAATTTTTTCATAACGAGGTAAATTTTTAAAACCATCCTTACCCCCGTGTTAGTTAGCGCGCCAAATTGTATTGTCGAGTAATGGCGGATAACTGCGACCGTATTATAAGCGAAATTGAACGAAGACACGGTATTGTTTTCAAAGATTTTCAACGCGAAGTCTACCGAAAAGTGTACTTTGGAAAGGATGTTTTTGTGTTCGCTCCTACTGGAAGTGGAAAGACTTTGTGTTTTGCATTTTTGCACGAACTTTTTTCTTTGAAGACATCCCTATGTAATCCAACAACAGGACAGAAGTTCGAAAGTAAAACATTAGTTTTATCACCTTTAGCCAGTCTTATGCTAGAGCAGTCTGACCGTTTCGCCAAATTTGGCATTAATGCAGCTTTTGTGGGCGAATTGCAGGCCGACATTAGTGTTAAGCAGCGTGTAAGGTCCGGTGATATACAGGTTTTGTTTATTACACCAGAGGCAGCATTTGATTCAAATTGGCGGGAAGTTATTTCATCAAAAAGTTTTAGTGAAAAAATTTCCACAGTTGTTGTTGATGAAGCACATTGCATCTCTCACTGGTAAGTTAGTGATTCCTTACAGCACTTGAATGCCCATTCAATACGAAAGGGGTTGACGACAGTTAAAGCATGATAATTGGCCTAGACTATTCCCCACATCTGCTTATTATCTTTTTCTGCTCAATCGCAAAGTTTTATCTTTTGAATGTAATTTATATATAAGACAGTTTGTAATTGTTATTCATTTATTAAAATATTGATTAAAATTCAATTGATTTGGATAACTTTTAAATGTATAAAGCACAGGGCCTGTGTCACCTGTTCCTATCCGAAGATGATAGGGTATAAATTTTTTATCACTAAAGAATATTTGGAGAGGCATTGCTACTGCCCCCATAACCTCCCTTGATGCAGTGGTCCAGTGGCCAAGTTTGATTTGTACAGCTATGAGTTACAGCTATAAATATATGTTAACAAATATAAGTGCATAGTTAACTTTCCAATCTGGGCCCTAGTAAACTTTAAGTAAACTTTAAATGAAAAAGTGTTGATAAATACTTGAAAGACTATTTGAAGAATATATTTAGCAGACATTTTTAGATAGCTATTATTTACAATTATAAAATTATGTACCAATTTAGGTGGCACAAGTCCTTTAATAACGTTTCTTATGTAATATTTCAATCATGCAATGTAAATAAACCCATATTTAGAACTTGCGATTCATTTGAAAAAGTTGAATAAACATGTAAATGATCTATATGGTGTATTTGTAGTTGCATATTTTTTTGGGTATTACCTCTCATGATATAGGTTGTCAGTGACGGTCAAATTTTATGTCGTTGCGATGATCATTATGAACTACCTATGTTCAAATTTTATGTTGTCTGTTTTAACACAAGTATGTAACAAATAGGCTTATTTTGAAACAAATAAATTAAACATTAATGCTTTCAGTAGTTCTATTTACTTTAAATCTTGAATTATTCTTTGCAATCTGTTCTTTACTAGCCATTGTTTCGAATACAATTTGAAATCCTGGATGTAAGCCTTTATCATCATATACGTTTTCCTGAAAAAATAATATTTAAGACAAATCCTTTTTTGAATTATCAATTTTATCTCATTTTAGGGGAAATGATTTTAGACCTAATTACCGTCGTCTTGGCGACCTTCGATCCTTTTTGCGTAGCGACGTACGATATGTTGCCCTTACCGGAACAGCAACCGACGAAATTAAACTGAATATATGCGAGAGTCTGCACATTACAAACCCAGTCACTATTTATGTTCCAATGGAAAGGTCAAATATATACTATGAAGTTCGTAGGTTAAAAGCAGATGACCTTTCTCCGTTTCAGTTTTTCATTGATGCATTGAATCATCAGAAACAAAATGCACCAAAAACTATCGTGTACTGTCGCAATGTGAAACAAGTGGCTGTTCTGTTTAACCATTTTAACTATATGTTAGGATCGAATCAATATTTAAATGGTTGGGCCTCACTCGAAAATCGTTTTATTGCCATGTTTCATCGGTCAACTGCAGAAGTCAATAAGAATTTTGTTCTTCAAGAATTCAAGAAACGTGATTCTATTATACGCATAGTGTTTGCCACAACAAGCTTTGAAATGGGCTTAGACTTTGAGGATGTAGAGGTTGTTGTCAATTTTGGAGTTCCGCGAAGCTTAGAATCGTTTGCACAACAATGTGGCAGAGGTGGTCGGCGGTCTGCCCAGGCTTTTTCTTTAGTTCTGTACCATGGAGGATCAGGGCTAAATTCAACGACAAATGAAATGAGGGAATTTTCTTTAAGTACAAAGAAATGTAGAAGATCGATCATTAATCGCCATTTTAAGATTAAGTTAGACAAAGAAGATGTATCATATGAGTCTGTCAATCCAATACCAACCGGCTGTCGATGTTGTGATGTCTGTAAGTGTACGTGTGAATGCTTAGAATGCTTTCTAGCCCCTTGGGCTAAGGAAAAGATCACAGAATCGGGTGATATAGAAATGGAAGATGTCTCTGAAAGCTTGCATAAGTGGTCGCCAGAAAAACTTAGTTTGTTGGAGAAGAGTCTCCAAGAATATTACATCGAGGTTTTTCAATTAGACCGTGGCTTTACAGATGTAATAAGTGAATTTTGGTCGATTATTACAGATCAAATTCTTCTGTCTTGTTCGGTTGTAAACACCATTGATGATTTGTTAACAGAAACGCATATTACAGACTTGGCTTTAGCAGAAGATCTTTTTATGTTAATAGAGGAAATAAAAACCTCAAACTAAGACGATTTGCGACTTTAAAGAAGAAATAGACAAACTTAGATTACGTACCTTTCCTTGTTCATATCCTGTTTGGCAAGTGTTGTTGATGCTTAGAGTATTTGATGTTTCGTCGGCGTTGTTCACTACGTATAAATGGTCGTTGTAGGATTCCTGAAATTTATACAAATTTCTTATATTAGCAAAATTTCTCTTTGATATATCATCGATAGTTAGTGCAAGAATTAGAGAAACCTTCAAACAAAACTAATTTGAGAAAGTCTTATTGCAAAATTGACTTACCTGACGAACTTTATTAGCTGTATCTATTTGATCAGCAACCTCTTCCTTCCAGATTTTGACTTCTTTGTCAAAATTTTTGCTCATCTGGTTTATTATTTTGAGGGTAGCGGGGTAACTCATCGACAGTCCAAAGAATGCTAAACGGTTGAATACCTATAAATAATAGGTAATATCAGTCATCCGTATTGAATAAGTCCTAATTTTATAATCTATCTTGCAGTCAATCATTTGGCTCTTAAGAGTAAGGAACTTTGATAAGCTATTTCCAATTTTTAATGATAAAAGATACTTAACGCAGATGAATCTTCGCACCTTCACCTTTGCTTTTGCTCTATAAAGAAGTATGCATAACAGTTTCTGTATGGTATTCAAACGTGTATTTCTATTGTTTATCAGGATTCCGAAGGCTGTTGCCATGCGTATAATAGTTTTTTTCTTCTCCTCATTGACTTTGCGTTTTGCAGAAATTCCACACAATGTATGGTATACAAATGGAGCCCTTGATTTGATCTCTGATGCAAGCTCTGTTAGTTTTAATTCTTGCAATTTGTTAACATCTCTGCATCTGAATTTAGATTGTGCTCTGGGTTCGGTGAATTTTTGCGTTTCTTCGCGAACTAGTCTTTGAATGTGTGTAAGAAGGGATAACTTCACCTTTGGCTCCTTTATTAAATGTTTCAATGCTGCATTGTACCTTTTTCTCTTGAGTGCAACTATTGCAGCTTTAATGTTGCCATTTCTACCTCGAAAGTTGTCGGAAAACTGTACCTAAGAAATAAATTTACTTCTGTGATAACCTTTCAACTTAATGTGTAGAATAATAGGCAAAATATGTTAAACGTTTTGGAAACATATTTATTTTGCTGCAGTTATGTAAGAGCAAAAACAGAGAACCTCGTTGTGACTATAATAGCTATTACAATCTTTAGCTCTATTATGAAATCAAATAGGGTCAGAATGCTGTTGCTTTTCCAACAATGATGTAGCATAGCCAAGACGACTCAATTTAACCTTATACAAGTTTAACCTTAATTAAACCTCAGAATAAATAATTTGATCTTGAATACGGCATCTATTTATTTCAAGGTAAGGCCTTATGCTGTGCCTTGCAATATTTTGAAACAATATTCTTTATTGAACTATTGTTTTTGATTGTTTTTATTTAACTATTGTTTTATTTTAATTTTCAGAAGCTACCAGTTTTCTTATTTATGCCTTTTTTTACATATAAAAACAGTGTATCTATCCATGCACAGATCTTAACCTTTCAAAATATCACCAATTTAAATAATTACTTGGCTTTATTGGAGAAGACAAGACAAGAAATTTCACAAATTGACTAGATACCAACAAATGCAATCCAGGGAAATTATTGATACAAAACAAACATATTTTAAAATTCAGTTTATCACAGCAACAATATATCTAGATTGAAATTGGTTCTGTTGAAAACTCTTTATCCTTCCTTGAAGGACTTTTTTTTTAAATAATTCAATGTGCAAACATCTGTTCTTGAGTACAATTGAATAGTGGTCCATAGCATCATTATAAATAAGACTTTATAAAGTTCAAAATGTCTTCTTATCTAAATCCACAAATGAATTTAACATAATTCAATAGTCAAATTTTGAGAACAGTTGTATCGATTGTCTGTGTCTGTCTTCATTCAGTTGAGTTGTAATCTGGAAGGTAGAGATGATAAATGATTAGTCACAATAACAAAAAGCATACCTTTGTTTCTTTTGATATCTTATTGGCTATAAGTCTAGGCGTCAACTCTTTCTGCGTTGACAACTCAGAATTCGCCTTATCTTGCTGATCTGGAAACAATTCTAAACGGGTTCTTTTTTTCAAAGGTGTGTATTCAATCGATGCCAAAAACGTATGAAATAGATTCTGCTGAGATCCATTGTTATCCCTGATTTCACTTTCAATGACTGACAATTTTATTCTTGTTTTCTTTAAGCTGTCAATCTTCCTGAAGCATGTCTTGCAAATATAAAGTTCTTCTACTTCATTTACTCTATCGATTTGGCTAAGAACATCGTGAAGCGGACATTCATATAACTCTGACAAAAGTTTTATATTTTCATCTGTTCTTTTTACTACGCGTTTATTGCCAGACTCAAGCGTGACACAACAATTCACGCAAAGTAGATAAGAGAAGTGCATTTTGAATTATTGTACATCATGTCTTGTTTGAAAGTCACAGGAAAAACAACAAAAATAATAACTTACCGTTGCAAAGTTGGAACGTTGCACTATAGCAACCATACGACATTGCCATCCCTAGAGAAGAACTGACAAAACAGCAATACAGGCAAACTGGCTAACAAAAACAAGTGGTATGAGAGAGTTGTGCAAATCAGGGGGGTGGATTTGAAAATTTTCGGGGAAAAAACGAGAACGAGGCAAAATTGAAGTTGCCAGTTTTTGAATACTTTGGATTATGAGTCTCTGTTGTAGCGTCCGTCAAGTGAGGCAGTAGCGAAACAGAGGCTCATGGAGTAAGTCTATGTGTAAGCTAGTTATGTTTAATTATCTTTTGATTGTTAAATTTTGCAAGCAAACAGCTTATTTTCAGGCCAAGTAAAGAAGGGAAGACAGTAAAACCCTAACACATCCCACTAAAGATGACATCCTCGGTATCACGATAAGGGTTGGAAGCTTCAAATTTTCACTCACATCGATTAACGAGTTCCTGAGAACAATCGCGGTTGTGATAGCAACAAAAAGTACAGGGGCGGCGCCAAGAAATTCAAAGTGGGGGAAGGGCTCGAGTTTACAGCATTATTAGACTAAAAAACAACTTTTGAGAATCGCACTAAAATGCTTCACGATAATTCATGCCTACGATTCTATGGGGCACTCGTTATGCGGTACATTGAAAGGGCCGACGAGAGGTTGTCGGAGACCATAGGTACATCAAGGGGGCAGAGCGTTTCAAAAGGATCAATTGTTTTTTAAGGATAAACCCATAGAAATCACTAGAAGCTTTAGTTATTTAGGTTTCTTACTGACCCCCTCTTTTAGTATCAAGGGTCTTCTGAACGACTTGTACAAACGGGTTCTGAAGGCTTACTATAAGATGAGAACGTGTTTGGGAGAATTGTTCTAGAAGAAAGTAGTTTTAACCTTAAAATTATTTGATAGCCTTGTTAAACCCGTACTTCTTCACGGGGTGGATGTTTGGGGCTGCTTCAAGCATGCTTTCAATAATTATAACCCAATCGAAAAGCTGAACTTGAAGCTTTGTAAAGATATACTTGGAGTAAAACGAATAACATCAAATGTTGCTTCTAGATGCGAGCCAGGCAGAAGACAATTACATGCTTTGGGTTTCAGATCATTAACGAAAAATTTGCTTCGTATTTCTGATGGAAAAAGCAATGAAATAATGACGCAAGCATACTGAAGTAACATACAATTAGAGTTAACATGGTCTAGATGTTTGAAATACATTTGCTTCAGCCGTGGACTCGGAGACATATGGGAGAACCGAATTAAAACATTCAGATCCATTGGCGCTAAACATGTGTTAAACCAATGGGTAGTGGATTGTTTCGATCAAAATACTCTCTGAATGTTGAAAAATCAACCGAAAATGAGAACATATTGTACCTTTAAAACTACATTTAAGATTGAAAAATATATTTCAAGTGTGAAAAGTATTGAAAGGAGAACTTTTCGGAGAAAATTTAGCTTATCGTTATAGTTATAGATATAGTTGTAGATAATGATCAGTTTTTACTTAATTAGTTTCACCACAATAGTAAAATGTACAGCATTTGTACTGTTAGTAAGTCTTAATTTATAAGGTTCTTTCCTCGTTTTTACAACACTATGTAGAATTGCAACTTGGTAATATTCAGCAGCATCCATATGTCATAGCAAAAAGGCAAATCACGAGTTAGTCAAGAAGGATGCCATAAACCTCCACTTCACATATGAACAAAACAGGACTTCTCTTCTCAATAAACAAGTAAGTACCGACTGCATTTTCTTCACATTCGAATTCCTTTGTTGTCTGCTTTGCTATAGACACATTACGTCTGCAATACGGGTTCACTCCATGTTTGTCTTGATATCCAACCCTGATATCGATACCTTTCAAAAAGCTTGTTACAGATACAGTATGAACAAATACAGTTTTTCCAAATGCCACCCTCCACCATGGCGACGGCAATTCAGTGCTCGTGAAATAACATGGTCCGTCTCTCTTTCCGTCAACAACTACGGAGCTCGAAGAAAGTTGACTTACTGGATACGCCATTGTGTTCTTCTTGAAAGCAACATTCAGCAGCTCTAAAGGAATAAGACTAAATTAAGCAGCTCTAAATTTAGCAAAAAACTTATTTGTAGTTAGCGTTAATTGATGAAAAGTTTGTAAAAAATTATGCTTATTCTACTCCAATAAGGGCAGCAGTTTTAAGGAGCGGGAAAAGAAAATTGCATGCATCGAGAAAGGAAGTTCAGAGTCCAAATATGAGATAAAGTCGTCGGGTGAGCAACCATTGTCTTTTGAATATAGGAAACATGTTTTAATTGGGGGTAGGGGAGGGACACGATGACCATTCTGTTGGAGATAATATCAGAGGGTCTTAACATATTTCCAATATCATATCTTGGCGAATTATTGAGGGCACTGGCCATAATGGCCTCCTAGAAGCATTGCCCATGTTACTTCATGCTTCATTGAAAATAGATACACTTGAAACGTTCTTTAAACGCAAAACATATCAGATTTGAAGGGTGCTAAAGCAGCGTTGCCGAAAGTGGAGGCAGAAGACCACTGGCTTTGATCTCGGGGTGCTATCATTTCCTCGCATCTCTCTTTCTCTCTGTTACAGGAATTTTGGATGTGGATCTGAATGAGTAGAATAAATCATGCAAGACAGCCTTATGTTAAGAAAATGATAGTGGCAAACGAATGCTAGTTATCAAAATACATGAACTTCTTGTTGAAAACATTGCAAAATCTATGGAATCTATCCTACTACTGTCTTCATGAACGGAAATCATTATTCTTGGTGATTTCAATGTCACAACTCAGAAATGGATTGGGTTGCCTATTCTCCTGATATAAACACCCCTCTGTCAAGATTAGAAATCCTTGACTATTGCTAAAAATTTTACACAACCGATATGAATTTTACACAAAGCCATACTTGGGCTTCCCTCTAGGGCACGCTTGGATTCTTCTCACTTCTTCATCTTTTAGTGTACCGCTCTAATCTAGACGGCGCTCTTAAATCTTCTTTGATTCTTCTTGACTAAATCTAGTCAAAAGATTTCGCTTATGATCAATTTTTTATCTTTTTTCGCTATTCTTCCTTTTCTCGCTAAGCCTCTGCTAAAGGCCTTTGAGGGACCTTTCCTTACATAACCAGCTGCAATAAAACTAGATTGCAACAATAAGGAGTCAATCTAGACCATTCATCATCTGATTTGTGCCATTGAACATTACAATTATGTCATTGCACCCCGATGACATTAGAAAATTAGAAACATTTGATCAGAGGCAAGTCAGTATCAGATCGCAAGGGAAAACGCGCTTAATTGAATTGAAAATATCCCATTTCAAAGACGTTTTATTCTTAAAACAAAAAAATATGTACCAAAAACAACGAGCGTAGTTTTTGGAAACTCTCCCAGCTTAAGGCATTGGGCAAAGACCCTTTTGCTTTCTCATTCCCATTATTGGTGGGTCTACTTTCATTGTGTTCATTAGGTACAGCTTATAGTTAATGGCCAAAAACCCAACAAAGTGAAAAGACTGAACAAAGCAGCCAGTATATTCATTCCACTTACTTTTAGAAGGTGTCTTCGTCATAAAACCGTCAACATCACCTTTGTTCCTCAGCTCTTCAAGTTCTTTGGCAGAGGATATTTTCTTCAGTTCCCCAGTTTTCTTAAGTTTCACGACGTGGATGCAAGAGCTTTGTGCTTCACACTCATTCAGGACTGTTAGTTGTTCCAAGGAGGGTATTTCTGCATCTCCACTTTCAAATGACACATCGTAAAAAGTGCCAGCTGTGATAGTCTCTGAAGATACTGAGATTGCACATAAAGAAACAAAAAATACCTTTAAGAGATATCCGATAGTGAACATATTTGCATTTAAAAATGGATTAAGGCGGAGTGTGGCTGTTAGAACTGTTTATACCTGTGTGAAAACCTTCATTTATGCTGTTTTGCATTTCTTAGCAGCAGGTGTAGAACTTACAATTTAATTTCTAAAGAACACTTGCACACTAATATCTATAATGCTTCGTAAATGTATTTACGTTGCAGTGTCCTGCTTGAGAACAATTCTATCTTTTATATTTAACAAGAAAGGTGAAAAGAATTTTCAACATGAATGTACTTCAAAGCATATTTATCTAAAAATTCATCGCAACCAGATGTCACATCCTGTATTGATTTTTACTTAGCACATCTGGATATCTTCAGACAATGCAGAAACAAGCAAGTAGAATACTTCTCCTTAGATCAACTCTTTTTGCTTACATGTTATATAAAAAGTAATGAAATGCTATTGAACTGTAAATGGACATTCATGTGTGCACCGGAAATTTGGTAATGATTTTTGAATGTCACAGGTAGCCCTTGACTAGCAGATCTGTGTGTTCTTCACTAGAACTAAAGATGTCTGGCCATTCCTTTGTCTCAGCCGTTCCTTGGCGTTTAAACGTTCATAAAAACAAAATTAAACTCGCTGTGTATCAAGAGGACCTGCCTTAGGTCAGTGGCATTAACCTATCCTTTCTTTGCAAAGCAATTGAGACTTCTTGATAATATTTTGTCGCAGGTTCTTTGGTTCCGGTAGGCCCCACTTTAATTGCGTCGGAGCCTCTGAGACATGCAAAAAAGCTGATGTGAATCTCCTAACTAAAGTTAATATATAAAACCACACCACGCCTCCAGTGGCCATGTTCACGCTTACTGTGATAATCAGACGACAAAATGAAAAACTCTGGCTGAATTCTAAGCTGGTTCAACTGAGAATATTCTTATTATAATGTGTCATTTTATTTCAATAATGCGCCAAAAAGGTCCTTTGGTGAAGTCCTAACTGCTAAAATCTTCTTTTTGATTTGCTCATTTTTGAATAAAGAACATATACTCCTTTTTCTACCTTATTAAAAATCCTTCACAAAATATACTAAGAGGGTGGGGGCTCGAGCACTCAAGCTCCCACGCAGTTACGTCTGCCGCTGTTGAGTGCGGCACTCTTTGTTGTTGTCATTTTCACTTACGCTGCGAAGGAGCCTTTCAAATTCCAAACATAGTAATCAGGCCGATGATGCGGTAGGAAGAAAAATTTCCGGAATTATTGCAAAGAAATTGCAAGCTGTGAGCACCTATTCTAAGGTTTATAAAGAACTTCTTTTGTCTATTATAATCGTAATTTGCCTTTGAAAGGTTTTTTCAGTCTTGCGAAAAGCTTTTTGCGAATTGACAACAATTTCAAAGGTATTGCTCTTCCTGTTTTGGTGTTAGGCCGTTCCCGACACAAGACATTTGACTAAGGTTTCGTGAGTGAACGACCGAGAGTTTATAATTTCCAAGTGCGCTGTCTCAGCTCGTCACAGTCGAAGAAGAATTGCAGCACGAAATGGAGATGGAGGGAATTCCACTACGAGCTGCTTTTAATGGGTAACTTGAGTTGTTTCTGTTCTTTATTTGTTTACATTGTTGTTTCCTATGCTGTGTTTATAACTTCAGTTCAGTTCAGTTCAGTTTTATTTTAAATTCCACTGGATACATACACTTGTTGCAAATTAGAAATAATCCAAGCTCAAGAGTATAAACAATGTAAAAGGAAGTTAAATAATATAAACGTAACATAACAAATACAGAGTAGAGGAGAAAGAAGCTATTGTAAACAGGGAATTATTTAAAGGAGGAAACTTTTTTCAGTAGTTTATAAACTAATCGAGGAGAAAGCACCCCCTAGTAAATTAGATGCGTTATGCTTATTTTTTTAGTTCTAAAAGTAAACTAAGTTTAAATTTATAGACTAAGTTTAAAAACCATCATTGATTACTATGTTGTTTTGTAAAAATATTTTAAGATTGTTTTTAAAAGAATATTTTGAAGGAGAATTTCTAATTTCTACTGGTAGGTCATTCCACATTTGCCCCCATATATCGAAAAGACTTCAGGCCATGCCGACATAACTGTAACAACAAAGCTCTCACAAAGTTTATTTCCTGCTTGATGTCCAAAAACACAACATGTAGAGAATCAGCGATATAAACATTGGATGATTTTTTGAAGACTGTTAAAATAGTTGTTCAGTCTTCAATTCTCTTCCAAATCAAATTTTTCTTATGCTGTTGTACCCTGATTAAATTTTTTCTAACTAAAATGTGTCTTTAGATTTAAACTGTGTCGTAAGACAGGGCCTGTGCGGTAACTTTAACACAGTTTGTTCTCTACATTTATTTTGTTTCTAAGTACAACAATAAATTTATTTATAGATAGTCCACCTAGTTTCTTATTCACATATAAATAATCACTAGAAATAACTTCATAAACTCCTTGTTCCTCTAGGTGAATACCACCACTAAACTTAATCCATTTAATCCACTAAACAAATTAAAGATTTGTGTTTATTAGCCTCATATATTTTGCTCAAAGTCCTATAGACAGCTGTAGATGGCTTAAAGGTAAATAGTAAATATAAATGGATACAAGATCCTTTTTGCACAAATATTTGCAAGAACTTCATATAGCTTCTTCGAGGAAATGCAGAAATTCAAAGTTAGTCAAATGCCTAGCCAAGGTTGATGTTAGAAACTTTGGCTAAATGTTGATAGAATATTTTTAAACAAAGTTTATGAAATTTTTTATGATTATTGTTATCATTTAAAGTGGAATAAAGGCCCTGTTCACATGATACCGGATTCATTTTGTATCGCATCGCTTTTCATATCAGATAGGCCTTCTGTTCGCTGGAATCCGATGCACTCTGTATTGTTTTTGCGGAGTCAAACCATTCCGCTGTGAATTTGGAGTGATATCATATCGGATCGCTTTTGAGCTCGTGTGAATGCATGAATCTGATACAGTTCCCCTCCGGAACCTCTGTTTCAAAAAAGCAGCTTCGTTCCCCTTCACTAAAGAGCTTCAGGCACTCCTTATTTATCAATTACAATGTTATTCTTTCAATATTTTAAATATAGATATGTTTAAAATTTTTTCCTTTTGACTTGTTTTCAGGGATGTCACCTGTTTAGTAATGGATCCACATATTAGCTACGAGTCATTACTCGGTGATCTCAGAGACATTTACAAGTTTGCCCCCAGGGATAAATTTACATTGAAATGGATCGATGATGAAGGTATGCGTGTATCTGTTTTTGCTGGAAATAAGGCCTCTTAGAATGAAAGAGTATTATTTGTCAAATATAGGTTTCAAGGAGTAAACTGAATTTCAAATTTAGGATTTATTATTGTCCTTTGAATTCAGCTGTAAACTCTGTATCTAACCTAATTATCATCCCTTAATATAAATATGAACTAAATGGCAAGAACCAGTCCAGATAGTGCTGCCTGCAGATCAAGTCAGATTTTGTGGTGTGCATATGCTCTGGATGTGAAAGTGGTCATGTGACAAATATTTTTTCAATGGATGACAATGCATTTAAAAATATTGAAATAATTTTGACAGATACACCGTAGATTTGTCCGAAATCAAGCTTTGATTTAATGAGGAATGATGTTGTTGAAGTAATTTGCATTCTAAATCCATCTCAATCTGATCCAATCAAAAAATTACTTGATCTGGAGTGGTTTTAAATGCTTATGTTCCGTCCCAATATTTGGACAAGAGCTTGTGTATTAAATGTATTTAATCAAATGTGTGTTCAATTTTGTATAGAGTTAAGGCTTATTTTTCCAGTTAAACACTATAAATTTATTTTGAGTAGTCTGTGTACCAAAATGTTGTGATGCCAAATTTTTTGTTAAGATACAAATCTTAGTCCTCTAGGTGCTTCATTTTGTAATGATTGGTGAACAAAAAAGTAATTTGTTCATTCTTAAGAATTTTCAAATTTATTTTTTCTTCAAAGCTCATGTGCATTGTACTCTTGGATGGTTTTATGATTTGTGCCTTCAGAACTTTTTGAAACATATCCTAAAAAAATTGTTTTTAAGCATATTTTGAAACATATTTTGAAACATGTTTTGCTATGTGATGCTTTTCAGGAGATCCTTGCACCTTGACATCACAAATGGAACTAGAAGAAGCAGTGAGACTCTTCTTCCTCAACAGGGATCCTCAACTTGTTATAAATGGTACTTTTGCCTTTTGATCTATACAATTAGATCCAAGTATTTCCATAGTATTGAATGATTCTCTTGTTCTTATAACTTCATACTACTTCTGAAATGGTTAGGCATTGTTGCTTTTTTCTTTACTGTATTTATTTGCATACTTGACACCTTCTTACCTTCTTAACCCAAAAATCTGAGTCTTTTGTGAGAAAATGTTGTATGATATAACTTGCATCTCAGGAAATAATCTTTTGGTAGTACAAAACTTGTAAATGACTTTGAAAAAAGCAAACATTTAGTAAACTAAAGCTTTTCGTCTGACACTCTTCAGAGTTTAAAACGCCAGAACATAGATCGAAAACTCTACGCTAGGAAATATATAAACCCAGTTGTGGATCGAAATAGGCCAATCAGAAACACGAGCACATGACTATATAAGTTGACCAATCAATGCCGCTTGCCTATTGAGAATGTTACACAGTAGCGGTTTTTCGTGCTTATGTAGATAGATTCCAAAACTGCTAGGTGGAACGACGATCGGGCTTTACCAATAATCCGAAACATGTCGCCATTATAGTTTTTTTGCACAATCTGGGTTTCTAGTAAATGCTGCCCGATAGCAGAATCGCAGGTTTTAGTTGTAATTTTAGATTTGCAAGACCGAGGTGGCTGTTCTCTTTGGGGATGGGTTTTGTTTCTAATATTAGACGGAACATGTTGTTTTATTCTATCCTCCAATCTTTGGGTAGTGCGTCCTACGTAGCCAGATTCACATTGGCGCGTAATTTCATATACAACCGAACTTTTTTGTGTGGCAGGAACGCAGTACTTTTGAATGGACGGAAGGGCCTTTTTCGTACTATAAACAACACGTAGGTTGACCGCAAAGAAACAATTTGTAATGGCCTGTTTTATTTGGCTTTCAAAACGTAGGGAACTGTCACCGATCCAGGGTAATTCTAGATAGACCGGGCACTTTTGAGGACCAAATTTTACGTCAGCCGAGAAATTTTCCTATCTTCTCCTTAATGTAAACTGAAATAACATCCTCTGGATAGCCGTTCTCCAGAAAGATCTTAGTTAGTTTGATCTTAGGCTTCGAATCTTAGGTTTAGAAAGACCTTAGGCTTGAAATCTATCTACATAAGCACGAAAAATCCGCTACTGTGTAGACAAAAGTCGTTCGTTTTCACCTTAGGACTCCATTGGTAACATTCTCAATAGGCTGTGCTCGTGTTTCTGATTGGCCTATTTCGATCCACAACTGGGTATATATATTTCCTAGCGTAGAGTTTTCGATCTATGTTCTGACGCTTTAAACTCTGAAGAGTGTCAGACGAAACGCTTTAGTTTACTAAATGTTTGCTTATTTCAAAGCCATCTCAGGAAATTTTGAAATTAAGGAGAGGGAATGTTTGCAAAATCTTTGTAGGCAATTATATAAGCTAGATTGCTTTACAGGTTGGTTCACCCTGGGTACCAGAGTCACAAATTTTGAGCTTGACACTTCTACGGCTCTCCACTCCTATCTTCTATTTCCGCACTCAAATTTAGGTTCCTCTGATATCCAGAGTAGGATTGTTGGTTTTTTTGGCATTAGGCTTGCAAAAGTGCCTGTGATAACGAGATTCAACATGTTCCTTCATTTATTTTTTTCTTCAAATTGTTTCACTTCCTGTTTAACCTGCTGTTCTTCTCTTTTCTCAGTTTTTAAAGGTGTTCCAGATGAGCCTGGCCAACTGCTAGCTGGAGAAGATCGTAAGTGTGTCTGCTTTTCATCCGCTTCAATTGTTCACACATCAGAAGAAACTCTGAATCCTTAGCTAAGGCTATGGATAGCAGTTGAAAAATTTTAGAACCGAAAATAATCATTATATGTAATCCAATGTTTGCTGTATCTGTCTTTGTGCTTCTTAAAAGGTTAATGTCATGTGTACTTGAAACACGGCATGACATTTTTGCGAGGCATTTTTGTTTATTTTAACTCATTTTAATCAAGAGATCTAAGTATCAGTGAATGTTTGACTCCTTCTTAATGAGAATATCCAAGTTTGCTTTTCATTACTACTTTGCTTAGTTTAAATGAAAAGCTAAAATACGTTTCACGCCTTGCTAAAAATACTATAAAAGTTTCCATAATATTTCGAAATAAGTTTCTGGATCTTAGATTATCGAAGAAGTTCTATTACTTAACTAATTTTCCATGATAAAGATCATTTTGATCGATTTCTCTCTTATCAAAAACAAGGCAGCTGAAAGATTTTACAATTTTACAATTTATATAACGTTTTGAAATAGAAAGATTCAAAGAAAAAGAAATGATCTGAAATTTCATTACCGTATTTTTCCATTTGCTTACTGCAGGTTTAATGTACAGAAGAGGAGCTCGTAGATGGCGTAAGATTTATCATTACAATGGACATTCGTTTGTTACAAGGCGGTTTGGAAAGGTTGGTTTCATATTGTTTCTTAAGTATTGGTCGAGATATGTTGTGAATTAGCTGCAAAGGAGTGCTATTAAAGGATTTGGCATGCTGTGTGCCACCCTACATAAACGCAATAAATGTAAAGAAGCCACTCACATCTCGAACAGGCTGTAGACTTTGTTCACTCCTTAAAAGCTTTGGTCGAGATCTCAATAGAGTTGTCAAGTGATGACATCACAAAAATCTATTTTTTAGAATTTTTGAAATTTTTTCCCATAACCAGAATAAGCATCATGAAATACCTCTAAATCTGCAAAATCAGTTAAAATTATTACGATTTTGCATATACGGGAGTACTTTATGGTGTTCTTTCATGTTATCTGATCAAAATTCGAAAATTCTAAAAGTAGTTTCTGTGACGTCACACTTGTGAACGCTATTAATACGATGCAAATAACTGTGAATATCCGGACCATCGGTCGGACCAATGATATAGAAGCGCTCCTGTATCACAAGGTCGGACGAAAAGAATATAATACAGTGCTGTTTAGTTTAGGCAGAATTACATGTATGCTGTAAAAGCTACTTTAGTTGTTTGTAAAAGGTGCCACAAATCCCTTCACCCCCTTCTATTCTGGTAACACTTTAAAGCGATACTGTTGTTTTATCGACCCGAGGATCATTCTAAATATCAATTTTTGGACTATCCTGTCGAGTGAACTGCGTTTTCAGATGTGATTACAATTTCACAATCCCTGTTTTAGTAAGCCTTTTGTCATTTTTCCCGGCCTCGATTGCCTTCGTCTTTCTCTTCATAAGGCACATTGCTCCGTCAATGCTCGGTTCACCTTATCGGACACTAGGTTCTGTGGCGTGCAGGGAGCCAATCATAATGAAACTGCTCTTTGTAACCCATAGAGATAAACATACATTCCTATCTCTATGTTGTAGCCAGACATTCCATAAGTAAAAATTTGATGCAAAAATCAAGCATAACCGAATCACATCGAATGAGAATGGAATTTTACTCGAATGCCAATTGAGAGGGCAGGCGTCGTATTAGCTGATCTATGATATTTGTGTTGTCGTTGCTGTGTTGTCGTTGCTCCGTTGTTGTTGCTCCGCTGTTGTTTCTCTGTTGTTGTTGTTGTTGTTCTGTTGTTGCAAGTTCGATAGTCTAAAACAATTGTAGTAAACGAGGGGTTGATGCGGTCACCATTAAAATCGATTTTTGTTATCAAGGTTTATTAATCCTAACAGATAATCCTAAGTCCTTTCCTGATGTAATTCAAAGTCACTTTTTTTGCTTGCTTTAAGAATAGTTTCTGCAAACAGTTCAACAGCTCTGCCCAGGCGCTGCCTCAGGAACTTTCCTGAAATAAATAGAAGCAAATTGTATTAAATGATTTGCAGCTTCTGCTCTAAAATTTCTTCTTCGATTGCGGCTGTTCATTTATTACTTCTTAGATAATCTTTGCTAATCTATAGAATTTTTTAGAGGATAAAAAATTTTTTCAAATCTATTAACATTGCAATAAGTTTTCATCGCTAGTCATGAATTATGCATCAGTGTTTTGAAAATATTTTTGAATTGACGATTGGAGAGAAGTTAAATATTAGAAGTCACTCCAATAAATGCATAGCACTAAAGGAATCATGGTCTGAGTTGTTGCCTTAGTGCTTGGGAAATATTCAGGAATGAAGGACTAAAACTCTTTTGCTAGCCCTTAAAGCATTATGAGACTAATGGATTTAAAGCTGTGGTATTGGAGAGCGTTGAAAGAGTACATCTTCAGTGGCTCAGTGCGTAGCATTTCATACTTTTGCGTCATTTCTTGCATTTTACAATTTATGTCTTGTCATAAAAAACTTCAAGTACTGAGCCAGTTGTTTTCCATTTTCGAGACCACTTTTCACTTTATTTTCAATGCAAACTGTATTAAACTGTCTTGATGCCCTCTGTTTTTCTCATTTCCTGAAACATAGACTCGTTTCCTTGGGTTGTGATTTCTAAATTCCGAAATAACTTTTCGTCTGTTAGAAGTTTAAAAGGGAGCCTTTGTGTCTAGTACATTGACCTTTTTGTTAAGAGCAAAAAAGGAAATTTCATATTCCCACTAAGCAAGTCAACTTTTAGATGACTAGCAATAAACTGCTTTGGAAATCGATGGATTTGGCATTCTTCAAGTTAGTGTGTTTATGAAAATTGGAACATTGCTTGTTTTTACTTTTAGTGAATAGCATTTTGTCATAAAAGATGCAAAATATTTAAAAAAAAATTAATTTTGTATCTTTAAGAAGATCAACTCAACAATGAAAGAATATTATCAGTTTAGTAAATAGGTTGTTCAAGTGCGTATTGCATGTATCAAGGGAAAAGTGTAACAGTGAAGAGCCACCTGTATTGGATCTATTAAATATTCATTATTATTACTATTATTGTTATTATTATTATTCTTTTCACTATTCTAACTGCCATTTTTAAGTTTCAACATGTTATTCGAAATATAAGTCGTCAATTGTACACTGCCTCATAGAAGGGAGATGTGGAATTGTATGTATTTAGTGATTTATTAAATGAAAAGAGATTACATTATTATTATGATATAGGAGACAAGTAGTAATTGAGTTAATCGTGGTTGCTTTGTAGTTTTTATGATGGAATCGGCCTATTTCTTTGCTCACAGAAATATTCTTGAGGAAACCCATTTCAAATGGTTATCGTTGATATCTAACCCATGACTTCGTCAAAATGATCAACTTTGTAGTTTGCTAGGTTTTTAATAAGTATGATATTTTAAGTTTGATAACAATTTCGAGAAGATGAAATATTTAGTAAGCCAGTAAACGTAGCATTATGAAAATTCATTTTTGCAACTTGTAAATCCCACATAGGCTATTTGGTTCCTGCATCCACTGTGACCAATCATAAGCATGAACTTTCTTCCAACCTCGTTTGTTGCTGTCTGTGAATCTTTCCTCTAAAGCATTTTGCGTGTGGCAGTCCAACTCAACCATTATGCCTATACATTCTTTCTTTTTTAAAATACTATAATATTTTCCCAGCCTAGATGTTCTTAGAAAATTTCATAAGTAAAAACGTATTTCAAAGGATTTCAGAGGAAATAGCCCCCCCCCCCCCCCCCTATTAATAGAAACCATGTTTTTTTTAAAAATGAGATACCTATATCAGTCATGCAATTCTCAGTTAAAAACATCGCAAAACAGGCAACTGCTAAAAGTAAGGTAAAAATGTTGGAGCCGAGACTGGGCTGTAATCTGCTAATATTCTAAGAAATTGGATACCTCTGAGACTGAATGTTCTTTTACACAATATTTTGATAAGCAAGAGTGCTTGGTCCCACCGAGTGAATGGGCGAAAGAGATTGAAAGCGCCGGCATTAACCATATCATCTGTGGTTTTTATACAGCTGTTACAGTAGCATCGTAGAATCAAGGATTGATAATGGCTTTATGGAGTTGATTAAAGATGAGAATGGTATTAATCGACCACCGCAAACAGACCTGTCTTTCGTATACCATAATGCTGCAACTTCTTGTAAGGTCACTCACCCTTTCATTTTTATTTATCGACAGGCATACAACTATAAACATAGGCTAAGGAGACAGATGGGGGCATAAATCCATAAATATAGGCTGCAGCTCCTCTCCAATTAGACAAAATGAGGCAACATCATTAGCTGAATGAAGCAACATCATTAGAGGCAAAACCCGTACTAAGCCCCCTTAGACGTTTAGCTTCCGCTACGCCCAGGTCTTAAAACTTTGCTTATTGCGTTATCTGTTTTAGGGCATTTGTGACCTTCTTCTCATTTCATTTCTGCATTTCACCATAAACAGACCTTACGTCTCTCTTTCTGTCACATCCTTACAATTTCATTTTGGCCAAAAAAGTTTCTTGCACTTACGAGAAACTTAGACTGCTTTTTTGATAATTGGTTTAGCGATTTCCGAAACCCCCAATTTTATTGAACCATCCGCAAAAATATGACATATAGCACAATGACGAATTGCAACTGGTCACGTGATTTTTCACATGTTTTTTAATAAATCGGGATGAAAAATTTAATTTCTTATCTTTACCAAGTGCAAATATTGGACTTTTTGAGTCTGCCGCTTTATTAATCTCTGGAAAGGCGATCATTTTTTCGATACATCAGCGATTTTGCTACGAAAAGTTTCTGTTACCAGCTGTCCCGGATCTCATATAAAAGCTTTTAATACCAGATTGCAGAGTTATCTTGTTAAACAAATCTATTTTACGCACGCGAGTTTTCCGAATTGTCTTAAGTTTTTTGCAAAAATACGTAGTTCTTTCGACGAATCTGTTCAGGTTTCCTTGCACAAATGAAAGTTTTCCAAAGCTCATACTACATAGCAGACATCGATTGTTCAGCGAAAACCGTTATAATAAATTGCTAAATTTATGATTATCGCCCTTTTTTATTACTAATTAATTCATGTAACCCTCAAAATGTTTTTCTAAAAGAGACGGATATTTTTCAATATCTACACGAGCCCACTTCTTGGTCCTCTGAAACGGTCACCTTGAGAAAAATGACATTTTCTGTTTTAATTGAAACTGTAGACATTTAATTTGGAAATTTGTTACTTTCAGTTTGCGAATTGCGAAATTTGTCAAGATATGATCTGGGGACTAGGAAGACAGGTATGTTTTGTAGTGTATTTGCGTATAATTTCCACTGCACAATTTATGCTGAAGGATTACCAATTCAGCCATGCTGCGCTTTTTCCATGTGGCAATAATAGGCCAACAGAAAGGTACATTTAATGCTCGTCTGATTTCTCCTGTATTTAATAACTTTAGTTTCTTCGAGCAAAAACTGCCTTTTAACTGACTAGAATTTCCTTTTAACGCCCTTTCTTTTAATGCTGCAAAATCAGATTTCTTCAAAGCCGTTATATTTTAGGCCCTCTGTTCAAAATATTGCTGTTGTCACAATTACTGTAATGAAATTTTTATTTTTTTATTTTTGCTTCTTTACTAAACCACTATTCGTAAAGGCAAAAAATTGAAATGCATTAACCTAGTTGTTTACCCGATTTTGTTGCAGATTGTTGATTAGTGGAAATAGAATAGATGAGTGTAATATATTTCTTTTTCTGGTTGATTAGCAATATGAATCATTTCATTATTCCATGGCATTGCACACGAGCTTTATATTCTTTGAAGCATAAAAGTACAAATATACTGTTTGTTGCAAATAGTTGAAACTCCTTTTTTGCAGGGAGCGCGTTGTCTCAATTGCAAAATTATGGTTCACAAAAAGTGTCATCGTTTGGTATCTGTGGATTGCAGTACAATTCTTAGCTCGATGGTATGACTATTTCAGTGACCACTTTCATTGGATTTCTTTCATCTTTGATATAAAAAAGATTTCCTCCAATCGTCCATTGTTATCGGTTTCCAGGAGTCTTTCCGTTGCCTATTGAAGTAGCCCCTGTCGGATTTTATATGAATTTGAGGCGTAGGAGGGGGTGGGAGTTAGGTGGGAAGGGAATTACCGAGGGGCTGTGGGCCAAGTGGGTTGGGAGTGCCAAAGGGGTATTGGCACTACTGTTCTCTGTTTATTGCGGAAAAGTTTTATTTAGTTTGTTGTTGCATATCAGACTGCGCTTTAAAAGTTTGTTTCAGACTGCGCTGATGTCGGTCTATCCTGCAGCAGCTTTTTTGGTAATAATAACAATCATAATTTTTTCACAGGCCACATCAGCTGCCCAGAATCCCCAGAATTACAGTTCATTACCAATGAACAGCAAAACCGGTGTATTACATGAACATGCTTACATGGGTCCAAAAAGAAGTATGCTTGACAGATTTTGTTTGAATTTGCCCAATTAAGCAAATTATTGTATTTTATTACTTTTTGCATTTAAAGTCTCATTGTTCCATGCTTATTTTAGACCATCTCATACCTAAAAAAATGCGCTTAAACATGCTGGAATGTTATTTGATCCACATACTACACGCACGCTACAAGCCCTCTCTTCCATTGTAAACAATAAACGAGTAATGGAATTGGTAACTGGCCCTGTAAAGTTCCATACTTTATTGCACTGTAAAATCCGCTGATACTGCAAAATTTGAACATAGCTCAGAATAAAGAAACGTAGCAAATTTTGATAAAGCAGAAATATTTAACGATCATATTGAGCGAAAATTAAGCAGATAGCACAATACTGATGTTTCTTGCTATTTTTAGATTATTTCACCAAATAATGTAGTCTATGACATGAATCTTGCTGTGATTTTCACGTAACATACTACATGTAGATTAACCTAAGTTATGTTCTTGCATCTTATTTTTTGAACAGCCAAAAGTGATAGTCCAGGCTCAAGGAAGAAAGGCGTCTACAGAGATGTAGATTTTAACGCAGACTCAATGTCTAAAGAGGTAGCTCTTCTTTTCCCTTCTCGTAAAGTTACCGCCATCAAAAACAGGGGGTTATAATCTTATATAGTAAGTAAGGAACATCGCAAGGCACCGAGAACAAACGACAATAGACAAATGTAAATCAACTTTGGCTTATATTTCGCCCCGATGTTCCAGATTTTGTTTGAAATGAAGTTTCATAAATGTAGCAGATTAAGGAGACCTGATGCAACAAACCATAAGAAGTTTAGTAAATGAGAAATTTGAAATGTTGTAGAAAATACGCGAGAAATTGTAAGCTACCGAGATATAAAGATATATATTCAGATAGTAATAGGTTTTTTAAGCATAATTATTATTCATGCAGTTATTCAGTTGCTTCTTTGTTAATCATCGACAATTGTAATTGTAATTGTAACCTCTAATTGTCCATTTTAGCCAACTGGTGAAAGCTCTCTGATTGGTCTAAAAGATTTCGATTTTATTCGCGTGATTGGGCGAGGCAGTTACGCCAAAGTTTTAATGGTAAGTATTCGCTATGCAAATTGATATCCCTCAGTTAAAGTGAATCCCTTTTGAGCACTTTTATACCTTTAAAGATATTCATTTGTTAATTTGTTATTCCATTGTTTATGTCTCATTTCAATTATATATTATAAGAAATTCAATGTTCAAAGGTGTTATTTCAATGTTTCTATTACTTTTAAACAGAATTGGATCTTTGTTCGTTCTATCATATATTGAAAATTTTTGCCATCGATTCGTTTCGCATCTTGCTCGTGTGGCCTAAGCACAATCTAAATTGCTGTACAGTCCGATTTAGCATTATGTGCTATGTCTGTATTGTCTGTATGTGTTATGTATTTTCTTTCAGGTTCGGCTCAAACAGACTGACCGAATTTATGCGATGAAAGTTATTAAAAAAGATCTTGTAAATGACGATGAAGTATGTTTATTAATTAGCAAAATTTCAAACTAATACAATGCCTGCTGTCTTTTTGTCCTTGTAAAAAAGATTTTATTAATAGTTTTCCTAATATGCGTTAAATTAACAAGGAACCAGTCAAATTCACCATTCTTCTTGTAATGTTACTTTCGATCTGCATAGAGTTTTAGCTTACCTTTGTTCATTTTCATGCGTTTATACTCCGAGGAGGGTTGGGCGTAGAATTCTTTGGTATGCACTTTTCTGGTGCTATCTCCAAATATGTTGCAATGTCGGCAATATTTAAGGAAAATAGCTAAACTGTAACATGCTTATGTTTCCCTTAAAACTCTCCTCTTTACAGACGACGGGACTTTTCATAAAGAACATAAATTACCAGGGGTAAAGCTGGATAAGACAGTAAATTGTGTTTACTGGCTGTTATTTTGGGGGGGGGGGGTCCTTTCAAGCGCAAAATTATCACTAAAGAGACCTACTAGCTAACTTAGGTAGATTCGATTCCCATAAATTTTCAAGTGCCTTGTAGCTCGGTCACGTAGGACAAAACAACTTGATTTGAAAATAGTGTCAAAAGTTTGAAGGATGTTGTGAAAGACCCTGATGAGGATGTTAGCAAGGGCTAATTCGTACCCGTTTATCTCCATCAGAGATTTTGACCAATGTATTTATTTAGAAATAAGCTATTATCAAGTTATACAATATTTTGAAGTGCAGTATAGGACAAAAAGTATCTGACTTCGGAAATGAGTATATTTTATGCTGAATATACTGAAGACAAATCTCTTCATTAATTTTTTCATCTCAACAATACTCTTCAAATTTCATCATTATGATTAATTTTTTCTTATAGGATATTGACTGGGTGCAAACAGAAAAACATGTTTTTGAAATCGCATCGAATCATCCATTTTTAGTCGGCTTGCATTCTTGTTTTCAGACCAGAAGTAGGTGAGTAGCAGGGCCTTATGTAATATTTGCATAAACCTGGTGTTAATTTTCTTTTAGTCTCACTGTTGATGGCTTCATTCGTTTGTGTTATAGTTCAGGCAACTCAACTTGTACCCAATTTTGCCATTAAAACATACCTTTAATGATCAAATAATTAGTGCTTGCCAAATATATGATAGTCTTTTTAGGTTGTCCAACGTATAATAGAGTTAGTTTTTATACAGATTTATGTTATCAGAATATAAATTCTGTTATCAATCCATTAAACGAAGAAATAGGCAAAAACCGATAAAATGGACCTATAAAACGAAGAAAATGACAATAAGAAGCTTAGAATAACGTGTATTTTAATATTTGTTATGTCACTGTTTGTTGTCAAATACTACAATTCATTAGGACGTTGTCAGTAGACGTCTTTTGTCCTAAGCAAGGTAAGAGTATTTCACGATGCGTAAATTTTTATGCATAAGATGAAAAGGAGCATTTAGTTGTTCTTTCTAAAACATCTTAGTTTCTGTAGAGCTTTACCAGTAAATCTATCATTGTAGCTAGCAAAGTTTATGTTTGTTGTTAATCCGTTAATGCCAATTTCAGGCTTTTCTTCGTAATCGAATTTGTTAACGGTGGAGATCTAATGTTCCATATGCAGAAAATGAAAAGACTTCAAGAGGACCATGCAAGGTATGATTCTTAGGCGATCAAGCAATGTTAGCATAACCACCCTACTGTCTTTTCAAAGTAAATTTCTTGGTCATTAGGTCATGCTTCACTCTCTTGTTGACTGTGAAATAAAATATCTTTTATGATGCCTTTTGAGTTGTACGAAGGAGGAACATGTTTCTTCCTTGTTTTTTTTACTTAGAGTGAATGATAAAAGCCGTATACCGATAAAAGCCTGTGAGAATCTACAATTATATTGAAATTTTGCATCACTTTGTACTGCAAGTTTTTTCCGGAACCAAATCCCACGAGCTCAGACCTGTTTTCTTCTCCTAAATTTTTTACCATTTCCATTCTCTTTTAGCCTTTAGCAATTGATTCTGTTGTTGGATAGAGAACCTAAAAATATTCCAACTTAAAGTATTTGAGTTTGTATTTCTATTCAATGTTCTATTCAATACATGATCCTAGCTATTTTATAGAAACTACCAGTGCTTATGTTTTAATGCATCTGTCTTTTGTTTTCTGCAGGTTTTATGCAGCTGAGATTTGTTGTGCCTTAAATTTTCTCCACGAGAAAGGTGAAAAACATAAATAATTCTCATTACACAATATCCTTAACCACTTTTAACGTTGCACCCTTCTGTTAACATCCATCCATATTGAGTTTTTTCCGATAATGTCCTTCCTTTGACCTACTTTCGTTAACAAGCTACCATTGACGTCTTTCTGTTGAGGTACTCCCATTGGCCTTCTTCCGTTGACGAGTTACCTTTGACGTCTTTCCTTTGAGAGCTAGTTCCATTTGTTACTGTTGTGGCTAACGCAATAGACTGAATGTACAATGTATTTGTGAAAAGATCGACTTAATTTTCTCCCTCATCCCGAACAATATCGTCGATGCTAATAAAGCCATCATCACAGAAGTGCTTCTCTGGCAATAATTTTGGTTTTCGATGGCCAAAATTCGTACAGGCTTTTCTACAGCTGGTTCATTTATTTAGCTTTTGATTTGATATAGTTTTTGATCTTGAGTAATAAATGAAAATCTTTATAGATGTAAGTTCTCTCTATAAGGCATTGATTCAAACTATTTTCGTTTCCCTTGCAGGAATCATATACCGAGATCTGAAGCTTGACAATGTTTTGCTTGATGGAGATGGGCATGTTAAGTTAACGGATTACGGCATGTGTAAGGTATTCAAAGCTCAAGAAAGACTTTCTTTTTCAGCACCCTTTTGATGAACATTGGCATTTATAATGATGCTTCAGTGTTAGCAAAGTCCTGCCTCCTATAGGTTTGATGTAAGATTAGGAACGGTGAATTCAAGTTATAGGTATGGGCAGTTGTAGGGACGACTTCATGTAAGATTGCAAACGATTTTGTATTAAATTTTAGCTATGGACTATTTCTGCGACGGTTTTTGGGACGCTTCCCATTTAGCCCCTTGCAAGTAGACCCTTTGCCCTTCACATGGTGCAAGTAGAACACAAATCTGAAGTTAGCACTTACAACAAGTGCTGTATTTTAACTCCTCGCCTCATCTTTTCCAATAGCGTTTTTTTGCCGTTTGATATAACCTTTCATTTTACCAAGTTAACAAAATCATCCAGGCCTGTTTTATCAAAATCTGAGAACTTTTCTTGAATTGTGTGTACAATTTTGTACCTGTGACCATCACAAGACTGCAAACATGGAATATTTCTCTATTTTGCAGGAAGGCCTACAACCCGGTATGACCACAAGTACATTCTGTGGAACACCAAATTATATTGCACCCGAAATTTTAAGAGGAGAAGATTACGGTAAAATTATCTCCTTATTCCGTTCTGCATATTTCCTATCGTATTTTTTGTAATGAAAAAGCCTGCCCCTTTGTTACTCACATTTTGTAGTGGCCTAATGCAGTGTTTGCTCAACGTGTGTGTTTTATAGAGGGAGGTTTTTATTAATGAGATCAAAAAAGTTGGTGCAAGTTTTTATCCATAGAAACCATCAAACAGATAGGCCAGTTTTTGCATGAAAGAATAATGGGTGAATTTGTTAACTGATTAAAGTTGGCAACATAGAATTGATCTAGTCAACACTTTCTTGGTATTTCGAGAATGTCTTTAGGTGAAAAAAATCTCAAAACATATCGTTTGTTCTCTTACTTATAGACAGAGATCGACAAAAGTCTTTTACGTATCAAAAAAATTTTATGGGTATCTTATTAATATTAATGATCAAAATTAAAATAAATTTGATTGTTTGTTATAGTTTATGTTAACGGAAATCTCAATGAGTGTGGCGCTTCTAATAATTAGGCATTAATTAAAATATTGTGTAAACAATGAAATCGTTTATCTTATGTTTGAGGCTTATTGGTGAAAATATATGGTATCACAAGCTTTTTGGGCTTCGCTTAAGTTCTGTTCAACCAGGAGTATTTCCGTGATTTGCACAATTGGCTTAAATCCTAGCAAAAATATAAACAAAGTTAATTTTTATTTGCTTTTTAAAATGGTATTTCCATTGAAATTAAACATTGTTTTCTTAATCCAATATCTTTTACAGCAGATGATTCAGCTGTGTTTCGTTCACAAAACGTTTTGAACCATCAATTAAAAATGAAATTTAATTCAGATTACTTCCTTGTTATATCTATAAAGATTTTTTTGAAAGAAATTTGGAATAGGCAGCAAGGCCTTATGTTCTAAAGACATTACTGTTTTTCACTGCTACTTGTTTTATTAGCTACCTTGTAAGTGTATTATCTAACAAGAATGTATTACCTTCAGATGCTATTGAAAGCACACTGTGTATGCTTCGTTTGCCAGTGACTATATCTACGTTTTGATAGAAACCCACCTCTTTAAGTAACTAATTCTAAAATTGAAATGTATAGTTTTTTTCAGGTGTGTAATGTTGCACATATACTTTTAAGCAAGATGGTTTTTGTTAGAGTCTGTAAAAACTCGATATTTTTTGTCTGTTTAAACTTGATTATTTTTCATTATTTTGTTTTTAAAGGCGCAAGTGTTGATTGGTGGGCTCTCGGGGTCTTACTTTACGAAATGTTGGCTGGGAGATCGCCTTTTGATATCGTGACAGCCAGTGACAATGCAGATCAGAATACCGAAGATTACCTATTCCAAGGTAAGCCGTTTCCTATAGCTAGAAGCAGTCTAGGCATTCGAATAATGCATGCTACTGTTTCCGTTTCTTTTTGTTTAATTTCATGGAGTTGGGAATTCCTTGATCATATTTCATCGATAATACTTCGATTTCTTTAACCGAAGATTAATACCCAGATTTAGCTCCCTAGATTGAATCACCCACGATTGAATATCTGGATTTCATTAACCCTAAGTTAAATACCCTGATTTCACCCCCACATTGTATCGCACTGGATTGCATAACTGAATTCCACCTGATATCACTACCTCGATTAAGTAACCTATATTAAGTAACTGGATTTAACTTCAGATTGAATATCTGGATTTCATTAACCCTAAGTTAAATACGCTGATTTCACCCCCACATTGTATCGCCTTGGATTGCATAACTGAATTTCACCTGATATCACTACCTCGATTAAGTAACCTATATTAAGTAACTGGATTCAACTTCAGATTGAATATCTGGATTTCATTAACCCTAAGTTAAATACCCTGATTTCACCCCCACATTGTATCGCCTTGGATTGCATAACTGAATTTCACCTGATATCACTACCTCGATTAAGTAACCTATATTAAGTAACTGGATTCAACTTCAGATTGAATATCTGGATTTCATTAACCCTAAGTTAAATACCCTGATTTCACCCCCACATTGTATCGCCTTGGATTGCATAACTGAATTTCACCTGATATCACTACCTCGATTAAGTAACCTATATTAAGTAACTGGATTTAACTTCAGATTGAATATCTGGATTTCATTAACCCTAAGTTAAATACCCTGATTTCACCCCCACATTGTATCGCCTTGGATTGCATAACTGAATTTCACCTGATATCACTACCTTGATTAAGTAACCTATATTAAGTAACAGGATTTAACTTCAGAGTGAATCTCTGGTTTTTTATTATCCCTAGATTTAATACCCTGATATCACTCCCTAGATTGAATCACCCTAGATTGAGTTACTGGATTTCACACCAGATTGAATGTCTAAATGATACGCTAGATTAAGTACCTGGATTTTACCATATGATAGACACTGCTTCCTTTTCTACATAAAAACTTCCCAATTTTCGAAAGAATAAGGAAGCTTCACACTTCTTTATGACATTCCTCACGACTTCCCTGCTTTGTTTTTTTTTCAGTGATCCTGGAAAATCCTATTAGAATACCGCGATCGCTTTCCGTTAGGGCTTCATCATGCCTCAAAGGGTTTTTAAACAAAAATCCAAGAGACAGGCTAGGCTGCCATTTGCAGACCGGATTTGCCGATATCATGTCCCACCTGTTCTTCAAGGCCATTGACTGGGAAGCTGTGAGTCTTCTTCACATCCATTTTTAAAATTAATTTCTTGAGCGTTTGGTGAAGTACCATCCGTTTTTATCGTTAGCCCCCCTCGAATGCATGCTAAAAACATCTGAATATGTGAGCTACATATTATTATTAGCTCGAAAATTGTGTGGCTCCTTGAGATGGTATTCTTTTTTGCTGCTCTCATACGTACTGGATCTATTTCAAAATAAAGTTCCAATTATTAGCTAAACACAATATTGTTCAGTATTTGCGAATGAAGATTATGCAAATATTAAATTTGCATCTTGCAACTCATCGTTGTCTCTATTCGTTGAGACTCATCGTTATCAAATCTCCATATTTTCTTCGTCATCTTCTGCCACTCAATTGTTAGCGTCTGCCTGATTAACGCAGGGAATTTTACTCGATTAGAATTCAAAATTATTTTGATAAACTTCCTTAAATATCATTTGGAATTTATCGTCAAAAAAGTATGCAAGCTTGGAAAACGAAAGCCCCAGCTAATAAAGAAAGAAACACAATATCAAGTATTATTCAAGTGAAGAAACGCAGCACTTTAATGGATTCACTAAAGCAGTATTTGTTGTAATCATTTTGTTCATCTGTGAACCACTTTCCTTTAAAGCATACGATACAAGTACTTTGTCTATATACTTGGTGTTAGTCGAATCAATGGGGATCATAGAAAACATATAAATCGACAAGAATCAGGACCTATATAGGGACTTAGCACCTAGTTACGACTTTATAAAACTTTTCTAAAGCGACTTCGACTTAGAAAAATCGCTTATGGTTTTTTTTATAACTTCGTTGTTGGCAATTAAGTGTCATCCTGCAGAGCTGAAATCGCTGCTTGACCACTGGTAGATTAATAGGAAAGGGTCTGTGAGACAAACCTTGTTGGCTTTTTTGCAGCTTGAGAAGCGACAAGTGATGCCTCCCTACAAGCCAAACGTAGCTGGAGAACAAGAAGTACTCGGCAATTTTGACCAGCAGTTCACAACTGAGGCAGTCCAGTTAACACCAGACGACCCGTAAGCTACTTTTATTTTGACAAACTTGTATGCTTTTTTCTCTTTGACGCTCTTATGACCCTTGAGAGGTGTCCAGAAATTGGACTTGTTTTAGGAAGGTTAGAAATTTCCAACGTACTCAGAGATATATACACTATCTTAGAAACCTTTAGCAGATACTAACAAGTTTTCATTTTTCTTGACTCGTATAGCGATGTTACAGTAATATACTCATGGTAACACAGGTTACTTCTGACTTCTGGTAACACAGGTTACTTATCGTAGCATGAACAACATAGAAGCACGTGGCTTGTAGATTATGTCATTAGGCTTGGCCATAAGACATTTAGCAGAGGAGCAGCAAACAGCTCTCCTAGTAATTTCTAGGCGAGCTCTTTGTAGATAAATAAGAATAGAATCAAGGAAAATTAATTTCAAGGAGATCAATTTGCTTTATAGAGCAATTTAGGAGAGCACTCTGTAGCTCCCCTGCAAATTGAAGGAGCCAAGAAGCGTTGAGGATTCGATTTTCTTTAGGGTTCTTTCTAGCGTCAGTTCGGGATACCTTCAATATTTTATATTAAAATTCCATCATGAATAAGATTTGGAAGTTCAAAATTTCTTATATTTTTTTCCATCCAGTTTGTTTACGAAAGTCCAAACCCTCCTCAGTAAATGTATGGATTTTCTATGATACCTGAAATCGTGGTTCTTCAGTCATCATCATTTAATTCCTGTCAATTAAAGCCACTTCTAGCTGTGTTTATTGTCATTTTTTTCTGACTTCGTCCTTTAGTACTGATCTGTGTCAATACCTTTGTTTTATTTTTTCAGTTAAGATTTTAGTTTCAGATTTTCTTACCCAGTGTATTCATTTCGTCAACAGGTCGACTCTGGAAACTATTGATCAATCAGAATTCGAAGGTTTCGAGTACATCAACCCCCTGCTTATGTCTAGTGAAGACACTGTCTGAGTCTGACTCTATATGTATTGTCTGTAACATCAAGGAGGTCTCGTCGTATGACAGATTTTCTCTATACAGGCATATCGAGTATTTTTGATAGAACTTTTAATATTATAGGTATCAAGGAATATTTCATTTGTAAGCTGTAAATGGGCGAAGCTCAAAGCTTGATCTATTACCCATTAAACCATTTTGGTGAATACTTTGTCCAGGCAAGCTGGAGCATCAGTTTTGCGTTTAGTTACAAAAAAGCTTCCAGATCGTCAGTGAATCCCCTTTAATTTTTGAGATGAATCCCTTACTTTCCCTTAAGAAAATTCCCTTGTCGTGCGTACAGTACAATAATAGTCAAAAATCGTTTTTCATTTAATTCCCCAGTTCTAAGACTAGGTGTTAACAGGAGCAGGCATATGATCTTGTTGGCAAAAACTGTTTCTCCATACCCGTTATTACGTGTAGTCCAACACGCTCTAAACATGGAGAACTTTTTTTTCTGGGTTCTCGAAGATTGAACTTTTGATTGGAATATTTGGAGATGGAGTAAAAAATGAGAACTGCAATAAAGATAGACGACGTTTGATCTGAATGTATTTGTATGTTTATTTTGCTACGAATTATGAGGTGTTAGTTTTACATGTTGCACAGTGTTCGGGCATCCTTTTTACACCACAAAAACCAGTTTGATTTCATTTTCTTTTTCAGTATTATGAGTCAGGATACCACTGTTCTGATACAATCCTTGACAAAAGTCCTTGGAACACCCTGCGACCAATGAAAGATTTTGAAGAAATAAAGGTTTCCGGCCGTAAGATACAGAAATATCCCCCCTCCCCCCAAAAACAATGTTGGTTGAAAAGCCTATTACTTACCCTTGCTGATAAAGTGAATGTTGCTATTCAACATTGTTTGAAGGGGGAGAGGGGGATGCTACTGAAGTTATGCGAAATTTTAGCTTGGTGTACCAAGACTTTTGGCAAGGATTGTAGCTTTGAATACAGACGTTTGAAAAACCGTCGAATTTCTCTTGAAATGTTTTGCTTTCCGGAATATGTGTTTTATCAGAAAATTGGAATGGTCCAAGCAGCAGCTTGTTTATAAATGGGCTTTTGTGATTGGCTCATTTTTCAATGACAGGATTCATTTCATCAATACATTGTTCCTATAATGGCCTATTAGCTTTAATGGGAAGTTTTATCACACCGGTTTCTATTTCGATGGCAATAGCAAAGACTTTAATTCTTGAAAGCACGACTCGTAAACAATCTTCCTCCTTGCCGCTCTGTTCATTGCTTTCCTGCTTTCTTCCACTGCACCCAAGGCCTTTCCATTGATATTTTTCATCCAATTCAATCTTGGTCTGCCTTGCTTCCATTTGTCTTCTACATACCCCTCTAGTATGGTATGTGAGACGGTGTTACTGTGCCTACAAACATGGCCAAGCCATTCCAACCTCCTCTTCTTCTCAATCGTCAGTAGCTCCTCTGTTTGACCTACCTGGTTTCTTCTAATACATGAACTGACTTCGGCATTGGTTACGTGATCCGTGTATGATATTTTAAGCAAGCGTCTATACACATTATGTAAAACTATATTATGTGTAAACTACATCTTTCTTGGAGACATTTGCGCTTTCGGCCGGTGCTGTTTAAGGGGGAGAAGGTAATGAAAGTATGAACAGGGAAGGGTTATGCCTTTTTGACATCTGCTTAAGAAAGACTTTGCAATCAAACTTGAACAAAAACAGAAGACTCTGAATGTACATGTTTGTAATTGAATCTAATATCTGTTGATTGATAGCAAAAAGAAAAGAGTAAAAGGTTTTATCGCCCGTACCTCAATAGCTTGTTTTTATCTATCACGGGGAAGAAGCAAAACAAATGGTTCACATGGTATAAAGTGTTACCACGATGTTTGAGGGGGAATCCTTGATTTCAGCCCAATTTTCGGTTTTTTTGCTGGCTCTTGAATTATAATATTGTAGAGTATTTGGTGATGGCTTATTTTTCAAATGAAGTGTTTACTCAGCTTTTTGGTCAATAGCATTTTACACAAAATAGAATCAGCCCCAGGTGATATGAAACAGTATATCCCCAGTTGTTTGCAGACTTTTTATGTAGACATAAATATCGAAAATCTTAATTCCTTTTGTCAGGAAAAAGTAATAAGAAACGGATGTCATCGTTTTTATTCAAAGTTGTTTGTTTAATCTTTGCACCTGTTGTTGACGCAGTTATAACTACTAGGGTGGTTGCTTCAAAGAGGCAGGAACATTTTCTCATAGTCGTTTGACGTTGAAGAGAAACTGGAAAACAAAGATGGTCGTAATCAGAAATCTCTTTAAAGTATTCTTCGTTTCTTTGTGTACAAACTCAGCATATCCGGAAATTTTCACAGCTGGTACCTTTTACGATGTTTCATTCGTGAGTGGGGATGCAGAATTACCCTCCTTGGAGTATCTGGTCGTTCTAAATGAATGTGAAGCGCAAAGCTCTTGCATCCATGTCGTGAAACTGAAGAAGACAGGGGAACTAAAGAAAATCACCTCTGTTAAAGAGCTTGAAGAACTGAAAAACAAGGGTGATGTTGCTTTGGTATGGACGAAGATGCCTAGAAGTAAGTCAGATTTGTAGGTTTTTATATCCTTCCTATCCTCTAAAGAAAGGCGCGAGATGCAACTGGAGTAGCTTTGCTTGGCTCTATAAATAGAAATTTGACAATGCATTTGTATCTGTTAATATGTGACTATAATTATTCTGATCTCTAAGGCAATTATTTGCTTACGTAAGAAAGTCAAGCATGTACCATTTGGTTTCCAACCTTTTTTAAAAGTTGACTTAATATTCGAAACGAAAATTTTAAAGAGTGTGCATTTAACCTCCTAAGTGTCAATAATATAATTTAATGACGTTGGCATGTAAATGTCATAAAGGTCCTTTTGATAAAATGTTGATTTGTCGACCCTTTGTACACGTTCAGCTCTGTCTAATTCGAACTCATTATAGTCGAATTTTTACTAGTTTAAACAAAATTCTCATGTCCCATTAAAATATACATTTATATTTGAATCTCAGTATATCGAAAATTCTTCAGTACGAGCATTTCGTCCACCACAAAATAGAAGTAAACTGAGGAGGTTGAGTGATATGAATTGTCACAAATTGCTAATTCCTATTGGAGGACTGAATTTGTTCTGAGTACAGTTTTCAAGATATCAGACTAAAAGAGGAGGTATCTCTGTCGACTCAAGGACACTGTTTCTACATGGAATGTTTGATTTCCGATGAGAGAAATTGAAAGTATCGGAATTGATAAATAAAGCAATGATCGAGACATCGATGATCAGAACGATGTGCTGCTATTGATGATTAAGGCTACGAATCGGAACAATAAAATATCGTCGTGGAAAGCGAAATCCAAAAATTATTTGAGGTTTATTTGTCCTGCCCTTTAAACTCTTGATATGTGACAATAATTATTCTGATCTCTAGATTAAATAAATGAAATTATAAAAATTTCAAACAATATGTTTGCGAAATTTCATGTCTTATATAAACTATTCTCGACTTTTTAAAGCTGCAATGTCAAAAATAATGTCATCAATCGAAAGTACGTCCATTACACCTTGCTCGATGCCGAGAAAAAACCACCGAATTGAATCTGGCCTATACAGTAGTGTCCCGGATATAAGAAACAACTTTTTTGATTTCAGGTCTGATGTGTTTCTTATAAAATGAGATATACATTTAAAATCAGGGTAATGTTTCTTATACAAAAAACCATGTTATACTATTGATCATGTACTCAGACACCATCGCAATGAATGTGATAAAAATACCTTAATATTTTGAGTTGTATTTGTAATTTTTCACTTGTAGAAAAAGCTACAATTATTCCTGAAAAGTGCTTTTTGCTTAGTTTGCAATCAAAATTTTTTTTCTTTTGACCAGGCTCAGTTTGATTAAACTGGAAAGCTGAAAACAAACAGTTCTTATGGTCAATGATTTTAAACCCTTAACTTATCCTTTTATTAAAATAACTGACAAAATAGTAAGTGTAGAATGATTAATGTTTTGTTCTATTTTTCAAATGTTTAAATTATATGAAAGTTTTTGAATAAGAAACAAGCATTTTTTCAGACCTTCACCAGTTTCTTTTTAAAAGGGTTTTTTTTAAAAATCAGGGTCTGTGTTTCTTATATGCGGGACAATACTGTAGTTGATCTAAAGTAATTCTTTATACGTTTCAAAACACAGAAAGACTTCTCGTCGCAGCAGTTTGTCATCATTAGAGAGAGAATCGTTTTCAACATGTTTACCATATTTGTAATAGAATTCGACTGTATGATTTGAAACATAGCTTTTTCAACATATTTTCTAAAATCCATACAAAGTTGGATGTATGGATTTTAGAAATGACCAGGCCACAAAAGACAACCATCCACTTTACTAGCAACAAAAATGTGTCTTACTCCATACTCTTACATAAAGTTTTCTGTTTAATTGTTTCCCAGCGGGGCACTCTGCACATAGACATATGGGAGGGGGGGGGGGTAAGTCCAAGAAATTTAAAGGCCACCCAAAATTATCAGCTCATTTTCAATAAGACCCAAAAATATCAGTTTTACTTATATCTTGTACCCAAAAATATCACAAATTGGAATTTTGGGTGAGATAATATGACATAGCATTGGGATCTATTGACAATACATTTGATTCGGATATGGAAATCTCACGAATACCCAAAAATATCAGTGTTTCTAAATTTGATACCTAGAAATATCAGAATTGTATCTACTATTTTCGCAGGACCCAAAAATATCATTTCTGACAAATATTTAACCCAAAAATGTCACTTTTGGCAAACATTTGACCCAAAAATATCGGACTGACACCCCCCCCCCCGTATGTCTGTGTGCCAAGTGCCCCCCTTGGGAATTGTTTCCCAAAAATGTAAATCTGCATATATGAGTTACAACAACGAGCATTCGAGTTAAACCCCAACGTTAAACCTAATGCAGTCAAATGTTTTGTCTCCTCTATCTTTTTTATAACTGACGTTTTCACATTTTCACTAAAGTTGAATAGTTTTTGAAAAAAGACTTTCTATAAAATACTCTATTCAATATAGGAAGATAAAAAATAATAATTTCATATTCAATATGTCATAGATGTAAAAGTTTGGCTTCATTTTTCTACTGTCTTGTCAAGAGACTTGCATTTTGCAAAAACTTTTTCCTTCCGAAATTTTCCGCAAATTTCTTGGGTATTAATATTTGCGAATGGACCAAAATCGAATATTTCATGGGAACTTATTTAAACTATAGAGTGTAAATAATCCTAGGCTGGAACGTCTTTATACCCAAAGCGTAGCCTTTCACAGATAATACCAGAAAAACTTAGCCTCAGAATTAAAGGCGGGTTAGATTCTGGGCCGGGGGCTTAGGTCCCACATGAATGGAACCTAATTGATAGTCCGCTACTAAATGTAACCTATTTGGATTGAATCGTATATCTGTAACAGGCCCAAGCTGTGTAAAGTAAATAAATGGTTTCCAAAATAGAGATAGTTCAGTGAGGGTTATCACAAGGTTTATGCCTTGGACCACTTTTCTTTCTAACGATCACTCAAATTGCCTCAAGAGCCTAACGTTTTGTACGCTGATGAAATTTTCTTATATTACTCTTTCCATTCTTTGAAATCTTAACGATAAGACAAACGGAGAAACAATTATTGCTTCTTTGTAGTAAAAAAGGTTATGTGCGATGAATACTTGTTACATCTCTAAGTCACAAATTAAAATTGGTGGTGGAGATATCAAACTTGTGAGTGACGTTAAATGCATTGGAGTTCAAATGGATCAACAACTCCAATATACAACACATTTGTACACCGCCACTAAAAAGATCTCAAGAGGTCTTGGCATTCTACTGCTTGCAGAGCAATATCTACCCCTTTTTTCTATCAAAATCTGCACAGAACCTTGGCACAGCCCTATTTTAGATGCTGCTGCAAAGATTGGGGTTATGTTGGGGTATTAACTATAAAAATGTTGAAAATACTAAAACAAATTAAGCGGCAAAGTTGATTACTAACTTTTCCGCCACTCCCAGTCATTCGTGCACTTTGATGTTTCACAGCAAGAGAACTAATTGATCTAGTCTCTACTTGGACTGTTTAGGGTAACAGAAATTCTGTTCATCGTTCCGTTCATTCACATAGGTCCTGCAGGGCCATAGCTACTGTTGTTCTTGGGTGAGTTATCTGATTGATGTTAACTAACATTAAATACTTTTTCCACAGAGCTCAAGAACGTTGCATTTAAAGGAAATACCAAGGCCATATCAAATAGTGGGGTAAATTCTTTGGCCGTCGATGGAAGCAAAGACAACCAATACCAATCATGCTTTCACTCAGCCAGCGCTGATATTTCACACTGGTGGAGAGTAGCATTTGGGGCACCTGTGCTTGTTTACAGTGTGACAATAACAAACGCTGGTGGTGGGTTATACCCACAACTGGCTGCATTTTTCAAAGAGGTTGATATCAGAGTTGGATATCAAGATACCAATGGAGTGAATCCATACTGCAGACGAAACATCTCCATAGCAACCCTTGCCACAGTTGATTTCAGGTGTGACAATGAGGTGCCAGGCACATTCTTATTCATCGAGAAACAAATTACCCAGTTGTATTTATGCGAAGTAGAGGTTTTTGGTATATTCCTTTTCTGAATTCCTTACATTTGAACACCATGAAAGCTGTTGATGGCTTTTCAAGGCATCTCTGTAGACGTAGGGCTACGACAAAGAGGTTTATGGTATAGATCTAGTACACACGGGGCTGCAACACATCCAGTCTACTCAAGAAGGATTCACAGAACTCATCTAGATCCATTAGAGGCGTTTGGAAAGACAGGATAAAAGTATCACAAAGAGGTTGGCACAGGATTAACCTCCTCCCTTTAAACAGTCTAAAATCTGATATTATTTATAGTGATATGATTACATTTACACAATATATAATCTATTGAAAATAAACTTGCCGATTATGAATTTCCTGTTTGTTTTTGAATACTTTGTATAGTTAATTCCGACGGTTGGACAGAATTACGAAGAATTTCGTTGTCGCTTTGTTGAAATTGAGACGCCTGCTAGTCCTGGGTTTTAAATGCGAGATATAGAATGATGCCGCTTGGTACCACTGTCCCCTTTGAGTGGCCCTTGACTACCAAGAGTATGATGAAGTTAGTTTCTGCAAGCTGTTTTTGATGTCTGGCTGAAAAATCGTTTTGTTTGTTTTTTTCGAGTCGTTTTCTCCTTGTTCTTCAGAGACTCCAAGCAAGGAAGGTGCTTGGGAAGATCCACCGATTTTCTCCTTCTCGACCTCTCTTTTCAATCATGATTTTAAAATTGATTTTTCTTCAAACAACATCAACTGTCGCGTTGCTCAAGATGGGGCGCGTTGCTCAAGATGGGGCGCGTTGCTCAAGATGGGGCGCGTTGCTCAAGATGGGGCGCGTTGCTCAAGATGGGGCGCGTTGCTCAAGATGGGGCGCGTTGCTCAAGATTGGGCGCGTTGCTCAAGATGGGGCGCGTTGCTCAAGATGGGGCGCGTTCCTCAAAATGGGGCGCGTTGCTCAGTGAGGACCACGCTGACAACGAGAGAAGTATGCTACTGGAAGGAACAGAACTCCATTTAGAAGCAGGTTTGATCATAGTGGTTTAATATATAAGAAGGGAATGTGAGGATAATGAAAGTACTTGGTGAACTGTACATAGTTTGTAGACAAGTGGCAAGATACAAATCATGGGATTGATGAGATCAATTTAGTATTTTACAGAAGTTTCAATACCGACAAACCTAAGACTTATGTTGACAGAGGGTACCCATTAGGTCCCCTTATTCCCAAATTCCCGCTACGTTTTTAGCCTGATTCCTGATCATCAATTCCCGAACGCGAGGTTATCGATTCCCGATTCCTGGCTCCAAAAAATGACGAATTCCACTTCCCCGGAAAACATATTTGGTACCCTCTGAACCAAAGAAAAGGAGGCAAGGACTTCGAGAAAGACGCGGCCAGGGTTCTTATAGGGTACAGTCCAGTGAACCCTTGCACCCTAACAACAGCATCATTCAAGCTTTGGCACCAACTTTCGGGTCAGGGGAGATGAAATAGAATATTTATGTAACAAATTGCAAGAAACATGAAATACTATCTTTAGCAGAGATATCAAAATCATTATTGGTAACCTAAACGCCTAGATGATAAAGACTATTGCTGAGAATACGTATTCAAAAATCCTCGGGACACAGTATTTTTGCCTCGCCTTTGCTGGAAGCTCTCCTGTCGCAGTTTTGTTACGTTCTTCACGTGTGTCATACGCAGTCAGCACAACCGCCCAAGATAAAGGCAGAGTTAGCGTTCATGGTACGTTCTTTAATCACGTTGCAGTAAATTCATTATATAGAACTAAGAAACAGTCTCTCACTTTGCTTAATCCTGAAAATACAACAACTATTGAGACTATCTTAGCTTTTGCATCTTTTTACTTTGTTAGCAGTTTCCTTCATACAAGACTCTTATTAATAGCTCTAATTAATTGTTCTGAAAAGGCCTATCTTGTATAAATTTGTATTATTATGATTACTATTATAGCTTTGGACATGGTGAACAAAGTGAAAGGGGTAAAGATCTTGTTGTGCTCCCTTGCACCACAAGTCTGGTGATAACAAACACGTGGTTTCAGCATCATCCAAGAACCTTTATCAAAGATGCAGATGGTGGTAAAGTTAGAGGATGATTTAAAGACTGCTGCAGAAAAGCTCTATGACAAAGTGAGAACATAGCAACATATTTTGGCTGCCATGTGTCAACATGCCAACGTGCCATTTTCTGCTACGTTTCAACATGTCAAATGTTTGTTCGTCTAAACCTGCCTTTTTGGAAATGAGACAATAATTTAATATTTTAGTTTTAAACTATTATTATAATCATTCAATCGCATGGTCTCTAAATGAATTTAGGTACAGCGTATGTTTTGAACTTTTTTGATAAATAGGTATAAAAAATATGGTAAATCATCTAATTAACCTGCGGTGTATAACTTGGATTCTTGCTCTTCAGAAGAGAATATTTGAAAGAGCGTTGATTTCCTATTCTTACTTTTCATAGGATCGTATGTTCTACCTTATTTAGTTGCAACCTTATTTGCACCCAGAGCGTTGTAATAGGGAACTTTAAGAAAGAGGAAAGCGTTTACTGCACTAAGCTTCAATGAGCAGGGAAAATTGATTAGAGGAATGGGACATGCAATAGAAAATTAAATGTACACGAAAAAGTTTTTAACTAACATTGACCAGAAGTGACAAGTTTAAGAAATCTAAGCCTTCGGGTTTCTTTCAAATCAAAGAAAAATGGAGGGAAATCAATTTTCAGCGTACTTCTCCAAAACCTCCATTTCCACTAAGATTAGATCCGAATTCAAGAGAAACAACAGTATAAAAGATGTTTTCAACCAATGAAAAAACATTTAAGAAATATAGTACGCTGTCACCGTTGGATATTCTATATCGTATGTTGAAAATGGAGAAGAAATTCACATTGACGTTGGACTTTGCGGTGTGTTTTACTAGGAAGCTACGGGAATAGCCTTGGTTGAAAAAAAATCGTCTTGCAGGATACAGGAAAAGATATATTGCGAAAAAGCATTTGTCTCATCATTGCACAATGCTTGTTGCAAAGTTTGCATCTGCGCCTGCGCTTGATACGCGTATGATTCTACAAATAAATACTATAATATATGGCCTTGGCTAAAGGCGCTGTAGGGAGTTGCAAAGTTAGAAAAACACGAGATATTGAATCAATATGACGTAAATATCAATGTCTGAAAAAGGAAATGCTATTGAGCATCAACCTTAATCAAAGATAATAACAAGATAAACAAACAAATAAGAACTCTTTATAGCAATTATTCTGCACAGCGCAGGTGATGTACAGCTTGAGTGGCGTGCAGTTTGAGGAACTTCTCTAATCTCTTCAGCTCGAGGAACTTTTTTATATCTCTAGATCGAGGTACTTCTCTTATTTCTCCGGCTCCAGTGACATTCAACTTGAGGGACTTCTCTCACATCTCCAATGTTAAGTTCTCCACATCTACGATTTTTGCGATTTTTACGAGTCCCTTTCATCGAAGAATCTTATTTAAAACCAGAAAGAAACTGCTATGTGACTGAAGGGCCTATATTTGATCGTAAAACTCTACACTTCGTAGCAATACAGTACACGAGGACTGCAAAGCTTAAAATCTGCGAAGCCATGAATGGTTTATCAGACTTAAATATGATGAAAAATGCAAAAAGATAAGCTAAAGCTAAACCAGTTCTCCTGTTGTTAAATTGTCTTTCTTCACAAACATTGATTACATGCAATGCAAGTACAAGAACAGCAGAACTCACATTAGTCATGTTGAAGTCAAATCTCATTCCGTATGAAATTTCTTTGAACCATGATACAAGGCCTGGTACATTCAGTATGATCATAACAATAGAGCAGCACAGGCACCTTCTATCACCTGAGCTCCTCCACAAAACACCCATCAGAAAACATACAAGATATGCCAAGAGGCCAATGCTTCCAGAGACCAGAAGTGACATTATAACAGGCAAGATTGATTCTATCGTTAAAACAACAGCAGAAACGACTTTTTCACAAAACTTTTGATACCTAACATTCAATATTTGTTTTAGGACCTTCTGAACAAAAATATGCCCCAACTTTGCAACTAACAACAGTAGAAACATTAAAAGTTTTGAAAAGTGCACTATTGCCATAAGTAAAGCACTTGAAATAGAAAGTTTTACCAGAACCAGACATGGATCAAAAAAGTAACAAGAAATAAAAGGAAGTGCCAAAAGAACAGGAATTCCATGATGTAATGTAAAAACAAAATGTGTCTCATCTGGTTTATTTGTTTGTCCCAGAAGCCAGAGCAAAGTCAAGGCAGGTAGCCAATAAAGTATTGAGGGGTATGTGAAAATTAGCAATTGTCCAGCGGTACCAATAGGATCCAGCCACATCTCTAAGGTAAAGTTGCATCTATCATGAAACCAAAGTTCTATTTCTGGGGTTCCTTCTTCTTGAGCAATATTGTTACTGACTGAAATGCTTTGAGAACCAGGTGATGGTGTACTTGTGAATTTTAGCCTAATTTCCATTGATGTGGTAAAAACTTTGTAAATATCTTCATTCATCCATGGCACATGAAATCGAAAAGAAACTGAGGGCTTTGCTTTTCGGCAAGAAGCATTAATCTTCAGCTTATAAACAAGCCAAGGTGTATGTAGAGATGGAAAGATTACCCTGCATGTTGTTCTCTGATTATGTAACTCCTCTTTTTCTCTGGACAGGAGATATGGAACTCTAAAGTTATGTAGATTGTTGCCTATTCTAAAACTCACTCTTTCCTTTTTTGGGTCATCAAGGCCAAGCACCAGTATACTGCCATATTTCAGTATGTCACTTACATTCATCCGGACAACTTTGGCATTGGAGCTCTTTCTAGGTATAATGTGGGCCATTCTTGACAAGGTGGTAAATGAATGGCACTGGTGAATGCTTTCACAAACGCCAATCCAGTTTGCTATTTTTCCTTCATAAAATGCTGAGAGTTCACCTTTAAGATTATTTAGAACCAAAATGAAGCAGGATCTACTTTTTGCTGTTGACTTGAAAAAATGTGGGCTATTGAAGATTTTACATAAAGACAGATTCATTGAAAACTCTGGTTGCCCCTTTGTGAGAGAAACTGCAACTTCAGCACTGTTCTCTGAACTAAAAGCAGAGATAAAATGGTATTTTAAAACTTCCAGCCTTGAAACTTCATCTTTTGTTACTTTAAATTCTTTTTTATCCACCATGTCTATGAGTGCTCTTGTTATTGACAACACGAGCTGCTTGCACCAAACTATGCACCTATGATCAGTTGAAAGATAAACTTTAGGAATTGCTGTTGTAATAACTGACAATGACTGGTTTTTAAGCATGGATGAGCTTAGTGGTGTGAGGTCACTGCGAACTTGCAGATCTCTACTACCGCCACCTACAGAAACTAGCAGAATATGTTTCAAAATTTCAAAAACAGTGCCATTTGGTTGACCCCAGAAGTCAGCCAGTCTAAAATAGTAATTGTGCATATCCTGATCAGCATTTATAGCTGGGTGCTTATTCGGAGTTGCAAGTGTTATGATTGTGTTTACATTAATTGGGTTAAAATCTTGAATAGTAAACAGCCCTCTTCCAATCACACCACCCATTGAATGTCCAATCAAAATAACTGAATGTCTTTCTTTATTTGCTTTTTTATAAATTTCAAGGATCAATTTTAAGCACTCATTTACAAATGCTGTTTGTGACACCAGGTAACTTCCTTTGAGGGCAGAAAGTTCCTCTTTGAAATCCACAGCAAAGAAATCAAAATGGAAAGGTAGTGTTTCTGTTTTCCTTAATGCAACAGAACCCAGTGATCTGACTTGTTTGTAGCTACCTGCATTTCCAGGAATAAACAGCACAGGGATACCAGACATGCCATTATTTTTAAGGTCCATGGCATAGTAACCTTCGCCGTAAATCATTAAAGAATACTTTGGAAACTTCTTTTTAAGAGCAGGATCCAAATCTATTTGTAAATACTCGGGATACTCAAACATGTATGTCATTTCACATTGATTTTCTTCCATTTTTTTCACGACTTCGAAAACACCCAAAGCTATTATGAGCCACCCAAGAACTGCAGCAGTTGTCAGGAGGAACGTTCTGTTGAAAATATCTGCCATATCTTTTTAGCCTTTACGGCATGAATTTCCACCACAATGGCAAATAGATACAATGATATATAGTTGAATTTGTGTTTTTTTGACGCTGTTTTTACAGCCTCTTTGTCACAGCACAGCCTCGGATTTGAAATTATCTTGATCACATGACTCTAGGATCGCGCCTCCGCTGCAATTTTCATACTGAAAATTGCTGGGTGGAGTGGAAGGAAAGAGGACCTTGTTCCATAGCATGTAAACCTTCCAAGAACATCAGTAAACTAAGGCAACAATGATTGGGGGTTTCTTCATGTTCAACCACAAAGGAGAGGTCCTTATCTCTCGGATTTACAGAGATTATATCGGGTGAGTTGCATACGATTTCATGTTCCCAGTTTGGTTTTGTTGTTTCTTTAGGCCAAGAAAAGAGCTGAATTTTAAATTTCATTGATTTCTACAAGATTGGTTACAATAATGACAAATTAAGAAGGTTTGAATTTAAGATAAAGAATTCAGAAATTGAGAAAGTTCAGGAATAGACTTTAGGCACTCTTCGAACCAAAATGGAATGTTTCACTATTGGATGTTGTATAGGACACTGAGGAAAACCAAAACGGCTACAGGTCAGTGCAGGAAGAGTTTATCAAGTTTAACTTGAGTTTGAATTAATGAATTAAGGAACAGCAACAGATCAAAAAAATAATTTGATAGTAAAAGTGAACTGCAAGTTTATTATGACTACAAAATTTGCAAACGCATTTTAATATCTGCCTGTTTGAAATGTGGGCACAATATAAGTATAGAGGAATTTTGTTTCAATTTTCATACAGGTTTAATTCCAAAAAAGCATTATATGTACATATCTGCAATATATATACAGAGAACAGTGTAGTGTTGCATGCCACACTATATATTACGTTTTTCACCATATCATTAAAATAGTTTGCACTATCAATGTTTAAATTTGCTTTGGTAGCCGCAATGCTGCTGATGCTTTTCGTGTCAACGTCATCCATGCAAGAGGACAGGTTCGATCACCAGTCACTCTGTTGGCTGGAACAAGCTTCTTTCACATCAAGAAAAACAACATTTGGGTTGCTGCAGTTACAAAACAAAACCTAAATGCTGGCATGGTCTTTGAATTTTTGAACAAAACATCTGAGATTATGTCATCATACTTTGGAAAAATCACAGAAGATAATGTCAAAAACAACTTTGTGCTGATTTATGAGTTGCTAGATGGTATGTATATTTTGTTAATTTTTCACATGGCTTTTGATCTTGGGGTCCATAAGATCTCTTGTAGTTATTGTATATATATATTTTATTTGTATATAAACCCAAATGGCTTGAATAAGAGAGAGGTCATGTCAAAGATTTTCTCATGATTGATTGATCAAAAGATTGATCATTTGTAAAAACTCATCAAAATGATCAGAAAAGCAGTTTCTAATCGAATAAATGTACAGACTAAATGTCTAATCGAATAAATGTTTCTGACATCCCCCTGTCTTTTTCAAGCCAGGCAGGTTTCACTGGGAAAGGAAACATGAAAATAGGCCTTGTGGATAAAGATGTAAAATACTCTCAAAACAACATTTGTACACACAGAACAGTGGATATTTACCAATTACTAATAGGGATGCTTACTGTTATGGTCTTTTCATGGCCAATTCAAATTAGGCCCTTCTGAACTTTGGTGTGGGTTGGTTTTGGGCCATTTTCCAAAATGTGTCAATGAGTTAAATGGGACATGAACTAGGCTATTTGCATGAACAGAACCGCCCTAAACGTGATTTGCTTGTTTCAGCTTTTCATAAGGGTAAATAAATATTTTCAAATCAGTTTTTGCATTTTACAAAATACCACCTCAACCTGTATTTTGCCAAATTTTGCATTTTGGCATGACGCAAAAATTTCTGCAAATAACAATAAGCCGTTAAATTCTGATGGAGGATTATCATGCTGTTCAAGAGGATGCAGCAAGCTTATTTCTTGAAATATACTAGCTCTGTTTGTTTTGAAGTGTCAACTCATTTCAATACAGATAGAAACTGACAAGGTTTCTGAAGTTGTTTATTGTGGCATTATTGTTTAATGTTTGAGACAAAAGATAGCAGAAAATTCAGTGAAATTATGCGTTTTATTGAATTTACTCATTTATGCATTTGTCAAACACTCCTTTATTTACCGCCAATGAATTTTTAATAGGTAAATGAAGATTTATTTCCAGATGCAGATTTAGAGTTTAAGGAGAGAAAAATCTCTCACCAACCCACTAATCCCCAACAGGGAAAAGCCATAAAGACAGACAGAATGTCAAAAAGGCAAATCAAATACTAACACTAGACCCTCTCAATGTATTTTGCTTCAGAGAGTGAGTGCAAGAGGTCCCTTTGGATTAAGCATTGATAACTGTGAAAACAAAGGCATGTTTGTAGCTGAAAAACCCTCCCATTTTTGTAGCTGAAAATGAAGCTCCTTGCAGTTGTCATTTAGCAGAAATCAAAACACCAAACTCCATCTTACCAATGCAAATTATGAGCAGCAGTATCCTGTATAGATGCAGGATAACTCTAGAGTAATTATTGTGTTGTAGTGTAAGATTTTATCATTATTTGCCAAAAGAAAGGGCATGTCTCCTCTGTTCTACAAAGCTTTGTTTCCTTGGTCTAAGTTAATTTTTATTAATGGCTCTTGCGCAACTGGCATTCTTAGCAACAATTGTCTTAAGAAATTGATTGCGTTTTGTATTTTCTTGCAGTACAATATTAGGCTGGCTCTTTGAATAATTATTGAAAAGCATGATGGTTGCACAAGAGCCTTTAATTTAAAAATTGATAAATATCATCAAATAAGCCTATTTACCAAACATGAAATGGAATATTTCTATCATTTCACTAATGTACCAGGTTTTGAAAAGAGTACAGTCATTTGCCTAACACCCTTCTACCATTAGTCCAGCCTTCAAAGTTAGGTTGGAAACCCCAAAGTTAGGTTACACTAAGCATTTTTGGTTTGTTTACAATAGAAAATCTCTTCAACAGAAAAGCAAAGTCTTTCTGCTCAGATAGAAATCCAGTTTAGCGTAACTGGTACCTTTGTATGCTACTTGCAATTTGATCAACTTTTACCTTTATTGAATTTTTAGAGTATCAATTTGTATTGCAAAATTCAGGTTATCCCAGTGGTTATAATTATTCATAGAACCAGACCAGTTTAATTTGTTGATGAATGGGTTCTCGCAAAGCAAGAGAACAGTGTATAAACCTAATTATTAGTCACATAATTTCACATACAGTTTCTGAAATTATTATCTTAAAAGGGGGTGCTCTCTCCTGGATTAGCTTTGCTACTGAGAGTTCCTCCTTAAGAATTCCCCTTCATGCAAATCCTCTAGTGTAGTGCCAAATCTTTGTTATATTCTATGTTTATTGTCTCATTTATTTATTATAATTTTTGTAAGTAGTTTAATATTAGAGTATCTGTATGTAGTGGAATTTAAAATGCATGAATGAACTGAACTGATGAATGAATGATCTGAATTACAAATAGAGTGTTTGGCACCAATAATTTCAAAATGTTTTTCTCACCAGAAATCAATGACTTTGGGTACCCCCAAAAAACGGATGCAGGTGTCTTGAAAACTTACATCACCCAACAAGGAGTCAAGTCACAGGTCTGTAATCTCTGTAATAAGTTGATGTTTGTATATTGTCAAGATATGTGTTTGTCGTTACCCTTTCTATTATAGTTTGTCCAGTTTTCTGTTACTTTAGCTCGTACATTAAACAGTGTCTCAATCTACCAGCTTGAAATATTGAAACATTGTTTTTAACTATTTACCACAGGTTTTACAGTGAGAATAAGAAGTCTTTGTTTCAAATCTCCCTTGTACTTCCTTTAAACATTTCTTCAATTGAATTTTTTTGTTCAAAAAAATTCTGTCAAAAGCAATGAGTATAATTGTACCTGATGCTGAGTCAGTGTCTCATGAATGGCATAGGAGAAGACATTAGATGTCTGAGCATCAAGGCAAGAATGTTCAAGTTTGCCCTAAGCATCAAATATTTGTTTTGGTGTTTTAATCCTACGCCATTGGTGTTTATGTGTTAATTCTTGTTGTAACTCTTCTTGAATAGCCGTTGCCAGAGCAGAAATAATTTTTAGAAGTTGTTACATCATATTTAATGTTTGTTAGACAAGAGAGGAACAAGCACAGATTACAAGTCAAGTGACTGGTCAGATCGGTTGGAGAAGAGAAGGCATCAAATACAGAAGAAATGAGTTGTTTTTAGATGTGCTTGAATCTGTCAATCTACTGATGTCACCACAAGGTATGGAATGCAGTGTCTTTCTCTTCACAAAGCAATGTTGAAAAATAATTCCTTGTTGCCCTGTCATGACTTTGTAGCAAACATTTACTTCAGAGTCACCCTTTTTGGGTATCACCACCCTATGATTTTGTATTACTTTCCTTACTCATATCAGAAGCCTTTCGATGAAAAGAAAGTTGATGGATTCTAAGAGAAACAATGACTTTTGCTTGCTATAAAAGGGTACTTCAATTTGATGAATACGTTAACACTAATTTTAAGCCAGAATAACAACTTATCTTTGGAAGCTGATTCAGTCAATGAAGGCCAAAACTACTTAGCAATCCAAATAGTAAGAAACATTATTGTAGAGATGACCCATTCAGTTACAAAAAGACTAGTTGATTACAAGTTTGTGATTATTGAGGGTTTCAAGGATATTCTGTCTCACCTTCAGAAAAGTAAATTTTAATCAAATGACTGAGTTACCATGAATTCTTACCTTAATCTATAAATTGGCTTGTTTATCATACGCTTAGCTGCTTAAAAAACCAGAGACACAAACAAATAATTTAATTGTGACAAAGATGATGCAACTGTCAAGAAGGATTTTGCTGTTCTGTGTACAGCGGTCGCTCAATCCTGGTTCCTTTTCTAAATCTTTAACAAGTACCCTGTCTTGACAAAAACTTGAATTTTTAATTGCAGGTCAGGTTCTAAGTGCACATGTTTCCGGAAGGGTGGTAATGAAAAGTTACTTGTCCGGAATGCCTGAATGTAAGTTTGGAATGAATGACAAAATTGCGATTGAGAGTCAGCTTGGGAAGAAAGGAGGCTCCGTTGATACTGGCATGCCAGATACAGCTCCAAAGCGGTTAGTGGGATAACTTCCTTTTTTCCTAAGCATGAGGCCCTCTGCGCCTCCTCCATGACGCCCTTGATTGTAAGGCTTTCTCTTGTTCTATTTTGTAACAAAAAAGTTTTGAATTACGATACTCGATTCCAAACATATATGGTTTTCTTTTCCTTGCTTGTTTGTTTTTCGATCGCCATTCTTCTTAAAAAATGTTATCTAAAACGCATATTCTGATATGCCAGTCAATTAACATTGTTGTCTAAAAATTTAAAAAAGAAACATTAAAGTCAATTTAGAAAAACTAAGTCAAAGTCTATTTCAGAAGATTCAATCAGATGTTACTTCTGCAGACTCTGATTTTTTGCAGTCAATTTATAAAAGCTGACCTCAAATGAACGCCGGGTAAAATTTGAATTTCGAGTAAATACAATGGCTCTATTTAACTTCTCATACTCTTTCTTGTCAAACTCATTTTGCAAAACCATTTCTAACGTTTATCGATCTATCATTTGAAGAACAAATAAATCTGTAGTTTTAGGCAAACATTTTAAAAATATTGATTTTTTAGCATAAGTGAGATTTTTCATGAATGCAGTCGTTTCTTGGGTGATTCGACTCATGGGATTCGATAAAAATTTCATGGGTGTCTTTGCAGTTTGTTCAAAATTTTCAATAGAAAAATTCCTGCCACAGCCCCTTTAGCTTTTTTAATACGACGAGATTTAATAATAGAAATCGACGTTGTGTTGTCTTCTAGAAACACGAGCAAAACTGGCATCGCCATTGATGACTGCACGTTCCATCAGGTAACGGCTGCCGTCGATTCATTCATAACTCTTTTAAGATTTATAGAGATATCTTTGGACCGTTCTTTCCTGGTCTAAGACATTCTTTGCCTAAAAGGCGAACAAAACCAAAATGCATGGCCTGCTAACATCTCTTGATGGCAGTTTGAAAATTGGTGATAATCTAATGAATATTTATATGTCAGTTGTTTTATTTTGTTTCTCAACATGTGAGTAAGCCAAGTCTTTCTGTTGCTCTAAAGTTTACGCGAAGTTGTTACGGATACACCTTTTGCTAATCGATTTTTGTAAAGAAACAATTTAAGTGTTTGTTATATAAAAAAATATTTTACAATTGCAACTAATGAAGCGAGGAAAGCCTTAAAAATTTGCAAACTTCTTCGAGCAAATGCCTGACATATTGTTCTTTATGAACATTTACTGATTTGAAATAATTCTAGAACATGGCATTGTGATGTGGAACTTTTCTTACCTAGTGCGTCAAATTGAGCAAGTTTGAAAGCGAAAGAAGCATCAGTTTTATACCCCCGGATGGAGAGTACGAGTTGATGAGGTATTAAGCTCAATCAATAACTAACTTTTACTTTATGCTTTGTTGATAGTTTTGCGTGCCTGGAAATTATCAGCATTTTTGGAAACGAGTTATCGTCATTGTGGTTAAATGTTGCAGAAATGATGGAACGAGAAAAGAGAAAAAGTTGCCGCAAAGTGCATTTCTTATCATTTATTCCATGGAAACGCTTCATTTCTACCGCCATTTGGAGATTAAGCCACGGAAACGCCACGTTAAGAAAAGGAGCGTTTCAACCAAAGTTCGGGGTCAGGTCATTTCCAGGCTTAAAGCACTATTATGAAAATGGTAGTATCGATCGTAGCTAAGTTAAAATACTGCTTTTGATATAAAAAATGATTCAATATTGTCATAGCAAATGATATTAACGTCCCCATGTTCTTTTCTGTAGCCTTGACCCAATTTTATAAGCCCACGGAGACTAAAATGATTTTAACCCGTGTATAATCGCTTCCTAATCGCATTAAGTACGGCGCTTGGTGACCAGTTCTTTGATGATCGCACCAGGTTTGAAACTTGGAGTTCAATTTTGATGTCTTCTAACACTCGTATTAGAATTATAGGTAAATAGCAGACCCCGTCATGAGCCCGAGCTTCTGTGTAAAAAGCAATAGCTTTAACAGACTACTCCACGACGGAACTCTACCTACTTAGTAGCGTAAGATCGTAAAGGAAATGAACTAAGCCAAACTTTTTCCATATATTGAATAGTAGTAACCCGTTACTCATTCCATTCAGCTCAAATGTATTATCTAAAACCGTTCGGCAGTCTTCGTGCTTATTGTCGCGCAGAATATATTACTGTCGTGCAGAATCAATGATCGGCTCAAAAAATCATTAATGTGTAATGGAAGCGGACTCGTCTTGAAAAGTCATGGCGAACAGAAAGGGACGGGAACAGAAAGTTAGTGATTTAAAGTCTGCCTCTTTCTCTTTCTTGTCTATAATTGTATGGAACTATTACCACTTTATATTGCTATTATTGCGTCATTATCAGGTACAGGACAACGAAGGACATCAGTCTGCCTTTCCGTGTTATTCCACTGGTAAGGGAGGTCGGAAGGACCAAGATGGAAGTCAAAGTCGTTCTTAAGTCAAATTACAAGCCTTCGATCCTTGGGCAAAAAATAGAGGTGAATTTACTTGTAACTGTTTTGAGATATCTAAAGCCTACAATTGGTTGTGTTTAAGGCTGCGATGCTTATAATTGATAAAACTAAGACAGAAGACCTGCATGGTTTTGGTTTGCCATGAATCTGAAATTATCAATTCCTCCGCCTAGGTTTTGCAGTTGATCAGGCTACTAATGTTGTTTATCTTGCCTTGTTTTATTTACATGCAAAATGGAAGAAGCAAAGAGTGAAAGGAGGGGAAAATCTCCCTGCGTCTCTAGCTACTTTTCTACCCATGTATTTTTCAAAAAAGAGCTTAATCCCCTCACAGGTTCGTATTCCAACACCGCCAACCACTGCAGGGGTGCAACTCATTTGTCAGAAAGGCAAAGCAAAGTACAAGACGAGCGAAAACGCAATTCTTTGGAAGTAAGAACATTTTTCATTGTTTGTTTCTATTATTTATTGCTTTAATGGATGTTTTTTGCTGTGACATAAAATGTTTTATGTCGTTTAGATAGTTACTCTTTAAAACGTAAAAAAAAAACTAAAAAACGATAAGAAAAGCTCTTCCCATGCAACATGTCGCGTGTGAAAACGTTTTCAGCGAGGATGTCGTGCAGAATTCACATTTGCGAATGTAAATTGCTGTACTCTTTGCATTTAGCCCAGAGAGAATATATGTGTTGGTGAAAATTATAACAAGCGCACACTAATGGAAAAGTTTTTGTCTTTATTTCATTTGATTTGCTGACCATGTTTTGAGGTGTACCTTTGATTGCCTAGTATTGGCAATTGATATAACGAAATATCTGTTTCTCTGTATAAACATATTCCATTTTATTCTATAGAATTCGTCGTATGGCTGGCATGAAAGAATGCACAATAACAGCTGAAATAGAGCTTCTTCCTGCCAAAGAATCAAAAAAATGGACTAGGCCTCCAATTTCTCTCAATTTTGAGGTTTGTTCCCGCGTTGTTTAATTTTTTACGAAAAAACCAAATATTCACCCAGTTTATCATTTGCCAATGAAATGCGCCTTGAATGTTCTTTTCAGTTGATCAAATTTTCTGTCAAGCCTATTTCGCATCGATGGAAAATACTTTAAGCTTGTTTTCTACGATCCACTGCTCTGAAGAGTTCAGCTTTTGAGGCGCTCAAGAAACCCAGTCCGCATTTTATTACCTTTTATCCTGCTGCTGTGCATGTATACTGAGCTTGATTTCACACGTGACATGATACAAATTGTTTTGGATTAACTGCATTGCGCGATTACGATGTTCATGTGCTACCTCTCGTTAGAGTTTATAGGCAGTCGTAGATTTTATCGCATAAGTAACCTGTCAGTCAACTATTGACCAATGAAAAGCGTCTGAGATGTGTTTAAGTATTGGCAAAAATAGCGATTTATTTTCATGTACAGTAGAAAAAAACATTAGCGTAATAAATGCTAGCACAAGACACTATTTCTTCAGCTTTTTTAGATCGAGGCACCGCTTCAACGAGATTCAATTTAGCAAACTAGTCTGCCCGCCCGTCAGCACAAAGCTTACAAATAAATTTTACCTTTGAGAAATAGGCAAGATAGCAAGAAGAATCAGTTTAGGTCGAATTGCACATTTGAAGTTATGAGACGTTGAGTTTAGTTTGCACCTTTGATTTGATGTTGAATTTCATCCATCAATGTGATAACTTTTTTCAATACAAAATCATGCAGTTTCGTTCATCATAGCCGCCTGATGTCATCTGAACGTTGTCGTATGGTAATCCTAGTTAAGATCTCAGTTTCAGGACACACCAGAACGATATTGCCTTTGGTTAGATTAGCAGCCTCCAATTAGAACTTTCTCTATATTAGTAGTTCCTTTCTCGTTCCGCGTCAAGGCTTTGAAACGAATTGAAAGAGGCCAAAAATTGGCTGTATTCATTTCTTTAATGGCGTAAATCTCTCTCCCTGGTAGTACTTTTCATTGTAAAGCTATCATTCAGATTTACGATAAACACTTTTCAAAAAACCTAACAGAAAGATTCTTTCCGTCAGAGATTTCTGTTTTATTCATTATTCTGTAACATTTGGTTGTCATGATTTTATATTCTGAAAATCGCGGTTTTTCAGGTTCCTTTTTCATGCTCTGGGCTGAAGGTTCGTTATCTGAAGGTTTTTGAGTCGAAACTGAATTACAGTGACCAGGATGTTGTCAAATGGGTCAGGTACATTTCGAAGAGTGGGCTGTACGAGACAAGATGCTAACAATCATGAGGCAGCTGGTATCGTAACTGTCGGCGATATGCCAAGTAAACTATATTCCCAATTATTATAAGATAACTGTTTAATACTACATTTTGTATTAGATTAAAACTCTATTGTTGATTAGATAACCAAAACATAAGCAGCCTTGTTTATTTAGTAAATCGTTAAAACATCTGTCCTTACAAAGCCAGTCGATCAAGATTATTCATCTTTTGCTAACACATGGCTTTGTTATAGTTTCTTAAATGCAGTTTTAATTACAATCATAATTATTTAATCAAACGTTAAATCTAATTAAATGAAAGACAGATGAAACTCTAAGTTTATCTTGGTACGAAAATGAATTTACATTTTCAATAGCTCCCTCGCCTAATATTTAGTGGAAATACTCCTACACTTCATCATTTCAAGAATTTCTTTTTATTCTACTATTTATTATAAGGTGAAAGAAAAGGCTAAGACCTAAACATGTGATCTGGTTTGTACCGATATGTAGATTAAAAGTTACTAACAGTGAAGGGGATTCCTCAATGGCATAGCTGTTGTGAGCCAGCGTCTGGAATCTGTTTTAGCTCGTCGTTCGTTTAGAATTGAAAGCTTTTTTAGAATGTTTTTCCACTGAAGCGAAGATCTTAGTATATAAACTTTCCATCCACTGTCAGTACTTCTGCCTAGACTCTGAGTCCTCCTTTTCTGCGGTTTGAAGATTTATCGATTAAGTAATATGACTCTCTGACTAAATGAACTAGAAAAAGGAAATATCTCTCGTTTTGTTTACAATGACCACAGATGCTTTTTTATTTTCACTGTTTTAGTTGCCAGTCCGTCCACATGGGCCCTTAGACTCGAATTCTTTGTAAAAATTCTCTTGAAATACGATTTCCCTTCCACAAGCAGCCTCGAAGCTTGATTGAAGCGTTTCATACATCATTTTAGTTTGTTGCGATTCAGTTTTGTAACATTTACAAGGAATCAGTTTTCTACATCTGCAGCTTCGGTAGTTTTTGTCAACGAGATTGAGAAATACGTTTTTCTGTATGACATTTTACAAAGTTTCAAATAAAGGATGCCAATTAGAAGGGTAGGGCTTGTTGAAGCCGTCACAACTGTAGACAAAAATGCATCATTTTTACGAATAGTTATAATATTTTTAATAGGAACTCGTTTGGAAGTCAGACAACTGCAAATCTCCTGGAGACTGAGCGCGCCCCGTCATTGCAAAGAGCATTTTCAATCAGCCACTATTTTTCTTTATTTGACTCGAAGCAACGAGTACTATTTTCATAACTGACTAGCGCATAATGAATTACAGATCTCACGAGATTTATGCAGAACTACCGTTGAAGATTTGTAATTGATAATCTCGATTATTAGCTCATCGATACTAGTATAGCATCTTCCTGAATCTATTTAGGGGCTGATAGATGCAATCCTCAATTCTAGTGCCACGTGTATAAAGCCCAAACGTTTTGCAATCACTCGAATCTGCACATCTAGACTTCAAAGATATTCTGCTATCAAGCATTGCGCGTTGATTTTACTTTTTATTTCACCCTGTTCAGGTTTTGATTCGGCCAGATAACAGATTGTGCAATAAATGCGAGGTAAGAACCATTTGTGTGATGATTTTATCCAGGCAACATAAAGGTTTTAAGTTAAACCTCTGTTATAGAATGCTTCAAGCACCTCCTACCGCTCAGCTGTCTAATTTCATTATAGAGTTGATAAATATTTGCGAAGTTATTCTTCTTAATTCTATGTTTACAATAACTACTCGTATACCTCCATGGGTGTCCGGAGAGACTCTGTTACTACAATATTGAGAGTTTAAATTAACTATCAAAGTTTTAATAATTTACCAACTTGCTAAAAGGCCAAAAGCTTATTTTACTAAATCAAAGTCCTTTAACATTAATAATTTTAAACAATAAATGCTTTACAGGCATGCAAGGCCTGTATTTCAATTGACCTTGGTCGCAACTTCGGTCCCAGTTTTTCTCCTTCGCAGTAGCCGCTTACAGTTTCGCTTTGTCGTAGTCCGACAGCCATCAACAGCTTTTATAATGTTCAAATGTAAAGAATTCAGAAAAAGAATATACCAAAAACCTCTACTTCGCATAAATACAACTGGACAGTTTGTTTCTCGATGAATAAGAACGTGCCTGGCATCTCATTGTCACACCTGAAATCAACTGTGGTAGGGGTTGCTATGGAGATGTTTCGTCTGCAGTATGGATTCACTCCATTGGTATCTTGATATCCAACTCTGATATCAACCTCTTTGAATAATGCAGCCAGGTATGGGTAAAACCCACCACCAGTGTTTGTTATGGTCACACTGTAAACAAGCACAGGTGCCCCAAATGCTACTCTCCACCAAGGTGAAATATCAGTGCTAACTGAGTAAAAGCATGATTGGTATTGGTTGTCTTTGTTTCCATCGACGGCCAAAGAGCTTGGATTACTTTCTGATAAGACCTTTGTATCTCTTTTGAACGCAAGGTTCTTGAGCTCTGTGGAAAACGTTAACGGAATTATCAAAGGCGACCAAGTAAGAATCCCTTTTTGAATAAGCGCCCCGCTCAAGTAAGTGCCCCGGAAAGGGGTCTTTTAATAGACGCCCCTGGCAAGCTAGCCCCTAAAGAGCAAGAAAGGGATGCTTGTTGAAACAAATGCCAATCCAACCGGTTCACCTCTACAAACAGCTACAAACAATACAACTCAGGAATATAAAATGCAATACAAAATTCGTTTGTTTATAAGACCTTCCTTGATTAACGAGCTCCCGGGGTCAGGGTCGGAATTTTGAATAAGTTCCCCCCGCTGCTTATTCGGTCGTTTAGGCTACCTCTGCCAGACTAATTATTCAAAGAATCGAGCATTTTCCACATTATTTATTTTGTGGAAAGCATCGTCCATGATTGGACTGATCGTGACATTCCTTGTACCTGGGATATACCGCTACGGAAATAAGAAGGGAGCGGTGCCTTATCAAAGCATTTCAAAGAACAATAGCATGAAGTAAAAATAGGCCTTCTCTATAACGATCTGAGCCCCCCATAACTGCACCCCTCTCCTAGCGAAAATTAATTAGCATAGAGAGCAAAGAGAATACTTATTCAGATATTCAGATTTCTACATGCAATCTTAGCTGTTTGACGCGACTATGCCCCCTCGTATCACATGTTTATTGTTCCAGATCTCAGAGTGACTAGAATCAAAATGAACCAAGGAAATCTTGGTTAGAACAGACTTGATAACATCCTTGATTTATTGGACCAAGCTAACATAAAAAGATTTTCGTGTTGTTTTTCTGGGTTTGCTATTGTTTTGTAGACACCCATTATCAGCTGCTCGCTGCATTAAGATTGTGGCTAAAGTCTACATGAAGGAGTGAATTTTTTATCTTAAATATCTAAAAAAGATCCAAGGATGAGGTCGAAGAAGAATATACCATTGAATTGTACACTTTAATATGTGACAGGGCTCGTTTAGTTCTAGCTTGTCTAAACAAGCATCCAAAATTTCCAGATTTCTAATCATATCTAAAAAGAAGTTTCAAGGAACCTTGAAAAGTTTTCGATGAAAATGAAATTCGCAGGAGGCACTGCAAGAATCCAGAATGTTTTTGCTTTTGCTGAAAAATCACTGAATTCACTTAGTTGCTTTTGGTCGTCTTCAAGTGTCCATTCTCAAATTGATGTGATCTGAGTTTGTTATGTTTTTTACTTTGAATTAAACAACTTTTCAATAAGAATGCAACTTGCTCTGATTGGCACATCCAAAAGCCCATTGATAGTTACTAATTCTACTGAAATATTGTTAGATGAGAAGTTGACCGTTCTCTTTAATCGTTTTTAGTTTGCTTAAACCTACCTGATTTCGATCCTTTCACCCACATGCCAGCTATTTCATCATCATTAATTCCCCACTCGTGTTCACCATTGTTAATGAGCTCAAAGTTTCCACTATCCTTCCATTTTACCACGTGGGTACACCATTCCTCGACCCCACACATGTTGAACACCATTATTTGATCGATCGAGTTGTGGTCTTCTTCGTTGTCTCCAAGAATCTGTTCAAATGTGTTTCCTGATGTAATACTTTGTCCATGTACCTTGTTTACCGGCTGCAGAAAGAAAGCCAGGAGCAAGCACAACATTTTATTTAGCCATATCATAGACAAATTTTGCATCGTGGTTTGCAAATTTTTACTACTTTTTATTCTAATGCAAACTTCTTAGATATCCTTAATATTTTCTTGACCTTCTCTTTTTAATTGCGAGAAATTGCTTCCTTGCACCTCCAACTATTGTGTATTTTTACCTGAAGAAGCGTCTTCTTTTATCACAAGCTGCCCCAGTTGAACAGAAAGCTTCACGGGGGCTCCTCAAGCTTCCATTCAAGTTACCTTGATATTGCTAACTTGTCATGTTTCTTGCCGAAAAACGTAAGTTCAACCCTTAGGTTTGTTGTAACAGGAATGCTGTTGGTGAGGAGAATTTGCTGAAGGTTTGCCCCTTTTCGCATATTCTTTGCGCTTTTCACCCCCGCCCCCCCTATCTGTCTTCTTATATTGGTAGATGCACATCGCTGCATGAATACCGATACCCCCGTCGATTCCAAACTCTTCTTCTCATTCATTGTAAAACTTCTCATGCAAAAATCACAAATGTTTATGAATCACTCTTACCGTTGCCGAACCGCCACCACCTGTAATTGCTCTTTAATTTCGCGTTTCTTTGGTTCTGATTTGTGAATATTTGTTTTTAAGTTAATCAGTTGTCACTGTGATCATTAGCGAGTAACCAAACGAAATCACACTTCACGCACTTTTTAACATCCGCCCATTCTTAGGTTTAATTGAAGATTTTCTAGTTTGCTTTTTTAAGCCTTTATTACATTGCCAGCTCTGCAAGCTGATAAAGTCCTTGGCCTTTTCCGACTTGACAATTACTTTATTTGCGATTCTGCGTAGGATTCAAAGCTATTTCTTATTTTTAGCAGTTTCCACAAATTACCTTCAAACTCGCACTCTATAGAAGCTTGGTGAAAAGGATCCCTTCGACCTTAAACCACCTTTCCTTTATTCCATCTAGGGAAACTTTCTTCAGATTCCTACTTCATTAAGATGTCACGTTGATGGAAATTACTGTTCAAAGCCCCAGCCCAACCAGTGCAAAATTTCGTGCACAAATCCCAACGTTGTTGGACGACTTTTTGGTCATTTTTGGACATTTCTGGATGTAGGGGTTGCCAAACCAGCGAAAAATTTCATACAACATTTATCGATTTATCAAAAACAAAACCTCAGGGCCTCACTTCTTAAACTTCTGCCGGAAACTGAACATGGCGATACACACTGAAAAACAGCAAAGTGTTTTTAAAGACCAGGAATATGATGAAAATGAGATGCAAAAGGGGGTTACTTAGAACCTAGTAATGGAATGGGTTCTTTATTTTGAACCGTCCCCTTTACTGTCGCAAACAGTTTTCATTCCCTTCTTCGTCTAACGGCAGCTGGCTCATTTTTTGCGGCCCCATCCATAAAATCGATTTTTCTGTTGAAGTTTGGTTCATCTTATGTAAACCGTTCGCAGCTTTCTGATCAAACCATAGCAAATCAGTGACCGGCTTCTCCTTGCTGTAGTTGCGCAAACGTGATTTTGTTAGGCAGGGTTGCCAAATCATTCCAACATGCTTGTTGGAATGAAACTTGTGACTTTACGATAAATAAACTATCTGAGAACGTGGTAAAAGTTGATTTTTAGCTATCAGAATCATGTCCACCTAGCCTGAAAGAGCACCCTGTAATACCTCAGTATATGATAAACCAGTTTAATCTGTTGCATATTGCCTAAGGCGTAGTTTAGGCGTAGTTTAGACCGCGCCTTATAGGCGCAGCAAATTAAATTGCTCATTCCGATTCATTTTTCTGATTCTTTTCATCGTAACTTATCATCCAAATCAATACACAAAATGTGTAGAACTATGAATGCAAGGGACATGACTTTTACAAAAGTTACGTTGGAGATTTCGCCAGCGCCCCTTCAACTACCATCCTTGCCCTACTCAAACGATAATTGAAATATTTTTCTTGGTCAGAGAGAATTGTATTATTGTAGGGTTTCATCCATCATAGATAAAAGGGAAAAGCAGAATCTCCAATCAAGTTTGCGTAAATTTCAAGTTCAGATTCTTTCTTTGAACATTTTGGAATGAAGTTTACTTTTGAAATTTTTTCAATGAATTAGTCGGCTTGAAAATGGCATCATGACTATTTCCAGGGAAGCCATTATATATTGTAAATCTATACCATGCATCAACAATCGCCATTAGCGCTACTGAATACTGTAAAAACTCTATTAAGCCCCCTTATCAAGCAAAACTTTAAATAAGCCCCCTTCCCCTCTCATCACCTCAAAGTCATCACCTCTTTAGCCTTTGATGTCAAACATAGAAAATATGCGCAATTAGTGGGTCTCTTGACGGGTGTGAGAATGATAAGATCGTGTGCATTAAATACCACCTGTGTAAAGACTAACTTGTGTAGCTTAGTAGTCAGTCGATGAAGATAAGGACCTTTATTTGATTGATTAAACTTTAAAAACTGCTGGCAAAGTTTTTTGAGAACACTTGTATGTAATTTTCATAACAAAAAATTGGCCAAGGGCATTTTAAAACTTTTTTGGTTCAAAATTTTAATAAGCACCCAGGGGCTTAATAGAGCTTTTACGGTAGTTGTGGTATTCTTTTGCCCTTTCGAAACTACTTTTAGGGCATTTAATTCGTACATTGCATCCATCTACAGCACCAAAACAACAGGGAAACTGCCATTCTTGATCAAAAATGTTTGTTGTTTTCATCAATGCATGTTTATTTCTTGGCATCTTGTTATTACAGGAACCGCGGAGCGTTAAGAAAAATGGGGGGTCCAAAAAAGCGCGGGGGCTAAAACCGGATAAAAAGAGGCATTACTGGTGATTCACTTCTTAGTATTTTGCATTTTTCACAAAAAGTGGGGGGGGGGCTAAAGTCCCCCAGCCCCCTTGCTCTGCGGTGCTTGTAGTGGCAGATTTTTTCAAAGATAAGCCGTGTAGCCTTTCAAACTTTCTGCACTATCAAGGAAACAGCTGCGGTTCCCAATCCAACAAGCTCTGCAGTTTTGTGTATAAGTAATCACCCCTTGCAAACCTGTAAAGAAAAACCGTCGATTTCATGTCTGGAGATATAGGCAATTTCGAAACCGTCTCCTTTGTCAATACAGGTGCTATCTCGTCAAGAATGTACAAAAATTCTAGTACGAAAATTGAGTTTAAAACGGCCTATTTACTCCCTGTTTTGCAAACAGGCCAGGCCATCAAGACAAGCTGAAAAGAAAGTCTCTTTGTCCGTCTCAATGCTCTCAGTGCTTCCGAAACACCCCTCTATCGCGCTTACTTGCGTCGAGTTCCTAAAGAACATATTATCTCGTCGAGGTGGGGGCCATTTACCACGGAAACAAATTTGGCGCCAACAGTTTGCTTTTGCTTTGCGCACCAACAACAATTTGAAGCGGTTTGCGGGCGCATTTTGAGCACATCTAATTGTGTTCGATTCGCTGCGCCCATAATTACCCTACGTCTGAGTAAAAGACCAGAATTTTGCTCCTTATCATGTAAATGATTAGAACCTACGTAAATGTGCATACATTATCAGGAGTAAAAATTAATTATTTACATTGAAGTGTTTGAAAGGAAGCCTTCAACCCTTTAACTTGTAATTATCCTCTTAAAAACATAAAGTGCGCAAAATAGCACCCACGTACAGCGTTTGGGATTAGCACAATCTACATAAAAATCATCAAAAAAACATTATAGCTTCAAGACAGGTGACAAATGATTGTAACGTTGCTGCAAATGGCCTTTAAAGATTTAATCTGCTTCGTTTCAGATATCTTGCGTATTTCCCTACCAACATTCTTTGACAAACATTTTGGAACTTACTTTAAAGAAAGCGGTTTAGATTTAACGTTTTCTTTCACAGCTCACCCCCTCCCCCTTAGCAATGTTGCATATAAAAGGCGCATCGATTTACAACCTGCAACATTGTACTGGGGGGAGGAGGCAGCGTTATCAAATAAATTTATGCAAGCAACTGCAGGTTTGTAGGCCGTAGGTATTTTCCGCCTTAGGTAGCAGGTTGGATCAGGATTCCTACAAATGGTTTCGAATGTTTAACGTTCTGAAATTCTAAAGTTCTAATTACGGTATAATTGTCTGTATATATTCTAGCGTCTAATTTTACTAAGAGTCGCGTTCTATGAAAATGGTGGATAACCTCGGTCCATTTTTTTGACCTTCAGTGTTCAAGTTCATTCTTGTCATCTTCCTGGGTGGAAGACATCGACTGCTTTCTTTGAAATTCGTTCTTCGCTTTCTGAGAGTTCTTCGATTCGTATTTCACAATATTTGTGAGGGTCTCCCAGAGGGGGGGGGGGTATTTGTTTTCGTGTTCCCTTTGCAAAAACAACCAATGATCCCGTATTCCCGTTGAAAATGAAAATATGCTTCTTTGCACGTTTCCATGTTCCCAGTAGAGAGTGTAAGTTGTTCCCGTATTCCTGTTCCATTTTTTGCTATATTGATTCATAATAGACAGAAAATAGACAGTAGCATTTGCACAAGAATGCAAGAGGTTTCTCGCTAATTCTCTCAAAGTTTCTTCTTAGTTTAAATCGATAGGAGTATCGTACACATTCGATCGTACACATTGTTTTGCTTTTTTCCGCACATTCGTGACCAACACCTGCAACGTTCTCTATTGTAATGGGTCTCAGGTAAAGGACCCTTCAATTGCAAAGTCAATTTCTCACTTTATATCTAGGGGGCACCACGATGGTAAACTTTATGGGGGCTGTAATATTTAGGGCGAGTAATAATAATAAATGGTCTCTGCTCTGACAATTTGAAAGGAAAGCTTGTCACAAGATCCCAAATATATAACTATTCAACAAGAAAATGCCTTCACCTAGACATCCCTAGGCAACACCCAGAATTCTCCAAAAGGAGTTTTTTCTATTGTGGTGCACAGACGTGGAACGAGATTCCATTACAGATAAGAATGAGCTCCACGATTACCACGTTCAAAAAGAAATTGAAGGAATTCCTGCAAAATTAGCATCCTTTCCGGCCGCACGATCCCTAGGAAAACCAGCATCATATATAAATTTATCTTTACTTTTTCTTTTTTAACTTGGTAGCTGAAAGGGTTTCTGTGTTAAAGTATTTTAAAATGAAATGATGAAATATAATCGATTCAAGCAGGATGCGCATTTAAACGACGCATGCGCTCTAAGATATTAAAACATTCATGAATCTGAAGAAAAGACATTGAAAACAACCCAATCTTTTAAATCGAAAACCTTATAGCTGAAAACGGTTTCTTTATGAGGTTGCAACTATGTTTAAAAACAATGTACCCTCCAAAATTTTTAACCTCTGGTGTTCTCCAAATAATCATTAAGAATTTGCAGTGCGGGTGACCTGGCCAGCCCTGGCAACCGGGCAAGCCCGCTCCATGTAATCAGGCCCTTAGGGACCGTTTATTTCTAATGGTGGATAACCAAGGAATGCTGGGATTGCTATCCCTACCCAGGATTCCACAGCGTCAAGAGTTTTGAATGGGTTGCGGATAAGGTGGAGTGAAAGAAAGAGTCGAGAGAAAGACTTCTCCGTATCGAAATATGCGCCTCTTCCGAGCTCGGCTATGTCATGTGGCCTTCTTCGTTCACATTTGTTTTCCAGGGCATTTTGGCAACCCCTTGGTGGAGGTAGATCGCCTTTGCCGCTCCCTGATTCTAGTTACTGGTGGGGCTGGGGCACATGCCACCGGCCCCTTAGCCACCATACCACTGCTTTGAATGGATTTGCGTGTGTTCTCAATGTTACTAAAGCCTAGCGTACACAGCAAATTGTTGTCAAAAAAGACTAAGTTTTTTGTCTTTTATCAGATAAATCTGTAGTGTGCGGGGTCAAAATCGAAATATTTTAGCCTTTTGTGATAATATTTGACATCAAAAAAATTTGATATTTGCCTCTGATATTTTGCGGTCTTTTGCGGAAAGCAGGCTTTTCATCTTTAAACCAATCAAACCTAGATTTTTCGTACACTTGACATTCTATGAGCTTTTTCTCACCAAAGAGGACAGCAAGTTCGTCTTTTGCGATAAAATCTGCTGTTAGTCCAGCTGTTAACTACCAAAATAAAATAAAATCGTTCAAGTTAATGATTAAAGCACAAAAACTTCACAGATTACTGATGACCAATTTTGCGTGAATCATAAAATGCACCATTCAACTACTAAGCGACTTCGCTATCATTCCAAAACAAAATTTAATAAATGAAAACACCAGAAAACACAAATTTTTTCTTGGTTAATAACTTTATGTTGTTGTTGTTGTTGTTGTTGTTGTTGTTGTTGTTGTTGTTGTTGTTGTTTCTTCATCTTTACTGTAATAAAATTCTTAATTCGTTAATATGTCAAGTTGGTTTTGATTAGCTATAATATAGCTAGTAGTATATGTTTACAGCTTAAAAGAATGTGCAAAAGTCATGAAACTTTACAAGTCAGTTTTTCGACAAATAACTAGAAGCTTGAACAACCATAACTTCTTCAAATCACATTTATGTTTGATTTCGTTCAGTTTTGCATACTCTTTCCGATGGTATAATAGATTAAAAAGTTTGAAGCTTTGCTGACCAAGCATTTTACAGGCTTCCGGTAACGTAATTTCTGGTGTTTGCAAGAAAGTTTCCAGGGCTTTTAATGGTCGGTGGCCTTCACTATTAAGATTTGAACTTCTCGGTTAGGCAGAATTTTTGATGGATTTGCCAAATTCCCTGTTTGAAATGATCAAATAGAGAAGGAAATTTTACAGCAATGTAAAAGTTAGTGATCACGTTAGATCGAGAAAGGTGCGTTCTATTGGCTCGTTATTTTGATTATCTCCCAACATACAATTGCTTATTAGAAAGATCTTTTCAGCTGATTCTTGAAGAAACGTCGAATTAGGGCGAGCGATGATTTACGTCGAATTAACCTTGAAGGGATTAACCTTGAAGAAAATTTTTAAGGATGTGCCTGCTAGCAAAAATCTATGATCCTGTCCTGGAACAAAACTCTGAGATCATAAAACCTGACTCGAAAAAATTCTGAAAATAGGATACCTGAATACATGATATCTACTATCAGCACAAAGAGAGAAAAAGTAGAATCCTGTCTCAGAATATTAAGCCTTAAATAACACCCTGTTGGCAAGCACATCCCTGAATAGTCAGTTTATCAAGTAAGCACCCCGGGATATCCAGGTAAGGATCAAAATTTGTGTGAAAGGAGGAATGGAGCGTGTGACGGTTTTAAAACTTGAAGAAATAATGTTCTGCTGCAGATTTTCTCCTTTATCATTGTCAGGTATAATGTTCTCCTAATTTTATCCTAATTTTTATGTATAATTTTCTACTGTAGATTTAATTGAATGGTGATAAACATTTTCCTGTCGAACTACGTATAAATAAACTCCTGCTAACTCTAGAATTTATGTAGCAGTTGAGGAGTCGTTTAATACTTTGAAGAGTGTCAGACAAAGAAGCTGTTAGCATGTTGTCAAATGTTTGCTTTGTTCAAAGCCATTCTCTATATTTTTATTTTCAAATGTCCCTATTATACCTTTCAGCCTTTTTGTAGATTGATCCTCTATGTTAACCATTTACTTGCTAGACTATTGATTCAGTGTAATCGCAGTGGCTTTTAGCAATTGTTCTTGGGCTAATTATAATTTTGATAAAGAATGTTGGTAATCACTGACTCGTTGACTTCAAATCAATAGCCAATAGAACGTCTTGATGCATGGATACCTGTTAATTAAAAATTGATATTAACCGTCTTTATAAAAAGGGTTGGAAAGTGTTTTTATGAAACGGAGAGCAATAAAATGGAACGGTTTCTATTTTTTTCATTGTTTTTCTTAAACTTTCATGTACTTTGTTTGCAAGAATGGAAGAAGGTATGGGCATATGGACTCAAATTCCAGCTGGTGAAGGGGGAAGCTGACTTTTATGAGCTTTTTGGATCTCCAATATTTCAAACTTGCTACCTTAAAAAAAATTGTCACTTCATCATTAAAAACAAGGATGAAAGAGACTTCAAAGCTTTTGGTTTGGAGGAGGGACATAAACAAATCGAAGAAGCACAATACGTTTGGAGGAAAGAAGAAAGTATGACACATTTACAAACATTATAAATCTTAAAGTTTTTATGTTCTTGCAAGAGATTGCTATTTTATCAAACTTGATTAATTTATAATTACCATTTTTAAAGCAAGCAATTAATGCGCTAAAGAAAAGTATACAGTCTTTATGTTGAACTTGATAAGGTTTAGGGATGCAACGTGTGGTTTGGTGATAAGGACAGGGTTTGGAGTGTGTTCTCAAGCAGACTTCACTGAATTTTTTACCAAACAAGCCAAACTTCCTTTAGAAAAAGTTAGGGCATGCTACACCTGCTCGTTCAACAAATTCAAAGCATTTTATCACAGAGAAAACAATAAAAAAACCATAAAATGGCATTATTTCATGGAATGCTTTTTAAAGTATCAAACACAACCAAGCTAATACTACAGAAAAGGCAAATGAAAAGGTTACTAAATCGTGGTTAAATCGTGTCTATGCAAGATGCAACTTACGCATATCTCTGCCTGCTACTAGACTTCAAAAAGAGATAGAGAAATATCAGTGCATTATTTAAAGACGTCATCAGGCGATGAAATGGTAGCTGCTTTGAATGTGTCAAATGTTCATCAAGCATCGTCATCATCATCAACTGCTATTGTTCTTTTAAGACAGTGCCTTGTAAGCCCCAAACTTTCTGGACCCCATCATTATTTTAGTATAACCAAGGCATCTGATTTTGTTTTTCTATTTTGAGAAAATATTGAACAAGAATTTTCATGGAATGATAAGGGCATGAAGTATGAAAATAAGTTTGGAAACAAATAAAGGCATAGGGAAATTAAAAGTAGCAGGGCTTCCATAAATGTCTTTCAATATTGCATTATGGAATCCTGTTCAAAATCATAACACTATTGATGAATTATTGATAAGCTTGCTGAAAGTGTTTATTTAAAGGCTTTTAAGATCAAATGATACCCTTTCAAGATTCCAATTAACATTGTTTATTACTGACTTTGAAAGTAGTTATAAAATCTAGATTCTTGCAAACAAGGACTTTAAGTTATAACTAAAAATTAATAAGCGAAGACTATAAATTGTTTAACAAGTAGCCCAAAGCAATGCAACCCAGAAAGAAACAAGGCAATCCCTGTTAATCTCATTTAACATTTGTAGAGTGTCATTTGTAGAGGCGTCTTGAGTGTTTAGTGATCGTTACACAACACACCTAAAGCTAAATGAGAATCCTATTTTGCCAAAGCAAGGTTCTTTGTCCCTAAAATTGTGGAACTCTGATGAAATGAAAAGTAAACTAAACTTTAAGAGAGAGTCTATGCATCTTACTTTATTTCTCGTTTCTTTGACACCAAGATACAAGATCATAATCTGACGTTTATCTTAACGATGAAGATTTCACTTATGATTTCATGTTCATGGAATTTGCAGGATGACTTGTAAATACAGTCGATCTTATGGACACAATTTTCTGTTAATAAATATTGCTGCTCGGAATGTACTTGAAGTAGTGTCAATTATGTCCATAATGCAATCTCTTAGATGCTTCATGATAGCGTCAATTAGATGTAGAACTAATGTCTAGCTAGCAGTTAAAAAGGTTAATGATGAAGATGATCTGTTTAGCTTACAGATAGTGTATATCCAGTGTATATTGTTTGTTTCCAGGTGTTGCAAATAGATATACACTTCTCTTTTAAAAATTTTGCTGAAAGATTATAATTTCTTTCAGAAAAAGAGAAAATTTCGTTGCCCCTTGCAAGGACGTACCAATCATCAGAACCAACAAACAGCTACAAAGCCATTGATGGCATCAAATGCAACGACTACCAAGCTTGCACATGCACACACACTGAGTCTGGTCCTCCACATTGGTGGGCAGTTGAGTTTCCTCAGGCAAGCATGGTGAAGGCTGTCTCCATTGTTAATAGAGGTGACTGCTGCTCGGAGCGCCTAAGGGATTTCAACATCAGAGTTGGGTTTTTGCTTGAAAACGGGGCAAACCCTTTTTGCAGAAGGAACGTCGGCATACTCACGGCGAAAGAAGTCATGTTTGAATGCGATGAATTGGTTTTGGGCAAGTATCTCTTTATTGAATCAAATGTTTCAGACGATTTGACAATCTGTGAGCTGGAAGTGTATGGAGAGTTGTTTTTTTAGAATTATGATCTAGAGACATTTAATTTCATTTTATTTTCAATAGATTTAGCTGGGTTGCATTTAGAACTGATTATAAGAATTGTGTTTGAAAACTGCCCTGTAAAAGGAGATAGACCCTTAAACTTAGTTATTCTAATGTAGTATGTTGGTATTCTCGAAACCAAAAGGAGTCACCCATGTTCTGGAGTTTCAAGATAGGATTTACATAATTCGACGTGAGGTGGCGCTAGGATGAATTCTCTGTCCTCTTAATCATTCCTGGTTGTCAGAATTTCGTCACTTAAATAAAAACAACAAAGTATTTGCAATACAGAAAAACTATGACTAGAATTCAAACATAGCTTTATTATTGATTTAGGTTTTTTGTTGGCAAAGGACCTCAGTTTTGCCAATTTATACCTTGCTGGCACAAAATTCTTGATTTCTCCGTATACGATGATCTACAGCCGTTTGTGAAAATTTAATGTTCTTCGCATGCAACATCTTAGAAAGAACAAAATATATCAGTGATCCTTTGAGAGTATGCGTACTAAAATAGGCTTCCAAAATTGATTTTATCCATGCTTTGGGTAAATCTTTGATAAAAATATTTTCACAAAATTTTTTATTTTGTGATAAAGAGTGTTCCCAGAAATTGCGCATCGCCTCTATTCTGTATCATTAAAATAACGCCCGCCCAGAATTTTGGTAGACAAAAACAGCCCCTTCAGCTTCTCATGACCCAAACACATCTTTTCACGTGCATCTAAACATTTACCTGCACTATACCATGTTTAGCCCACAGTGTTAAAGACTCATTGCTAACAATGAGCCATTGCGACACGTATGTATCCCATAATGCATTTTTAGTCAGTTTGAAATCAATAAGGAGTCTTTTAACCAATCACTTTTGACTAGAATTCCAATGGATTAAAGCTCGTGAATGATGAGAGAATTCTTACAGTGCACATTATTTAGAGATTTACTATTGCATCATATCATCAACGGAGGCGTCAACCTTTACAACTTTCGATGCCAACTACTCTAGTCGGGTACTTAGAAGTCGGGAACTTAGATACAAGACAATGAACAATTGTATTAATTAAAAATGATTTTTTGCTGGTGTATACTTAGCTGAATACCTCTGTTTGGCAGATGACAGATATTAACATAGTTGAAATATTGTTACACCGATTATCAACTATTTATAATAAGAAAAACACCTTAATTGCAACGTCTTGTCATAGTTTTTTGTCATCAATTTAACCTCCCTTTTGATAACTTTAGTACAGTAATACTGTATCTACCCATGGTACTACTACTACAGGCTTAAAAACACTGTGACATTCAAATCGAAGTGAAGCCGTTTCGTCCTTATTGACTTGGCAATACCTAACTTTGATATCCACTGTCGCAGTTTTTTTAGGCTGAAGTGTACAGGGTATGTTTGATGACGCTTTGGTGATCTGCATCCCGGCAAAATGTCCTGGAAGTAATGCATTAGATTATACTTTTTCAGGGCCGTCGGAACCCGGGGGTTTGGGAGGCTGGGAGGCTTGGAGGCTGGAGCCCGTCAATAATTGTCAAACTGTAGTATGTTTTCTTTATAACAGTGTACTGAATGAGAAGGAATACAATGGGCAGCCCCCCCCCCCCCCCATATGAATTTTGTTCCGACGGCACTGTTTTTTCATCACTATGTCATTTATTCACTAGTAAAGAGAAGAGAAGTCAATTTCATGGATAAACAATGTTTAAAAATTGCTTTGCATAAAGCAAACGATTTAGGATAATACACTTAAGGTTAAGTCGGTCTTAAAATTGTTGCTTTTTCAAAGAACAGCTTATCTTAATGGCTGCATAGGTAAAAATAAGTTGAATGGTGGATTTTTTGATTGCCTCAAACACCTGCTGTTTGTTTCAAAAGGAACCAGCATATTAGTGGCATCAAATTGCAAGTTCCAAAGAATATTAACAAGCTTCATCAATTTTAAACTGCACAAAAACACCCACCATGCGGTGTTTGATATTAACAAAATTAATTTTTCAAACAGGGACACTTGTAGCAATAGGGGACACCATCACGAATTTTCAGTCATTTAGTGGCAGCTGTTGTTGTTGTAAATTCATTTTAATTCGATATGAAAAGAAATATCTAACAATATATATACATATCTATACAATATTAACTTATCAAAATCGAACATAGCTAACAACAAGCACATTGAATTAATTATAGATACTAAGTTAAAGAGTAATTTGCATTTACTGGTAGAAGCTGACAGGCACTACATTTTCAATTCGGTCAGTCCCATTGTTTCATTAGATTCTTAAAATTTTCAAATTTTCTGCGGATTTCAGTTCGTTGGGTAGGCCATTCTAAACCTGTGGCCCGATTGACATAAGACTTTTGGATCCAAATGTTGCTTGATTAGGTCTAACATGGGCTAAGTTATTTTGATATCTTAATGAATAATTATATGAGCTTATTTTAAAAATACTCTGCATAAAAGATGGGTTCAACTATTCTACTTCTTTGAATATCTCAATGCACAGAATTCTTTGACGAGCAACGAACATTGTGCGTTTGTCTGACTTCACAAGCAGATCGTTTTACGAACTTGTATGATCTAGGGAAATCTTAGGACACGTTCTTGTTTCTGTTCAATGTTCTGTAATGATTTAGAAAATGAAACATACCAGCTCAAGAGACAATAACTGAAATTAGAATATACAAAGCTCTGAACAAGAATCTTTTTCTCGTGGAAACCAATAAACGTCTTTAATATTTTAAGAACATTTAAAAGTGTTGCAGCTTTTTTGCAAAGATTGGAAATTTGTGGGTCGAAATCAAGTTTGTGATCCAACGTTACTCCTAAAAGCTCCACTGTCTCCTCAGATTCAATTTTTTTACCTTCAATGATTATTTGTTCTTCACTAGTAGCTATTTGTCTTGTTTTCCCTAATCATTATAGCATGAGATTTTTTCAGGTTTTGCAATAATTTCATTTTGTTCTAACCATGATAAGGCAACCCACGCTTTTTGCAAAGTATTTACAAGATCGGGCATGTTTTTAGAAAAACAATCTAATGTATTGTCGTCTGCATGATTGTTTTTTTATATGATAATAGATATGTAGGCCAAAATGGCCCTCAATCTACTACAAGAAAACAGAACGTCGTAAACTTAAATGGTTTATTAAAATTGCTACATCTAAAATATTACTACAAATGGCTACAAAAATTATAACAGCTTAAATATACAACAGTAAACTTATCAGCTCATTTTTAAAAGGGCCCATAAATTTCACGCTTTTCGAATGCTCGCCTCACTGTTATCGCAAAAATTATAGACGCCTGGGGCCTTGTTCCCCAGCCGCAAAGTCAAGTCATCAAATCATGCATTACATTGCCAAAATATTGTCCATACTTCAACATTTTGACTTCAGGTTCCCACATTCCCGGATTCCGCCATTCTCCGATTCCCCTGTTGCCCGATTCCCTATTCCTTGTTTTAGTACTGTCAAAAACTGGGTTAGCCTGCGCACAGACTCGACTGGCTTTCCCAGAATTTGATTGAATGGAAAGTTTAGGGTTTGTCCTATGAATATCCTACATTCCCACCCTTGTTTTTTTGAGCAAAGAAAATTTCTCGCGCCTTCCTCCACCTCCTTAGTTATTGATTAAATAAAAATGTGCGAATTACACGAAAGCTATGTCCAAATTAAGTGCATATAGAACAACTCTTAACAGGGGCAATCCTTGATTTACTGTCGATATGGGCCTCTAAAGGAGAACCTTGAAGACAATGACAAGTAACCTGTTTGTCTGCATATCACCAGGAGGCAGAGAATGGCCCGGCGACCACCCAAGAAAGCATACAGAGGCCACTGTAGCGGTTTTAGGGGGTCCAAGGGGCCAAGGCCCCAGGCTCGCGATCATTGTAGCCATGATGGGCCCTGCATTAAAGAAAAAAATAATATTATAAAGAACAAAGGCCCCGCAGATGTTTTTGGTCCCGGGCACCGCAATCTCTAAAACCACTGCTGAGATGATCTTATACAGGGGTGTTGCGGCAGGGGATACAGGGCCACCACACCCCTGAATATTATCATGGAATGGAAAGTACGATTTTGGTAGTTCTGAGACTTTCACCTCCTGAAAACAATAAAGAATTGGGCGAAGGTAGTTGTTCCGTTGATTATGATATTCATCCTCAACAAAACCAAGCATAAATGGTTTCAAGGCTTCTTGTTGGAACTAGATCCAAAAAAGATCATCTATTGGCAAAATTGTACCTTGTGTCAAATTACCGCATAAATTTCCAGACCTTTTTTACTTTTTTTAGCAATAATTCCAAATGGGAAGATTGGTCAATTGACAATTAGTGCTGCTGGTACCTTGATTAGTTGAGTTTGAAAAAAAAGGGTTCTGACTAGCATTTTTGAAAAATGCTCCAAGGCCCTTTACTTTTGCCACGCCGCCCCTGGCTGGCTCTTAAAGCCTGGGAAAATTTATATGAGAACACTGTCTGGGACCATCGGCGATCATGTCTAGCTTCCAGTCTCCCTCTATGACCACACTTGCGCCGAGCAAAATGGCTGAACTGGAGACTTTGTCCCAAGAAAGTAGTGTATCAGTTTCGCAATTTATCGAAGAAATAAGAAAACCTAAACCAAATTACAATCAATCATGTAAAGTCAAAAGACCTCAAAAGACAGGAGAGGATAAGTAAATTGCTGGAAGAAAATTGCAAAATCCACGAGAATGTCTTTAACAGAGCCTGAACGACAATACAAGGCAATAAGAGTGGCTTTTTCCAGATATTTATTGAAAGTAAGTGGAAAATTTGGTAGCGGCATCAGCGAAGTACTTTCTATTGTTTGAAAATATGGCCATATGCGTTGGCTAATGTTTTCAATTTGTCGAGACATTGTTATCAGGATTGGCGCAAAAGTTTTCAAATGAGGCTCTTTTTCAGGGTCACATGTGACCTAACAGGGCCAGAAAATCGCACCTCATCGCAGACAAGCAGTATATGAGAAGACTTGCATCGGCGATGGTCGCCGACGGTCTGTGATAAGGGACGAAAAATAACTTGTGATAAGGGACGAATCTGATGAAAATATCTATTGCGTAAATGTTTTTGTCATCACTGTTAAAATCTTTCCTCCATAACAGGGTTCTGCAGCTGCTTTTACTGAAAATGAATGAATGAACTGAATGAACTAAACTGAGAAAACTAATTTTTATTAAAATGCAAGTAAATATGCTTTTTGTATCGAAAGATTTGGAAATCGCAAGGAACTGCAGAAACATAGCGTTCTTGAGTATTTTTAAAAGTCGTGGCAAGGACATTTCATGAAACAGAAAAATGCCTTGCAATATGGCCTTAAGTCGGTGCGTTACTGTGCAGCAAATTCTGGAATGACATTCCTGTGGATTCAAAAAAGTCACCATCTCGTGTTGTATTTCGTTGAAAGCTCAAACCCTCCCTCTTTGAATTAAATTACTAGAACTGATCGGAGATAAGTTTCTCAGTCATAATTTTAAGATAGAAATCAAATGTAAATGAGACATCTATAAATAGGGGGTGATCTCTCCTCGATTAGCATAGCTGCTGAGAGACTTCCCCCCTTTAAGAAATTCCCTCCATTCAAATTAACCTTTCTGGCCCACCGGGACACCGGGAAATTTCCCGGTGCGCCCTTTGCCCCTAAGTTATTTTTTCAAAAACTTGAAAACCTTCAAAAGGCAACTAACCTTCCGATAAAACTATAACTGATTACAATCATAAATTGACCTCCTATCTAAAGTACGTTTCCATGAAAAGTTTAGAAAATTCATTGGAGACGATGTTTTCATCAGCAGTTTCTGCAAGATTTTTGAAAACCTTGAGACAAACATATTTTGTTTTGAAAATGGCTTTGAAAAAAGCAAAAAATTTTAAACATATTAAGTCTTTTTTGTCTGAAACTTTTCAGAGCATATAACGTTAGAATAAAGGTCCAAAGGACAAGATGGAAAATTCAATCCACAAATGGGTATTTATTCTCCATCTTGTTCTTTCCGACCCTTATTCTTACGTTTTTAACTCTAAAGAGATTCAGATGAAAAAGCTTTTAGTATGTTTAAAATTTTTGCTTTTTTCAATGCCATTTTCAAATTTAGTAGCGCCAAAAAAGTGTTCATACTTTTATTATTGACAGCAGTTAATGTGGTAGCAGCCAGAAAGCCTACTCTCACTTCCAACCCTCATTAGCTTTTAATTTTTTCAAGCAAGTGCGCAATACTTGAATTAATTCAATATCTGTTGAGAGGGTAGTAGGGGTTTTCACTAGCTAACTCGCGCACTGTTTGTGAACCCATGACTTTTGACTAACCATATTAGTTTTTTGACTTATGACTAATGCGAATTATTTCGAGTATCTGATATCGAATAACTGAGAGGGCTCGCACAGGGGCGTAACTTGGCCAATAGTTTTGGGGGGGGGGGGGGGAAAAGGGTTTCTGCCCTGCAAAACTGAGTGGTGCCCTGCAGACCTAGTAGCAACGGTTTGTCTATACGTTACTAGTGAAAGCTTTACCAGTGTACACTGGTCTTTACCAAGGACAAACTTCTAAGCAAAAGAAACAAACTTGCAATTTAATTGCCTATGAAATTTCTATTTTTCTACGTGAGCGTAAATTGTTTTTTTATATTCACTTCATTTAGTGTTGGTTTGCAAAATTAAGCTAATAAAGAGCTAATTGGGGGGGTACATGATGTAGACAGCGCAACGAAATTTAGCCCAGTGGGGCTAAAAGTCGAGTTTAGTGAGGTAGGAGGACCCACCATGGTTGGGTCCGACGTGAAGAAATTTTTTGAAATTATACCTTGTAAAAGGGCTGAAAAGCATCTTTCAGACAAAAATTTAGCAAAATACTATTGTGCTAAAAGAACTGATTGTTTATTGAAAATATTATTGTTGATTGGGAAAAATAGGAAGGGGGATGTCATGCTAAAACTCTAGTGTTAGACGTTGGGGAAGGAAAGAAACGGCAACCTTTCGTTTCAGATTGCACGTAGTTGTGAATGACAGAGGAAGATGTTGTTTTGATTGGGAGAATTTTTTTTTCCTGAACAGAAATGTGCAGTTTCTTGTGTCAAGAAGGCCATGTTTACACATCCAAAATTAAAACATTGCAATGATACAGAAAATGATTTACTGAATTAATGCAAATAAAAGAAAAATAATAAAAATTTACGTGAAAAAGTTAGCAATTCGATGAAACAAAATCGGTATCTTAACGATTTTTTATGTTTTTTAGTTCATGCACTGTTAAAAAGTAATAGAAAAAAATGATAAAAAAATCCTATCTTGACCAAAGTGAGGGACTTCAGCCCCTTATTCCTCCCCAGTGACGCCGTGCTTGTCATGAAAATAATTTACAACTTAAATTAATTTATATGGACTCAATCTTGCCCTCATAAACATATGCATCAATCATTGCATCCATTGGCTATGACTTTCGGTAAGGAATGCTTTCGCTTTGCTAATAACGGAGCTCTTCCTGACATACCTGTTCCGTTCTCTAAAATGCAATGTCAGGAAGGGAGGTTTATAACAAATATAATATTTCCATTTCAAAATTCGTGAACGGTCCTTTACGAACTTCATAGGTGGCATTTCTGCGTGGCAACAAAGCTCTTCTTGGCGCCCTGCGAAATCTTCGATTGCCCTGCGAAATCGACTATTTTTTGGATTGGGGGGGTGTCACACCCCCCACACCCCCCCGGTAGTTTCGCCCCTGGGCTCGCACATTGGAAAAATTAATTGAGCACTACCCTGTGCTCTTTCAAATCAATCAAAATAGTTATAACTGGATAAAATTATCGGTGTGTTGGCCATTGAGCATGGTAACGTTCCCATATTACATAATCAAAGATGGGTTGGGGAGGGGGTTTTTCACAAACGGTAACAGTCATTATGGCTATTTCTTAAAGCTTATTAAAATAATAATTTACGGAGAAGGGGATTTTTCAAATAATACCGTTTTTCGATGACGTAATATGTGCATATTCCTTGTCTTGTCTCTGTTGAATAATAGTCCTTTTTCTTTGGGCCATGAACTATCCCTTAATAGTGAGAACTGCTCTATGTATGATAAAAGACAATACTTTCTCAACGTCCTGTTGTTGGCAAGCTATTTTACTTTGCGATTCAACTAAAATCTCCTATGCATCATGCTTTTTGTACGTTACAATCAGGAGTTTTGTACCCTAAAAAAAACCATGACTAATTGAAGCAAAAAATCTTGACAACTTTTTAAAAACTCTATACAGAATTTATTGAGGATTGATGCCCTCATGTAAGAGCCTTCTGTAAACTTAATGAAAAGTTAAACCGGCTGTTTTGATAAAACTGGTTTCAAATTTTATTATTAAAGTATTCCGGAATAGAGACTGTGTCTTTTCTTAAGAAATTCTTTATCCATTTTACCATGTCTACGCACAGTTTGTCATACCGAAGAAGCCATCAATCTGCAAACTCATCAATTTGCGCAAAACGGATGGCAGCAAGATGTCTTAAAATCCATTTGTCCAAGATATGTTATCAGATATCTCTCGGACAAGTTTACGTTTTTTATGCACATGTTCAATACCTGATCATAAATCATATCTTTTGTAAATGATTTGTAGCTGTAGCGTGGAGGCAGGAGCAACACAGTCATTAGGCTAGCAGGTGTTCTTCATGCAAATGCAGTCAATTTGACGGAGAGTCTTCTTCATGCAAATGCCAATTGTGAATAAAAAAATTTGATTTCGACATGGGGCATGTTCTGACATTCTAAATAGGGTGATTTCAAAAAATTTCCGAGGGCCAGCCCCTGACCTCCGTTTCGTTTCTTATGACAGTGTTTGCAACAAACTGATTCTCAGGTAAAGCAAAAGTTTTTCCGAGCCCGTTTTACAAGACCCAAAGTTATGCAACTTTAGCACCTATTGGCACCCCTTTGGCTACTTTTCCCGGTTGGTCAAACGGTTGGCAGTCCGCCACTGGTGTTATTAATAATTTCTAAAATGTCACTTAATATTTTTGTAGTTTAATCATTTGAGCGTATTTTGTAGTAATTTTATGATAAATCGTATGTAGAGTTGAAATACAAACTGAACTGAACTAAACCGAACTGAATTTCAAGATCTCAAGGTATCTCGCAAGATCAGTGGCATCTTGTCATTCCAAAACCTCTGCTTGAAGTAGAGGCGGCAAAAACATTTTGAAGAGAAGGCCTAACGTTGGACGAGAGAGTATGTCAACAATATTGATTGTCATGGATTGTATAGACAGCTCTCGTCCGATTCAATGGAGATTTTTCAAATGCTGAATATCTAGCATATAAAAGTGCAGTTTCAATTAATAGTGAACGCTAGCTATTCAAGTTATTTGGAGCAAGCAAAAAGGTAAGAGAGCCTTGCTAAACTTTTACTCATGTCGGTGTACATTTCAGTCAGATGCGGAGACTCGTCTATGAGTCCGTTCCGTTAAAAATTGTTATATTAATTCTTGTCTCTATTCTATAGCCTTTTTTATATTCTTTTTGTAAAGGACACACAATAATAAATTCTCTTTTTATATTTCTTAAAGCTGGAAGTGGAAATGTTAGATTTTTGAGAATTGTTAAGAAAGTAATTTATTTTGTCTTTTTGTGAGAAGAAAACTTGGGTTTGCTGTTAGTACACATCCCAAATCATCAATTTTGACGTCTAAATTGTGTTCTTTAAGTGTCAAGCATGACAATGAAGGGGACAGAAGATCAGGATGACCAGGAGGAAACGTGGGAAGAGTTTTATGAAGAAAACAGAGTCATTCCACCACACCCAAGTAGACTGCATACAACGAAAAGTCAAAACAGTTTTCCATTTTGCTTAACTTTGAAGTCACTTGAAGGCATTAACATCCCTCCAGGTTTTGTAAGTATAACAATTTTGAGGCTATAGCAGTTTTCATAAGTACTTATGGTAATAATGACTGCCTAATTTTAAAGACTGAAGACCACAATTCTGAAAATCTGTGGTCTTCTGTGCAACCTCGAGCAACACTCTGTACCTATCCTCACATATTAAAGGCTGCTTTGAAAGCAAACTTAGAGTTTGCCACACAGATATTGGCCCACTTTCAAAATTGGAAATTATGGCAAGGGTAGCTCATAGCTGCTCCTGTGTTCCTACTGATCTTTCTCTGCAGGCTAAAAACGTTTTGTGAAGTGATAAGCTGAAGGAGTAGGAGGTTAGTTGTGTTGCTGGGCGGAGATTTTCTGCAAGCTGTCGAGCAAAAAGGGCAGAGAAGTAGAATATGCAGCCTTCATTTCTAAGGTGCAGCTGAGAATGGAATTGGTTTGGGCGAAAAAGATTAATGGGTTTAGGTGTCAAGAGTACTATTGTGTAAATATTTTTTTCTTTAAGATCATTTGAAAATCAAAACTCTTCTCTTATGAACCAAGCAAAATGACCAGAATTAATCTTAATCAAAAAAAGTTATTCAATTTCAGGCAGCTTTCACAGATGTTAATGAAAAGTCATAAACAAAATGCTGCTCTTGTAGCATGTTTAAATAGAGTTACACATAGAATTCATTGTGTATAGGCCAACATATTCTTCAGAAAAGACTGTTCAAGCCTCGATCAAAAGAATCTCTGTTGGAAATTATTTATGTAATTCTTTGATTAACCATTTTGCTGCCAGCCAGATTCACACAAAAGCATGCACTAACCTTCCCACTTCAAATGCTGCATAGATGATAATGATGTGATATTTCTTTGATTAGAAAAACATTAAGGTTCCTTTGAAATAGGTTTTGAAATTTCTTTTTTATAGTCAACTGACACAGTGGAGTTCCAAGTCTCTGTAACTTTTTATGATGCTGCAAACTATTGGTTCTTTGGGAACACTTGGAAGGGCCCATTGGTATCAGCAACTAGCAGGATTGGCAGCACAGCTAAAGTGGTTCTCAATGAGCCACTTTACTTTCATTCTTGCTTGAATGACTATACAATAACATTGGTAATAGAAGTTGCTGTTGCTGATAGCAAGTTATACCAGAGTGTAGGATGGTCAATGCTGAGAATATTTTCTAATGTTGGGAAGTTACCAGACACAAAAGGAGCTGCGTCTGCATTGCACCAAAGGTAAATATTGCTCATATAGATATAATGTGATTTGTAGGCACAAGAGGTTTTTGTCCACACTTCAGGCGTGTACAGTGCGAGCTTAAGAATCCTTTGCTGACACGGAAGCATAAGAAACAGTCAAGGATCATAGGAATATATCAGGGTAAAAACAGAAGAGTATAAGAAAGGAAAGAAAACAAGATGAAAGTCGTAAACTGAAAAGGTATTGAAACCTGTGGAAGCAAACCATTAGGCATTGAAAGATGCATTATATTTCCTTGACCACTTTATTGTGAAATTTTTTTATCTGATTCCCAAAACCCAGAAATCTGTAAACTACTGATGTGACATTGATTAAGTAAAATGTTAACCCAAGTAATTAAAGCTATAAATGTATCATTTATTTCCTTGGAAATTTCTTGGAAATGTATTATTTAAATGTATTCACAGCTTTAAAAATATCTGTACAAATTATGTTGCCCAGTATCAATTGATATTTACTTGTGAATACGTTTAAAAGTAATGTGTCCATATAAAAGGACTGCATATACCCAACATGTCAAGTAACATCAATTGGTCAGTATTCTTGCGATGCAAAACTGCTCACAAGAACGCTAACCTCGCAGCAGGTTAGATAAACAGGATGACTGTAATGGCTGGGACGATGACATGAAAAATCACATGTTTCTAAAAACCCCGCAGAGTCGCTTGCTTTAGCTGGACACATTACCTTAAGTAAAGGAAAAGCCATGCTTCCGTTAATGATTTAATAATAAAAATATTTTTTTACCTTTTAGGTTGACACTCTACTATGGAACCCCAGCTGGTCTGCTGCTCCTTTCCGAACCAATTGAAGGTTTGCACCCAGAACCTCAGTTTATTATCTATTCGTGCATTAGCTTATTTTGTTACTGCAATATTTCACAACCCATCAGAAACACTTCTCACTGGTTAGCTTTCAAATACTACAGCTTAATCATTGCTGTGTAAGAGGTGGTGGTCTTTTGGCAAGTAGTTTATTGGCAAAAGGCAGGGGACATTCCAATTATAGTGTTTGAGGATCAGCAGGCAAAATTGTCATTGCTGAAACTAACACTGATGGAAAAATGATAAGTTGATTGGTCTGCAAACATGGAACTTGATTATCAAGTTTTAGTGTGGAAATTACAAGCATCTGATTCAAATCTTTCCCCATTAATCTGACAGTAGCAAATGCCCGGTAATTCTCAAACGTAGCCATATTTTAGTCACCTCCCATCTAGTTATTCATAATCTTGCAGGTTTGTAATGACAACTGTTTTTGCCGGTGTACTATGCGTTTCTGCATGGGCATGCGTTTCTGCATGGGCCGAGACGCATATGCGTTTCAAGTGTTACAGTGTAATGGCGGACATGCAGGGCCTAGCTGTGAATGGCGTGAAGCGCATATGCGTTAGACAGGACACAAATGTGTTTCAACGGATGTGCGTTTCCTGACAACTTTTAATAAAGGTTTGTGAAATGATCCATCGCCACAAAACTTTAAAAACAAATTTAGACTTGTAAGTTAGAAAACAGCAACTAGTTAATATAAAGCTAAGAATATGTGATAATATCATGCGTTATACGAATAAAATTATGCAGATTTACACAAAGAGCTTCCTCCAAAATGATTCCCATAATTCAAAGCCAACGATATAAAATTAGTTGCTGATTTATGACTATTCTTTTGGCTAAAGAACCAGATAAACTTGTTACACAGGTCAAGGAATCAAATTCTGGGCAATTTTTGAATAAATCACAGATAGTATAGAATTCCTACCATTCTGATAAAAAAGTAAACCAGTAGTAGTTGATTGACATCCTCCACAGCTCTATTTTCAGTAATATTTTAAGGTTTGCAAATAAATAAGGCTGAAAATGCTTACCAATCACTTACAAAAATATAAAATTTACTATTAAAAACATAAAATTAGTGAAATACTTGTTACAATAAAAAAACCAAAATTTGAATAAAATATCTTACACTATCTGCTTTTGCAAGCTTTGCATTTATGGGCTTTTTTAAATATATATTTTGAATATCTAAAGGGAGTCTGGGTTTTTTCAACTCTGGTTATAGTGTTTCTCGTACTTTTTCCTACAAAAATGATGGTTTGATATTGATTCCAAGGCAAGTTGACAATTGTAGTTCATCAAGAGACGTTAGATTGTGAGGAATTTTTTTCACCGAAGCTAGCTTTATGAAGCTAGAACATAGATGTGATATTGTTTTGTAGACCTCTACCAAAAGCAAATACAGGTTCATTTGATGAAGGCTTAAAGAGCTATCAGTTTCAAATAATTTTTCAAATCTAGAAGCATCATAAATATATGCTATTATAAGCCCCTCTCTTAAATTCACTTTATCTTATTGTTCAAATTTTCTTTCTCGAAACACGCAAATCAGCAGGCAATAGCCAATCTGAGACATCAACGGTTTTAGTTTCTCAGGCTCCATGAAAACTGAAATACGAGTTAAAGCATAACTAGATGTTTTACAGAACAGTTGGACATGTTTTTAAAGCTCGATTTCTTATTCAGATTGATGCCTTATTGCTTCTTCTCATCACCGAGGGTGTCTCGATCAAAGGGTGTAGGGTTTGGGTTGTCACAGCCCCGCGATAGTAGTTTTATAGGAATTTTCAGGGAAAATCAGTTCAATGGAAAAAAGATTGTAAGTAGTTCAGAGCCCCTACGTCTTCAGAGATCAATAAAGAATCAGGCAATGATTGTTACTCCGTTGGTTAATATGATAATCAGGGACAGATTTACCAGGACGGTGTAGGGGGTGCGCCACCCCCCAATATTTTTGTGTCCTTTGGTAAATTTTGTTTTGATTCGGTTAAAAATATTTTTGGTGGTTAGTAGCGAAAAAATAATTGAACAATTTACTTTTTTTATTTCCTAAACCTCTTCACCTTGAAGCGAGAAGTTTAATTTCTAAAATGGGCCTTTCCATCATTTTCCAGTTACCTGAAAGGTGTGGCACCAAAATCCAATCAAACACCCCCCAATCATTGCCGCTGAAATCCGTCCCTGATGATATTCCCGCGAAGGTTTCAAAATTTCTTGTTGGTACTAAATCGAAAAAATGCCTCTCCCAGTGGCAGCTTTTTTATTCAATTTGGGGGCACTACTTTTCCAAGTCCCACTAATACTCGATTTGGCCCGGGGAGGAGGGCGGTTCTTGTAATCGTAGATGTTTCTGTAACGGGCTAAAGCAAATTTGCTTTTTGAAAATTTTGTAGCGCTGCCTGAAGAAAGTTGAAATTGTAAAAGCTATGAATTGAACAATTACTGTTTACATCGACTTTAAAACAATAATAATATCATCAAAACAGATTTTTTTAATACATGATTTATCACTGGCTAAAATCATGTACATAATTCAGCGGTAAGCCTCAAGTGGGGCTTAACAATATGGTAACTGATTTGAACTGAAATTCTCTGTAACTCTTAATGAATTTTAATAGTAAATTTAACAGAAAACCCTCATGAAAAGCACTTTTTAGTCATTCAAGTTTTCCTCTTTCAGAATCTTATTATTATCAAAAACCGAAAAGGGAACAGAAAATTTTACCAATTCAAGCACAATTTAAACCAGCAGAAACATCACTAATCTTTGAGTCTAAACCGTTAAGAAACATCAAGACATAAAACGTTTAGTGTTTGAAAGGGCATGGTTTTTATAATTTTTCCAAGGTCAAGTCTCGTGGGCCCCTTTTTTAATACCCCCATCGACAATATCCCCATCAAGTCTTGCAAGTGTCCTTAGAAAGAACAGGAAGAGATGCTTCGTAGACTTTAAAATGTTCAATTGCAAAAAGCTCTTTCCGTAGAAGGTATTTGCATTGCTTAACCCTCTCATAAGTCTCTATTCAAAATGTATTAAAAGCCTGCATTGATAGGCTGCTTTGCCCCTAAAAGATTTTCTAAATTTGTGCGATTATTCATATTTTTCCTTTCAAAAAACTGGCATATCTTTTGTCAGCAATAATGTAAGGCATAAACATCAATACATTAAAACTTTTTCGATAGCGCCATCCCTGGCAAAAACAAATTCTCCAAACATTTTTAATACTGCCAAAAGGTTTAGGGGTACCGATAATTGGGATGTAGCGGTTGAAGCAAAATGGTCGAACAGGGATTTCCATAAAAATTCCAATATTGCTTTTTGGTGAAAAATACTAAATTTAAATTTTTATGCGAGCTTAGGATTGCGTAAACATATATTCAAAATAGAAGGAAAACTAAAAAATTTCAAATACCAAAGGCAACTTGTGTCGTAACTTAAATCGAGTCGGGCTAATTAATCCAACCTCTGTTATTAATATTTTTTTCACGATGATCGTCGATGGTGTTTTGCATTTAGACATCCGTTCCTCTCGTTGTATGCCCCATGCAGAAACGCATGACACTGAAATTCTCTATGCGTTTCTGCATGGGCCTAAGGCAAACTACAAAAAGTAATAAAAATTAAGAAGTGCTACTTGCATGGAAAAGTTTGACCTATATCAGATTGTTGCAATCATTTCTTGCTAGTAAACATTAATTTGCGATGAAATTCGATGGTGTTTTGATTTTAGATGCCCCATGCAGAAACACATAACACTGAAATTCTCTATGCGTTTCTGCATGGGCCTAAGGCAAACTACAAAAAATGATAAAAAATTCAAAAATGCTACTTGCATGGAAAAGTTTGACCTATATCAGATTTTTGCAATCATTTCTTGCTAGAAAACATTAATTTGCGATGAAATTCGATGGTGTTTTGATTTTAGATGCCCCATGCAGAAACGCATAACACTGAAATTCTCTATGCGTTTCTGCATGGGCCTAAGGCAAACTACAAAAAATGATAAAAAATTCAAAAATGCTACTTGCATGGAAAAGTTTGACCTATATCAGGTTGTTGCAATCATTTCTTGCTAGTAAACATTAATTTGCGATGAAATTCGATGGTGTTTTGATTTTAGATGCCCCATGCAGAAACGCATAACACTGAAATTCTCTATGCGTTTCTGCATGGGCCTAAGGCAAACTACAAAAAATGATAAAAAATTCAAAAATGCTACTTGCATGGAAAAGTTTGACCTATATTAGGTTGTTGCAATCAGTTCTTGCTAGTAAACATTAATTTTCGATGAAATTCGATGGTGTTTTGATTTTAGATGCCCCATGCAGAAACGCATAACACTGAAATTCTCTATGCGTTTCTGCATGGGCCTAAGGCAAACTAAAAAATGATAAAAAATTCAAAAATGCTACTTGCATGGAAAAGTTTGACCTATATCAGATTGTTGCAATCATTTCTTGTTAGTAAACAGTCATTTGCGATGAAATTCGATGGTGTTTTGATTTTAGATACCCCATGCAGAAACGCATAACACTGAAATTCTCTATGCGTTTCTGCATGGGCTAAGCGGATGGTAGTTGTTCATCTTATCAATAGCATGATTGTAATTTCGTTTTCTGAGTTTATCATGTCAAGAGGTTTATTTATTTGAGTATTTGATATTTTGTTAATTTCTAGAACTTTGATTTCGTTTTGTATTGTTTATATTGAATGTGCGCGTTGTGTACCCCACAGCTAGGCCCTCCATGTCCGCCATTACACTTTAATATTTGAAACGCATATGTGTCTCAGCCCATGCAGAAACGCATGCCCATGCAGAAACGCATATGACACCGGCAAGGAACCAATGCGTTTTTCCTTTCATCCAGGAATGGAAACTTTGCTCAATAGTTTAATTATTTTCAAGCATTTTTAAGATCCTGTTACCTTTTTATTTCAATATTTAAGGATTGGATGTGTTTACTCTTTTGGTATTTCAAGATATGTTTATTGAGGGAACAATTTATCAATTGATTGCGTGATTGCATTTATGATTAATTGGTTGCATTCAATCTGAGGCTCCTATTGGCTTTTATGTCTATCAAAACTAGGTTACAGCCTCTGCATGTTCAAATAGGAAAGTGCTATTTGAGCTAAAATGGGCGTTCATTCAAAGGAAAGATATGTCTCAAGATTGCATGAATGAAATGAAACTTCCAATGTTCTTAAGTTTGCTTTATGCAATAGTCTTCAGGGTGTGCAGTGTCAGATAGTGACTTATAGGTGAGCAAAAGTTTAAATCCACACATCGATCAAAAATAAGCTTGAGAGGAAGCGTGACATCTTTGAGCAGTTAGAAAACATAGAGCCCAATCATAGTTGAAGAGTTCGAGTGAGAAAACAGTCCTTTTCGTGAGCAAAATTACGCGTGTGTGGCAAATCGCACATGTTAGCAAATTTGCGCGTGCGATCGCACTTGTAAGAAAATTTGAAGTACAAACCTGATAAAATTGGTAAAAGGAGCAAGAAGAAAAAAGCCACTCGAATACGTGCAAGAGCAAAACTCAAAATTAATCAATACATAACAGATGTTGTTGCCCTTAGCAGCCATCTTTTAAAAGTCTTCGTCACTCTCCAAAGTTACAAGAGCAAGTAAAAATTGTTTCCAACAGCTACTTGCTTTCAGGCCTAATTACGTTTTGACAGGAAATCAGTTATTACACTTAACATGCTAATGGCGACTTAGCTGAAAGACGAGACGCTAAGTTGAATGGAGCACTCAGTCAAAAGCCAAACATCACTTCCGAAAATTGGAAAAATCATATTGTGGTCAAAAGTGCGAATCAAGTAACAAGGGAAAGGATAAACAATCATGAGACCATGGGAAATTGATGTTAAAGGGCCTCTCCAGCAAAAAAAAATTTTTTTTTAATGACTTAAAAGTTAGCATCTGGTGCGTGTATTATGACAAAGTCATTGTTTTTGAAAAATTCCAATTAGTTTAGAAGTTGTAAGGCCTTACAGTTGCACCTTTCCGAGAAAAAAAACGACAAAAGCCGAATCAGTTTGGTGACATTCTGGCGTCACAATGTGCGGCTCTCGTTCGCCATGAATTTCGTATATCTTCCACCGAAGCGTGAAGGACTCATGGTCACGCGTTGATAACTGCATCCAGTTCCAGTTCCTGTTCCAGCTCTTCCCTCGCGTATAATTAATCGAAATTGTCACTTCAGTTGTTCTCCAGAAACGATGAACAACTAAAGGCTTCAGAATTGGTGTCTGAAATGCTCAAACTAAAAGCTGGGGAACAGAACTGAAAGTACCATCACTTGCAGTGTTCAATTTGCGAATCGCCGTCGTTCGATTCGGTTTGAGGCGAGACTATCCGAAATACACTGTGACGTCAAAATTGCGTCACAGTGTCACCAAACCACAAATTTTTGTCGGCTAATTCAATTAAATTATCGAAATGCAAGAGCTTATATCTCACAAACTGTAAAAAAATATCGAAAAACAAATAACGAATTCGTGATCAGCAGGCTCAACTTCTTTATAAAAATTGCCAATAAAATGCAAGTGCAAAATTTGGCTGGAGAGGCCCTTTAACAGAAAACTGCAAAAACACCTGTTTGCGCGTGTGGTCAAAAGCACGCGCAATTTAACTTGCGCGTGTGCAGGCGTGTGCGGGTGCGATCGCACGCGCTAAACGAAAAGGACTGAGAAAACTAAATTTTTCAGCTCGAAATTTTTCACAAGATTTTCACAATATTTTCCACGTGGAGTTCTGTTTTGTTATAGAAAAATTCGAATCAATCTTATTGAGAAGACGACATCTGGGAATTTTATTTAGGAAAGACACATATAAGATTTATGATCGTTTTACGAGTACATTCAAACGTTCAAAAGTAACTGACATGTTCCGTCTGTTTTAGAATTCATGGGTTTACAGCCTATAGAAGATTGCGGAATAAATTACAGCTTGCAGTCACATTTTGCATTGGAAGAGGTACTGCATCTTATGCCAGAAAATGTGGTATTAAGTGGCGATGACAGGATTCCAGGAGTCTCAGAGATTGGGGCTGAAACCGGTGATTTTCCATTGCTCCTTCACAATATGATATTCTATGGAGTTTTTGTTTTTGGCTATTTATTGATGCTTAAAATAAAGCATAACTACATTTAGTGAGCAAAAGTATTGCACAGGCTGAAACAGAAATGGCTGCACCGCAGTAAGAAATTTTAGCGAACCAAAATTCAAGTGGCCATAGCAAGTTTCATAAAAGTTAAAAGATGACTTTTTAACTGGAATATGTTGGAAAATTTATCAGGGTTTGATGGTGATAATAGTAAATGTAAGAATATTCTTGATTTTTGCATATTTCTAAACATTATCGACATGTCACAAAAACACAAAAATTGAGCCATGAGCCATGATGATTGAAGTACCTGCGAAACACTTGCAATAAAAAAGTTTATCTTTGCGTCAATTTGCGATATCTTATTACAATGAACTCGGGGGTACTTACTTTATGCTTGGGGGTTTTGAACTGCTCATTTTCATTACTTTTGTTGGGGAATCTGCTAAATGTTTTGGTCGGAAATTTTTGGAGCCGCAATGGGCCTAATCGCAGCGCCCGCTTCGTGATATGTTGCAGCAAAATTCAATCAATAGAATGTGTCATAAATCGTAAAGTCCATTTTTCCAACCCATTGCAATTTTGTTATGGGAACAAATAATCCTGAAAATCGCATAAAACAACATTTTGTCCTCTCATTAAACGAAAATACCAAAATCCCCGTGATAAACAGGTTCACTCAAGTGCCTTAATAGCTGTAAAAGAGTGGAGATAAATGGCTTAAAACATGCCACTTTCCACCAAATACAAGGCCATTTCTGATCAACTTGATACTTTAACACCTAAATGCGATCTTGCAAATGTTTTTCGAAACTTGTCCTGTCGCGATTAACAGAACTTGTTACTAAACTTTTTGGTAAAGTTTTAGCAAGTCTCACAAAAGTTTCACAGACTGTCCAATAAAAGTTAAAATTATTTTTTTTTTAAAGGTAACTTTTTTTCAATTTTTAAATTAAAAGTTTTGTCAACGGTTTGAAGTTTGGTTTGATTAGATTTTAACCATAAAAAGACGCCTAATGGCTTCACAAAAGTGGTTGAATTTCGATCGCCATTACTGATTTGTTGACAACGCGGTCGCCATTACTGAATTGTCAATCCTCTGCAATACTTTTGCTCACTTAGTGTATGCACCTTGGCTCTATATCTCTCCCAGTTTAGGAAATGTAGCTAGAACGCTACCAACACAAAAGAGCTTTATCAAAATTTCATTGATATTCATCGAACCACTTTCAGTTTTAAATCTTGGGCTTTTAGAGTCATTTTAAATGGCATTAGATGGCTGATGTCCACAGGAAAACTAAATAAGATAGGATTCAATCGCTTCGCATGACGTGGCTGATTTGCCAAAATTCGAAAATCATCATATCATCATATTTGGATCTACGTCTGTTTTACATGCTGGCAGGTGTTGGGCGGGCTCTTTAAAAATCGATTTCAAGGCCAGTCTAATCTTTGCTAAGTCTCTGTTGACACCATTTTGCTTCATATCTGATTGATTACTCCTTCCCATATTGACTTGAACCTAGAATTAAATGGTATTGCATGAATCATTAGCGTCAGTGCAATGCTTCTACTCTGCCTTATCAGCGTGTCTATTGATATTCAAATTCAATCTTGCCATTCGATCACTTAGAAGAAACGCCCCCCACTATTTTAAAATGTTTGGATCGTAACTTAAAAAGCAAGTCTTAGAATATATTTATCCGAATGGAAATCCGAATGTATTAGAAGAAGTTTTGTATCTGTTAAGGGGTTTTAGAGATTTTGTATGAAAGGATTACGCTAAGTTCTACTATTTCTAACCGAATCTCTAAAGTCTCTCCTAAAGTTTTTCCATTTTAAAACACACAACGGTTTCATGTAACACAAACCTCTTTCTGCCCTTCAGAGTCAGGAATCATTGATATTTTAAGAGTTCCCAAGCTTTTGAAGCCTTGGCCGTGTTATATTGGAAAGGTAAAGTAACCATTGATTATCTTAAATGATGTAGTTTAATTCTAGACTCCGATTAAGAGTTTTCCCACTAACTTTATTTCTTGCAAGGCAAGGCTGTGTCTTTATTCTTCGATTCTTCCAAGATTCATCGTTTATGAAAATCAAGCAAAATTTTCTTGCTTGTTAAGACAAGGAACTAAAACTAACGTGTTTTGTAGAAAAGAAACTTTGCTTGTATGACATCAAATGGTGAAAATGGTCAAAATTATATTGGAAGCTAGAAGGGTCTAATGGAAAATCGATAATTTTTGTTTGATAGTTTCCACTAGTGTGGAAGTGTTTCTTTTGTGAATGCTGAAATGTTCTCTAATTCAGTGTGAAGCTTCGATTAGCCTTGTTGGACAAAGATTTTTAAACATGTTGTGATGGATTTATTTTTTATTTTTAATAGATTTGATTTGAGTCGAAAGTCTTGTGTGAAGCCATCTTCCAATTAAATCTTCATTTGTTTCGTCCTAAATTGAACTTATTTTGATCCTCCAACTTGTAGAGACTTTTCTTTATTAATTGATGAACCATACTAATTATTTTTTCTGTACCAGTAGAGACATTTCAAATATATATATATATATTCGTTTCAGCTTTCTCTGTTTCTATTCCCTTCTGTCGAAAAATTCGAAGAGAATCTTTGTAGAGCTGTCAACGAGGACAGACTGGCCAAAGTAAGTTTTCAAGAATGGGTCCCTTTTCTGCGAAGCAGTATCAATATTTGCTGGCTGATTCAAGCAGAACAATATTCTCAGGCTTGCATTAATATATAAAACGAATGGCGTGACACTTGATTAAGAGATTTCTGTTGATCTCATTTTTGACCTCTCTTTATATTATAGTTCTTTTTCATATAATAGGAAAGTCAATTTGTTTTAATAGATGCGATTTAGAGCTTAAATTTGATTCATCACTACAATTCTTACCTGGCATTAAACTAGTAAAATTATTTTTTTTGCCAATAACCATGAATGTTTTTGAAAATGGATTAGAATCGATCACGCTTATCTTATGGAGTTTCCAGATGCTGTTGTCACTAGAGAATTATCTAAGCCCAACAATTTTAACCGACCATGTACGCTTGTTTGCAGTATGCAATTGATCCAGATTCATCCGAAGTGACTGTAGCCGAAAGGAGGCTTTTGGTAAGCCTTCGTTTTTAATCTTCTATTTTCAATCAGCTATATTTTCCATCTATAGAAACCGTTTTCTTGGTAAGCAAATGTAATTAAATCGCCGCCATGTTGGCATGACAATATGATGAATTAATTTCTTGTTGTCACTGCTTCGCTCAGTTTTTTTAAAACGACCGGTTTTTAGATGAAGATAGATGCCCATTTAATTCATTCTAGTATCAAGGGTTGCTAATTTAATTCATTCTTATATTGAGGGTTGCTAATTTATTCAACCATCTTGTGCTTTTCAATTGCTTAAGAGATTTTATTATTTTAACAATGGATTTGCTAAGGTTCCAATTTTGGTTCTTATGTTCAAAATGAATTGTACTATCGCATTTCTTCTGTAGGTTGGCGTTCACAATGGATGGACATTTATCAAAGAGCATCATATTGGTTATTTACAAAAGTCAAATAACAGCAGTTCTGGTAGCCTTCGTAGTGAAGGACTAGCAAGTAGGTTCTACTATTCAATAGCTGTTTCCTCTCCCAAACTTCACACTCACCAGTTACATTTGTAAACGCTTATCTACACGGCACTGAGCATTCTACACCAAAACGTTTGATCCTCCATTTCCATTCACATTTGTGAACGCTTATCTACATGGCACTGAGCTTTCTATAACAGACAGATTGATACTCAATTTCCGTTTAAATCTTGGTAATTACCCGACGTTTTACACTCTGATGAAGATCAGACGAAGAGTACTTGAACAAAATACGTTATGTTTTCTTATTAAGTGCTTTCCTTATGTTTTCTTGGTCGAAGTATTGTTAGTGCTGAGATCTTTGAACAGTTCTGTGAACAATAATGCCTTTCGCCCTTTTCACTCTTAATGTTACTTGATGTTACCTATAGGAGAAACAAAGTCTCTAACGCTGAGAAGTAGAATTGAGCTAGATGAAGTTGCCAACCACCCATTGTTCGCTGTTGTCTTTCAAATACAATATATCCTTAATGTCCCTGTCATGAAACTTGAACTTCCAACAGACAAAAAGGCTCGATCGAGGGTAAGGATATTTCTATTTTTGTTATAACACTTACTGTTTTGCTTGAGTTCTGAATATCCAAAAGTGTTTTATTATCAATGTTATCAAGAATGGATCCCAGCGTTGAGCTAAAATGTGCTTAAATTCACCGGTGCGCTTGTTGAAATAATGTGACAGCGAGAGCAGAATTGAACAGCTGGATTAAAGAAACGCTGAAATTTCCGTCATTGAAGAATATGTTAAAGAGTATTTGTAATTAAAAATGGCGATTTGATACAAAGAATAGTCTATGTACATGATCTGTGTAGAATAATGGATAAAAATATAATGCTCTGACCTCGAATAAGTGAAATAATTTAAATCTTTAGTGTTGATTTTGGTTGAATGTGTAGAAAATCAGCAAGCAATGGTTTTGTTGTCCTTTCTATTTCTTTCTGTTATTTCTTATTAGATTTCGACGAAAAAAAGGTGAAATTGAATGAATACTGAATTAAGCCTAATTTCCTTTCGTTTCATTGAAAGGTTCGTTTCGACAGAAATTGAAACTTTCACCAACCTCCATTTGTAACCCTATAATTACCAGAGACATGAAATGATTCGCGTGAAAATTTTCATACATGAAATGATTCGCGTGGAAGTTTTGTGCAAGCAACTCTCATTTTCGTACGCAGCCTTTTAAGCATTCTAGAATATATAGTTTATTTAATTTGGGTGTTTTGTTGATCCAAGCTACGACACAAACTGACACTTTGTGATTTGCCTCATAATGTTTCTCAGGATGATTGCGTGGCGATGCGATGCGCTCGATATCTAAGTATTCTGTTTTATGTCATTCACAGCTTGGTTCATCATTCGGTAGCATGCCGCTTTCACAGAAAACCGAGGTGATAGCGAGGTGGTTGGTTTGGAATCCGTTCGAAAGTGAACTTCCCGCTGTTGCTGACGTCACAGTTGACCTTGCTGGAGGACCAGGAGCCAATCCGTCTCACTCTTTTTGCTTCACTCGCAAAGTCAGTAACATTGAAGAGGTAAAAACTTCATTTCGTTCATGTGTTATTTTTTTTCTTGTGTGGAAATCTTGATAGATCATCAAAATATATTGTTACCTTGAAGAAATTTGATGTGGCCATGTGCCGTACTTGTTCTATCATTCAGAATTTAACATTTTTTTTTCTGAAAAATATTGCTTAAGCAAAATATTTTCCATAACCTCACGAAAATTTGATAAAAAGTAATAATACTCTTTAGATAATCGGCACATGCACTTTACTGATATTGGTTCTCGTGTATCTTGAGAAATTTTAGTCGAGCCTTATTTTGAAATATTGTTGCAGAGAAGCTGTTTTTAATTCTTTTATTGCATTCTTCATATGTTACGGTGTTGGATAATGCCAGGCTTTCCACGCTGTAAAAGTTTGTCTATAGCTGTTTGGTACCTTCTCATAAACCATTTTTGAAACCTTAGAGGTTCTAGATAGAAGATCTGTAAACAGAATCACAAACATCTCACTGCTCATCATTTTTCTAAAGTGAGTTCGAAAATGGTCTTATGTTCATTCAGTTTGCTTTAGTCACAAGTTGGAATATTGCTCAAAAACTGAATCGAGCATTTCTCTCACATCTACCTCATTCAAATTCTTGAAAAGGTAAACACATATAGTTGTTTAAAAAACTGAAAAGCTATTTGATTGCAATTTGTTGAGCTATAAAACTGAGATCGTTAATTTTTGGGTTGTCCAAGATTCTACCTGATTTAAGTTGCGAGTGAAGCTGCATGTCCTTCCAGAAGCCCTATGTTCAATCTCAATTCGTTTTGTCTAGAAAATTCCCTTGCATATATTTATAAAGGTTCTAATTTGGTTTTCTCCTACTCAAATGAACTTTATTTTAACAGTCTATTGACTTTGCAAGATTTGTTGATTCTTGTTTGTACAGTTATAGAACGCTTGAAGAATGAAAACCGTGCATTCGGGTTTTATCAAAGACGAGCTGGATTAAGATTTTGTGGAACAAGTTGGTTTTATATTGCATAAATAAAAAATGACCTTCACTTTTGGTTTGTTTTATGTGTTTTTGCTGGAAACCATGATAGAATCTCGATCGCTCCTTCCCTAGGCCGTGAAGCAACGGTTTCTTCTCTTTTACAAACTCAAACTAAAATTTGGCAAAATTAAGCAATCGTTGTATCGGAGTACGAGAGTGAAGTAACTTTAAGAGTGGATTCAGATGCAGAAGACAGCTGTGTTGTACAAAATATTATCTTGGCTTTGGTTGAGTTGGTTTCACACTCAGTTTTTCATCTAGTTATTCTTCTTCTTGCAGACTAAAAAAAGGACATCACTTGGAAAGATTCAATTCACGTTTACCCAGGTAAAGAAACGCAGAGAGTCTGTTCGAAGGCGCTCGTTGCTAGCCGGGGGTACAACATCTGGCAACAATTCAGAAATGTCCAACCTGATGGACACTGGCCAGGCACAGGCGATCACAAGCACCCCATTGGTCCACAACAAATCCCCAGTGCCAGGAAATCTAAGGTACATTTACAATCAACATTCTTAGTATGTAGGATTTTTGTATGGTAAAATTGACTTGATGATGTATCATGAATTACGGTGAGTCAAATTTGAATCGAAAACGTATCTGGAAAACTGGTCTGGTCACCTTTAGAATAAGTGTTGGTTAAGTAGCTACTGAAAAGCATGACTTGTGATATTTGACTGGCCTTCGTTCACATGGATCCTTGCATACAGTTAATTTAAAGCCAGCACATATATGCAATATTCAAATGCCATTGAATCCTCTTTTTTGTAACTGCATTGCTATAAGTTCATGAACAACTTCCTTAGTTCTCACTTGTAATATTATATCTATGTTTTGTTTGCAAGCAGACGCAGTAGAATTTTTTTTCCATTTATTTAAATGCTGAATGACAATGGCTGATGTTTTATGAACCGGTAATGAAGTCACCATTTTTTATGAATGTTAAGCTCAACTCTCTGAGTAAAGGCTTTACATTCCTTGAATCCTTGAATATAAATATACAGGCTGGTATTTGAACAACAAAGAGTGGAAAGTATTGCTAAATTTGGAAAGCAATTTCTCAAGAAGATTCTACTTACATTGAGCATAGTTTGGGGTTTGTTTGGATTAATCTCATTTGGCACAATCCTATATTCCTTCCCTTTTTCTGCTCGATAGATCTGGTGTTCAAGGCTCAATTCCCTTTCCGGGTAACCAAGTAAGTGTGTTAAACAGCTGTTTTTGCAGTATTAAATTGTTGTCATTAGCAAGAGTGAGCAACTCCATTATATCATTCATTTTTCTCATCATCTCAATTATATCTTTCTCTGTGTTGAAAATAATCCGTTTACCAATTGATCGTTTTATCGAACACACCACTGGTTCGAAAATCCAAACTTGAGTATTCAATCCATGTTTGGATCACCTTTAGCGTGGAATCGGAGTAGCAACTTTGAATCATCCTGTTCTATACACTAAAAGCGTGTACAGCTACGACATCAAACAATTTCTGAAAGACTGTTTACCAGTAATTGCCATTAATCCATATTTAGAGATAAAGGGTTTTTGGTGAACTTTTGTGAAAGGGTTTTGCAGTATTGGTTCTGGTGTTCTAGAATGCCTGTAAAGTTGCCCAACACTTCATTGTCAAAATCTCCCTTCATTGTGAGACTTTGTGCATCTGCTTCTCATTTGAATAAAGGGTGAAACTCGAAGTGGTGACTCAGAATCGAACTGTTCCCCTCGCCAAAGCCCGATTGCTAATCTAGAAATAATAAATCAGATAATGCTATTCATTTTTATGTAATTTCGTTATCAACCTTTTCTTCTTTCCTATTCTCCCTCTTCTTCCATATTTATGTATAATTTTTACATATTTATCACCATAGCCCGCTACACAATTTTCAAATGCTCCTGAGAGACAAGATCTTGAGGCATTAGATTTGTCGATGCTCCCTCCTACACAGCAGTACACTCCTATACTTGCCACTTCAACGAACCAACCAACCAGGTAAATACAATATTGCAATATTGCTTATAATTGTATTTCATTTAGCGTATAATTGTACTTTTTATTGTGTTATAATCACATCTGCTGAAAGATGGTTCATGTATCAGAACTCGTTCTATTAACTTTGCAAATAACCTGTTTTCGATCGGTAGTTTTTCCTTGATATCCCAGCAATAATTTTATTTTCGACACTTTTTTCGTAACTAAACTATTTCGGCTCGATGTTCTGATGTGCCAGACATAAAGCGTCAGTTTGTCTCAAAATGTTTGCCTTTTTAAAGCCAGATTGTTAAATTCTGCACCTCCAAAAAATAGTTTAAAACATTTAAAGAATATTTCTTTTTCTCGTTCTTTTGTAATGTTGTGATTGAAAGCTGTTTTATTCACGCGTGTTACTTTTCCTTAAAGCTTACCCACTTCACTGTCAAGAGCAGCCTATGCTAAGCTTCACGGTGCTGGTTTCCCCGTGATCACTGACAGCAAAGGGAATCCTCCTTTTGTCGTTGATCCTGGTGAACTTTTACGCTACAATGTTGAGCAAGAGGAAGCAGATTCGTTGCAGTCAAATGAAATTATCCTCCAGTTTCTTGCTATTTCAATGTAAGTATTCACAGCCTAAATTTCTCAAAAGTTTAGGTATTTGCCATTTTCCAGTTCCAATTCATCTCACTCCATTTCACACCATCCAACAATATCTCACCCTATTGCATCATGTACCACCCCATTTCACCAACCCCTACCCCATCTCAACCGACTCCACCTAGCCTTATCATAGCCGACAAATTCTTACGCTGCCCCACCTTATCTTACCCTACACCATCACATCTTACCTTACCTTGCATTATCTCTTCATACTCCACCTAATCTTTCTCTTCCCCACCTTATCTCACTCTATCCTACATCATCTCATTATGCTTCACCTGATCTCAATCTTACCCTACTCACTTATCTTAACCTACCCAACCAAACCCTACCCTAACCTTAATCTTACCATACCCCGCCACGTAACTCTACCCTACATTATCTCATCATACTCCACCCTAAATCTTCACCCCATCTCACTCTATCCCAACTCATCTTATCTTGCCCCAACCCATCTCACCATACTTAATCTCCATTTAACTTTATCATTGCACCCCAGACCTACGTATTGCTTAATAAATGTCGCTGCATTACATGTCTTTTGAGAAAATACATCAACGTAACGATACAATTAGTTGGCTAAATCTAATCTCCATTGCATGTCTTATGAAATGAAACGATTATAAGGGTTATTTCTGGTTACTCGCGAAGAAATCTCTTGTCCATGTGCTAACTGAGTTTTCCTAACTAAAAACAATCAATTATTTTAATTCCCCCCCTTTTTTACACTGGTTTTATGGTACCATTTATCCTGTCCCCCGTATCCCTCGTCTAGTCTTGGTTTTCTTCTTAATCCTAGATTTACATAAAATTTAAGCAAGAATATTTTTCTTTTAAAGGTGCAAGCATCCCGTCGTATTTCTAACTTTCCAGTTTTACCGCTTTCCGCAAGTTTCAACTGAAAGGTAAACACCTCTTTGCAATTTGTCTTTCGACTTCAACCAACCTCATCAAAGTTTAGTACACTCTCAACGACCCATAGTTCATTCTGTTAGAGCTTGACAAAAGACGTTTCAACTTTACAGAAATTTACAATTTCTGTAATTTTTCGTAATATTTTACTTTCTTTCAAGTTCATTTCAAACAGAGCCCTTGAAAATATTATTTTAGCCCTGACAATGCTCGTTGGTATTTCTATCTTTACTATTATTATAGTATGTTTTCATCATCATATGTATTTTTCCTTGGGATCGTTGGATTTATCATCATCAAGAAATAACACGTCACTGTTTATTTATGTAGTGATTATAGATCCAGGCATTATTTTCATATAAAAGGAACAACAACAATAGACATAATTATTGTCCAACAAGTTTGACTTAGCAAGATGGCATAAAAACTCTGATCATATAAATATTTTTTCCGGTAAATACTTAAATATGAAGTAATTGTGATATGTTGAAAGTTGTGGTAGTAATGGAGACAGTGAATCCAATTGCTATCTGTGGTAAACTGCTAGATAGCATTAAATTGAATTAAAGTCGTTATCAATTTAAAGTATTGAGTTTTATTTTCTTTTTAGGTAGATAATTTTACCGATGTTGCTATACCGAAAGCTGTATAAACATAAAACTGTATTGATTTGTAAGGTTGACAGGTTGTCATTTCCAATCTGGTGTGAATAACGCTATTTTTGCCTCCAGGTTGTGTTTAAGAGACCTCATCAAGCAGACTTCACAGAATTTGCCCTGTGTTTTGATCAAGTGTGATAAAGAAGGAAAGCCTGTGAACACGTCTCCGGGATTGCAGGTTTGGAAACCCTATGCTTAGCGTCGTAGCTTATGACAGTGGTGTCAAGTGGGCATATGTTCCTGTTTTTTATTGCGTGTGGCTATTAGCTTTTGTTATAAACTATTTTTTTGGCAATATTTTCCAAATGTTGTTTTGTAAGTCGTAGATCAAAGGGAAATCGAAAACCTACTCTCAGGGAAACAACATTCTGATTTTGTAGCATTAGATTTTTTCCGTCCCAATATTTTGTAAAATTCCCGAAGATATTCTCATTTGTAGCATAGTCCTTATTGAAATAGAAAAAAACAAGACTTTGGCAGTAATAGAATCTGCCCGGTAACAAAATATTAGTCGTTAACTGCCTCTGATTTCCATAATACTGGCAAATCCACTTTACCTAAGTGTATACCGTAAATCCTCGAATTGCCCCCCCCCTCGAAAAAGTCCCCCCCCCTGGAATAAGCCCCCACCTTAGAACTATGAACTGTCATTAAGCCCCCCCCCCTTGAAAAGAGCTTTCTGCTACCGTAAATTCTCGAATTGGACCCCTCAATTTGATGATTTTTGCCATCTAAGGTTGCCTAATGGAGTTTTATTGAATTTCCACAACAAATTCATACTTTTGGTAGGAATTAATTAAATGCTCATTAATTTACTAACTCGGGAATACCAATTCAACATAAAGGGCATAAAGCTTCCTCAGAAAAACTGCCATAGACATCAGAAAGGTCAGTCATGAGGCTACGTTCCCACATCATCGATAGCGAGTTGGGCCGTTGGTGCATCGGCGCCAATTGCTCAACCTACCATATAGGGGTTACTAAGGAAAGTTACACAATAACCCCCAAATATGGTTGATAATTGGGAGGGAATGGACAGGAAAAGCTTCTTTTCCCCACTAATAGCCGATGCACCAGTCCTACCTAATAGCATCAGAAAACTCTAAGAAGCATAAAAGATGCCTAAAGGTATGAGAGGTTTAACGATGCCATGAAAGAAACTCAACACGCAAAGTTATACTGAAAAGGCATTTAGCATAAAGAAACAAAATGAGGAAGGGAGGGCTGGGAACATACAATAAATAGCCTAGTTGTATTGTCGCTTCACCAAGCAAGATGAGACCCACGCTATGCCAAAGCCTTAAATACCTCTAGATTAACCAAGGGAATGAAAACGCCCCAAAACACACATCTTACCCTAGTTATACAAATCAAATTCACAAGAGGCCGAAAGACTCCCTGCATTGCCCATAAACTAGTAGAGCAGATACAAGCAAATGCGAGGAAGCGTGGCACAAAAAAACATAACGAAATAGTAATAACAACAATCTCATGCAATTTAGTTAACGCTCAAAAAGCCCTTCGTGAAATTAACTCTGATTAAATTTCATTTAATCATCATTAAAGAAATTTCTACTAAAATAAACGAGGTCTTTTAATAATGTCTTCTTAATGTCTACAATAATTTTATAAGCCCCCTCCCCCTCGTATAAGCCCCACCCCTCAAATAAGCCCCCATCCAAAATGTCAAAAATGAATTAGCTAATTCTAGAATTTACGGTATTCATCAACTACCTTTCACTGAATGTATTAGAACTTTGCATAAAGATCTTTAGTGAAACGATTTCACGTGTATTTGAAATGCAGTTAAGAGTCGTGTTTAACTATTATGTTTACATGGTTTAATGTTTTGCCAATAATATTTGGAATAGAGCCAACTCTTTGTAACCTTGGCTTTTCTGTTTTAGGTCAAGTATACTGTTGATCCTGCTTACATGCAGCCTGGGGAGAAAAGGTCCTTTATTCGGTATTTACATGAACAAAGGATGTACATAGATTTATGGGATGGAGAATCGCTCATGCTCATTGGCTCGACATCAGCGGAGCTCAAAGTAAGACCTTTTCTTCATACAGCTCATTTGGAGCTTGAAATACTTTTTTTAGCATTTAGCATTTATTATAGAAAACATATGATTTAAATTTTTCTGCTGTATCATACTAAGTCATTGGTTGATTTCTTTCTCTTACCTGAATTCTTCAGTATTTAATGCGGCAAGGCAAATCATCTGTGCAAGCATCTCTTGAGTTGGATGTAACTTCAGTGGATTACGTCGAGGATGAGCTTGCAATGGCTGGTGACATGGTATGTTGATCACTGTTTTCTCAGTGTACACCATCGGTTTTAAGCACCCTAAGCGCCATTTTCAGTATCTATATTCCCTTATCTGAGTTTGTTCCAAATGAGATCCGAACCAGGTATAATTGTTAGGCTTTGCAAAAGTGTAATTTTCCTCGTCAACCAGGAAGGCTCTATTCTATCTTTCAATTAATTTCCTACAGTCATAATGCTAGTAAAATCTTAGAGCTCCAAGAACTGGCATCTCCGCCTTGTTAGAATGAAGACAAATATTCCTCTTTTTAGCCCTTAGTTTTTAGCCTTTTAGATGTTTGAAATCTAAATCAGCTGCCTCGCAAATATTCATTTCGAGAGAATTACCATTTGCAAGAAAATTGCAATGGAAATCAGAATTCCACCCATCAAGAATTCCCAGGAATTGCTTTCAGAACCATAGTTTGTGTTTCTATCAGTGAAAGCCAAAAATCTCCTATTGCAGGCTCAAAATGGACGCAAAATTCCAACAGGGGCAAATATTTCTCTAGAAGGAAAACTGTACATGAGATTAGCAAATGTCGGCTATTCATCTGATTTCAACCCAACGAAAGCAGGTACATTTTTTTGCATTTGTTCGTTTTTTTATGAATTGCCGATCTTCAAATCATAGATATTGATTTATAAAATGACTGTTTTTTTTTATTTTTTCTATGATAAAGTTTTTCAAACATTATCATATTTTCAGTTTCTTTTTCGGAACTTTGTTCTTATTGAGTTGAGTTTGTTTGAAGCAAATTTTCTTAGTTAATAAGCTCAGCCTTCTTAACAGAAAAAAGTTATTTTCTTGGAAAGTGATTAAACCGATTCCACATTTCAATTACCAACAGTTCTGTTAATTTTCTTGTCGTGTGCATCGTTAACTATCGATGAAATTTACGCTAGGTACCGTGATAATTTGTTCAAGCCCCACTTTCAATTTAGTGCCCCGCTTGAATAAGCTCCTCTTTCAGGATCAAGATGTGAACGAGCGGTCTTCTAGATTATGCCTCCCTCTTTAGGATCAAGTTTAGAATGCAGCCAGTTTTTGAAAAAGGAGCCAACTTCTTAATATCATTTTTTGCATTAGTTAATATACACACCAGTTTCATGTGATGTCATTGAAAAGCTGTTTATCCAATAAATATATTAAGAATACCTTAACGTTGCTGTAAGACCTTCAGCAACAAGAGAAATCAGCATAAAATTCCTTTGTTTTTTTCAGAAATTTGATAAAAACTTTTTTTTGGACAATAATTTTATTTAATGAAGCATACTTGCATTTTGTTGTATTTTAATGCATTGACCCATTTGGGTATTTCTAACGAAAGATTATTTTAGAGACCTGTAAGTTATTGAATCATATGGACAACTTCAGTAAAAGGTGGAAACTTAACGTGATTTCAAGTTTTAAGATGAATTAGATATTCAAAAATATTTAAAAAGACCTTTTTAAGGAAAACTAAATCTCATCCTTGTTTTACTATGATCATCAAATCGCATCTTTTTCTGACTATGATCAAAACCTCAACAATAAGAAAACAACACAAAATGGTTATCAATTTGTTTATATCTTGACAAAGCACCTGCCTCATGCATAAAACAGCTATCCGCTCTTTATTCATTATCTTAACGCGGAGTATTGAACGGCTTAGCCGCGTCTGTCAGTACACAACCACCTGTATAAGTATGGTTAGGTTTTCAAGATCAATACAATCGATTTTGGTCAGCTTAATCGGTACATTGGTTTGAGACGAATCTCATGCCCGTACAACCAGGCCCTTTGATCAGATTTACGCAAAAGCTTATTGTAGGCAGCGACTATTACCATAGCCAAAATCTAATCACGTTTTAATTGTTTGATTGTTCACGTCTTAGTTGTTTTTTCTACTCATTGATTTTAGGAACCCTGCCTCAAATGAGATCAACAGTTATCATCCCTGATACGATGTCAGGATCAGTAAATTTAAGTGGGTCATCACCAGGTAGGCTCAGAACTGTTGGTACGCAGACCTCAATGCTAATGCACTCAGGCGTCAAATACTCATTTGTTTATCTGCTGTACTCAATCTCTTTCCGATGATACGGGTTAATCAAGCCAATCGTTGTAGGCAAATTAGCCAAAGGTGCCCCATACTGACTTTATAGAGTTAAGCCCCGGCAAAATGACTGGACAATTTTACTGAACATGCACTGGACAAATGTCCAGCGTAAATGTTGCGTCGTTTTGCCACCTTGTCCAGTCTTGTTCAGCGATGTTGAGTGTTGTTCAGTCGATTTTGAAGGCAGCCAAAAATGTTCAGTGGACAAGATTTTTTTTTTTTTGTTCACTGATGTTGTAGAGAAAATGTTCAGTCGTTTTGCCACTCTACTGAACATTGTCCAGTTCGCGCACACACAATTGTTTAATGGATTGGGTTTGGCGTCAATTTATTTCCCATATTCAAATCTTCAACAGTAAACACCGCGAACTTTCCTACAAAACACCGCGAACAAAATGGAAACAACATCAATATTCAATTGGACGAATAGCAGAAAAAGGCAGTTCATTAGTAACGATGAGTCTTCTGAAGAGATTAGCTTTAGTTCCGATAAGGAAAGCGATGGCAGAGAGCGCGAGTACGGTGATTGTGATGAACCTAGCAAGTCCAAGATACTTTTTGATAAAACACTCTAATTCATACGATGATACGGTTAGGACTATGAAAAGTGTATTTTCAAAGGTAACGAGATGCCCTGTTGCCAGTTTTCCCACCCGCATTCTTCAACAGGGAAAAAGTTCACTGGAAAATGTTCAGTCGCTTTGCCACCACCAATATTTTCTTGATGTCCATACTCTGAACAAGTTCTTTCTTTATCCGTATTACAGGAAATCAACACATACTAAAGAGGCCATCTTTCAATAAAAAACTGACCAATCAGTGAGCGTGATTAAACTTGCACGCTTATTGATTGGCTAATATTGATGGACACATGGTTTGAGCCACTTTTATATCTGCAAATTGCCTTTAACTGATCACCTTCGATAAATGGTCGCCTTTTTTGGAATATTTCATTGTGAACACTTTGGAAGTGTAGTAACATTTTATTTTAGTAATAATGAGCTTAACATTTAATTAGACTAGCTTCTATGGAAATGCTAGCCCCGAAAATAGTTTCCTGCAATTTCAGCAATATCTTTCCCGTTGGTTGTTTGAAACTTTTCCTAATTTTTACCATATTTTCAAAAAATGAGCTGATTCCAGTGTTTTATTTCATTTTGTATGTTTTATTTATAAATTTTCTTAATTTTGTCTGAATATTATTTTTCGATAATTTTGCTTTTACCATCGTGTTTCTTTATGCAGTTTACTTCTAAGAAATAGCACTTTAATGCGAACCTTACTGCACTCATAAATCGTAATTATCTTAAAAAACGTTCTTGAAAAAAGTATACTTTTTAGCTTAGTTTATCACTAATGATTTAAGCTATATATAAGTTACCAACTCCTTTTTTGAAAATTTTCCCAATCTATAGCAACGGTAAAACTTTCAATTTATCGTTTCACTGTATTTTTCTTGTCGGTTCTTTTAAATGAAATGCATCTTTTTCTATTTTGATTTGAAGTTTTTATTTTATCTTATTCGAATCTTAATTCTTATTAGAAGGCGAGGCGACCTGTTTATGTGACCTTCATATTTGTATCATTTTAGCCCTGGGAAGAAGCAAAACGGCAAGGGCAAAGCTAATGACTGAGTGCGATTCAGAACTAGCGAATTTGCTTTTCACGAGGCGAAATCAGACAGCCCCGATTGAGCGAAAAACAACAAGGGAAGCCGAGGCAGTGAGGAAACGGTGGGTCAACACAGTCCCCTATCAGTCAATTACTGTTATTCCATGTCGATTGAATTTCTTTGTTTCTAGATGAATTGAAATAGGACTCTACGATAAATGCACATGGGATATAACAGGTGTAGGCAATTAAAGAAAAAATTGTACATTAACAACTCCTATTGCTGTTAGATTCAACTGCGACAAAGAGCATCCTAAAATACACAGACAAGCGTGTCTATTTCAATTATTGTTTAGGTTATGTTTTTGTTCAATCTAATAGGCCCTGGAATCGCAAAATTTGAAAATACCGTTATAAAGTTATAAAGCAGTGAAAAATGGCACTTAAATTTGTCACCTTAAGACTTTTAAGTCTAAATCATCATGTACGCATCTCTTGACAAACCTCTTAGAAAATCTTCTTCATACTTATACTTGTCTTCTTCCTGCCGCTTTTTCTCTATAATATTCCAACTTTCTGTGTAATATCTGTCGCTTTTTTGTTAATATTCCTTATTTTTGGAAGAGATATTAAGTATTTATGTAGTTTCAAATATCATTAATGAATATAATTTTATTCATACTATCGTATTTTCAGATGTAAGTGATTTTGCTTGAATATCATGTAGTTGTTGTGAATAAATATCATTGTAAGGTCGCATTAAAAAGCATCTTTCATGGTCTTCAATGGCTATACGTGATTTCGTAATTGTCACCTAAATGGTGATGTCATATCTGCGTTATTCTTAAAGGAAACTGGATAGGATGCAAGCTGTCAGGCAAATTCAGCAAAATAATGTCGTGAATGCCTTTGTGGTAAGTCACTGTTTTAAATTTCTAGCACATGAATCATTAGTTCTGGTCAAAACTTGGTGAGCAATGCCTTTCTTGATTTTTGTAAAGTACATGGCTACATTTCAAAGAGACGCTGTGTTTTGAGAATTTTTGGTAAATTGAATTGACACCTTTCTGTTTGCCGAAATCTCACTGATTGGTGTTTTTTAGATTGCAGTCTCAACCTTGCCCCTCTGCCCCTCAACTTAATAGGGGTATTTTTCTCTTCATTATGTACTTCGTTTTGGGTTGTTTAGTGCTTCCATTTGCTGCCACATTCTTTCGTATCATTCCATCAATACTCAAGAAATTCATTTTCGTGGAATTTCTTGTTTTGTTGCCAAATAACTGGTATTTGTTTGTAAAATCCCAATGTTTTCCAACCTTTTTATGAAGCTTCAAAAAGAGGAAAAAGTGCAACGGCACCGGGACTTACAGACAATTAAAGTGTACAGGTAGAATACGGTTTTTGTTTAAGCTATCATTTACTTTGTTATCAATATGTTTTCAATATGTTTTTATTTATCTTGACTGCAGCAGGAGACTACCAAAGAGTGAACCAGTAATATCCTTAGAAGCATGAATTTTCGCTGTTTGTTCCAATTTCTACCAATCGTACAATTATTCCATCTATTCTTTATTCATGATATGTGCATCAATGCAAGGTCGAAGAGTAAACAAATTCGATAATCTCTGAACGAACTTTTTAATATACTTTTGTTTCATGCCTTACTTTTAAAAACTATATCATAAAGCGATGCGACCCTATAAAGCTTGCTATATCATTTCTAAAGAACTCGATGCGCGAATATTAGGTATATTTGGTTCTCTTGAAGTAGCAGCTGCCTGCTTTCTTGCAAAGCAGGCTTTCTCCTAAAGGGTATTTTCTTTGAACGGGTTCTCTGTTTTGACTAAATGATTCCTCTAGAATTGGTAGCACTAAGATCCAAAGCATAGAATTAAGAATGAATGATACCTCTGCTGTTGAATAAATGTTACATTGTATCATCTGCTTGGTAACTAAAAGCATAATGATCGATTGTTTTTCATCACGCAACCAAATTGCAGGTCAAAAGAGCAATTTATTTTTCATTCTCCTTGTTTTAACCTCTTTTGTTACTTAAAATTCAGAGAAAGATGTAAACACGAGAGCATCATAAACTCCCTTGAAGGAGGAATAACAACTCAGCGCACCGTGCATGCATCATTAGGAAAAGCTGAATTTTTCGAATTTGCTCTCAAGAATCCATATTCAGTGGATCAGAATTTGCAAATCTTTTGGGAAGACAGGGACGTTTCGTAAGTACAAAGTCTTTTGTTAGAACACCACGACCAATGCAAGGGATGTCTCTTTATAACCATGCAGTATTGTAAACCACGGGCTTTGTTTGGTTTATTTATGACATGGATCGCGATTATGTTTTTCAACCTATCACTGATATTTATTTTTTGCCTAAACTCAAATTTCAAATTTTGATTTCACAGCTGAAATTAGCTCTTGTGACGCAAAATATTGCGGAATGTAAAATTATATTACTAGCAATTATTATTACTAACTCACTTTTACTGTAGACAGTAAGTTGTCTTTGAACGCTATACAAGTGATAAAGACGAACACAGATCATATTCAACGTTTTTGTGCAAAAAGGCACATTATTTTATATTGCCATTACTCGAGCCGTGCCCTAAACTGCGGCCTTTTCAGCGTATACAAGTTGACATTTCAACTTTTCCTTTAAGAAAACTATCTACTGATTATCCTTACAAAACTGTTTATTGGTATCCTTTTATTTCAAGTACTGTTCTTTGATTCTTTGTAGTGTTATTACAAATGCTCGCGAGTGGAGATATTTCAAACAGCTTACAAACACGAAAACAGGTAAGGTGCTTTTATGCTAAATATCTAAAAGATGGATTGAGCTTCACAGCCGTCACTATTTGTGCAATAGGCCATGCAACTATTTCAATGCAACTAGGTGTCTGTTACAGCTTCGCATTTCAAAGAATCATTGTAAATACAATTATCGCAGTAAAACTGGTTATAACTGAGTGTAAGTCGTTGCAATTTAAAACCACCCCTATACACGAGATGCAATGGACATTTTACGACAGACTGATTAAACAGTTATTTCCATTAATCAGTTAAGCTATATTACGAACACTTACCGTCCCTTCCTTGATGCCGTCAAAAGGCAATTATAATGAAAGCAACATGGCTTCAATTAAAACATCGATGGTGTGTTTTTTTTTCTTTTGAAAGCTTTTAAAGTTACAGCATATTGACAAGAAAAAGATAGGAATTTGTCTTGATGCTGTTTCGAAGATAAATTTGCATACATTTGCATAAGTTTATCGGCAAGAAATTTAGGGTCTTTTTTTTGCAGCAATTGAGGAGAATATGTTGAGTGACCTAGACTCTGTGGTTCAATTATATTTGAAAGCAAATGAAACCGTACATATCCCATTCAAGTTGCAGTGCTTCACTGCGGAAGGTGCAACTCCGGAGCTCGTAAGTTATTTGTTGTCATTTATTTGTCATCTTTATGTCTTTTTAGTTAAAGGCTGGTCATCAGTATTGAAAATTCTTTGTTCTATTCTACCACTAGCATCTGCCACTAGCAGTCAATCAGAAACTTTTTGCAGATGAGTAGAAAATAATAAAGAAATTCAATAGCGAGTATAAACAATAAAGATTATAGGAAAATACAATTTTAATGGTATTCATTTCTTCATTCTTTTATTCATTCCTTCATTATTTCATTAAATTATTCCTTCATTCATTCATTCATTCATTCTTTCGTTCATTCATTCATTCATTCATTCATTCATTCATTCATTCATTCATTCATTCATTCATTCATTCATTCATTCATTCATTCATTCATTCATTCATTCATTCATTCATTCATTCATTTACTATTTTTGCCAGTAATTCATTCATTTCTTCATTCATGCATTCATTTATTAGTTCATTACATATATTTATTTATTCATTACATGCATATAAGAACAATCAATGCTGCATCCAGTTGTTGATAAGTGATTTGATAATCTGTTTTATTACGTTTTCATATATTATTGGTTTATTTTTTTCGATATCTCTTTTCAACTTTCTTTTGTCTTCTCAGGGTCCTCCTCATCCACTCTTTGCAAAGCAAACCAATTATTTATGTCAATCCCTGGTAAAAGATACTGGAATCACATCCAAGTCGATTAAGGTATTTTTCATATATTTTTTTGGAAAAATTGTTTGAAATTTGTTTGCTCTCTATGAGATAAAATTTGTTTGTTCTCTATAAGATAACATTTGTTTGTTCTCTATGAGATAAAATTTGTTTGTTCTCTATGAGATAAAATTTGTTTGTTCTCTATGAGATAAAATTTTTTTGTTCTCTATGAGATAAGATTTGTTTGTTCTCTATGAGATAAAATTTGTTTGTTCTCTATGAGATAAAATTTGTTTGTTCTCTGTGAGATAAAAGTTGTTTGTTTTCTATGAGATAAAATTTGTTTGTTCTCTATGAGATAAAATTTGTTTGTTCTCTGTGAGATAAAAGTTGTTTGTTCTCTATGAGATAAAATTTGTTTGTTCTCTGTGTGATAAAAGCTGTTTTTTCGCCATAAGATCAAACTTTTTTTCACTATGAGATAAAATTTGTTTTTCGCTATGAGATTGTTTTTCGCAATTTAAGAAAATGTCGAAAGTTGATTAAGATTGCACTGATTTATTTTGGATTGCAAGTAGATTACCAACCTCTTAATTGATTAGATATACCATACAGACATAATTCAAAGCATCAAAGAAGCTTTGTTGCTGTGATAAATATGGAAGTATCTTTATTTTGATTCAAGGTCTCTTCGTTTCTTCAAATAAAAAATGACATTTTGTGAAATGTATGGACAATTCTACCGCTTACCATAAGTACACTATACTTTTGTTTATAGAGTTTTACCCTCCAGAAGAGCCATTTATTGATTACGTCATTTGCTGACCTCGGTTTGAAACCGTTGTTGTTGTTAGGCTAGGCCTAAGTTTTTGATCGCCTTTTCTACGAAACACTGTATTCCATGAGCTGGAAATCTATTAACGTATCGTAGAAAATATCTTGATTATTTGTGTCATTCTCCATTTTAATCGAGTGTCTAACAGTTTCTCTACCACACTTCCACTAGATGAAAGCGTTCAATTTTTCTTAGCTAAAATAACATATTGAGAAGCATACTTTTAACAATCCTTGTTTTTTTTTCACTGCAGATATCGTTTGTGACTGTAGACCAGAAGCCAATAGCCATCTTAACGCTTAATGTCGAAATGCATCCTCATACCATTGATCAAACTTTTCGCTTTTCAAACGCTGAACAATCATTCTTAAAGAAATCTATTCGGCTTCCTCCTTGGCGAAATCTAACAGGTTTGTTCTCAATTAAACTCTGGCTTGAATTTTTTATTTTGTAAAATAGACGCTTAGTAGTATATTAGACATTAAGCTTCTAGCCAAACCTTCACAGTTTTTAAGAGCTGTACGTGAATCAATACAATTCGTTTGCAATCGATCACTGGTATGCTTTTTAATTTACAAAAAACAGCTAGTTGCTTATTTCACATAGAGCCTCGAGCGAATCCTGTTCAGCGACTTCTTCCATGTTCGATGTTAGAAACGCTGCTTTCTGTTGCCGGATCAAAAGATTTACAAAAGGGGGGGAGGGGGGGAGGTGAAGTCAATTATTTGGATTATTTTACCGGCCATTTCACTTTATCATAACCTCCTCCCTTTATGATTGGGCAGTACGTGTAAAAGATAAGCATAAACAAAGCTAAAAATATTGATCATTTATACTTATTAATAACACTAAGCTTCAAAACAGCCCTATAAAAATACTTAGCCTAAGATTTTGTTCTTCCTTCGACCTTTTTTGTTGTACCTACAGAAAAAGTTGTTTGTATTATAAGCTGTTAACCATCTGCCTTTTATAGTCCCCCATTTTTTATAGTCCCCCAGGTATGAAGATAGCCCCTACCCCCATGCAGCTACAGCCCCCCTACTCAAACAAACCCAGTGTAATTATAGCAGTATTCCAATATATTAACATCTTTATTTGACTTACATTCAATTTTTGTAAATTTCTGAAACTTTGCTGTTATTTGATGTTTTCTGTATCCTATTTTAGCTTGACTGATTGTAACAAATAGTTTTTCTCAAAACAGGATTATTTAAAAGTCCGAACAGCTCTCAAAATAGTTGTCTCATTTGAAAATCAGAATCAGGCGAATAATAAAACTGTCTAGAAAACAATTTTAGGGACTATTTTGGGTAACACACAAATATAATAATTGCAACTGATAAAAGTTCTTGATTGAAATTCATCAAAAGTTTCACGGACAAGCAGTGATCGAAATTGATTTATGTATCTATGATGGGACAATCTCTGCCAATTTCTTTGACTCTTTTTAAAGCTTCAGTATGTCTGTGTACTTGTAGGCTCCTAGGGATCTTAATTCTCCACTTTTATTCCCAAAGTCGCCAAGTGATACCATTTTGATGCTAGTATAAGAGATAAAGGCTTTATATTTTTGAAAAATTTCTTTTCAGGTAACATAATGACAGAGGGACAAACAGTGCAATCAATAGTGGCACGATGTACTGATCAGCATGTCATTTGCGAAGTACACGATGTGGTAGGTTCGAGTCTATATTCAATTAACCATAGTTAGGCTCAGTTTGGTCTATAAGATGTAGTATCTGTAATTTCAATCAATCAAGTATGCTAGTATGCTTTAGCTTGTGTACTCTTTTTTTCTCCAATGTTGCAAATCAAATCTGTATTTGTCAGATGTCAGCGCAAAATATGAATACGCTAACCCCCTTTTATCAAAAAGCATAAATTTTGAAAGAATACATTTGCGTTTTTCGCCCTGTTTATTAAGCAGGTGCTAGAATTTTTCTGAAACTGAAAGCAGTTTGCGATACTGTCCCCATCTTATTGTTTGCTACTGGAAGTTGTTTTATCCCTGCCTTTTCTTCGGTGCTAAAACCTTTCAAGATTCGTACATCCATTGATTGTTTCTATCAAAGTTGATATTCAAGGAGCTCAAACCTATTTTGCGTCTCAGTGCTTGTCAAATCTGATTGAATATCTATCCTCTAGTGATGGTTTTCTGACTTTTTAAAGTAGTCTTCCAGTTACCTGAAATGCTGCCCGTGCGTTATTGAAAACTCTTCCAATTTTAATGGATAGGTCTTGAGTATCATCCAGAGAGTATATATATCCTATAAACCCGAGACCTTAACTCCGTGCTATAGCAAAGCCACAGGAATAATGATATTGTTTTGAATTAATGCAATCATTGATGCTTTTGATGCTAAAGCAAACTGAAGACCATTATCTAATCATGCAGCGTGTACTTAATACTTTTCTATAGCCGAAGATAGCTTCCAGGACCGGCAGGTTTTTAATTGTGACAACCAAATCTTAGGACAGTAGTGTACGTACTTTGTTGATATACCAAATGTACAATGGGTTGACAAATGTTTTATCCAATCTGCTTTTACCGTAGCATGAGAATGAGCCGCAGGATGTCATGATCAAAGTTCCTTGTGGACCATCTCCGAATATTAGACGTTTCTTTGTTGTTATCTACGCGTAAGTATTTTGCTGTATAGGAGAGGCAATATATAGTCAACAAGAAACTTTATCTCTTGGATAAGGAAATTTTCTTATCCTTGTCCTTCTAAATGTAAACCAGTTTTCTCTGTTCGTCGTTCAAGGCGGATCTCTACTAGACGATTTTTAAGACGATCGTCTGCCCTTATTAAAATACTGAATGTCCTTAAGCGCTTTCTTCTAACATTCGTTTCATTGTTTTGCACATTAATACCTCTTTTGAAAATGCAATGGAAACAATTTATCATTTTCATATATAAAGAATATTTCTAGTATTATTTAGAATCTTTTATCAAATTGAGTGATGCAAGGATTTAATAGGAATATATTTATTAGCTTTCTTTGAATCCAGGTATAACTGCCAGTTAACTTTGTGACACCAATAGGATGAGACCATTAGTAAAGATTTTCACTGCAATTTGAAAAAATGACTGAAAAGGCCTTGAAGATTACCATGTGATTTTATCCGGATGTTACCGACAACGTTGATAAAGTTCCGCTTTGCGAAAAAACCTGGTATCTAGCTCTTTACTAATATATTGCTACTAAGTCGAGGTACATAATCACATCGAGAAACTTAATTCGAATCAGCAATAAATTTAAGTTGTATCTGGGAGTTTCTAAGGATTTTGACAATTATTTAAATTTTTGTCTTTTATTTTGATAGGGACACATTCTGTGCATCTCCAAGTCGGATATGGCAATTTTATATTCACTCTTTGCAACGGTATGAATTTTTTCCAATCCTCGTCGCTGGATGAAATAATCTTCTGCCTTTCTAGAATTGATACCGCCATATTGTATTCCCCAGTCCTCCTTAAGCGGTTATTGTCACGTGACGATTACGTCAACTAAGTTTTTACAGCACACAATGACTGGAGAGTCTTGAAAATAATATAGTTGGAAAATCTTGTGGTTGTGACATTAGGAAACAGATCTGCTTATTGTGTAGAAGATAAAACAGTCACCAGGAGATAGGAGCCACCTGCAAATATGTCGATCTTTGTTCCTTGTCCTGTCGTGTTTTTGTTATCTCTGCGTGGCACGGACACAAAGACACGCGTTAAAGAGGTCATATATCTCTCTGCTCTCCCCTACATCTGTCATGGCAATTAGTCTCTAGTCTCTGCCGAGAGGGGACGGCCTATGATGAAATCCACAGTTTTTAGCCCCTAAACCTTTCCTAAAATTCAAAAGAAAACAGCAGTTGATCATAATCTTTGACAATGGACTTTTCACATGTTATAGAATTCTGGTGTTGTCTTCAAAATGCTTACTGCTGATTATTAGGGAGAGGATATTTATATAATAGCGACATGATCAATCAAACGTATTTCATATAATGCCAAAAAACAATTTCAAAGTCCCTTTTATCCAATTTTTTTTCTGTCTGGAAACTCAGAAAGTGCATAGGATTCACGTCTGCTAACAACTAAGGGGAACATTATGGATTATGTTTTTCTACAATGGTTATGTGGAGGGGGATGGTTAGGCCCAAGCCATGAATATTATTTGTATTTGTATTTGTTACTTCTTAGCTTCTAAAAGTTGTTTTAAGGATTTATGCTTGTCAAGTAGTGTACTGGCCCTTCCTCTCGACCACGCCTCGTGATTCCTATAGGTTGAATAAGAGTGTGTCCGCGACTGTTCTCACTCTACATGAAATCTTTACTATTGCAGGGTACTAATCGCCAGGTTCTTGGATCTGTAGTCTGCATACCTCGACTATGGGCTATCATTGCATTCGTTACTTTCGTTTGCTTGTTGCCATAGTATTCTTTTGTAGTCAGTCTGACGGTTTCTTTTTTTGCCTATAGAATCGACGTTACATCAACACAAGGTCAACCAACAACAACGTCTATTGTTCTTCGTGGTACACAGTCCTCACGGTTGGTTAGATGTTTTTCATCGAATGCTGAAGAGCTAGAGGTATGTCCACTCATAAATTGCTGTTAAAATAGAATCTTTGGACTTGAGTTGATCGTCTGCAATACAATTCAGGCATTGGTAACTTTAATAATTCAGGCAGGTATTGGTTTCAGATAGTTTTATGCAGATACATGCTATGTTTCAAAATTGGGTCTGAAAATGTAATATTCTATAGAAATGTCATGTTTTGTGAAAACTTTATATTTTATGAAAATTTCATTTTTCATGAAAATGTCATATTTTATTAAAATGTCATATTTTATGACAATGTCATTTTTTATGAAAATTTGATTTTTATGACAATGTCATTTTTTATGAAAATTTTATTTTTTATGAAAATGTGATTTTTTATGAAAATGTGATTTTTTATGAAAATGTGATTATTTATGAAAATGTTATTATTTATGAAAATGTTATATTTTATGAAAATGTTATATTTTATGAAAATTTCATATTTTATGAAATTTCATATTTTATGAATTTTTCATATTTTATGAAAATGTCATATTTTATGATAATGTCATATTTTATGTTTGCTGTGATAACTAATGATAACTATAATTGCTTGCTGTTTTAAGAATGGTCCATGTTGTTCATATACAATATTTTTCTTTCTCGTTATGAATGAAGGTCTTGCCCAACGATCCATTCATGCTAATGGCGAATTCAGTCCAAGAGATTAAATTGAAAGCGACTACAAAATCAACGGGGAACATCAAAATGTTTGTCAACGTTGTCGGTATCCTTTCCAATTTACTTTAGAACACAAAACACCATTAACCGAACATCCTTCCATTTAATTTGTTAGCGGCGAAATTGTTGTCCAACGTTACGGTTTCTCGTTCACTGAGTGCAGGGCATCGTTAGTGGGGGGGATGGGGGATGCGGGGGCTGCGCTATGGGTGTCACGGAGAGGCAAATGTACCCAAAAATTTCAAATGACTTTCTGTCGGCAGCCGGAGTCTAGAATCTAACGTCTGTCTGGGGCCTGGGGTTTAGGGAAGGGTCAAAATTTATTAAAAACTCTGAACGTTGACCCTGGAGGAACTGGAAGCCACTGTAAGCAGGGCTGCCGTGGAGGGAACAGGGGGCAAAGTGCCTCAGGGCCTTGAGGTTGATGGGGACTCAAGTAGTAATGAGCTCCATTTTAAGAATGAAATCAATGAAACGTAGAAAAAGTATGCCTGAAAATAGTTAAAAGTTTTAAACGATTGCAAGAAATGACTGCAAGAAATATTCTGAAATGCATTTTTAGACAATCTAAAGGGCGTGGTCGCAAAAATTTTCTGCTTGCTCCGCTCCCAAATGGCCTCGTCTTTCGGTTTTGCTTCAAAGCCTTCGAAATCTCTTAGCGGTCCTATTAGTAATATCTACAAGCTAAGTACCCACAGTCACTTGAAATTGAAGCGATGATAGACTAACGAGAACATATTCTTTGATAAACGAAATCAATTGCGTCAAAATGCCACACCCAAAAATTGAAATACCTTAGGCCACGCCCAATTTTGTCGGCAAATTTGTGACTGGCACCCTCCTAAGTGAAAGTGATTAGCGACGGCCCTGACTGAGTGATCCATTAAACTTCTTTTCCGAATTAGCATTCTTAATTTGCCGAACATCGTAACCTTTTATATGGTATTGCAAATCAGGATATGTGTGTCAGCAACCTCAATACCGATAGATACTTAATTTATTTGCAATTATAAGCCTACCTACAGCAAGCTCTTAGCTTCCGTTCACATATGATCGTGTACTATAAATGTTTCACCAAGACTTGCAACGGTTTGCTTCCCTCCTATCTTGTACTGTTAAAAGGCGATTAAACTAACTTAGCCTAATAGATAATGCTGTTAATTAGATTTGAACGCTGAAGATCTCGCTTATTATATTATCTGAAAAGCCAATTTTTTTAAATCTCTGAAAAGCAAAAGCGAAGAGTGTCTTGTAACAACAGGAAGTGTTTTTTGCGTTGTGCTCTTATGTATGCATCATCGGTAAAGACGTATCTAAATAGAACTTTTCGGTCAGGACATTCTTTTTAAGGAGAGCAAAAATGGGTTGACAAATTATCAAACTTGTTTTCTCCTTTTTGGTGTAACTTTGATATAAATTAGAATGAAACAATTTACGAATGATATGATACTCTTCGGAATGAAAAAACCCTGTACCTTGCATTCGGAAGGGAAATGACTTAACGCATTCTTGTGCGAGAGCACCTCGTACCCTAAAAGACACCCCTTCCCTCCTTCTCCATGAATCCCTGTGTGTAAAGAACTGTGGCATAAAGTTGAGCTAAGAAGAGAAATTCAGGCCTTTTCGTGAAATTGTGGGCATGCTTTTTTAATCTCCTACTTTTTGTCACCTGACATGGACCAAGGTGATGTTAGGATTTCAAGCTCTTAAAAAAGCTGATTTATTTACTTATGAGGCATGTAATTGTAGCCTCGGAATCCTTAGCCAAGATTCAGATTGCGAATTTCACCAGTTAGTGAAGTCATGGTTGGTCTGCATCACAAGCAAGCCTCCGTACATATCAAAGACCTTTGAACTCCAACTGAAATGTGGAGGAGGCCGCGGATCAAATAAGGTACGTACCCCGTAAATATAATTATTTAGGATGGTTTTCTGGCCATTTCCATCGCCGACTCTTCAGCATCAACCGATCCATTCATAAGAATGCTCCTAGTTTTCTTGCAGAATAGGATACAACACCCACCTCTATTTGTTATCCTTTTTACATCACATGTCCAGCACGTGTTCAACCGCCCAGCTCTCTTCGCCGTTTTTATCATGTTGCAACCTCTTCTACACGTTTCTATTGCAATATTTGTCTTTTATCCAAAAAAGGAATCCCATTTTCGGCCTAAATGAGCTTTGTGCGAGTTACATCAAGTAATTGCTACACAGTATCCATAGTTTCCAAAAGTTTTCTAAGATGATACTTACCAGTTATTTTGTACGCTAGCCATGATTCTTTAGCGAATTCTTTAAGCATTTAATTACAATAATTAAGTCTTGCTGTTTTTGGAACGCTTTGTATGTATTGCATGTATTGTTTCTTTCATTGCAACAGAGCATTACCTACGGCAACCCATACCCAATGAAGAAATCCTTTAGTCTCAACACCAATCGACCAGATTTACTGCGTTTCCGAGAAAACGCGTTTTTGGTAAGTATGAAAGGTTAGATAGCTCTTTAAGCATGGTTGTAGTTGGGATGATTTCTTACTAAGATATTCTATGATGCCGAAATCTTACAAGAAAACTACAGCAATAATTTACATAGAGTATTCGTAGTTCTAACATAATTCGCCTTCGCATTAGGATATTTTCTTCTTGTAATTTCCTATGATTCATTTTTGATGCAACATATGACAACTGCAGTACCTACCAAAAATCTTTGAACACCAACAACAATGTTTTTCGTTTATATTAGCAGTTTTTCCATCCCTCCACTTTCAAACAATATTTGATCAACATAACCTGTATTTTCAAAACTAGGGTAACTGAGGTGAATTTCCAATATTTGTTGGGGAGATAGAGGGTGTCACAGCTATTTTTTTATAGGGGTGAACGAAAAATTGATCAAAAATTGACTGAAACTGCTTGGATTCCTCTAGTACTTTTGTCAAGCGTTGTAGTTGTCTGATTCGCAACTTATAACCTTCTTTTTCCATGCACCAAAGCGTATTGCAACTAGCCAATGTCTTTTCATCTTCATCATTGTTCATTCAGCCGCCGGCGGGCTGCTTGTGCACCTCTGAATGATACCACACCACAATCTTCTGTCTTGCGCCTGTTCGATACATTCCCGGAGAGATGCACCAACCAGGGCCTTGATGTTATCTGTCCATCGGTGTTTCGGTCTACCTCTACTTCTTTGGCCCTCAACAAAACCAAACATTACGGTTTTATCCAGCGAGTCTCGGCGTGCTATGTGGCCGAAGTACCGTAGTTGTGCTTTTTGAATATTTCTCAGCAGGGTTTTCGAGTGCCCCACTCTCTCCAATACCTCAATGTTTGTAACACGGTCGCTCCATGATATTCCAAACAAGCGTCTGTAAGCCCACATTTCGAAAGCATCGATCCTTTTCATCTTACAATACCTTTATTGGTATTTGCTACATTTTTGTGGCATAAAAATTTAAATGATCATTATTTAAAGCTCTAATAGAATATTTTTCTTTTCTAAATATAAAAAATCGTCTTTTTTCCAGCTTGGCAGTGGACAGACTCACAAAATTATTCTCGAATTTCTACCACAACAATTTCCAGGGCTGGTTGACGTACTTGTTTTTGTTAACGATAAAGAAGGCAAAAATGAAGAAACCTTTTGCCTTAGAGCCAGGTACATTCCTTGATTTGTGAGTAGAACAAATCTTAGCCTTTAGCTCTTTAAATCTATTTGTTTGGTATACTTTATAGCTATCATTCAAGTTGATAATAAGATGTTCATTTATAATAGCGATGTAAATTTTTCCGATGTAAATTATAATAGCATAAGCATGCAAAGAAACATCAGAGACACTGTGAAGTCTATTCTGTAAATATTTTCAATTTTAATTCCGTGCATTATTTAAGCTGAAAAATACTAATCTATTTTATATTTCTGTTTCATCTTTTCTATTATTGTCAGAAGCCGTTCAGCTTGAGAATTGGCCTGAAAATATAGCGATTTTAACTTTCAACCACTCGGACCATATCTTGCTTGGCCATATCCCTTGCTTCCCTCTTTGTTGCAGTCCTAGAAACCGCCAAGCTATGCTTTCAGCTCCTTAACTTTTGAATCTTGAAAGCACAGCCCATTCTTAAAGTTGGAAATTTTAAGAATGATAAATGTCAACGATTGCGAGTGTTCATAGAAATTCTCAAAATCTAGTATATTTTTTCGGATTGGCCCGAAATGAAATGCTAACCAGGCCATTACAAAGACCCCTGGTGACCAGAGTGCCAAGCCACCGCCCTTTTTTTACAAAGTAAAGGCTCTAGAGGGCAATTTGCCTTCTATTCCATTGAGTTTAATGTTACAGCCGCTACAACGATGCTAAAATATACAGTTAGATGGTAAATACTCTATCACGTTCTGCCAGTAATTGACTACCCCCCTCTCCCCTCATTTGGAGGCCTTCCGAACTATTGTACACCCTTTGCCCCCCCCCCGCGAGCTCATCCCCAGACCAGAGCGGGATATATTCAAACTGATTAGATTTGCCCCCTTCTCACTGCCAATGACTTTACTATCACATTATTCTTTTATATCCAACAAATTTGGGTTGTCGAGTCCGAGGGGCAAATCGCTACTGAAAATGGTGTACGAGATTAAAAATCACGAGTGATTAATTTGTGATTAATTTGATTTTTTAGTGATTAAAGTGATCAATGTTTTGATTAATTCATGACTTTTTAAGAATTAATCACATATTCGAAAGTGCTTTCAAATTGGTTTTTGTGCAATCAAACCCGTTTGAAGAGGCGACATAGGGCAAGATACATAAAAAAAAAAGAAAATACATAATAGTTTAGCCAAGTCATAGGTCAAATTAGACTACACTATTTCGTGAATCAAATGACAACCTATCATGACAGTTTGGCAGAGATTTTTGTTACGTAGATCAGGAATCAACGGGGAATGTGCATAAAACAGAGACGTTGGGCCCCTGTAGAAAAAAACCGGGAGAAAATGATCATAAGAGGGCCTGCTCATTTGTATGACATCTCCAATCACAAACCACAGGTCGCAGAAAATGGTACATACCAGGAAGCCATGCACCTACGAAACGTGACAGAGCACTTCGGGCGAGCGAACATATTTCCGGCCACGCCATTCAAATTAGCTTGAAATACATCTCAGAATGTTTACCGCGTTTTACAACTTTTTAGGCATACTCTGTTGCGCTTCGTTAAAATTCAGTTCTTATATTGGAATTCCTGGCTTTAAGAGGCCCCCTAAACCTCGAGGCCTTGGGGCAGTTTGCCCTTCCTTGTCCCCCTCTCGGCGGCCCTGTTCATATTCCACGCATCTCTTTCACAGAGGTCTGTTTGTCCTGGGCTTCACAAACTCACTTGAAAGGGGCCCACCGGGTGTCCCATCTAGCCCCAACGCCCCAGCTTGGAAGTACTTAAAAATCGGCAACAAAATTATATTTCATCTTGTAGCTGTTTCAGCGACCCCGGCGTGAGAACGAGGCCTTCATTTATGCTCATGTTCTCGAGTTTGTGGCAGATTTTTGAACATGTACATAAGTGTGGAAAACCTTGAAAGGGACATTTAAAAATCGGCAACAAAATTATATTTCATCTTGTAGCTGTTTCAGCGACCCCGGCGTGAGAACGAGGCCTTCATTTATGCTCATGTTCTCGAGTTTGTGGCAGATTTTTGAACATGTACATAAGTGTGGAAAACCTTGAAAGGGACATTTAATTTTTTCAATAACATAGGCGAATATACGTGACCAAAGATTCAAATATTTGCGCTTAATGTGACTGGTGATTTTTTGTGATTAATATGATATTAATGTGATTTTTGGGGATTAATTTGTGATTATTTTTGAGAGCGTACGTGATTTTAAGCAATGATTTGCTCCTCGGTCGAATCCTCCATCCCCTTAAGTTGTTTACTTTAGTTTGAGCGTGACAGGGGCAGAAAGTGACTCGACCAAGATGTTTTCGCAAAAACAAAAAATATCGGTTAAAATTGCAATCTGAGTCTTCTGCGGAGAAAACTTAAGATCGTTTTACCAACCCATGTAAGGAAAATTAATAAATTTCCATTACAACCAAATAAGCCGATCCCCTTGTCAAAGAACGATTATCGTGTCGGCCTTTTGATATTCTTAAAACATGAGCAAGAGCAAACACTCTGAAATAAAAACAACAGGGTATTAATGTTACGACTAATTTATCTTTAAATTGCACAAAGTAAATTCCTTACAGGCTTATAATTACATACTAAATAAAACTAAAAATGTTTGAATTACTCTTATCATTTTCCTACAGTTAAAACATTTTTATTGCCCCTATCGGGGGGCTAGCGACTTTCCAACAGAGAATCTGTGTCGAAGTCCATTTTCCGCGAATAGGGGAACCCTAGACCTTGCATGTTATATACAGTTTCTATTGATGTCTTTTGTGTATAAAGAATGCGATAACCGAATGTCAGCTTGCTTCTGTTCTGCTAGGCCACATTCCCGGATTTTATTGACGCTGCATCCGTCCTTAGGCCCTAACCACCAAAACCATACAGCGTGCGACCCTGGCGTTTCAATGCATAAACAACATCCATTGCTGTAACTGTTTTCCTCTTTGCGTGTTCAGTGTATGTCACAGCATCTCTGATCACATTCTCCAGAAACACTTTCAAGACGCCCCTTGTTTCTTCGTAGATCAGACCTGAAATTCTTTTCACTCCACCTCTGCGGGCAAGTCGACGAATTGCAGGCTTTGTAATTCCCTGAATGTTATCCCTCAGAATCTTCCTATGACGCTTTGCACCACCTTTCCCCAAACCTTTCCCACCTTTTCCTCGTCCAGACATTTTCTTTCCTCAAAATTTCCTTTCTACAAATCTTTCTTTTCCTCGTGGTATTTACGACAACTTTGACAAATTCAGCTCTCTTTGTTATCATCCTATATCATTGACATCGTACGCGAAAGAAGCAATGTTAGTTTTGATTGGTGGAATCATGGAATATTGCGTTCTTATTGGCTTTTATGGAAACCAATGAAGAGACAGGCTTATTTACTTCCGATCCAGAAGAAATTAACGAGCACAGTTTCGTGGGGCACAGTAAAGCGAGCGATAAGAATTCCTGTAGGAACTGCTTTTGTTTAAAGAAGCATTTTTTTAATGGACATACAATGCTATTCATACCCCTAAGACTTCATTGAGACAGCGTGCCACAAATCTAAACGGCGATTGTTGTCATTTCAAGTTTACCTCATTTTTTGTATAAGAAACAAAGGTCGATGTTGTGTACTCCAGTTTCTTAATGTTCTGGAAATTTTACTACTCACTGTTTCTTTAAGAGTTTCTTAATTATGATGTCATGAATGATGTTATGAAATGTTCGTGACCTTTTTCACGTCAAGAGATTCGCTTCCGTTCTGACGCTGTATTTAGACGTGGAAAGTATATTTTTATCCCTTGTGTCTTAATTTCTAGGCCTTCAGGGCAATCTTGTTCTGGGATTTTAGAAAATTTCGTTGTTCTCATTTTTATCACGATTTAATAGTTTCTTGATTGTTTTGCTTCGAGTACTGAATTTTCTTAATTTTTTCTGACTGTCCAGTACTCGTTTCTTATAGACAGTTTATTTTAAAAAAATGAGAGTATACGCCTTTTTCCACAAAATTGCAAAGTTTCCATAAGAAACAAAGGTCGATTGACCGGACATTATATACACTTTTTATCGAAAATTCTGACTTCTGCAGTTTTTCAAAATTAAATTGTTTCTTAAATTTTTGCTTCGAGCATTGAGGGTTTCTTAATTTTTCCAGATTGCCCAGAAGGACTCGTTTCTTATACGAGTTTAGTTTCTTATAAGATTAATGATTGTATTTTTTGAATCAAAAGAACTTATTCCTTTGGAATTTCATACTGTTATTCGAAACGCTATGCATATGTCACGAGAATCTGAGTATTTTAATTTGTTTTTCAAAATTCGTTCTGTATTGTTATCAAACATATTGTTTATTCGAGTTACGTATAGAATTAATTGAAGCTCAAGCGGTAGACAATGCCGCCCACCATGCACCACCCTGAAACCTCTTCTCTTTCTCGGTTTAGAAAAAACTTTTATTAGTGAAACCAGAGCAGAGCTTTTGAAGGCCCTGAGGCAAATCCGAAAGAGGAGGCACCATTCATTCATCCATTCATTCATTCATTCATTCATTCATTCATTCATTCATTCATTCGTTCATTCATTCATTCATTCATTCATTCATTCATCCATTTAAAATGTTATATTTTCTTAAGGTGTCATTTTGTTTCTTTTCATTAATTACATTTTAAGACGGAATTTATTATTTTATGCGGCCCCCCTAGATCTCGAGGCCCTGGGGCAATTTGTACTCCTTCCTCCCTTCTTGAAGGCCCTGAGTGAAACCTCTAGAAAAATACGAAATATTGTATTGCACCATAAGTGAAAAGGGGATCGGACAAAGGAAAGGAGGTTCCATTCACCCCTGAACCGCATTGCTTCTAATTAATTTAATGATTTTTCAGCATTTATAGATTGTTTTACATAGCAGTTAAGGCAAAATCTATTTTCTTTTAAACCCAATTTATGGAGAAATTTTCCAACAAAGTCCCGTGATTTATATGAAGATCCGTGATTTCTTAAAAATACTTTATCCCTCTGCAGTATTGTTTTCGCCATTTTTTTATTAAGTCTTGGCATCAGGCATGTTCAGAGCCGCAAATAATGGAGACTGGCACCAAGGGCATTAAAATGCATTCCAGACTTTTCTTCATTTTTTAAATCATTTCTTGCGGCCTCCTAGGCCTTCGAGCCTTTGGGCGATTTGCTCCCCCCTTCCTGTTTCTTTGTTGCCCTAAATCTGTTCTGTCCCCCTCTCCTCGTGGCCTCGGCTACCAAATTTCTTTTTCATAGCCCAAAAATTTTGAAGCTTGTAAAAAAGGGTAGAATTTGCCTGTCATCGCTATAAAATACTAGTTTATCATTGCACACTTTTCCTGTTTATCATTGCACAAATTGATTATCATCGCACCTTAAAATCTAAGTCTTAAAATCTAAGTTTGACAAAACATTGGGAACAACTTTCCAAACAGAGTAATTCAAATACAGTTTTTTTCATTTTTTTCTGACTGTATTTTGAAATCCAAAATGCAATGTGTTTTTTTCAACTTCAACAAGTTTCTTAATTTTTGGGTACCTTCATCAATTTATTTTTGTTTCTACAACCTTGCTCCGGCCAGTGACTGTGGGGCAATGATGTTTTCCTGACTTTGCTCAAATACACCAACTTTTAAGTCAAACCACAGATAAAAAACTCTGGACTCGTAGATAAAGTAAAATAAAGTTTTCGTGAAGAATTTCGCTAAGAAACAATCGCTATAACGTTGAAAATAAAAGACACTGCAACGCACACAGGATAAACGATATCTATAGGGATAGCTAAACATTTTCCCTGGCAAACAGTGCTTCATTAGAGCAAATTAAGTGAGCATGAGTTCATCAGATCTACATTTTTGTTTTCACAAGGGATGCAGGGGTTATTCTAACGTGGGTTTGTTACCGTTTTGTGTTGTTGTAAATTTGATTTGTGGTGTTATGATTTTAATTTTGTGATGTTGTAACAAATTTGACTCACTGGAAAAATTTTTCACAAATATAAGGAATCGTTTGGTACACAACTGAACACAACAGAAGAATTATAGTAAATAGTCAGCAGGGACCGATTAAAGCAATAATGATTGGGTGTTAGACACTAAGTGGATTTCTGCAAGTTTACAGTGTACACACCCTTCAGGTCACTGGTAAATGGAAGATTCCCCAATTTTTAAAATTCGGGTTTTACCTTTAAGGTAAAGTAAATAAAAAGCAGTGGCGTAGCCAGAATTGGAAGTTTGGATGGGCAAAGAGAAGTAAATTTTTGCTGACCACAACCCTAAGAGTTTGGGAAAACACCCTGTTTCAAAAATGCGTTGGAAAAGGTATTACTTTTTTACGAGGCAATGGTTGGCTAATCAAACAGTCATATGTAGCTTTTTATGACTGACCCCTACAACTGTCTGTTTCTTTCACAAATCCCCTAACCTTTCTGCCAGATAGAGTCAACGAATGAAGAATGGAGGAAAGGCATTGCGAAGGAAAATAGAAATGAGGCTCTGGTACCCAAGGCACAATTCCTCTTACGCTTATATTCTGAATTGTGTAAGGTGAGGCGAGAAGAGAAGGATTTATATGTAAAACTGATTTTCCAAAGTAGCCAAAAAACAATAAACAGTATTCAAAGTTGCAAACTAAGCCTGTTCACCTTGGAGCACGACTTGCAAAATCTCCCACAAGCATTTCAGAATCCAGGTTTTTAAGGATTGAAGCGCTCTAGCATTTTAGTTTCTATTTTGTCTATAGAATGTGCAGGACGTTTCTATAGAGACCCTAAAACTAGGGGAAATTGTAAAACACCCTGTAAAGGTACGCTGTTGATAATAAGATAAATAAAGTAAAATCTTGGCGTTACTCTGGGATGTTCCTGCCAATAGCGTCGCATTCGGCTGAAAATTCTGGGAAAGGGTTATTCTTTTTGTCTCTTTTTTTCTGGCAGAGGTATGCTCATCGAAGATACTTTTCCCAGAACAGGTCAGATTTGTCATTAAAATCAAAGCCTTGTCAGTTCTATAGCTTTCTCACTTAAAGCTCAAATTTGAAATTAAATGTTTTTCTAGCACAGGGTCAAAAATTATTGCGGAAGGCACATCCCTGTGATTTTTCTCCAAGGTAAACCCCGCCGGGAATAAGGGTTCCACATTTCGAGTATTGGCAAATTAGAATGCACATGTAAGTACAGATTTAATGTGGTACAAATAATGATATAATGATGATTCTACTTCACGTGAATGTTTTCAAAACATTGCATGCACTCATTAGTCTTCCAACATCACACGAGGGCGGCTCTGCATCTCGCATCCTAGCCAATGCTCGCATAAGATACGGATATACATACTTAGTGATGTTGATAGGCCTAACCAAGTATGCCAGTTTCATATTTTTCATTGCGGCATTCGTAGAATTGAGCGCATCTTGATGCTGTAATATCAGTTCCGTAACGTCAAGATTCAAGCATATTTTATTATGCATTTTACAATGGGTGCCCAGGCTGTATGTTTATTTGTGTAACAGGGTTTTAAGTCTTCTCCTTTTTCTACCACTCGTGTGCATAGAGCCTAGGGGGCTGTACCCTCCTTTTCGGGCCCATATCTACTGCTTTTTGAGTATTTGCCTTCTTGTTAGGTGAAACTACACCACACCATCCTCCCATATCCCCTCAAAATTTTCAGTCTACAGCGTCAATGCTTACACTGAAGTAAAAAAGAATTATTTTTGAGGTCAGTGGCTTCTTTTACCACCGTGGTTTTTGGTTTTTTCTCAGCAGTAAAGTTTAAAAGTTTATCGTGAAAAATACCAATGATTGAAATTGTGGTGTTGTAAATTTTTCTTTAAGGGTTGCGTGACGTGTTGCTGCAGGGAGAACCTCCTGTCTTCGTGATACATACTCAAATACAAATTGATTGTTGATTAAAGACCGTTCAAAAGGGCTTATTTCTGTGAGAAGCCACGCTTTAGATCTTTTGTCGTGTAATAATAAGAAGGATAAAATCAACGAGAAAACGGACACCTCCTAATCGCTTCTTTTAGATCATTATGAAAGCTCAAGAAGACGGGGGATATTATAATAAAACTGTTTGCATTTTAAGTAAATCAAAAGTTCAAATGCTTCATTTCGAGCTTGTATAGTAGATTTTATTTGTGACTAAATTCAATTAAGCTTCAAAGAAATCATTTTTTTATGTGTTTGCCCCTCTTTCCCTTCAGTGTTGCAATTGTCCCAATAAGCTGGAAGTTGTTGGCCCCCCGTTTCTACTTAATAGTACATCTGTTTCCTTGTCAGAATGAGCCGCACCATGCTCTCCTTTGAAAGATTTTCCGGAAAATCAAAAGTCACATGTATAGATTTTAGCCAATGACACATCAGAAAATAATTGTTATTTGTCATGTGATATTAAAAGGACCAATCAGAAGCCAGTCGATTCCCGCCAGGAATTAACATAAAACAATCAAATTTAGAAGCGCTCTCTGTTTGTTCCTCTTTCGGCAAACTGCTTTTGTCGTAAACAACGTGCTTATCGAGTGAAATTTCGAATAAGCTAAGGTTGAGACGTTGTTTTTCGATTAAAAATCATAAATATGGCCGAAGGAACAGCTCAACTTAAGCGAGATTCAACCATGGTTGCTACAGCGGAGGTATTTCAATATTTTTCTAACCTCTCGAACTTTCCAGACTTATCCGCCTGGTAACTATAATTTGAAGTTTCGTTTTTCCTCATTTTCAGTTTGGTTTCATGACTCTAAAAACCTGAAATATTCTTTTAGGAAGGCAATGCGCTTCTTGAAAAGCTCGGAAAAGTTGACGAAGAAGCGAAGACGAGATCACAACAAAAGAAGATCGAAGAGAATACCGAAGCTGAAAAAGATTCCACGCCGAAAATGGAAAGAACAACTACGATGGCAGCAACAGCCAAGGTTTGACATTTATGCAACTGTTGCTTTTATCTGAATAAAAAGCTTTTGAAATAGTTTTTCTGCGTCTATTGTTCTTGCCCTCTTTGTCTAGGAACGCGCCAAAGCGTCTGTAACTTCACAGGATGACAGCTTTCCCTTTCCAAAGAACCAAATATGTATTTTGCTCATAATCCTCGGGGAGTTCACAATCAAATTCTTTCCTTTCAGTATTTTGTTACTCCGCGTGGAAAAAAATCCAGCCGATTTTCATCCGCATAATCAATAAACAAAAGTTTCATTTAGCTGGTGGGCTATTGCGAGAATCAATAATAAGGATAATATTTGTGTTCGTAAGTTATGTACCATTATTTTGACTGGGTTTATCTTTGAAATGTGCTGTATTGTCAGTCTTGCTTTGTACAGATGTCTCATTGCAATGTCGGTAGAGTAGGCCTAATATTCTTTCCGCGAAAACAGTTAAAAAGAGGGTCTGATGTAGTGTCCTCTCCAAAACGAGTTTAGTTGTAGACTTTTTTATCAGATATTGTCTTCTTTATCTTAATTGTTATATCTCCAATCTTTAGCAATAATTCTGAAACACTCAGAACGGGCAGCATGTGTTAATTGCATATTTGTCTTGATACAGGAAGGGGAAGAGATTTTAGCAGGTGCTGATTTAGGGAAGACGAGAGCAGAGACTGCAAAACAAAGTGAAGACCAGAAAGACGATGAAGAAGAAAAGCCAGCCATGCAACGAGCATCCACAATGGAAGTTACAGCTCAGGTAAAGCTAGGCGAAAGCAGCAATTGAATATGTCTTCTTTTATATATTAGAACAATGTTTTAAGAACATGAACCTCAAAATTGGTCTAAAGTTAAGAACAAAGTGAGAACAAGCTGAAGGTGAGGTACTCCTCCGTAAAAAAACCCAACTGAAAACAAGAATTATTTTTGTCATCCAAATGTTTCTTTGTGGATTTTTCACGCTTTTCAACAAATCAAAGATGTCTTGCTCAATTTGTTTTGAAATGAGGCCTGAACACTCCCTTTTAGCACAATATTTAGAGATTGCACAGCTGACACCCTAATAACTTGCGAACAAATTAGGAAATATCTTGCCTTAAAATTTCAGAAAAACTAAGAACAGCTAGCCTGAGCTTCAATTTATTGGTTCTTATAAAAAGAGTGTATTGTATATGTAGTCTAATATGTGTGTACACCAGATGCAGTCTTCACTGTGACCAAAATTGAGTTACATTTTGTTAATGGGGAATTTTTCGATATTTAATTCAATGAAGAAACTTGTACTGAAATAAGATGCACCTTAGTTACAATTAATCCAGACCTGTCAACCTAAAATTTTCAAAACCGGGAGATTTCAAATTTTTTGTTGAGAAAAACAAGGAGACTTGGCCAATAACAGGGAGATCCCTGAGATCCCTGGAATTTCTTGAATTTATAAACAACATACCGGCAAAAAAATGTCATGTTGGACAAACAGTTAATGACAATCATTATCATGGGACGCTTCTTCCCAATGGTTTTTAACCTTTTCGTTTTTTTGTAAACACTAACAAAAAATATTGTCACAAAGTAATTTCAATCATTTTGTTATAAGAAAACCTCTGCTAAAAGACAAAGAAACACAGGGCAAAAAATTATAAAAAACTGGGAGACCGAGAGAAAGCATGCAAAACCTGGAGTCCCCCAGCAAAACCAGGAGAGTTGACAGCCCTGTTAATCCAATACTAAAACTACATTCAGTGGCAGAAATATGGCTTCTTTGATTAGCCAATGAACTGATGGATGAGGCCAGAACTAAAATTTTCTTTATAGTTCAGAGAAAGAATAGTTATATATTAAAGAGATTGTTGTGGTGAAACTTTATTGTGGTTATTAATGATATCAAATTTCCAACAACACCTGCGATTAATACCAAAGTGTTTTATCTTGTATGCGTTGTTAAAACTTATTATATTATAGAATGTCTGGTTATAAGATGCAGTATATATATATCATAGAAGATTTGATTTTATGCAGGAAGCAGCCAAACTGTTGGAAGCTGAAGGAGGACTTGTGGAAGGAACCAGGAGCGAAGTTAAGCAAGTTCAAGAAGCAATAAAGGCTAGTGAGGAAGAAAAGGTAGAGACAAATGGTACAACAGATGATGAAGAAAGTGCCAAACTAAAGAGGAAAAGTACCATGCAAATGACTGCAGAGGTATGTAAAGATACTTTGTCACTGTGCATGGAACAAATATCAACACAATGTGTTATTCTTTAGATATATAAAGCTGCAAATTTCAATACTGATTTCAAAGGTTTCTTAATTGTTGCCAGTTTCTTAAAGTGTTTAATATTTGTATATTCAGGAAGGAGAGGAGTTCTTGAAGAAGCAAAAGTTATCATCATCAGATGAAGCAGAGGCTGCAAAGCAAGTTGAAGCATAATTGCTCTTATCTGATGGCTGATCATTGCAAAGCACTGAACAGACTGTGATGACAGCATCATCTTTGTACATAGAACCATGTGGTACTACTTCGTTGTGAGGGTATCATTGAAAAGAAGAACCGTTGTAAAAAGGGATGATATACTGTGAAATAAGCACAAACATTGTTAAGGGATATTTGTTTAGTTACCAGATTTTGTTTCAATAATTGTTGCTTAGTAATTTATTCTGTCATCCACCCTTCTACCCACGAAACTTCCCAAATTCAAGTCTCATCTCATCCATTGACGTTACTTGTGAAGTATTTACATTAATTTTTAAATGTTTCGAAATATTATTTGCTTTTATTTTTGACATCAAAGGTACATGTTGATGTCACTATTGTTTCATTTAGAACTATCCATTAAGAAATGGTAATTTATTTTGATATTTTAACAATTTAATTTTTGCAATTGTTAATTTTAATGTTGATAAAGAATTTGTTGAAAATTACTTTTCCTGAAGTGTTTTCTGCTTGGTACAGCCAAATATTAATCCTTTAAACTGCACATTTGTCACATCTTAGAACTGCTGTTTTATGAATTGTCTTGTCTAGGAAATATCTTTATCTGCCCCAATAGCTAGGTAAAGGAATTTTAAGTGAGTATTTGGGGATGTAACAAAATGTAATTTTTGATGGAATATATCTCATCACCAATCATGAATTTTACAGAAAAACCAGACTCAATACTGTGTAATATTTTGTGTTTTTAGCAGGGGACTTTAAGACAATAATCATTGCTTCATAAGAACCTGATGTCCACTTTATGGGCAAGTAAAAAGGTACTATATATGTGTTGTGTCCCTCCTATTTGGTATGTACTTGCTCTTGATGCACATATTTACTGCATGGTATTTGTTACAGGGACTGCAGAACCCCCCCCCCCCCAATAGTTACCAAAATTTACTTAAAACTATACAAAAAGTTGCCTTGTGTAGCCTAGCCAGTGGCACTCCTTGGATCATTGTTTTTAGCCTCCACTTAAGTGATACTTTTAGTAGACTTCTAAAGTCTATACTTTTAGCAATGAGAGAATAAGGATGACAGAAAAGGATTTCAAGATTACAATTTTGATTACCAATTTCAAGTTAACAGGCTTCTTTTTTCGGAAGCAAGTGCTGATATTAGGTTTTTTGAGGTAGCAATTCAAAATTTAACTTTTTCGAATGGATTAAGAATTTGTATTGAAAAAGGAATTTATAAAAAGATTGAAGCAAAAGCAGCGTTGATTGAAACAGATTGTGTATACAAGCCAATCCTGGTGAGGATGTGGTACATCCATCTATTCACAATGTATGGATACATAGAAACATTTTGTAGCCACAATATGAACCATTTTACGTTTTTCTTTTTGATGTTTGAAAGTTTTCTAGCACTTCTCCTATGTGGTAGCCGTCATCGCAGGAGCCCCTGTTTTGGGCAATCTGAGGGTGCAAACTATTAAACGGTGCGGTATGTCCTGTGGGCAGCAAATTGAATCCTGCAAAGTTTTCCCATGCCCCCAATCTTATTATCCAGGCATTTGATGACATCAAATGAAAGAGGGGGCTTTCACAACTGGGTTGTCCATGGCTTATCATAGCTCGTGTCTCGGTGGGCCTGATGTTACTAGTTTAAATTGTTCCCTCCGTCCCCATTGGCTGTTTTCGGGAATATGGGGCCCAGAGCCAAAAACATCTGCAGACATTTATTCTACACAATTTTTTATTTTTTTTCCTAGATGCAGGGCTCCTTCTGGTTATTTTAAGCGCAGGGCCTGTGACCGCAGCCTCTGAAACTGACATTGATCGCCCCCTTTATTGTGACCCCAATTGTTGCGTAATATGAGTAATTATGCACAATGTTTTGGCAGGCACGTGACCTGGATAGTGGAACCACTTACGTAAGTTTCCTAGCACCTCAGAACCCTCAGAACCCATGGTCGCTGGCAGTTTTGTCTTGCGTTAACCTTTTGAAATGAGGACAGATTTCCTGTTGCGGTGCAGTTGCTGTTAAAAACGATATTATTTTGATGCTGCAAGTGGACAAGAAAATACAGTGTTGCGGCGAGGCAAGTACCAAAAATTTTTCAACAAGCCTGTCTCTTCTAGGAGAAAATGTAAATTCGTTTCAATTGCTTTTTCCTATATTTATTCTTATAGCTTCGTTTCAAGTCGAACATGCCGATAAATCGCGGTGCTGGCCACTGTTCTTTTAGTGCTGAAGCAACTAAAGTCTCAAAATTCGTGCGGCATAAAACAATGCCGATTTCGTTGTTAGCATAAAACAGGTCAATTGATCACATATGGTGTAGCTTTCTTTGAGCTAAACCTTCCAAACACTCACTAGACAGCTGAAGTTTAGCACAAAAGAACCGCAATAGGTGAACAAAGGTAGCAACAACACTAATTTTGTAGGCCCTCAGAATTGCTTCCCAAAATGTCATTAACACATTTCAGGAAGTTCATTTCAAGGCAATAGCTTTATAAAATGAAAAATTCAGCTGTGTTTGATATTTAAGGCAGTGAGCACCAGTTGAGAATCACCAAGGTTTTGTTGCTTTTTTGAATTTGCCTTATCTCTTTGAATTGTTTAATCATTTGACATTTATTTACAGATATCTAAACTATTTTCCTGCTGTGTGGTCCAAGATGCGTTCTCTAAATTATGTAAATGTGCAATTAGTCTTTGAGCAATGTCCCTTGTATGATCAAGCTATCCTAGTTGTGTACAATTGTCAGAAGCTGAGAGTTGTGACTCTCATCATCGTCGTCACATCACAATCATCGTCATCCATCATCATTATCACCATATCCTTTGTTTAAAGGCCTACTTTTCCATGTCTGTAGTCAGACTTATGATGGTACTCTTCTGTTTTTTCTATCCTATGCTTCCTTTTCATTCCGGTCCTTCTGCTCTGTCACTATCCCGGGGTGTGCACTCCTAAGATTTTGTGAACTAGCTTTAGAAAAAAAAGCTAAAAATGATATCCGGCTTTGGAATTTTTAGATTCACTCAAAACTCCATTTCTACTGTATATTATATAAATTTATGAAGGCGGGAGTTCACAGAAATGCTCAAAGACTGTCTCAAAAATCATCCTTTAAACATACCCATAACCATACTTCACAGTATCAAGAAATTATCAAGAAAGATGGCCAGTTTCTGGTTTTCCATGTTCTTTCATTAAATACAGCTAGTATAATAATGTGAAGTTTTATGTAAAATGTAGAAGACTAAAAAGAAACTTGGAATATTTACATAGTAAAGCAAATACATTGATGATCTGTATAGGGGCTCATATTAAAGTTTTTTTGGGGGTATAATTTGCTGGAATCAAGACAATGTAAATTTTGGCAATTTTGTTACAGAAGTTTGTTCTCATATTTGTACTCAAATTATCCAAACTTTATGTTGCACCAATCTTTCCCCAAACAAAAATTTGAAGCAACTCACAAAGTACTTAGGGCATCTCACCCCCTCCCCCCATATCCCTCTAACATGCACCTCTGCATTTACATGTCAATAAGTTATTAATCTAAAAGCAACATAAATGTATTTTGAAATTAAAATGTAAAAACATCTATATATACTTTGATGGTTTTGAGCTGACTAGCTTTGACATTAAAACTTGAACAGAATTTTCTATGTATGCAGATCAAAATCTACCACTCAGATAGAAGGTAATAAGCTGGGATGTTGTTTAAAACCCAATGTTTCCCTGCATGAAGCTTTTATATGGTTCTAGATAATGCCCTGTGTAATTAGGAGTGATTGAGAGTGATTTGACAATTAAATAAAATTTCCTCTGAAAATTTGCAGCCTAATATCTAGTAGGGGAGAAGTATAATCTTACTGTTGATGTGGTGCTTAGATGCCTAAAGGGAGTCTCTGACAATAACAGTTCTAACTCTTGAAGAATGCCAAGTCCCAGGATAGCTGATTTCTTGAGTAACAGCAGTTCTCACAGTTCCATCAATGCCCTCAAAATCTGCTCTGTTCACCGCTCTTTCTTGAGGTGTTCATGTTGGTCTCCGTTGAGGATGTTTGGCTACTCTTCGTTCCACAATCTGTATAATTGTAGCAAAATTATTCTTTTCCATATCTAAGTCATCACACAGAGCAAAGAAAAAGGAAAACTTTGGCTCCAGGTGCCATGGTTACCAGAACACCACAACAACACAGGGTGGGCAGCCTCTTTGCTGTTGTTTTTGAATAAATCATGTTACATCACTGGTTACATGGAGGCCAATACCGATGGTTTTGTTTGCAAATAATGATTGGGAAAAAATCAGCTCTGTTGCATGTTATCAAAAAATAACTGGCTTGAGAAAAAAAACGAAGATCAGGCAACCAGCTTTAGATTTTATCAGTTGAACAGACACCCGGCCTTAGAATAAATTGCTGAAAATGATACCCGGAAAGACGTGCACATTCTGTCAGCAAAGTGTACTAAGTATATTTTGACCCCTCCCCTCCCCCACCTCCTTCCTTCTCCTGTCTTACATGCCCAGCCATTATAGTTTCATTTATTCCAATGCCACTGCCACCCAATGGTGGAAGAAAAATTGATCTGAAGAAAGTCAATGAAAAAAAAACATAACATTTGAATTTCCTTTTTTTCCAGTTAATCAATAGCAGGAGAACATAAACATGAGTGCAGTGGTAAGAGATAATAAATATATTTTTTAAATTCATTTGGAATTGAACAATTCTATGATAAATTCTCTGTAGTTAAAGGCAAACTTCACTTCTCCATTTTGTCACTGAATGTTTATATATGAGGGGCTGCAAAAGTATGGAAACGGTAGGTCAAAATGGTAGCTTACAGTGACCACAGGCCTAAGCTACCAAATTTCAAAATTAGAATTATTGGGTGAAGAGGGGCTTGGAAACGATAGGTTATGGTGGAAAAATGCATTTGCCATTTCTTCAACTTACTGTTAGAAGAATATTTAATGAATGGTTGCTTTGCGGGAATATAAGTCAGAACAAAGGTGCACATATTCAGTTCCAAGTTTAATTAAATTATCTTATGCTTATTAGATTTTGTCTGTACTTTGAGCCATTTTTTATGAATCCCAGAAATTTTCTAAAGCACCGGTCTGACGTTTCCCTGACATTTTGCCCATAAAACAGTAAGCTAATCTTTCAATTTTATTTTGATTCAAGAGCCATTGAAAATACGCAAAAAATTTTGTGGCAAAAGCATTTGTCACATAACCCTCTTAACACTGAACTTCTGTTTTAAAAACCTGCCAGCTTAGGCCTTTTGCTTCTGTGTGTCCCCATTTTTAGCGCTGTTTTCACATTTACAGTAGTATCATGATCGGTAGCATTGCAGTTAGGAGGTTGTCATGTGTTTTTCTGTTGGTTGTCAATGTATTGAAATTTTCATAATTTGTTGAAAAATTGAAACAAAAATTTCCAACACAATACTGCCTTTCCTGCATAATGTTACAGTTTAATTTTTTAAAATATTGTTGTCTCTTCTCTTTATAGAATTTGATCATCAAAATTCCCCCACTCTTTGTTTTTGTATGTCCTCTGCTCGACCTTCATACTACTCTTTAGCTTGAATTATGTTCATCTCAGAACATATCTTAAATATCTCATTCTTAAATGATAAAAAGACACATAGTGTTTGGGTTTTATAAAATTTCTACATTGCTGTGCTTTGATAAAACTATTTGCTGCCTGGAAAGTGACATTTTCTCATAATTTTGTAGAAAACAACACAGAGCATTTTACAAAGGTTTTAAGGAAAATGTTTTCGTTGTTGTCTTCTTAGTTAATGGTATCAAATTATTTTTAGTGTATAATTTGAAGTTAAAGCAATTTGAAGCAATTTGAATTTAGAAGGCATGCCAATATTCATATAGCTTTAATTGCTATTTTAGGACATTGAACACATTGCAGCCAAAGATGGATTCGAAGGAGACGCTAATGATTTAGTAGATGTGACAATTGAAGAGAAATCTAAAAACATTGTTGTAATTGATGATGAACTGTCTGTTCAGGAGCAGAAAGACTCCTCTGAGGATTCAATGAAGGATCAGCAACTAGTCATTTTGGTAAATCTTTGCTCAATAACTTACTAGTCATATTATTCTTACATTGTCTATCAAAGTTATTAAGATGATTTAATAAGCTGAAGCAAAAAGATTACAATCTCTGACTTTGCTGCAGATTTTCAAGTTTATAATTTTCTTTGAATAAGCAAACATTTTGAAACCTGCCTAGCACAAACCATTGATCATATGACCCTCTTAATGAGTATAAATTGTCAGAACATAGATCCAAAGCTCTAATCTAGGAAATATTTGGCCTATTTCAATCAATAGCAGAGTATACCCTGCTATGGAGTGAGATATGCCAGCCAGAAATGCAATAACATGATTAACAGTTGCCCAATTTTTTCGCTTTTATGTAGATATATTTTAAAACTGCCAGATGGAATAACAACCAGGCTCTACCTATTATCAGAAACATGTCACCACTATAGTTTTTGGCATAATGTTGGTTATCTAGTATATCTAGTTGGTGGTGGAATAACATGTTTTGATTTTTGATCTTGAATAATGTAATACACTAAACGTGACAAAAGTATTAGGATGATGAATAACAAAATGGCGGCTCCAAAACTAGAATTCTAACAATGATTGAACAAATCTTGCTGTTTTGGCAGGATTCTAGAAATAGCGTCAGCAAAAAAAGCAATTCCTAACAACTTCAATTTATTTCCTACCTTTCTATGATAGAAAAGTAACAAAATGTCAGGGAGAAATGGAAAATATCAATGTTTTAGTTTCAATGCTGAAGTCACAAAAACAACCAGAAGAGAATGAGAAGCAATATAGAATTGGGTTTAGCGTTTCATTTGTTTGCTGAAACTGTAAGAAAGTTTGGTTGCAGACAGTCTACAAGACATTTTATTTACAAGAACAGTAAGGTAACAAGGACCAACTAAAACTCAAGAATTGCATTATTTCCCATTTATTGTGTCGGTGTTAAAAGTTTAACTTTTATCTAAATTGCCATTTGTTCCATTAAGAGGGAGAGCCCTCTTAAAAATATATATTAGAAATTTTGAATCCGCACCACATGTCCTTAAACAGCATCATGAAATGCCTCTAAATGTGCAAATCAATTAAATATGTCTTCACAGGCAGGGGCTCTTTCCCCTTCAAATCACTGCTATTTGGTCTCGGTAAATGAGCCAAGCCAAAATTACAGTAATCAGTTTGCAGGCTTGAAATCGTCCATATATCAAGCAATCTCTAACATAATTAAGTGGCTTTACTTTTTCAAAGGTATTTCACAGTGCTGTCTTTTTTTAGGTGGCAGAGAGTAGGATATTCTAGAAACAATATGATTTATGACATCACTCTTAAGAACACTGTTGTTGTAATATTCAAGTTCTTTATTCCACCAACATTGAATTTAGCGACACCTATATATTGTTCTCTTATAAAAAACTGTAAATTTAACCTTGTTTTATTTGTTGTTATGTTTTTAAAAACTTTGCCTGAAAAAAGTGCAGATTGCTTGCTGATGGCAAAATCATATATTTTGGTTTCTTGTGGAATAAGAAAAAATGTCACCAGTTGTTACTTTTTCATGGTCAATAGTGGTATATTACTATTCAACTTTTCATCTCTCGCATAAATGTAATTTAAGTCTATGTGCTACTTTGAAGCTTGAATTTGCCTGAAATTCAACCTCTTTTTCAGGATAGTGACTCAGAGGAGGCCAGCGCCAACACTGAGGAATCAGAGGCTCCTGAGGTGGTAAGTAACCTCACTTTCATTCATTCCAGCAAAAAGAAACGAGGCAAGTTAGGGAAGGTGAGATGTAAATGGTAAGTAGTTAAAACGATATAGAACTTTTAATGCATGGAAACAATATCAATATTTAATGTGGAGTCTTATTGAAATGAATTAATTCATTTATAACAGTCGGCTTTTATAGAGATATCAAGCAAGATACTGCTACAGATATTTTCATTTCATTGGCTAAACTACTCCTAATAGTACAAATTTAATGGCAATTTTTCTAGCAGATACCAGCTGAAGGGACGCGTAAAGAAGATAATGATGGAGCAGTTGCTATGAAACATGACGATGAGGAAAAATTTGTAAGCAACGAGGTCATGACTCCTGACTCTACAAGCAAAGAATTAAAATCACCAGCAAGAAATACACCTAACCTTAATGTTACTCTTAAAGTAAGTGGTGCCTCTCAATTTATCACAATTTATGCAATTTTTTTCAGAGCAGAGTTCATTAATTGAAGATGACATTTATACGCTAATTGAAAACAAAATATTGTGATTCTAAAATAATTAGCCAGAAGACCACATTTTCAAGTCTCTTGCCCTAGGACTTCATAGAGTATTCCTCCTTTTAACAGTAATATCAGGCCTCTGTGTAGAGTTCACTCATTTCACAAAGTACTAGATTCTTTGGAGATTTGCTATTGTTAATTGTCTCAAACATTTATTAGATGCAGTTCCGTTTGCCAAGTTTAATCTGCTGCGATGAAAATACAATCTGTAATTTTTTGGACTTCACATGAGATGATTGTGTGATCTTCAGATTTGTTGTTTTTCTCAAGTTTATTTGATATCTCGGCATGAGCTTTCCAAATCCGATTTTTGCGCAATTAAGCAAACCAAATAGTACTTTCGCATTTTCTCTTGAAACTTCCGTTAAAATGTGGTGCTCTAGAATGTATCGTTCATATGTCATATATATAATAAATATGTTTCTTACATAACAAGATTAGATGTCAAAATCAAAAGGAATAGTATGCTATTAACTTAATCCTTTTGCAAATATTTTGTTGTTTTCGTTTGTGGTTTCTGATGTATCTTTTTGTTTAGTTATACTGTTCATATTTAACTTTGTTCTCACTCTTTTAATTACCATCAGGAGGCCCGTGAGATGCTTGGCACCAGATCACTGGGAAGAACTCGTTCGCAGGACAGAAAGCGGACACTGAAAAGAGCCAGCTCGTCTCCCAAAGCGACCCCAAAAAGTGGAAAGGTGAGTGTTTTTTTAAAAGTTTAGTTGATATTTTTAATTTACCAACTGCTGTACCTGATGGAAGACAACAAGAAAATGAAGCTGAATAGTAAAGTCGAGAAGGGCACCGAAAATATCTATAGAATGGTCCCAGGCTACAATCCCTAAGAACGAGTAGGGAGAACTGTACCGGAAAATTAGTCCTGAAAACAGTGTCAGCGAACGGTTCTGAGATAACTTTTAGAACAGTTTTTTAAAGCAGTTTTGTAGAATGTTTTTTGCAGAATAGTTTTGTAGAACGTTGCCACAGAAAAGCCCCAAGGGATGGTTCAAAAGAATGGTTCAAAAGAACAGTTACTGAGGAAGTTGCAGAAATTGACTCATAGTGCTAGCCAGGGGCGGACCATTGGTCAAATATTGGGGGGCAAGCCTATTGTTTTAATAAGATGACTTCACATTTCCCATTGTTTTAGAACAAAAGACCACTGTCCTCTGCTAAAGTATTTGGGGTCGCCCCCTCTCGCACCCCCCCCCCAAGGTGTTCGCTACTGGGCTAGCCTTTAGATTCTTCAGACGGCTACTTGTAATTTGACTGTTGTATTGAGATATAGTCGAAGGTTTTTGACCTTGGAATAGTTAGACCCATATGCTTAAAGACTCCTTGCCAACAAGGAGCCTTTGCGCGGGTGGCCCATTGTCCAGGCGACGATCAAAACGATGGCAGTAAACTTGTACAGATTAACCAAGATTGATTTAAGACTGTCTAAAAATGCATTATGGAATGCTTGCGTAGCGCAATGGCTCGTTGTTAGCATCGAGTCTTAAGTCAAATAAATTTTAGTGAATTGGGATGGGGATGCAACTTAAACCCACCAGCATCGTGAATCGTGTCTACAAGGAGAGGCACGAGGCTTTCCTGAAACGCCCCACTTGCATATTTTCCATACCTGTCATTCACCGCACCAGTTATTCTTCTCAATTGAAGTAGAAATATTCGCCATTTATTGTCAAACGTTTAGACATTTCACGTCATGTTTCAATCTATTTCAGATAGTTTAAAAATTCAAACGAGAATACTTTTGATTCAGATCATAATACTTTTGATTTCTTCTGCAGGGCGGGAAGAGAAAACGAAATTGATATGGCCATTGTACACATAGGCCTTTTGGAAGAATAATTGTGAACGAAGCCTTAAACTATTATTCATTTGAGTTAAAAAAACTAAAGACGTTAAAAACAAAGTAAAGTATGCATTGAAAATGTAAAGTTAACACAGGATGGCACATTGAAACCCAAAACCATACCATAAAATTCAAAAGCCTTCGATATTTTCAGAGGACAAATTCAAAATATTGTTCTCTGTGTCGTTAAGTATCATTAAAATATCATGGATGTCATCACATCGTCAGACATTCAGCATTATCACCATCCCTGTCATGACTACTTCCAACGGCATCATCATCATCGTCATCATCATCATCATCATCAATCAGCATCATCATGAACATCATAATCATCATAATCATCATCATCAATCAGCATCATAATCATCATCATCAGCATCATCAGCATCATCATCATCATCATAATCATCATCATCAGCATCATAATCATCATCGTCATCATCGTCATCATCATCATCATCATCATCATTACCATCATCGTCATCATCGTCATAATCATCATCATCATCATCATCATCATCATTACCATCATCGTCATAATCATCATCATCATCATCATCATCATCATCATCATCATCATCATCATCATCATTACCATCATCGTCATAATCGTCATCATCGTCATCATCGTCATCATCGTCATCATCGTCATCATTATCATCATCATCATCATCATCATCATCATCATCATCATCATCATCATCATCAGCATCATCAATCAGCATCATCAATCAGCATCATAATCATCATAATCATCATCATAATCATCATCATCATCATCATCATCATCATCACCATCACCATCACCATCGCTTGTGTTGTTTCATTAGATTTCTCGGTAAAAGAATAACGATATAGTCAGTATTTGTATGAACGTGAACGTAATAGTTTTCAATTAGTTAGAATATCTTGGTTTTTATAAAGTAAACATAGTTCCTGAAGCAGCCTTAACGCACTTAGTTCTATTTAGACTAGCTTGAACTCTTAAATATTAATTACATCTTTTAGCATTTATTTTTAGTGAACATAGAAAGAAGATTTTAACAGAGGGTACAGACTTTGCAGGATAAATCATAAAGTTATGTTAGTTGGTACATTGCCTAGCAATGAATTTGATAACAAATGTCTGGGAGATTTCATTTCAATTTGTCCTACTTCTTTTAGTGGATCAGTCATTTCCTTTTGCAAAAGCAGCTATTATTGATAACTGTTGAAACTTGCACCAACTTACATTCGCACTTGCATCAACAATCTATTTCTGACCATCTGTTCGGAATCTCCAAAAGAGATCTGCTTTTCAACACGAATTATTGTTTTTATAAATTCTCTTTTTTTGTAAAAAGACAAGGTTTACTAAAATTAGCGATTATAGGAAAACTGTTTCCATCCAAATCTCTACTTGTTGTCAATACAAGCTTTTTTTAAACAATTGACGTTAGTTTCTGTTCCTTTTTTATTCATAAAATTTCTGTTTTTGTCGTTTTATATTTTTGGCAAAGGAGCAATGTCAAAAAGGCAATACTATAGCCTTACCAAAATGACTGATTGTCATCCCAATGTAAATTCTTTCTTGTTTATAGAGTCTTTTAAAACCTTTCAATACCATTTTCAGCTTATTTAGACCAGGTATTGTCAATATAAATGTACATTTTTTCTTTCAATTTTTTGCCAAAAAAGTAAAGCTATAGGCTAACGAAAATGACTGATTTGGGACCGATATTTTTTCATCCTAATTTCTCTTTTTTCACCTTTCCAGAGGCTTTTAAAACCTTTTAATACCTTTTGAGCTTATTTTGGCCTGGTATTATCAATATAAATTAACTATTTATCACTTCCATTTTTTGGCAAAATTCAAGGCTATAGGCTACCAAAATGGTCGACTTTTAACCGATATTCTTTCATCCTAATTTCACTTTTTCCTTAGGCCTTCAAATCGTAAAAAGTCCATTTTGAGCTCATTTAGAACAGGAATTGTCTATAAAAATTCACTATTTATTGCTTCATTTTTTTGCAAAAGGTCAAGGCTATAGGCTTACCAAAATGGACGTTTTTTGACCTATATTTTTTCATCCTAATTTCAATTTTTTTTTTCTAGAGGCTTTTAAAACCTTTAAATACCATTTTCGGTTCATTTAGACCAGGTATTGTCAATAGAAATTCATATTTTATTCCTACAATTTTAAGGGGAAAAGGCAAGGCTAAAATTGTCGTTTTTTGGCCGATATTTTTTCATACTAATTTCACTTTTTTCTTATTTATAGAGGCCTTCAAAACGTAAAAACTCCATTTTCAGTTCATTTAGACCAGGTACTGTCCATAAAAATTCACTTTATATTCCTTCACTTTTTTGGGAAAAAGGCAAGGCTATAGGCTTACCAAAATGGTCGATTTTTGATCGATTTTTGATCGATTTTTTCTTAACCTAATTTAACTTTTTTCTTATTTATAGAGGCCTTCAAACCTTAAAAACTCCATTTTCAGTTCATTTAGACCAGGTACTGTCTATAAAAATTCACTATTTTTTGCTTCAATTTTTTGGGAAAAAGGCAAGGCTATAGGCTTACCAAAATGGTCGATTTTTAATCGATTTTTTCTTAACCTAATTTCACTTTTTTCTTATTTATAGAGGCCTTCAAAACGTAAAAACTCCATTTTCAGTACATTTAGACCAGGTACTGTCTATAAAAATTCACTTTATATTCCTTCAATTTTTTGGGAAAAAGGCAAGGCTATAGGCTTACCAAAATGGTCGATTTTTGATCGATTTTTTCTTAACCTAATTTCACTTTTTTTCTTACTTATATAGAGGCCTTCAAAACGTAAAAACTCCAATTTCAGTTCATTTAGACCAGGTACTGACTATAAAATTCACTATATATTCCTTCAATTTTTTGGGAAAAAGGCAAGGCTATAGGCTTACCAAATGGTCGATTTTTGATCGATTTTTTCTTAACCCAATTTCACTTTTTTCTTGTTTATAGAGGCCTTCAAAACGTAAAAACTCAATTTTCAGTTCATTTAGACCAGGTACTGTCTATAAAAATTCACTATTTTTTGCTTCAATTTTTTGGGAAAAAGGCAAGGCTATAGGCTTACCAAAATGGTCGATTTTTAATCGATTTTTTCTTAACCTAATTTCACTTTTTTCTTATTTAACGAGGCCTTCAAAACGTAAAAGCTCCATTTTCAGTTCATTTAGACCAGGTACTGTCTATAAAAATTCACTTTATATTCCTTCAATTTTTTGGGAAAAAGGCAAGGCTATAGGCTTACCAAAATGGTCGATTTTTGATCGATTTTTTCTTAACCTAATTTCACTTTTTTCTAATTTATAGAGGCCTTCAAAACGTAAAAAGTTCATTTTCAGTTCATTTAGACCAGGTACTGTCTATAAAAATTCACTATTTTTTGCTTCAATTTTTTGGGAAAAAGGCAAGGCTATAGGCTTACCAAAATGGTCGATTTTTAATCGATTTTTTCTTAACCTAATTTCATTTTTTTCTTATTTATAGAGGCCTTCAAAACGTAAAAACTCCATTTTCAGTTCATTTAGACCAGGTACTATCTATAAAAATTCACTTTATATTCCTTCAATTTTTATGGAAAAAGGCAAGGCTATAGGCTTACCAAAATGGTCGATTTTTGATCGATTTTTTCTTAACCTAATTTCACTTTTTTCTTATTTATAGAGGCCTTCAAAACGTAAAAAGTTCATTTTCAGTTCATTTAGACCAGGTACTGTCTATAAAAACTCACTTTATATTCCTTCAATTTTTTGGGAAAAAGGCAAGGCTATAGGCTTACCAAAATGGTCGATTTTTGATCGATTTTTTCTTAACCTAATTTCACTTTTTTCTTATTTATAGAGGCCTTCAAAACGTAAAAACTCCATTTTCAGTTCATTTAGACCAGGTACTCTCTATAAAAATTCACTATTTTTTGCTTCCATTTTTTGGGAAAAAGGCAAGGCTATAGGCTTACCCAAATGGTCGATTTTTAATCGATTTTTTCTTAACCTAATTTCACTTTTTTCTTATTTACAGAGGCCTTCAAAACGTAAAAAGTTCATTTTCAGTTCATTTAGACCAGGTACTGTCTATAAAAATTCACTATTTTTTGCTTCAATTTTTTGGGAAAAAGGCAAGGCTATAGGCTTACCAAAATGGTCGATTTTTGATCGATTTTTTCTTAACCCAATTTCACTTTTTTCTTGTTTATAGAGGCCTTCAAAACGTAAAAACTCAATTTTCAGTTCATTTAGACCAGGTACTGTCTATAAAAATTCACTATTTTTTGCTTCAATTTTTTGGGAAAAAGGCAAGGCTATAGGCTTACCAAAATGGTCGATTTTTAATCGATTTTTTCTTAACCTAATTTCACTTTTTTCTTATTTAACGAGGCCTTCAAAACGTAAAAGCTCCATTTTCAGTTCATTTAGACCAGGTACTGTCTATAAAAATTCACTTTATATTCCTTCAATTTTTTGGGAAAAAGGCAAGGCTATAGGCTTACCAAAATGGTCGATTTTTGATCGATTTTTTCTTAACCTAATTTCACTTTTTTCTAATTTATAGAGGCCTTCAAAACGTAAAAAGTTCATTTTCAGTTCATTTAGACCAGGTACTGTCTATAAAAATTCACTATTTTTTGCTTCAATTTTTTGGGAAAAAGGCAAGGCTATAGGCTTACCAAAATGGTCGATTTTTAATCGATTTTTTCTTAACCTAATTTCATTTTTTTCTTATTTATAGAGGCCTTCAAAACGTAAAAACTCCATTTTCAGTTCATTTAGACCAGGTACTATCTATAAAAATTCACTTTATATTCCTTCAATTTTTATGGAAAAAGGCAAGGCTATAGGCTTACCAAAATGGTCGATTTTTGATCGATTTTTTCTTAACCTAATTTCACTTTTTTCTTATTTATAGAGGCCTTCAAAACGTAAAAAGTTCATTTTCAGTTCATTTAGACCAGGTACTGTCTATAAAAACTCACTTTATATTCCTTCAATTTTTTGGGAAAAAGGCAAGGCTATAGGCTTACCAAAATGGTCGATTTTTGATCGATTTTTTCTTAACCTAATTTCACTTTTTTCTTATTTATAGAGGCCTTCAAAACGTAAAAACTCCATTTTCAGTTCATTTAGACCAGGTACTCTCTATAAAAATTCACTATTTTTTGCTTCCATTTTTTGGGAAAAAGGCAAGGCTATAGGCTTACCCAAATGGTCGATTTTTAATCGATTTTTTCTTAACCTAATTTCACTTTTTTCTTATTTACAGAGGCCTTCAAAACGTAAAAAGTTCATTTTCAGTTCATTTAGACCAGGTACTGTCTATAAAAATTCACTATTTTTTGCTTCAATTTTTTGGGAAAAAGGCAAGGCTATAGGCTTACCAAAATGGTCGATTTTTGATCGATTTTTTCTTAACCTAATTTCACTTTTTTCTTATTTACAGAGGCCTTCAAAACGTAAAAAGTTCATTTTCAGTTCATTTAGACCAGGTACTGTCTATAAAAATTCACTATTTTTTGCTTCAATTTTTCGGAAAAAAGGCAAGGCTATAGGCTTACCAAAATGGTCGATTTTTGATCGATTTTTTCTTAACCTAATTTCACTTTTTTTCTTTTTTTATAGAGGCCTTCAAAACGTAAAAAGTTCATTTTCAGTTCATTTAGACCAGGTACTGTCTATAAAAATTCACTTTTTATTGCTCCAATTTTTTGGGAAAAAGGCAAGGCTATAGGCTTACCAAAATGGTCGATTTTTGATCGATTTTTTCTTAACCTAATTTCACTTTTTCCTTATTTATAGAGGCCTTCAAAACGTTTAAAGTTCATTTTCAGTTCATTTAGACCAGGTACTGTCTATAAAAATTCACTATTTTTTGCTTCAATTTTTTGGGAAAAAGGCAAGGCTATAGGCTTACCAAAATGGTCGATTTTTGATCGATTTTTTCTTAACCTAATTTCACTTTTTTTCTTATTTATAGAGGCCTTCAAAACGTAAAAACTCAATTTTCAGTTCATTTAGACCAGGTACTCTCTATAAAAATTTACTATATATTTCTTCCATTTTTTGGGAAAAAGGCAAGGCTATAGGCTTACCAAAATGGTCGATTTTTGATCGATTTTTTCTTAACCTAATTTCACTTTTTTTCTTTTTTTATAGAGGCCTTCAAAACGTAAAAAGTTCATTTTCAGTTCATTTAGACCAGGTACTGTCTATAAAAATTCACTTTTTATTGCTCCAATTTTTTGGGAAAAAGGCAAGGCTATAGGCTTACCAAAATGGTCGATTTTTGATCGATTTTTTCTTAACCTAATTTCACTTTTTTCTTATTTACAGAGGCCTTCAAAACGTAAAAAGTTCATTTTCAGTTCATTTAGACCAGGTACTGTCTATAAAAATTCACTTTTTTTGCTCCAATTTTTTGGGAAAAAGGCAAGGCTATAGGCTTACCAAAATGGTCGATTTTTGATCGATTTTTTTTAACCTAATTTCACTTTTTTCTTATTTATAGAGGCCTTCAAAAGGTAAAAAGTGCATTTTCAGTTCATCTAGATCAGGTACTGTCTATAAAAATTCACTATTTTTTGCTTCAATTTTTTGGGAAAAAGGCAAGGCTATAGGCTTACCAAAATGGTCGATTTTTGATTGATTTTTTTTAACCTAATTTCACTTTTTTCTTATTTATAGAGGCCTTTAAAACGTAAAAACTCCATTTTCAGTTCATTTAGACCAGGTACTGTCTATAAAATTCACTATATATTCCTTCAATTTTTTGGGAAAAAGGCAAGACTTAAAATTATAGTAAGACTGTTTTGTGTTTAATTTCAGGATGTATATAGAATTGCCTTTTATGTTTTCAGTTTTATGACAAAAAGCTTACTAAAGTTAATGTTTATGGAAGGATATTTTTCATCCGTATCTCTTTCTTACTGTTAATAGACCTAGAAAGCCTATGGGGACTATTTCATTTTGATTTAGATAAGGTATGTTGATATCAAAATCTGGCTCTAGGTTTTCTCAAGGCTGGCGATTACGATAGAAAAAGTCTTTTTTTAGATTGCCATGTCCTTTTATATAGGCATCGAACAGTCCTGGGAATTTGTCAAGATACACTTTGAAGTTACCTGGAAGATTATATGTCTATTTTGCAATCTCAAGTACGCGAGGATAACATCCTTGCTTAAAAATACAACCAGAAAATCAAATAAAGACCTATCGAGATGACAAAACTTTGTATGTTGCAAATTTGTTCACAAAACAGTAATGAAAGTCATATTTCTTTTGTAATTTACCTTTGTTTTGTCATGTATGGTCTTAGAATAAAGGCATATGAAAAGAGAAAATATTCGACGTGGAATTTAGGTATGATTTTTACCCAATACTGTGGATATTTGTTTGTATACCTTTGTTTGGAACACCACGGTTCTATCAAAGCAGAATTTTCAAAGACGATGAAGATTCTTAAATGTATTTTATTTTTCACCAGAAATGACCCCGTAAACGGTCTTTGAAATAATTTCACAACAGTAAAGCAGTCTTAGACGAAAACTAAAACTTGATATGACACATTAAAAGACAGTATTATCTCTTAAACGACTCCATACTATAAAACAACTTTTATCATCTTTACAGCGGCTTAAAATTTGTTTATGTAAACTTATCGTTAGGAAGACAATTTATTTAAGATAAAAGTCATACGATCCATGAAAATGGTTAAATTAAAGCAAAACCCCAAAGGTATTCGATACCTATCGTTATATAAAAACAGCAACACCCCTAAATGCAGTTTAGATAATCGGACAGGTGCTCGTGTACTTTTGTCCAAAGAAGACAATTGACATGTTAATGAGGCTTAGAAGTAGCACAATATCTTAAAGAACAATTGCCTAATGACCGTATTAAGCATGAAACTCAGAGAAGCAGCTTCGAACAGTCCAATCCTATACACCAAAAGCTCTAAAAAGACGCTTTGTTACGTTTTCGAAGTTAATTCTTTCGATTGAGAATGCCACGAAAAAAACTGCAATAGTAAGGACATTGTAAAGCGACATTCCTCGCATCTTTTAATGAGCCCAGCCTCAAAATGGAAAAATACGACCATAAAAACCTTCCGCTCTTTTACAGAGGAACAATATGTGTTTATATATATATATAATCTAATTTGTAGCTTTTTTGGATCCCAAACACTATTATGCGACAAGGTCAATCAAGCTGGTCAATAAACTTCATCATGATATTTGTAATACATAGAAATATTTCTCGTATTCAGCAAAATTGCAAATACTCATTGCAGGTTCACCAGATTTTTGCAGGAAAATTCTGAATTCTTCAAATTTGAAAAGCTTCTCCGAATCTCAGCTCTGTTTCTCTTTTAATGATTAGATTCAAATAGGAAATAGTGCTAAAGGTAACAAATTGAGCTTGCGAAACCATAAAGCGCCTAAATTTCGCTTATTTTCTGAAGTACTCCATGTTGAACACACTTGCAGGGACACCAATTTTTTAACTTTATGAACCGTTACATACTTTAAAAAAGTGTAGAACATACGTATACTTTGTATTCATAAAGCTACACATGTAGGGATACTTAGTAATGCTATTTATATGTAAGTAAAAAGCTTTTTAGACATGGCCCTATAATTGTCCTGTAACTATAGTTCAAACAATACTTTGTCCGATATCTAAACTCTAAGAGTTCACACTTTTTATATGACTATAATAAACGCATACAGACTTACAGAATGCCTACTGAACGACACACCAAGACTTGCTCGCTTTCTTTTCATCTTCTAATTGCGTCACATTTTCCTCTTCTTCCTCAGCTTCAGGCTCTGAATCGTCTTCTTCAGAGTCACGTGATACGTTGTATGAACGAATGAACTTGCATGGAATTACTTCATCAATTTCGTCACTGGAAAAAGAATTCATTATTCAATCTTGGGGATAATAGTGGTATCCGTCTAATAATTACAATTGAACGCGAGGTATTCAATCAGAACTTTTAATCGTCGATGGACGGTCTAGATGTGTCTCTATAGAGTGCCTAATAGATGAAACCACAAAAGTCTACCAGTAGAGCTCTTTTTGGCCCCTCTCTATTCTGAGCCCGCTCCGTATCTTGCAAAAGCAGGTCAAACTTAGCAGGAGATGTAACAATTCCTGATTGCATAAGTTTAATTCTTTGTCAACCTTTCTAGCCAGCCCTCAACTCTTTAAGCCAACTATGAATGCCTGAATAAACTCTATGAATTCAAAACCAGCTGAATCTGTTGCAAAATGGAGAAGATTTATTCATTCAAAGATCTGAATACGAATTTATTACAGCCAGATTCATAAATTTCAGAACCACGATTAAATTACTTTGAATTTACAAGCAAATCGGCACGTACTCATGTAACCAAATCGCAGCCAAAAGGCAACAGATCAAACTGATTTTTCCTATTAAACCGTAAATTATGGCTCCCTTTAATATAATATGATCAAATAAAAAATTAGATCTTTATGACCTCATAAATTGTCTACTCATTCTCATTCTAGCTTAGAGAATATTAACCTGGACCTATAAGCTACATAATAGCAATATGCCATATGGTCAAAGGAACTACTTGGTTCATTTACAGCTACCTTATCACTTCACAGAATAAATACGCACCTTGCTGGTCTTTTCTTTCCATTGTTTGCAGCCACTTGGTTCCAGACTCTAAGCTCAGACCCTCCGGTAATCATCTGTATTTTACCATCTTTCATTGAAGCTGCCATACAATTGATGTGGCCTAGATCATCATCTGAAATTGTCCCAATATAATCCATGCTGGGAAGCTTTCGAACTGTATGAAAAATCGCCATACATTGAAATCTGTGTTTGCAACAAATGGCAAAAGACGCAGAAAAAGCTTTTATAAATTTAGAGAACCAACTCGCCGATTGAATTGACTTAAAAACTGAGGGAAATTTATGAGTTTTAAAGCATTTATTTATAAAACCAATGGAATTCAAGATGAGATATTGCTGGTGACATTTTTTGACATTTTGAAACAAAGGTAACTGAAAAATTGATTTATTTATTGATTTAAAAATCTAGATCTTTTGTAGACGTACGATGTCTCGTTACAGGAAATGGTGCCATCTTAAAAAACAGACACCTCTTTAAAGCGGACGTCATAAAACAGGCCCAGATTTTCTCGGGAAATTTCTTCTTTCAAGTTAATGCTTTGCAGAATAAACATCCATACACCCAGCAAATATCATTAACTCGTTTTCCCTTCTATGAATCTGTTTTATGAGGTTCTGCTGTATGCTGCATTGATTCGCGCGTCAACTAGCTGGTCAACATCAATTATTTCATGAATAGAGCGACACACACAAAGTGACAACTATGATGACCTTTTGTCACAAGTCAAGAACAAATGAGCTTTTACATGCATTTCTTAGAGGCTTTTTCATAACAGAGTATTTCAAAATTTTGAATCGTTTTCAAGACAAAGATTTCTTATTTAGTTTAATTATCTTTAAAACTTTTTTAGAGAATTCCGATCAAAAAAATTACATGATGTTGCCAAAAATTACAATTCAAACTTGATTTAAACAGAGTACCAGCCCGTTTACAGTGCTTGAAGAAAAAACAAGGCTGCATGATCTGAATATGTAGGACCTGACAAAAGAGCTAACGATCATTTCAATTGTTGTGTTTTAAACACGTGTCAGTATTGTATAGGCATCTCATGTGATCACATTGTCACCATGCGATCTCGTGTGATCATGTAATCAACTTGAAGCAGCTACATCCCTTGCCAAAAGATATGTAACAACACAATATTCACGTTACAAAGTCGACAACCCAAAGATTCAACCACGGTTTCGCTAAATTCTCCCTCTTGAACATACCCCATAACAATGTTGATCCCTTAATTAGAAGTGTTTATGCTCCGGATCCTAGCTATATTGTCACTGACAATCATGCAACATTGATAGTAATCAACATTGAAATGGGGGGAGTGGAAACAGCTTTCAAGATCTGCGGAGATTTTGTGCAGGTATCCTGACAGTTTGTTCGAGGATTGCAGCTACAATACTGAGGATTCGTTATGCAGCACAATAACGCACAATAACACAATAGAAGTAATCTTACCGTTAATGTAACCTGTTCCATTGTCAATATCAAAACCAGCGCACAACAGAAAACCATCATCGCCGTCCTTCAACACTGTCATGGCATCCGTTGGACTGAATTCGTTTAGGTTGTTTCGTAGCTTGACAATTTCACCTAAAATTAAATTTGTCACATTAAAAAAATCGAACAGTATTATAAGAAATAAAAATTCAACAATATTCAGTATTTGGCGTTCAATAGGTAAGGCAAACTGCACTGTTGTTTATTTTCAACAACAGAGCTTACTCATTAGAGTTTACTGACGACATAAATAAAATAGAACCATCTGCCTAACACTGGCCCCTTAATACTAAAGTTATTAACAACTTCGCCTCCAAATGCTTTTCAAAATGCTTTGCTTTAGTAAAACCAGATAACTGCAAGATCGACAAAATCTCTAATCAGTTCCATGAAAAGTTTTTCGGATCAGCAATTGACTAGACCAAAATATTTTCTCTTATAAGCTCATTGAGAGACCAACCAGATCAACGTCGGATACCCGACAGTTGTATGCACGCCCATTACAGACTACGACGTCCTGTTATTTATAATTTGAGAAATAATATTGAATTAATGCTACCAAGGTTAAGAACAACAAGTTACGGATCCGAAACTATCATATAATGAGGGCAGCCTCTTTGGCTCTCTTTACCTCAGCACATAAAGAATGCTCAATCTATCAATGAGTTTAAGAAAGAAATTACAAGCTGGAATGGCACTGACTGCACATGAAAATTATGTAGGACGTTCGTACCACAATTTGGATGTTTGTAATACTAACGTCACTAACATATATTATTTTGTATCTTAATTAGCTCAGACTTTCATGCGTTTTTTATTCCGTTTCAAAGATTACTATGTACTTGAATTTTTTTCCATTTAATTTTGTATGTATTTATTCGATGTATTAGTTTTAACAGTTGGCTTGGATAAGCTCTAGAATACTTTACTGTAAAAAGCTATGTTGTGCCAACTTAATATAAATTGATTATTATACTTCTTAGCTCCAACTTCTGATTATTATAAATACCTATTTAGCGGCATATGAAAATTACAGAAAAATTCACCTGTTTTTGTGTTGAATGCCTTAACATTAAATCCATCATCTCCCCAAAAGACAGTATCATCGAACGCTGCGATGCAGCTGATTTTACGCAGCGGCAGATTCAAAATGCTAGTGTTTGGTGTGTCTGCCGCGTTTTCATCTTTTTTAAACGACTTGACAGTGGAAATGTCGTCGTAGGTATCGATTACATTGACGAGCTCACTGTCATGCAGCTCAAAGACTTTAACTATGCCATCTGCGGAGGCGCTGGCAAGCCTGCTATCGTCCATAAACTGTCAGTACAAAAGAAAAAGATGCGATTAGAAATTCAGTATTTCCATTTGGATTGCAGAAAACAATCTTTTGCTGAGCATCCAGCATTGCATACGGGGATGACTGCTAGAGGGACATGCATGGCTTTTAGCAGATACACAATGATAACGCTATTCCATGCCATTAAAATACCTTCTGTGTCTATTCTAGCAAAAAGAAAGTAAATTCATCAACAAATAATGACTTTTAAGGCCAATCATAAAAATATCAAGTTGATATTAGACAAGTACATTTGACAACTCCAAAAGGAAGGAGTTTATAAGAAAATGAGGTAGGTGACTACAAAGATTCAGATTCAATAAAACAGCATATGTAGAATAAAAACTTCGTATTATTGACAGCATGATAGTTGTGGCATTTTCTGGAACAAGAATGGTTGAAAAATTAATCGAAACATACCACAATTGCCACGAGTGCATCGTCGTGTGCTTTGTGTGAAATGGTTATTTCGCCTTTCACAATATCGTATATGTCAATCTTCCCACCTTCTGTTAAGTGAAAGAAAATTAAAGTTTAGTGGTGATATATGGTATGAGATGATAATTTTGCAATGCCATAGAATATAACTGAAGAATAAAGCAAGTGAACGTAACCAGCGAAGTCGGTCGGAGTACAAACAACACAACAACAAAAGACAAAAAACATTGAAACTATCAATAAATTACATATTTTATCACTATTCTATAAGGTCAAATTTCACACAATTTTACATGTAATCATAAAAATTCAAGTTTGTAGTAGATTGACGCATTTAGGCATTTCCACTGTAAATATAAGCATTTACAAAGTGAAAAGTTGGCTTAAAGAAAAGAAATATGTGGATTGACTTACCATTTCCAATGGCAAGCAGTTCGTTTTGGTGGGCCAAACACGTAACAGGATTAAACACATACACTGATGAAAGTTCCTCGCCTGAAAACAAAACAATTCACTCAGCTTAGATAAACTCAGCAAGACTTTTTAAAACTATCTTTACAAAGAGTGACCGACGACCTTTCATCTACTTTCAACCAATGGGTAGAATTCTTAACAGTGACGGAAATTATGGGGGCTTAGGGGGGGAGGGCTTGGGCCCCTACAATCAGCGATGTCGTCGGAAAATTCGGGCTTTCGTCAGATAATTGACAACCATTTAACGTGCCGAAATTACCCCCAAAAAATCGTTCTGAAAATGAATTGCCAAATTTTAAGCTAATCTAAGGGGCGTAATTGCCAAATTTCAAGCTAATCTAAGGGGCGTAATTGCCAGATTTTAAGCTAATCTAAGGGGCGTAATTGCCAAATTTTAAGCTTATCTTCTGCCAAATTTTCTGCTCGCTTCGCTCGCAGGTGATCTTCATTTTCCCTCTTTACCCCAGGTGCCTCTATAACCTCTCTATTTCTATCAAAATGTGCAGTTTCTTTAAAATTATACATGATCCAAGATGTTATCTTGTCGGAAACTCGTAGGCCCGGGCCCCCCAAATGAAAGCCTGAATTTCTGCCACTGATTTTTAAATACAATTTCAGAAAGATGAAAAAAGAGTACAATATCGTTTACATCAAAGACTTTTAGCTCAAGCATTCATCTAGCATGAAACGTTAACATCCGCATGCGGATTGAGATTAAACAATAGGAAAAGAGCAGCACCCTATTCATTGGTGTTAATTTACGGTGGGCGATGTTTCATCAGGACTCGAGGCTGGAACCTTTTGCGAGACCAGTGCGCTAACCAGAATAATGTCCCCAACCAGCCACCAACCACACAAAATAAAAATAACGTGTCAACATTCAAGTTTTTATAATCTATAGGCAGGGGACAAAGTACGAGCCATTTAGATACCTAGCAATGTCTTACATTACATTCGTTGTTATCTTCTCCTTACTATAAGTCAGCAGGTGCTTTCTACATATGAATAATTATTACAAAGAAACCATCTATAAATAGGTATAAGAGAAGGAGCACGATTGTTTTAGCTTTCTTACCTTTCTTAACATCCCATGTCTTAATTGAACAGTCTTGAGAGCCTGTAGCGGCCCTGTCTTCTGATATAAGCACAACTGATGATATACTGCCCGTATGTCCACCAAGGCTCGATAACTCTTCGTATGTTTCTTTGTTCCAGATTTTGAAACTTGTATCGTGGCTAGAGAAGATAATATAATAGTAATGGATTGCTCGGTCAAAATATATTCTAGAAAGCACATAATTTCGTCTGTTATTTGCTCTACTTTTCGAAGACATCAATAAAGTTGTTTGAAATTCAAATAACCTAAACTAAATTAGGAACAACTATATACACCAAGTCCCCTGCATTATGCATATTTTGCAATATCTATTAATACGTTAAAAATTGTCATATTGTCCTTTTCTTTCAAATATAACAACCTTTATTTCGCAATTTAGTCAGTTATTGACATCATTTGAAATTACTCGTCCTCTGTGTTTTGTTTTGACTTCTAAACGTATCTTAAGGTTGCGCTCGTATAACTGTAAGACCTCAGCTATCTGGACAGAACCATATCAGTCACTTAAAACTTCCTTGTTCCAGTGGCGGACACCTGTAGGGCAAGGGGGCGTGGTTGCCTCCCAATACTTTGGAGGGCAATGGTCTTTTGTTCTAAAACAATAGAAAAATGTGACGTCATCTTATAAAAACAATAGCTTTGCCCCCCCCCCAATATTTGACCAAGTGTCCGCCCCTGCCTTGTCCTACACGCCAAAGCGTGATGAGCTCTGTCTGTCCGCCATAACAGTTTTCTTCACTAACTGTAGAACTACTCACCCTCCAGATATGATTGCCTTCTTGTCAAAATCAATACCGCAAATTGGGTGGTGATGTCCTTCGACTAACTCAACTGAAAACTGCACCTGTTTGCATTCCTTTGGGTTGGATGGATTTTTCATAACACCCTTTCCTTTTTTAGACTTAATGATTTTCACTTCATCTGTTTCATTGGCCTCCACTTGCATAGCTTCATCTAAGATATAAAGTGAATATTAACACTTAAAAGAAACACCACATATGCTTGTACCAAAAATGATATTTAACAAACTGCTTGACGGGACGCAGAAAGAAGTCCATGGGACTATGGAAAAGGGGTGCAGGGGTGATTTCATAATATTGAGTAATTGATAAGCAGTTTATCTAACTACCAACCAATCTCCAAATTTAACATGGCCCTGATTGAAGAAAGAACAACTGTAAACAAATGGAAATTTTGTTTCAAATAGAAAAGCAGCCAATTGGAAACTGTATTTTTAAACATGCTAGCTTTATCATATTGTGATAACTTGAGAGCATTTAATCTGTTATAACTGAGAGTGTATAGAGAAATCACTCATAGAAATTACAGCACATCACCCAACAGATCATATAATTTCTTTAAAAACAAATCAAAGAGACAATTTTTAGTTTTTGTTTACCAAAAAGCCTTATGATTGTTTCATGAAGAGCAATAGTGGCAAAGTAGTAATTTAAACATAGATAATCACTGAAAGACCTGGATACAGTTCTGACAAGAGGGTATTTGCTTTGGCTCCTGGGGTTATTCAGACATTTTTTTTAGTTTGGTAATGTTGGGGAAAGGCTCAGGAGCATATAAATAAGCCCTAATGAGGGAAATGAGTGGAAATAGAAGAGGGGGAGAAAAAATCAAATTTGATAATTTTTGTTTTGAATAAAGACAGGTTATAAGAGTCTGGGAAGCAGAAAGGGTGTAGAGCATTCCAAAGTTTACAGGATTCAAGGAGGAAGGAAGAGTTATGGGATAGAGTTTGGCAAAGTGACTTGGAAAGGGTGAGCACTGTAAGGGTATCTGGTTTTGAATGGGCAGGATTACACAAAGTTACATTTCTTATTGACAAAACCCTTTAACATGAATGGGCAGGAATACACAAAGTTACATTTCTTATTGACAAAATCCTTTAACATGAATGGGCAGGATTACACAAAGTTACATTTCTTATTGACAAACCCCTTTCATTCATTCAAACCCTAACATTCAGGCCATTAAGTTATGTGTTGTCACATTCTTCTAACCTTGATTCTCTATGGCTAGTAACAACTTATGTCACTTTCTTAACCTAGTTCCTGTTTTCACACTGATCCAACAATGTAGCAAAATGTCAAAAAACTCACCATCTTTCTTCAACACTTCTTTTATAGTTTCACTTTCCTCTGTATCTGGGTTTTCCTCCAGTTTCAAAACTAACTCATCCTCTTCTTGGGCTTCTTTTTTCTCTTTGGAGACATTGTCATCACAGTCACCATTCTGCTCTGCAATGGTTAATTGCTCTTCTTGTTGCTTAGTCTCCATTTCCTGGTCATCTTCCAAAGCCACTGAAATCAGTTCTTGTAGTTTCTCTCTAATATCATCACTCTGATTAATCTGCAAAGAAAGAAAAAGTTGCTTCGTAATCTTGCTTCTTTTCATTTATATAAACTTTTACTTATAAATATGAAAGGCATCAAATCAGTGATCAAATCGAGTCATGGTTTTGTGGTGCAATGCCATTGATGGGTCTGACAATGATCACATGAAGTTGCCTTATATTCCTTTGCAAAACAGCTTCTGTCAATAGCGAGTTATCAACAACCAATTTAGGTATCACAAGAAACCAAAACAATCACACCATAAGCAAATGACCCTGTTAAAAAAAAACCTATTTACCATGAAGGCCACCTTTAATATGATGACCAGCAAAGTTGTAGGTTTCAGAACCCTCTTCAAATCCTATATTCAAAGATTAAGAGGGTACTTTTCTAGCATCAACTTGACACTCTATACCCTCTATTTGGACTCCATAAAAGGGCCCACATAAGTTACACCATTTTCCCTTGTTTGCTTACCCATATAACTTGGCACACCTATGTCCAGAGAGTATCCTCTCTAGAGGCAATTAAGACATTCTTTGATGTGAACTTTGTGTTTGTTACCAAAAAATGACTCTTTTTGTTTCTTATTCATTCTGATATGAAATTAGAGTTGGGAGCTTGAGTGAAATCTATGTGCCGAGACTTAAGCTGTTACTACATGGTCGTGTTTTGCTGTTACTAAATGCTATATTAGTGAACAATGGTAATTTTTGTTCTGTGATACAGGCAACCTGACTTACATATATATTTTATACAGGGTCTCAAGCATAAAGTGGTTTTGTATGAAATTTAAATGTTCAAAAATATTTCTTCTTGTCTCAGTTGTTAAACTTTGCTTAATCGAATAAAAAAAATTGTCTTTATTTTGCAAGCCTATGATAGAGGATGTGACCTGCCTGTGCTTAGGGACAATTATATGTTAAGCTTTGTTTCTCTTTTCGCCTTTTCTTTGGAAATGAGGTTTAATGAAGCACTCTTCCATAATACTGCATTGTTGACTTCTTTTTACATCCCCTAATGACAAGCCAAATTTTATAAAGTATATATAGTTTGCCTGTCCCAAGACAAAGTATGCGGCACAAGACATTTGAGAAGAGGTATCTAGTAACTTGCTCCATTGTAAGGGTAGCATAATTTTTTCAAAATAGTTTGATTCCCTAAACAATAACAGGTTCACCGGGGGGAAGGTTTGTCTGAGACCCATTGCTTATCCTGTCCATCTTGAAGCAGTTGTTGAAGCAGATGATAAAAAGGACACAGTTGAATTTCTATGTTCTAACTAAGTATTTTAAATCTGGAATGTTTTGCTAAGCAACGTTCTTGCTGCCTTAACTGAAAACGATTTGATTGAAAATCAAACAAATTTTTGCAATTGCATTTATAATTTGACAAGACATAATTTCTTAACAAAGAGCTGTCCAAAAACTATATCTTGTATTACAATAAATAGATAGAAGGTTTCCCACTCTGAAGTTTAATAACTGAGTTCCTCTTCTATTTTCTTATTCAAACCTGCAAACCTTTGGCATCATTTTAACAGCATCTGTTAGTTCAACATATGATGGGTGAGAAACAAAAACTGGGCCTAGTTCTCTGGTATATAGTTTAAGAACTTAAATAGCTTATAACTAGTAAAAATACTTATTTTGTTAAGAAAGCAAAATTTAGTTTTAGAAAGGGATGTTGCACACTAAAAAGCTACAATTTCAAAACATCTAAGCAGTTTAAGAAGAAGCAAATTGCAATAAATCAAAAACACAGTAGATAAAATTTTGATATGAAGTTAATCTTTTGAAATCATATTATGCCTAAACCCAGCTTTATGTTGAGTATTGTATTGTTCTCCTGACAGTCAAATAAGGATGAAAGGAAATTAAAAATGGCATTGGAATTGTGGTTTTAATTCTGCACAATCCCTTTTCAGCTAGTTGAAATTGCATGAGTGCTTTCATTAATCAACACTAGTTACGCAAATCACTTGCCACGATTGTAACACAACCCCTCTGCATATTCTTCGGTGCATCGTGGTCTCATTTCAGCATGCCTTTCAACCACAAAGGTTTTTTGGGGAAATTAAAACTGGTTGCAAAGAAATTAACCAACAGGTACTGAAAAAAATGCACGATAACGGGCATCTAGAAGCATTTCAACCCTAGAACGATGTGATTGTAATTAGAAAAATCCATATAAAAAATGATCAGGAATTCTAAAAGATCGTGCGCCAAAGATTCTTTAGTACATATCCAAGAACTTTGTTAACAGAGCTGAAACAGACAAATAAACCGGGTGCCTCGTCTCTTCAAAAAGAAACTTAAAGGTTAGGAACTTTACTGATAAGAAGCAATTTTGCGATCAAGCAAATGCAAAAAAAGAATCTTTCCGCCTGGTAAGAAGACTTCCAATTTGCGATTTCTTTGATTGATTTGCAATTTGCATTGCTACAGGTGCCTTGCGGGAAAAAAACCTTTGAATTTTTACTGCTTGTTTTGGAATAATGATGCTTTTTGAAAAACATAAAACATTAAGCTGGAATTGTGGCGTTTAATTTCTGGAAGTTGAGAATAAGATATCTCTAGCTGATCGACCTGAAAAGTAAATGGCTTTGCCAACACAAGTCTACTCTAGGCCTTCCTGCCATCATGCCAGAAGTGCTAGATTTGGCGCGGTAAGATGCATTTTTCCTCGGTGCAAAAAAGAATCTGTTACAATGTATTTCATACCTTATTGATCTCTTCTTCTGCGAGTTCCCTCTGTCCACACACTCTTTTTAAATTTTCAATCTGTCGCAGTTTTTTCCTGAGTTTTCTTATTCTTAGGGCAGTTTTTGTTTGTTGTGTATCCGCCATCTTCCAACGTGATTCTCTGTCTGAAATGACAATAGAAGTCGATCGACTCGACTTCGCTGTTTGATCAAACGGCCTCGGCCCTAGCCTCGATCATAGGCCCCCAACCACAAGCAGTTGAGTACTTCATGTACTTTTTGCTTACTGTCCGAAGACTCAGAAAGGTGTCAGAAATATTAACTTAGAATTTCAGAGTTTTCTCTAACTTTTAATTGCAGTTTTTGATTAGTTATACTGGTTTATAATTGGGGCTAATGTTTCTAATGTTACATCATCGTTTGGGGTCTGATTCAAGACATCCAACTCAATCGTTTCAAAAAGTGTGTGTAATAATGCTTGGGGTCATTCAGATTTTTTTTAGATTCAATCACAGCAAAATCCCGGAATAAAAAACACCCTGGAGAAAATAGTTCGTCACAGGGTCTTTATAGCAAGATTCTACTGATATGATATGGAATGTTCAAGTGACGTCATCTAAAAATATGCTTCTAGAAAACTAGAATTCCGACTCCGTAAACTGAAAGAAGACAATGAAATACCTCTAAAGAGGCAAAATCAGTTGAATTGATTACAATATCAGTTGAATTGGAAATTGGTTACGAATTTAGCATACAAAGAAGTATATTTGTGGTTTTATTTCAGGTTATATGGACTAACTTCTAAAATCGTACAAATATTTTTTGGTCAGCCTCGTTTGGCGCCAATAGGAATTTCACCCCGGGGTTTATGGCTTGAGGCCGCAATGAAGGCTTCAGCCTAAATGGATAAAAAACAAAGAAACCTTGGAAAAACTTGAGCGAAATATATTTGAAAGTTAGTAACAGTTGCGGATACCCACAAAGCGAGTAGGAATTTTAACCGAATAATCAGCTGCAGAGATTATTAGATACTTATAAAACAAACAAGGCATTTAGTTGCAAAACACGTGTTACGTTCGCGTGGTCATCTGTCGAGAACGTCCTGAAAGGAGATGTAATTTGCATGCATTCGAGGCCACAAAATGGGGAATCCTAAACACGGAAGCCCACATCTTCAAGGGTAGCGTGGGGGATTCTCTGTTCGTGTCAAAGATGAATTTACATCAAACTTACAGCCGTTCAGGTGTACAGAGGTTGTTGAGGAGCTAAAATCATTTTTGTTTGTCAGGAGTTTCTTAAAATGAAGTACACTCTTTTTAATAAGAATACTATAAAATTTTCCAACCTCGAAATTCTTGCAAAATTTTCATTTTAAGCCTGATTTTTTTCTTGAAATATTCTTAGTTTTTCAAATCTGAAACGGTTACAGGATAAGATCAACCGCTCTTGAATAAAGACTGCGCTTTTTGAAAAACGAAATATGCCAGTTATGCGAGCTCAGGCAAATATTTTCAATTTCTTATAATATTCTTAAAAACTGGACGATTCTCATCCTGAAAATTCTTGCAAGAAATATTGTTGGGGAAACAGAAACTTGTTAGGGAAGGTTCTTGTAGCTGCAAAAAGTGAGGCTCGTCAGTGTGTCTAATTCTTTGAAATGATCGTGAAATATCTAAGAAGAGATTCGCTGTGTAAATTTTTTATGTGAACCAGCAAATCATGTCGATGGAATTTTTGCAAATTTTTTGGACTCACTGACCTTGAGTTCTAGACTTTTTGAGATTTCCATTGCTTCTAAATTTGTTTGACTCGAGTATTTAAATTCCTTATCTTTCCAGATTGCCCTGTTGCACGGTACTCTTTTTTTACACTTGAACTTCGGCACAGTAAACGTAGTTATCAAACGTTGAATTTTAAAGTTTTTCTTATCAAAAAATCATTATTTACTGGAAATAATCATCCAAAGCGAATATATATAAGCATATTTCGGATTGAGGGGACTTACAAGTATTTGGGGGCTAAAAATGCAAAAAAAATCAAGGGCAAGGAAAGTTTTTGTATGGTTTTAAATACATTTTGGAAATTATTGGGAGACTCCTCAGATCACTGCGCTGCCGCGTTCGAGATCTATTACGGACAATTATTTACCTCTTAGTAAGATAGCGCTGAAGGAGGATTTGTTCATACCGGCTTTTGTTTGCCTTTAAACAACTTTTTGGAGAAAATGGAAAACGATACAAGACCTTTTGGCTAGATTCTTGCAGTGATGTGAATGATGTTATAGACCCAAGATAAGACCCAAGATATGGAACCAGAGGTGTAATGCTGAGCACCCTTTCTTGATGCCAAATATTGGAAAATTTTTGCTTTTGCTATTTTCTTTCGCAACATTTTGTGCAAAAGCCCCCTTGTTGTTCTGATAGCACTACACCACTGAATGAACCATGATTATTGCTAATAGTGTTATGTTAATATGATGTAGCAATTATAATTCCAAACGCCAAAGAATTGTTTTCATCAGGAGGATCTAAAGTATTGACGCATGACAATGTCGTATGGGTGAAGGGTGCATTGGCAAAGACCTGCGCCTGCGCCTGCGCTCTCCAAAGCTATATCTTTCTCAAATACAGTAAGGCCTCACAAATAAGAAACCACTTTCAAGAAACTTTCAGGGTCAAATGCTTTCTGAAAGGCTCTGATTGATAAACAACATTTAGGTTAAAGGTTAATATAAAGTTTATCATATATGGGTCCAAAATGATTAATTTTGAACAAGGCATTTATAAATACACGTTTTTTTAGTTGATAGAATAAATTTGATTTGTAGGTAACCGAATAATGTAAAGCTTTAAGTATATAACGACACTTATTTCAAATTAAAAAAACATTATACTGAATTGAAATGCAATTATGTATGGTAAGTCACACAGTACCCGCTTCAAACATGGTACCCGGCCTTGGAAAATTTAAAAAGCTTTTAAGAAGCTTTCGCCTAAAAATAGAAAAACCAAGAAATAAGAAACTCCTAAGTAGAAAAAACAGTTTCTTATTTGCAGGGTCTCGCTGTATACTTAATGTATCATACAGTGAAATGTTGTTTTACATTGCACTGTATAAATTACTAAATGTTATTACAACAGTGAACGTACAGAAATTACTCGCTCAAGCTCAAGCAATTCAACGATTGCAAAAGACTGACTACTTACTGCATAAAAGAACATGAGCACTTTTTACGGATAGAATTTTAATCAAATTTTGAACTTGGAAATATTTTGGGCTGTCTTTGTCGGTTATGGAAGTTAGTTCCAAATTTTGGTCCCTTGAAAAATGTAAGATCTGATACCATTGCTGGTAGTTTTGACTTTTGCAAATGTCTTTTGTCTGACATTTCGTAGCTCAAACAACCCCTCCCAACTCAAATGGCATCTAGAAAATATGTGTCATCCTAGATACACTATTTAATGCGTAATGTAAACATGCATATGTATTGAGGTAAAGAAAATCTCCAAGAGAAATGAGGCAAGACACTTAGGAAGAAATAAATAAATGATTATCAAATTAAAAATAAGCAACTTTCAGTTAGAAAATAAATAAATTTCATGTGCATTTATAAAATCTTTATAAATAATCGTAAGGTACCATATTGTAATCAACCTTACTTAATTTGTTATAGCACTAATTTACATAAAGGTTATGGCCTGGAAATAAAACATTATTGCATAAATTGGAGACAAGACGACAAAAATATCCTGCAATTTTTAAACTGTTATGGTTAGCTAAAAAGAAACAAGGGTGTGGGAGGGGGCAGATAAATGAAATTTTGTAGTTGCAACTGATTAATTTATTGTCTTTTGACCAGGGGCGCAGTGGCCACCCAGGGACAATTAAGCTTTTTTCTCACTCTAAAAAATATGTCATTCTGCGATCCTGATCATACTCTTGTATGTATGTATTTTAAATTGGAATTTTTACGTTAGGTAGAATTTCTAAAATAGCAGTTTTACCGAGGACCATCACAACCTGGACCATTACCGAGGACAGTTTTTGTTGAAAATGCTGAGATCCATCCAAAATTTTGTATGTAATTTATACTTAAAATTAAGGCTAAATCTATATGAGGCTTATACACGGGATTTTTACTCAAGGTAGAACTATGCAGTGAATATTTCATATTTATTTACATTAATTCTAAAAGATCATGATTAGTTTATCTATAAAGTCTGCACGGAGGCTAATTATTTATAAACAATGAATCGAAATATTACTTCTTGTAATGCGTGGGCGATCATTAGATATAAATCTACAATCAGTCATTTTGGTGAGCTCAAGTTATGATATGCTTCAATGTCACTCACCTCCATCAGTGGCAAGGTCAGCCAGACATGAAATGCTCCACCTCATATCAACTGGTCGGTCTATTTAATTTTTCCAATGTTTTCTCTTCACAGAAGCAGCTAAAAAGTGGTTTCACGCTAAACCCAATATCTTTTACAAATGCTCATTCCAAAGATTGATGAACTCTGCAAAAAATTGCAAAATCAAAATGCCATGGAAGCCTTCAGTTTTAGGCGGAGACATTGAAAGAGAATAGCTAACAAACTAGGTATTCCATTAAAGGGGAGCAGGGGCTAATTGTCCCCACACAATGCAATAAGATAACTATTAACAATTCATAACCCAACTTTATTTAGATTTAAGCCCCCCTCCTGGTTTGAAATTCAAGACTTTGCTTCTGCAATGAAATTATTATGCACTTTCATAATGATTAATGATTAAGACTAACAAATGCTTGTTATGTAGAACATTTCTTTATTCGGTTATGCACTTTCAATGTTAGGTGATGTATGATTAAGACCAATATTCGATAAAAAATTCCAAACTTTTGGTTGCAATGCTAGGTCGTTTACACGCGCCGCATAACGCATGATACTTTATTCCCGTTAAGCTTTTTGCTGGTCGTTCTCTCGCTGCCTCTGTCGATTATTCACTTTGACTTTGATGCTTATGCCTTAGCCTATATTCTCAAGCAAAAAGAGCGCATAAAACAATTAGGAAAGGACTAAATTCAAAACCCGAAAAATGTACAACAGTGATAGAGAATTACTCCCCAAAGCAAAGGAGTGAATTTGTTTGAAAGTTGCTTTACACGGCTTTGACTATAAAGAATAATTTTTAAGCAGAACCTTTGTCCGATATTTGCAGATGTCCGTCATTACTAGCTGTGTCCGATTCGTGAATAATTCTAAGTTGAGAAACCAATCAAAAGCGTTATCACTATCAAAAGTGCATAATTTGGTAATTACCTTGAAAATCAATCCGTCCATCTCCGTTTTTATCGGCGTCTTTCATCATTCTATCAATATCCTTGTCATTAAGGTTGTTTCCAAGCGACTTCATGACATTTTTCAACTCTCGTCGCTCGATGAACCCATTTTGGTCTTGATCAAAAACCCTGAAAGCTTCAATCATTGCTTCTTCAATGTTAACTGTCTCCTTCCTTGCCTCGATTATGCGCACAAACTCGGTCAATTCTATCGTGCCACTCCCTGTAAAGAGAAGGCCAAACAATCAGGGACGACTGATGGAGGAAGATCTCTATTGCCACAGCAAAGGAGAAACTTGATGGAGGAAGATTTTTGCCAAATGGTGACAAATACCATTAAAATCTGAATTGAGTGGCGACAGAAATGGCCCGGCGCACTAAAAAAACAGCAATGAATGACTACAAAAGTTTTGAAGCAATAAGGATAATAATAAAAGAAAGATGCAAGAGTTATGAAATGTGACAAAATGCCTGTATAATTTACCATCATAGTCCATCTCATCCACAAGTGCCTTCAGGCTTTCTGAAGATATGATATATCCAAGCCTTTCCAACACGATTCCTAACTCCTCTGAGGTGATTCTACCATCGTGATTTGTGTCAAACAATGAAAACATCTCTCTGATTTCTGAAAAGAGAAACACGAAATGATGACGTCACATTTTCATACATAAATCTTAAAATTTTCAGATGTCAATACAAAAAGATGTTAAGACACACAAGAAATTTGCAGTGACAAGTGGCAAGAAATGTGACAAAATTTACATTCCAACCAGCTTGTGAACACCGACTAAAATTATGAAGACAAAAGAAAAATACCAAAGTATAAATGTATATTAACTGACAAGGGGTAGGCTGTCGCGTGAAGATGACGGGACAATGGTCGGGTATAAATCGTGCTTTATAAGTCTGTTTAAAAAATTTTATTAGTACCATAATCCGTCATTTTTAATCCTCTCAAAGAGTGAAATGTTTGTGATTGCCTTTGAATGATTCAACAGGCACTTTTGCTATCAAAAAAAATTCTTTCTTTCAGCTCATCATGAGTGGCAAGACGTATAACGATGAAAACAGATGGCTCCTTCTTCACAGTAGAATTGGAGGAACTAATTGATTTTAAGAATTAAGTCAGCACTAGGAGTTAGATTATGCATAACAGCAGTTGATTAACACTCAAGGGCCCGTACTGATGTGATTAAAAAAATTCAACAATCATACTAGTCTTGATTACTTTACCTGGGGAAAATAAAAAAGTGGAATAGAAGTCAAGCTTTAACCCTGAAATGCCAATTCTTTTAAGATTAAAGGTTTCCTCGTGTCAAACAAAGTTCCCTAATTGCAAGAGAAGCTAGACCATTTAGTTGTAGACTGGGCTCTAACAAGTGTACTGGATCTTATCGCGCGTAAAGAAGAGGCCTAAGGTAGAATGCTTTGTTACATGTTGGTATGGTTCCCCTTTATGGTCGATAATGTTTATGTGCCAGAATGTTAATCTCTAAATCTGCGAAGAAGCGCTGATTAATAACTTTGCGTTGTCTACTTTTCGTTTTGGCTAGGTTTTTTAGACGAAAGATTTTAGCTATTGAGTTCTTGTTGCTATTGATTCGAAGAGATGAGTCCCGGATGGGTCTGTCACATCTACAATCCAGGCCAAAAATAGCTGAAACATTTGAACAAAATAGGAATTCGCGTGCTATATCCACATGCGCTGGTAAACTAAACCCCCTCCCCCCCCGGGTCAATGTTGGTTAAGATGGTTACGGAATAAGTGGGGATTACAACATTAGTTACCAATCCAATCAAAACATTGATTTGAGGGGAAGGAGGCGGATGATTTGTAAGTAGCATCTTTTTAGCAAGTTTCTCAGCATTTTTGGCCAGGATTGTAGAATGGAGAGCGACACTATCCCCCTGTTAGGAAAAAGAGAGGAACGAAACTTGAAACGAGGCCAGCGTTAAAATTAGTCTTCATCCTTCCTCGGGATGACCATTGTCATAGGAAACTTTGATCGTGGCAAATAATCAGAAATATAAAAATCTTCCAAAGAGAAAAAAATTGAAAACACTGTGCGATACAAATGCAGTAACCGATGTGATGTTGTTTGCTTTCAAAGACCTTTCTCTTGGTTTTCAGCAGTCTCTCTCAATTCCGATCTCTATCAATTCCGTCACATCTCTCTCAATCCCGATCTCGTTTTTCTTTCTAAATACATTCATTGATATATATAAATATATATATATACGTAACTAAAGACCAACCTTCAAGCTCGTAATCTGTGATACTTGCCAACGCCTAAAAAGAGATTGAATCAAGTTATTGGCTGATAAGTCATGACGCGTCAATATTGGTTTATACAAAGGTTCCTAGACGTCATAGTTTTTCCTGGATCTGGCAACCAGCTCAAATTGCAGGAAATATATCCAGATAAAATGACGTCACGAGGAAGGCTAGTATCATACTTTCATTTAATGAACTCTGAAACAACAACCAAAAATGCCGAGCAGTTAATCACAAGTGAGGGAAATTTTTTGTTCTTTCGATATATTTCTTTAATTCAGTATAACCCAAACATATCCTTTGTCTATCCTTTCCAGTAATTTTTTACTAGTGCCCTTGTACACTAAATCTCAGCTGATCAAAGAAACCAAACTATATTTCTATACGAGCACTTATATTTATTGAAAAAATGGTTCTTCATAAAATTTCGATATTAATACGATGAAAAATATCGTCGATTTGGAAGTATAAAACTTTCTTCAAGTTGGGTACAAATAAAACAAGAGGACACGAGCTCAAGCTTTTTGAGCAAAGGAATCGCTTGAACGTAAGACAAATTTCCTTTTCGCAAAGAATCTCAGAGTCGCGAAACATGTTGCCAGAAGTCATTATCAATAACTCAACAGTGCTGAATTTTTAAAAGCTTTATGATAGCTTCAATTACGAACAGAAAATTAACTTCTAAGGTTTCATAGGATGGAAGCCTCGCACTCCCTTATTCGATATATAATTATTCCCAAATTATCATCAACTCCAAAACAAATTATCCCAAAAACTCTTTACCAATTTTTCTGCTAAATTTTAAGATGCTTTCACATATGTATTTTCTTTAACAAGGAAACATTAAGCTCGTTGATGCATGCTCAGTGATGCAGTGAAGAACAAGATCAATGTACCGCTGGATACAGAAAATGCTTCATTTTAGCAAAGCAATGAGGGGAATGAACTGCAAGAAACACAAACCAGAGCAAATTCGTTTGTTACCTGCATTGTACCGCCGGTTTAAAGACACCCAATTTGGATAAAGGCAAGCAAATGTTGCAGAGAAAAACTTCCAAATCAACTGTCTACATGATAAAGACAACCCAATTGAATATGAAAATATTGTGAAATTAAAAGTGATACAAGATTGGTAAAGTAAGACACCACAAAAATACTCTCTGTGTTATAATTTCATGTTTTTGTAATAAAACTGGAAATTCAATGTTCTGAATTTTATCAATATTGATGGAAGTAATAATACAACAATCACGACACGATCTCATTTGTTGTCGCTGTACTTGTTGTTAGTCATTCAAGTTGACAATCCTTGAAATAACATGGGCCATAGCATAATAGCCGTAAAATATAAAGAGCCCCAAGGGGTGAATTAGGAATACACGAATTTGTTTACAATCATTTCAAATCTTTTTAATCAACCAAGCCTTCTTTCTTCTTTTACAAAGACGTAATATATAAATGGCGTTTTGGGAGAGCACATATAGTAATCCAACTCCGCAGAAGTCTCCTTAGTAGAAACGAGCGAAGATATTACCGTCATAAACGATCCCTTGATTTTCGGAACCCACGACTGCGGAGGCGATAGTTTCTATGGAAACTAACAAATGTAAATAAAATATTTCGCTAAATTTGGCTTATTAGTAACCTTCTAGCTGGAGTTCTTTGTAATTCATAATACTTCTGTGTTATACTTTTATTTAAAAATTCTACATCTCTAAATTCTAAATGATCAAAAGCCAAGTTTTGATCATTTTTCATCATTACAACTTGAACAAATTTTTATACATGAAGCGTCTGAATAAAAATAACAAGAGAATGCGACCTGCATTAAAAATTGAATTTGCCTTTGGTCTTCTTTCTGTTTTAATCAAAATCAAATTTTTTACAATAAAAGTGAAACAAAAAAGCTTTTCAGGAATCAAAAGAGACGTTTAGAAATCTTCAGGGTATCGAATCATTCCCCTACCAATAAGAAAGACCTATTTGATACAGGATTATATCAATTTAGAGTTACTTTTTCCACTTTTGTTCGTCGTAAAAATGCTTTTCGTTATTTTCATCATTTCAATAAAACGAAATTTGCAGGAAAGGAAGTTATTTGTCTCCATGATGCAAAATTAGCAGGGCGGAAAATGAAGTACTAGATATGTCTCGCCAAAGATAGTTATGTAAGCTCAAAATTGGCCGTTTCGGATGTACTGTGTTTTTATCGATGTTTATGTTCAAAATTGTAAAGTAATTTGCTCATGAAACGTCACTGCAAAATGGAATAAAATGACTGACTAAATTTGATTTTCCTATGTGCTCGTCTAAATTAACTTTTTCAGCGATGAAATTCAAGCATTTAGTAGCTACCTTGTGACGGAAATAGTCTGTGAGGAAGCTTAAGGCATACGGTAGCCTAAGATAGGCCTAGAGTTTATTGGTGTTGCTTTAGCACGAATCAGTTGTGGAAACAAAACGGCCAACAACGCAAACTATCAAACTTACCATTTGTCTCCTGCTCCTTCGTGTTGTACGCGATTGCCCACTGATCTTCGCAGTTGCAGACTGGCATCAACGTCACGCTTCAAGTTTGTGGCGTCGTCACACTACTGTGTAGGAATGAAATAAGACACAACGAAACTCTACAACAGTTTTATACCGATTTTTGTCATTGATTCGCTGTTCTAAAGAAGTTCATAAATGACTCACAAAGGAAACAAAACATGTTACGTGTACAACAATATCCAACGAAAAGAATGAAACAAGATAATGAACAAGCCCACTAGGGTCTCATTGTGGCTTTATTTTACCGTACAACACATATGCGGTTTAGGAAGGAAATATTTTTGTTTTCCTCAATAAAATACCTCATTTTGTTCTTTCTGAAAGAATGCCGAAGTGGCATGTTTAACTCATCATATTTATTATAATTTGTAGAAGCTAAACGACGATGCATTGAATTTCGTTGAATAAATATTGACTGCTATACCTGGTGGCTTTTCACAAGAGGCTGGAAGGAGGGCATTCACAATCGCTGTTGTTTTTCTATTAATTCTCGTTGATGTACATTCGGTTTTCGAAAAGTAAATGAGATTTACAGGAAATCCCAAACAATCAGGATATTTGTTTAATTGAATCAAATAAAAACGTTTTTACATAAAAAGGTATCGCAGATTTCCAGGCTCCCGACCTTGTCGACGTGTAATTTGTGATTCTAAACAACATGTAGGGTTTCGAAAATCCTAAACTTGTAAGTTTTGAAGGCAACCTGACGGAAGATATCGTGCTGATTTGTGATTTGGACGCTACACAATGTACCAGTTTCGAAAGAAGCCGCTTTAAAAGCTAACAAATTACAAGTTTCGAAAGGTACAGAATGTACCTGTTTCCAGAGCTGCAGAATGGATAACCTTTGGAGCAGTGTGACCAGATCTAGTATGCTTTTGGCATAATTTTGGACAAAAATCGTCCTTTAGCATAAAATCTGGCATAGTTTGAAATCTAGCATAATTCTGGCATAATTTTAATATTTGATAAGAAAATCATTGTTTCCATTGATAAGTGTACGGCTGTCTATCGTAACTGCATGTAAATACATTACACCCGTATGTGTGGCTATTATTATGTGAGTAAATTGTGACGCCATCTTATCATAACATACCAGTACAAGGAAGGAAGGTTTTTAAGTAACGTCTGTAATTGATGGTAGCTGATTGGTTACTGTCTAAGTTGGCAATGATGATTTCTTAAAAATAGCTCTGTCAGTGAAAAATATGGGCCACCTTATTTTTACATATACAATTAATTAATTTGCGCATGCGCTAGCCTCTTTTTAAAAGAGGATAGCCTTGATTTGAAAGTTAGCATTTTTTTGTAAATCTAGCATAATTTTATGACAATTTTGGCATAATTCCGAAATTGTGATCTGGTCACACTGCTTTGGAGTAAGGGTGCTGTCCTAAAAAGCTAGGAAGAGGCTGTGTTGCTGGCAATTTCTAGAAGCCACACCCATGGCCACATAAAAAATATACATGCATGAAATCATTACAACTTTTCATAGACTCGAAAAGCCTGATATGAAATTTCTCATTCACGGAAAATCTATAAGATCATAGAGTGTTATCAACACAGAATGCGTTCAGGCAAACATTCTCACGAGGCTGAGAACTTCTTCCACGCTGGATCTCTCTAAATTTTAACAACGGGGACTGAGCGCTGCACAAGCACCCCATCCACGACACTTCTGATTTAAAGTTTACAAAATGTACCACTTGGTGAAACCTGATATAGCACCATTTTTGGAAGAAATGATTGGTTGAAGAGTTCAAGAGGGAAATGAAGAGTTCAAAAGGGAAATGAGCTCTTTCTGTCTAAATAAGAAGTCTGGGTCTTTCGTTTATATGTGGACAAGATCTGCAAGACAACCTCGCAAAAAATAATCTAGAGTGTTTTTGGTCTTATATAACGAATCTAGAGTGCCTGTGGTCTGGATGAGGTGTCGGGGTCTGGGTGAGAGGTCTGGGTGAGAGGTCTGGGTGAGTGGGGTCTGGGTGAGGGGGTCTGGGTAAGGGATCTTGGCGAGAGGTCTGGGTGAGGGGGTCTGAGTAAGGGATCTTGGCGAGGGGTCTTGGTGAGGGGGTCTGGGTAAGGGATCTTGGCGAGGGGTCTGGATGAGGGGGTCTGGGTAAGGGATCTTGGCGAGGGGTCTGGGTGAGGGGGTCTGGGTAAGGGATCTTGGCGAGGGGTCTGGGTGAGGGGGTCTGGGTAAGGGATCTTGGCGAGGGATCTGGGTGAGGGGGTCTGGGTAAGGGATCTTGGCGAGGGGTCTGGATGAGACGTCTGGGTGAGTGGGCCTGGGTAAGGGATCTGGGCAAGGGTCTTCGGTGCAAGGGACTTGATTAAGGGTCTGAGTGAAGGGTCTGGGTGATGGGAAAAAATGGAGTTAGGTGCATAAAGAATAAGAAATTGAACATATTAAAAGAAGCCTCGTAGCGACGGGAGTTTCATATAATTTTGACGGCATTTAAGGTCCCCGATGGGATAAAGCCATTATCTATCGAAGTTTCCCAACAAAGGGAAAATAAACCGTCAAAACGAAGCAGAGCAAAATAGCAAAACGATAAACATGAAATAATTTTCTTCCACTCTTGATTCCTACCAATTACTAAACTCAAAATTACCTAGCCTCAACCACGCCTTGTAAATTGTCCAAGTCTTCTTAATAAAAAGGCAAGGCAGTCTTGTATTAAGTTTTGTATTAAGTCGTGATTGTCCAAGATATCTTTTACGTGTAGAAATTTACTTTCATACTAGCCTCTATCCATCTCGATTTCGTTACAACTATAATCAAGCTAAGTTAATAAACTGTGACCTTTAAAGCTAACAATTATCCATGCGTTATACTGCCTCAAGTCCTTATCTCTAACTTGTAGCAATTACAAGGAAAGAAACTAGAAATGTCAATGATTGGTATTTATTATCTTCCAACGGACTCTCCTAGTGATCTTCGATAATCTTTTTATCCTCATGTTTTATCGTCATTTCAATCTCAGAAATGTCGGCACGGAAGCCTATTTCGAAAAAATTGTCAGTGTGAGGGTTATCTCAATCACTAGCTATCGGCCAAACCATTCATGACAGTATGCAATATGCATAATAATTATAATTTGTGATAATGATAATATATGCATAAAACTTGTATGCATACATTTATGACAGTATGCAGAATGCTTCTATTAACCCCTATTAACCAAGTACCGGTGAATCTAGTGTTCCTTAAATATATGTTTTACAATAGATGTTATTTAAAAGCTATTTATGTCTAAAGAAAGAATAAATGGTCAAATCTAAAGAAAAATGCCAAAATTCAAAGTAAAAATCCTTGCAAGAACTTATGAACTTTAGAATTGATATTATGTGTTCCTTTGGCATTTTATTGAACATTTTTGCACTCTGGAATGCAAATGTTTTCTGTCCTGTTTCAGATTTCACTTCTGGAAGCTGTGTTCATTTCCACAAGTTGCTTTGTTTGAAAGTTTGAAAGTATTTCATAAAGTCAGGCATATGTTTGGTCATGTCCCCAGTCACACAATCCATACAATGATCGAATGTGTGAATGGTTACCACTCCTTGGAAGTTGCCGAATTGTCAAGTAAAATGTGCTGTTATTGTGATCAGCAAGCATGCAGAGAAGGTTTTTCTGATAGCAGTGCTAGGCTGTATTTTCTGAACTGCCAGTTTTTAGAAGCTTTTCTACGTTTGAAAAGAGTTATTGAAAAATGTTCTATGGTTCTGGATTATTTTTTTCAATCATTAAATCTTGACTGGTACCGCATACTGTGTGGCACGTAGAACTTGTGTGGCACAAACCACTCAACAAAGGAGCCATATTACAAAATATTTGTTTTCAATACTGTGTCATATAAATATAGCCAAATATGGAACTCGATCCCCAACGAAATAAAATATTCCCCAACTTTGGAAGGATAGGATAGGATAGGATAGGATAGGATAGGATAGGATAGGATGGGATAGAATAGGATAGAATGGGATAGGATAGGATATGATAGGATAGGATAGGATAGGATAGGATAGGATAGGATAGGATAGGATAGGATAGGATAGGATAGGATAGGATAGGATAGGATAGGAAGGATAGGATAGGATAGGATAGGATAGGATAGGATAGGATAGGATAGGATAGGATAGGATAGGATAGGATAGGATAGGATAGGATAGGACAGGATAGGATAGGATAGGATAGGATAGGATAGGATAGGATAGGATAGAATAGGATAGGATAGGATAGAACAGGGTAGGATAGAATAGGATAGGATAGGATAGGATAGGATAGGATGGGATAGAATAGGATAGGATAGGATAGGATAGAATAGAATAGGATAGGATAGAACAAGGTAGGATAGGATAGGATAGGATAGTATAGGCTAGGATAGGAACGGATAGGAGAGGTTTTTTTCAAAACATTTTGTTTATGAATATAACAATAGATTATTTTCAGAGATGCAATTTTTCACAACAAAAGCCGTCATATTTCAACCGGTGTCTAAAACATGAATGCTAAAGCCATCTGTTGCAATAAAAGTCAAAATGGGCAATCTGAAACTGTATCCCAAAATTTCATTGCAGTTATTGAAAATCTGCACATCATTCAATACTTGAATCATTTACTTGTTTTTCGGAAAGTATTGACTGCGTAAGACTAGTCGTTGGAATCAGCAAATACATATTTATTTGCAAACTTTATTTCACTGAACGGCTTTATGGCAAACGTCGGCCTTTTATCGTAGAAAATTAAGCGGAGTTGTTTGAAAAAGCTTAGTTATACAGAACATTCATTAAAAATTCTTTTGTTTCATAAAGAAACAAAGTACAGCTGGTTCTTGCCTCAAAATTGAAAGATCCGCGAATATTTGATTTGACGAAATATAGCCTTCATCTTTCTACGCTTTTATGTTTTGTGTTGATTTCATGGATGCTGCAAAAATCTTGAAAGATGTTTACAAATCGTGTCTGTGGAAAAAGTAAATTTGAATACATGATTTAAGAAAAGACGATTTTTGAGCTTGCCTGTCTTCAAAAGCCAATGTTTTGCGTTTGTGGATGGTAAACAAATTGTATTTGGTGCTAACAATAAGGTTGAAACATAGATTAGCATATCATTGCACTCACTGGGCAAATTTTGTGGTGCTTGCATACCTGAAAATTGGCTTTGGATAGAAACCTAATGGAAAGGATAAGAAACAGGTTGTATGAGGCGAAGGAAAGGTTCGAGAACCATGTTAAAAAATTCGGAAAGGGGACTTTCCTGGGATATTCGCTGGCTATTATTCCTCGCTTCTTTTTCGTGTTCCACGCCGTGCTTTCAGTTCGTTTATTGGAGAAATACATGAAATATGAGACGATACATGCAAATGATAAAGATATTCTGGTTGCAACGCAGATACCGATTTCGCCTCTTTTTGCTGGACTTATACTCCTTGGGTTTGAGTCTCTGTACACTTTGGTAGCAAGGAAAGGACATGAGTATAAACAGTAAGTATTACAAAAAACTTATAAGTAAGTATTACATAACGTTCGTTTCGTTATCATTTTTCCACCCAATTTGCTACCATATGGCTGCTTTTCATGCAAACTTTATCGAGTAGTTAATCTAATCGGCAAGAAGCTAAAAAGCGTATTAGAGAAGCAAATCTGACAAGTTTATCTGTGTGAGACTGGTTTTAGATCCATTGGTAGGCTGCTCACATGCAAAATCTTGGGCAGCTGAGTAGGAATCAACAAGCACCTTAGATATTTTAACTTTTTTGAGGTCTTTCATAAAAGGGGTCTTTTTTAATGCTATTGATAAACTGAATTCAGATATCGATTCTGCAAGCAACATTTTGACATTATTGTAAAAAGCGCAGGATAAAACCTCTTTGCATGACACAAATTTTTGACCTTCTTGCAAACTATAATTTGAACTGGTTTGAAGACAAGACGACAGGTACAAGGAGTATTTGCTAACCGCCCATTGTTTGGCAAACGAAGCCTCTCTCAATACAAATTGGCAAAATGCAACTGTTGGCATAAAGCAAATACTGAAAACGACCTAACTGTGAAAATTCTCGCAAAACATTACCGGCTACCTAAACATTATTTTATGCGTGTCTTTTTAAAAGGATTTCCTTTTCAATACGCATGATATGAAGACATCACAAAACCTTTTGTTTTTCCGGGGGTCCTATCATTCAAGAATTGATATGAAGACAAACGGCACACCAATAAGGTACAGAGCAAGAGAAGTCAGTCTCCACATACAAATAAAGATATATTGTTGCAAGAACCCTTATTGTACTCTCTGTAGCACTAACCCCTATCTATTCCCGATGAATAACAATACCTATCATGTGAGAATGAAATGAAATGAAATAGAATTGGCAAGTTGCTTGAAGCTTCTATAAGAAAGTGCAAGAAACTTGGGACTTAAATTTGCCAAAAATGAAAACATTTTCAAGAATTGAAGAAAAAGGATGGAAAAGGAAAAAGAAAAGTTGAAAAGCCTTGATTTCATTTGAGACAACATTTTTGTTTGAAATGAAGAATTGGGTTATGGATTCATTTGAAGACAGTATGGAAAAATGAGAAAGACGATGCAGTAGTCACATCATATCAATGTTGAATACTAGTCCAAGGTACATGGCTCTCAACGAATAACATTAGTTGCTGAAGAAGGTCAAAGTAAAATTATAGATCCATTTGGTTGTTTATTATTCAAAGATGTATATCCTAAGAGATTGCTCAAGAGTTCCTTTTCCATTTCAGCATATGGTTCAGCGGATTTCTTTATCTTGTTACGGAAATACCTGTTATATTTTGTCTCGAGTACGCATTCTTTAAAAAGAGGAAGATGTACTCAGATCTTGCAAAAACAGTTGCTTCAAACGGCACAGCGAATATTGCTGTACTTACAAAACCACCTTATGAACCGGATACGTATGTGGTAAGTGGAAGATCCTGCATTTCTGTAATAGTGCTGTGCAGCTTGGTATTTCATGCCTTGCAAGTTTACAGCAGTATGATAGATTATTTCAAATTCCGAAAAGTGTATTCGGGAAATTGTTGCTTTGTTATGTTATTTGTTATATATTGAGGCTACACAGCTATTTATCAGCAAAACGGACATAGGAATGGGCAATAACTTTGACACATTTTAAAGCTCATAAGGCTAACGCCATCAATATATTGTCGCTCGCACGCCTGTAACTAATTCTATGTTGTCACTTAAGAAACTGTGACAATTCTTAGCTTTGGCAGAACGTGTTGCTAGCAGATCTCAGTTTTTCTAATGATTTATAGAATGTTTTTGAACTAATCGGCCAACCATCATATCCTACAACAGAACTGCTTCCACCCTGCTCTACAGTTCAACTGCACTGAACAATTCATCAGGAAGTTTGCTGAGCTTGGGCTTATATGTGTCATCATCATTGGTCGCTGGATGCTTCCACGGGGAGAACTGACACGTGACCAACTGTCAGCTCTTCTGATTGGCTACGTGAACACAGCAGCAGATTTGACAGGTAGGATTCTGACGTGAATACAGTATGATATTAATGACAAGAGAGCCTAGATTGATATCAGTCAAAATAATAAAAACAGCAACCATCATATCGATTTTTTTGAAGGTTTATTAAATGAAGTTTAAAAACATTAAAATGTAGGGAAATGCTACAAAGTTAAAACACAAATCACTTCATGTATTTATGAAATTGTCATATTAGTTACAAAGGAAATACTTGAAAGCGATTATTGCTATCAAGTGTCTTATCTTTGTGTCTCTGCGATGCTTTCATAAATGATTCTCCCATCTTTTTCAGAGTTTGTAGGCCTTTTGACTAAGACTGAAATTAACAGTCAGAAAACAGTGGTAGTTGTTGTGTTGGTTATATACAGCCTCAGTCTGATGCAGTTCACTGTAGTCACAACAAGCACAACGTACGAATACTCTGAATCTGAGAAAGAGGAGGTAGGTTTTTACCTTATATGGCAAGCATACCTAAATATGAGAATAACAGGTTGATTGCGATCAAAAATAAACCAATCAGTTTGTTGCATTGGGTGGTAGAAACAGATCGACAAATAGGATGTACAACATAATGGTAGCTCTAACCATTTCACAAAGCTTCTGAAGTGATGGCTTCTTTCAAAGTTGAGAGCCTCCTTTTCTTAAAGGGCCACTCCAGCCCAAAATTTTTTTTGCATAAATTGGTAGTTAGTCAAGAAAAAGAAGCTATCGTGAAATTTTTTTTCGAAAAGCTTAACTCGTTTTCCAGATATAGACGCTCAAAGTTGAGAATCACCGTAAAAATACGACAAAATTTTTTTCGGAAAAAGCACTTTGTGACGTGTGAAAGGGCTATTGTTTCAATATTCGGCGCTATTGTTATACGTTCGCACTGAAATTCGCACGACTCGGTAGAGGCTCGGAAGAGGCGATTCATGTCGGAATCTCGGTTGTCGTTTTATTTATTTTCCTTCTTTGCGATTGATGTTCAGCGGAGGCTTCCAGCCAACATGGACTAGTAATTCGACAAATCAAAGATGGAAGCTTCAACCTGAACGCATACCCTCATCTTGGCAACGCAGCAAGCTTTTTAATATGGAATGCTTCACGAATTTTCAGATGTGAATGGATTTCTGACCGAAGGCATTTCTTATCGTCGTGTCATCTCAGGAATTTCCAGGGAGCTGAATAATAATTGATGTCTCACCGCATTAGAAGAAGAACCCCATTCACAAAATGGAAACTTTCCCGTAAGTCACAATTCAATCTTATTATCATTTTACTATGTTGAATGTTAGGCGAAACTGCAGGGTGTAGAGGTTTGGAGGGGGTTTGGGGATGGCGTGACACGCACCCCCTAAGCATCGCAATTTGCCGGGCTTTGAGAAAAACTTCGTCCTCTAAATACAGGTTTTCTAACAGCCAGTCTTGTGAACTGTCTCCCAAATGGTCAGAAATGTGGTAATATGAAAAGTACCACAGGGGCTCTCAAGCAAAATGTCACATAAAATATTACCAAAAGTAGAAGTTTGCTACTTTTTTGTACCAACAAGGGGGCCTGAGCCTCCTAGCACTACATCCCTGCCAATGATCTGTGCACTACACCTTTGCCCGAGGTATAGATGTGTAAAATTTCCCAGGGTTTGTCTCCTGAACCCTTCTTCTTCATGTTCTACCTTGTTCTGCCTTCAATTTTGGAATTCTGCCTATTTCATCATAAAATTGATGCACAATTTCAAAATTTTGCCAGATCAATATCCAGGGCAAAAGATCTACTACCCAAAAGGAAAAACATGGAATTTACACCCTTGGTCTTGGAAAAAAGATGTGTAATATCCTCATTCTAATGTTTTAAAGGCAGAATTGTTTATATTTGTTAAATTTACCTTTGCTATTCTAGCATTGATTCATATAAGCATGGCCTATATCATTTAAATTCATCTTTGTGTTACTTCAAGTTAATATCCTTAGATGCTATTTGCTATAGTAACAGTGGTTGCCCTTTCACCCCTAAATTTCTCTTTGATCCTTCTAAATATCTATACTCGGAATGCCCCTGAGTGTCCAAGTTTCTTTGATCATTTTATGTTTTAATATGACTCAAAAGTAAATTTCACTGGTATGTTGGTATTTATCCCTGTCAACCTTATTATTCTAGGCATAAAAAAGGTAACAAACTCTTTTATGGATCAGCAGAAAGGATCTTGCAAAAAAATGCTAGATGAAGGTTGGAGATTACATGCATCCTGTCATCTGGCTACTGGCTTTGTGGGAGTGATAACTTGCCCCTCTCTTCCATTCAAGAGTTACCACAAAGACCTCAACACATTATTCTGTTTTTGTATTAACATTTTTACAAAGGAGACTATATTTAAAATTATCAAAATTTTATATATAATTTGGTCATATATAATGTTTGCAAATTATTTAAAGCTAGTAACAACATATAGGTATTTTCTAGAAGTTTTGCAATAGATTATTGTTTCATGATACTTTTATAAGAACATTTCTCATGTGCAATAGAAATTACAAATTGCTAGCTAGTTCACTGGCCTGATTGTATAATTCAATGTAGCCAAGTATTTAAATACATCAAACATGTATTTATTATTCATAAATATAGCAGGTTGAGATTCTGACAGCTTAAAGGAGCCGACAAGGCCCCTGTAATAGCTTAAAGGTTAAATACAAAAATTATATTTACAAAAGTATATTGAAAAAGTTGAATTATTAATATAATCTCAAATCCCTTTTTGGTTTGTATAAAAACAAATTTATAATTTTTGAAAAAGTTGTTTGACTCATGACTAATGGTAGGTTTTTAGTCTTGTCTTGAAAGTTGTATACTTTCTTGTCCATGTCCTCATTTGTCCTGTTTTATTTCCAATAAGTCATGTTGATATGAAGCTCTTTATCCTAATGAATATGTTGTATCAATTCATACAGCTTTCATTCCCGATATACTGGTTTTGTTTTCTTCTTTCCTCCCGAATTAATTGCGCGATGGTTTTTTAGCTGTTGCACTAAAGGAGGGGCTGATGAAAAAGCGCGAATCTTCTTTTTAAAATCAGGGAACTGGCCTGCCAATATAAATTGCTTCAAAAGCAACATTCCACGAAAGTCTGTCAACATCCTCATGTCTCTGTCTCGCCGGCCTACTTTGCCAATTCGACTTCTCTGTCAGAAAGATTCGTGCGACAAAAAACTTCCATATTCGATCAGAATATCAAGACTGATGAGCGATACTTCTCTCTTTATATCGATTCCAGATAAAAGTCTGGCCTTCTAACAAACATGCCGCTGCTAGGCCCTGTCTGCCATTTCGCTAAGTTCTCGTTGACCCTTTGGACAGCCGATGGTACTTGCCGCGAACTTACCGAGGCCGAAAATGCCTGTGACGTCAATCCGAAGATCTCCGATAACACGGTTGAAAAACAATTCAACTCAATGACCATTTTACAAACGCTAATAACTACAAAACGGTTAGAGATATGAAAAAAATAATAACAGATTCGTTTTCAGGAGGTCTGATTACATCGTGTTCTGAAATAAAAATTTTGGGCTGGAGTGGC